ATGTACTTCTCTTCCATCTATACAGTATACAAGTATAAGGCATTTTGCAATCTGGGTGAAGAAAGGTCTGATCTATATATGACCTTATTCAGTGTTCATCAAGTATCACATGACAATGATCGATTGTTTTTTTATGACAATTTTTGGCATTTCAAGAGAAATAAATACTGCTCAAATACAAGAAATTTGAATAAGTACTTTAATGTATCCAGATATTAAGTCATCATTTGTGTGATCCCATTAATATTTTTATTCAGTGTTTTGAACATTTTGTAAAGCATTTCAAAAACCAGCAATGGCTTGTCATCTATAGGTATTTATTACAAGTCATATGGACCTCAACTGCTTGATTTATAGTGAAGTTTGACTTTTGGACACATTGACATTGCAATTCTAATAACAATACATCTCATACAATAATACATTTTACCATACGATGGGCTTATTCATTAAGGTAAGTCTGCATGTTCGGAAATTTGCTGCATTCCTCAATTGAGTCACATGTTATTCTTCATAAGGTCATTGAATTTTCTTGTTTTCTACCTTACAAAAAAAAACTTCTTAACAGTCTTTTCTAGGTACATAAGTTCACTCTTTGTGCAAAACTGAAAGTTGGAGACAATGTGGAAAAGGAGTGATTCCTATTTGAAAAATAACATGTGACTCGATTGAGGATTGCAGCAAAATTACGAAGGTGTAAACTTACCTTAAGTGATTTATTGATAAAGCGTCTCACAAAATATTCTCAGATATTTTTTCTAATAAAAATTATTCATTCAACAAAATTCATATTGTCAGATTTTTACGAGCTATTTCTAGCGTTTTATAGAGCAAAATATCCACAATAGCACAGTATACGTACAACATGAGTTTAGAGATGTATGCCATTACTTCACTACAGCTCAATGTTTTCAAATCATACATACAAAACAAATAATATACACTAATGTAAATTTTATTTTTGTATCTACGATGTCATATTGTTACATGTATAACATATTGTATTATAAATAAGCCTGTTTATTTGGTAAAACCATTCTATTGTATTAAAACAACATGAAATACTGATAGTCTGATACACAGTGAAGCCTGTGAAGTAGAACACCTCTGTTAGTAGAACACTTTTATGAGTCCCAAAACAAAACATGAGTCCCAAAACTTAATTTTAAATGAACCTCCATAAGCGGAACACCTCCCAAGTAGAACACTACCAATTACTGATGATACTCATACATACAGAAAATTATTCATCAGGTCGTCGTCACATGTCAATCATTCAATCAATTACATATTCCCAGAATCACCCATTGTGCTCTCAAAGAGAAATGAAAAATGTTCTGGCATGTGTACATTGCTTGTTCCTGTATCTTCCCTTTTAGTGTTATCACTTGAGTTTCCTGTGTCAATTAGTAGCTTATGCACTGTCTTCTCATGTCTATATTGACTGGATGATCTGTTGAACATACGTGGGCAATATTTACACTTGAATGGCTTCTCGCCAGTATGGATCCTCATATGCGTTCTTAATGTTCCTGGCGCAGTGAATGTTTTCAAACATAACTGACACTGTAAGTTATTTTTTCGAGGTATGTTTTCTGTTCGCTTAGCTGGAAATAGAAATTATAATCATATTTTAATCCATGGTGAGACTATAGACACAAGACATCTTTGCATTGATTATACAATTTTCTGCTAACTTGTCTACTGGTTTCTTGTGTTGATAGAATATAATATATGTTTTCTCATCGATTTCTAAACTAAGATCAAACAGATCAAACAGATTCTCATACAGATATATACCATTTAAAGATGTGCTGTTTAATATCCACATTCCTCTATTTACGGTATATACTTTTGAGACGTGTTGATTACTGCATTCATTTCCCTTTCATTCAAGAGGTCTAAGTTCTAAAATCTTGTATTGTACTTGCTGTAATATAATATTGTTTAATGCCCTTTAGATGACTCTGTATTCCCAGCTCACACAGGACCTTTAATTAGGCTAATTACAAAAAAAAATTAAACGAGGCATCAACCTGCAAAATGTCACCACCTACTATTTGTTACAGACACAAACTGCTGAATTCCAACCACAGGTTTTTCTTCATTAAGATTAAGGCACATTGCTATATACTAGAATAGTAGAACTACCATACAATAGGCCACACTCTGATTTGACAATTACAAAATAGAACACAGAGTATAGAGGGACTGACTTGCTACAACAACTATATATCATATAGGTGCATGCCCAGAATTTTACACTGGGGTTCATCAAGAAAAAAAAACAAAAAAACTCCATCATCATAGCTTACACCTCTAGATTCCACCTGGCTTCTTGAACTCTCTCACCGCCCAACATGCCTCCCCCTTCTGAAGCTCATGTTATAACACCAATAAATTCACAAATAAGCTTTGTAATAGTACAACAAAATTGCATTGCTCCTTCCTTATGGTACAATCATTTTGTATTGTAATTATGGCACAATCATTTAGCATTTTTATCCAGTAATTATGGCAAAATCCTTGTTATCCAGTAATTATGGCACTGTTATCTATTAATTATTTCTTTATTCCTTGATCCTCAATTTTTCCTATCTCCTAGTTTGAATCTCTATTCTTGTGTACAGTTTTCTCATGTCTATACTGGCTTGACGATTGATTGAAGACACGTCCGCAATATTTACACTTGAATGGCTTCTCGCCAGTATGGATCCTCATATGCGTTCTTAATGTTCCCGATGCAGTGAACGTTTTCAAACATAACTGACACTGTAAGTTATTTGTCGGATCCATTTTGGGCACTGGAAATAAAAATGAATCCTGATTTGAGTTACTAACAGTTATATTAAGGTTGGCCTAGATGGATGAATTTTGAGCATTTTTTAAGATGTCATTAGGGAGCATATCTACAACAACACAAGTCAAGTAAATTAGTAGCCAGAGCAGAAATTCTATATTGCTACTATTGATCTTGATGTAATTACTAACTAAATGTTTTTTTTAATTGATTTTAGTAACAACACATTCAATAATAACAAAAAGATATATGTCTATCTCCATTATGTTTCTGGATCTCTTAGTGTCTCTATAATGAAACCTTTAAATACATATGGCTATCAAGGCAACGGTTCTGTAAGGTTGTCTTTTCTAATGCTACTAGATCAGGATTCAAATTAGGACAGAGAGATTAATCAAATTTTGGTTAAAAGTCGCTATCCCCAAACCGAGCACTCTAGACTGTTCTGCCTGTTGCTAAACCTCAGAGAAAATAAATCCAAGACAAACGACTCTAATCAATAATGACATTTTAGGAAATCTTACAGCATATAAGTGTCTTAAGATTCTCTTCAAAAGCATTGGTTATCAGAACATTGTCTTAGATTCTTACTCCAGACATACGCAAAGCTCTTTATCAATATTGACCATACATCCCAATCAAGGCATTAACATGCAAAATGTTACCACCTGTCATTTGTTACAGATGCTGAACACAAACCGGAGAAAATCATCCACAAAAGATGTGGAGAGAATAACAATATGTCACCCATTGTGGTGGCGACATAAAAACCATATCTTGTAACTAATAACTAAATCACTTATCACATGGAGGATATCATCTACCTCAAACCCAGCCAAGTATGAGACTCCAGTAACTATAGTAATTCAGTTGTTTATTTCATATTCTTAATTGCATTCAAAATCGAAAGCATATTTGTATATTTAAGCTTAATAAAAATACTATCTTTATCTCAGTTTAATTATTCTCTAAACCGGAGTTTATGCTATGGAGTACTGGAGAAAATGTCAACATCATTCAGTTTTCATCAGAAAACCATCACTCTGTTTTGGTTTACCATCACTCTATTTTGCAAAACCATCACTCTGTTTTGCAAAACCATCACTCTGTTTTGCAAAACCATCACTCTGTTTTGCTAACCCATCCCCCTGTTATATTTGTGTGGTGTTTATCCATGTGTTGTTTCATTTTAAAGTTTGTAGTATACACCTTTGTACATTTAGGGCAACTGAACTTTTTCTGCAAGTGTTTAGAATATAAATGTCTATTTTTATTTCCAATGGAAGAGAAACTTTTCAGGCAAAAGTCACATATGAATTCCTTTGATCTGCTGAGTGGACCTGGAAATCAAATAAAACAAGGAATTAACAAGGCATTAACATGCAAAATGTAACCACCTGTCATTTGATTTGATTTGATTTGAAAACTATATTTATTCTGGGTAGCTCTATCAGTACAAATTAACAAAACTGGTCTTCCTAGAGGCCCAGCGTCATTTGATGTTATGATTTGTGATATGACAGTGTCAGTGTAGAATCTTTGAAATTAATGAACCAATAAGGGACGAAAATAATAGAGGAAATATGCAAAATCATTTCTGTTTGGAAATGGCTTTGTTTAGCTGTGGGTCTCATAGACTGAAATAAGTGATTTCATCGTCTGGTGATATTGGATTTTCTGACACTGAATTGCTGTTTTGAATTTGACAATGCTTGCGACTGATCTGTTCAAGTTTTGCAGACTTGGTGGTGATACTCGGCTACTTCATCTATTGCTGAGAAAGTACTTGTACTTGTCCAAAAAGCAGTTCACTTTTGGGACACTTGTATAAAACTCATAAAAATATAGTACAGGTTTCTTAGATCATTTATTCAAATCAAGTAATCAAGTCAAGTAATTTAAAACTTTATAAAAAGACATGAACCGCCAGATTCTTGTTTCAGCTTTTATTATCAAAGTTAATACAGAGTGAGCCAAAAGAAATATCCATACATAAGTTTTTTGAAAATGCATGGATTTCAATGAAATTTTGCAAGGGTATGCAGGAATCAGGTTTTTTTTGGCTCACCATGTATATGTACATGTACAGTGTAATTACAAGTTCATGAGGGTGTAAATTATCATGTTATGGCTGCAGTTGGCCGACAGATTAATCACTTTGTTAATATACAGGGTGTCCCAGAACTCATGAGATACTAGTATAAGGCATTGGTGATTTTTCTTCAAATTTGGCAGACTTATTAAACATATATTGAGGAATAACTGACATGAATTTCAGGCTATTTCTGGGACACCCTGTACCAAATATTTGCTTTGTGTGTAGTTGATTCTTTGTGTCTCTAAATGTAAGATATAACATATTTCATATTTATAACAGAGGAAGTATGCATTCTACAGATTAACATTGGCATATATATTGATGTTTTGAAATATGAAGGACATTGTCAATGTTCCCATCAAATGATAAGGGCAGCATAAATACTGTCATTACCGTGACCCTACCAAAAAATAGTTGAATAAAAGGATGTTTTTACTTTTCTAGTGTCTCTTTTTGTATATACAAGTTTTGTATAGTTTTATTTTCAGTAGGCCTGTCCATAACCATTTGGTCAAATCATTTTTATTCATCATAGTTTTTCTTATTGTAATCAACTCATTTTTATCTCATCTCATTTATGTCATGTTGAAGGATTCTTCTTTTCAATCTTATCAACGGATTCGCTCATTGATTTTTTCTGATTTTTTTCCCTGGTAGACGGGGAAGTTTTATATTCAGTAACATATGTTTAGATTGTTGTTTCCCGACTGAATCTTGCTGCACTTTGCTATTTGACTTTCTATGATTCTTGACCGCAATTTTATTCTTTGCTCTGATTTCTTGTAGCTTTTTTAATGAAAGTTCATCCCGAGGAACGTATCTTAATTTATGTTGATCTCGATCTTTCTTAAGATATCCCTCAGGGTCCTGATCTTTCTTCCGTTGTCTATAAAGACGACATCGTTCGGCATTGGTGGTACGTGCCTTCGTTTGTGCTTTTGTTCGTGCTTTCCGAGCCTTTTGCCCTAAAAAATACAAGTTTGAAGTCATTGTCTATGTTCTTACTCATCTATGATTTGTGACATGACAGTTTCTTAGAAATTGAGGAACCCGTTCATTAGGCTCCTTAATTGAGACAGCCCACCAGGCCATTTTTCAGTTTTTGAAAATCTCAAAAATACTTTTAATGTCCAAAATAATACGCTTTCAAAAATAATGATCATTAAAAATATATATATCTTTTATTGACTCAATAACCATGTCATGTAAAGTGTACAAAAAAACTAACTAACCAAGGTGTGGAAACTATATAAGTTCTTTTTTTATGGAGTAGCTCTATCTGCTGCTAAAAGACAACTGATATTATAGGGACAGAAAATCAGGATGATAATCTAATGTTTCTTATATCTCTTTTTCAAATTTCCAGATAACAATTCCAGACAGATTTTACAAAGTACCTGGCTGGACCAACAGTCTTATTGTCATTGAAATTTCTGAGAGATTAATTTGTGCCGAAACAACTGATTATTTTCTTGACCCAATATGACTCAAAATACCAATGACCAGAAGCAACCAAAAGATGATTTTCCCAGAGTGCACTGAGAAATTTAAACATTTGTTTTTTTACTTCATGAAATTAATATGGTTGGCACGAGATACGTATAAGCGGTATATAAGTGCTGTTGATATATTAAAAAAGTGTTCATTAAAAAGTGTAAATATGGTGAACTTATCATTTTAAATTTAATGCCTTAATAAATCTGGGGCACCTGTTATTATAGACAACTGTAATAAATATGACAACTTCTGAATATCCATGATAATAAGTAGGCTCCAAATACAATACTTTCATAACATTATAATAACAATATTATATAATATTAGTGACAAATAACCCCAAAATAGAAATTAATGTTACGCTTTAAGCTTTTCACATCTTACACTTTATTTGTTAATAAATGGCAAGTAATCACTCGATGATTAAATTCAAATGTCCATTTCAAAACCTGCTAACAATTATTATCAAATGGCAAACAGAGTAGAAATTAGAAGAAATTATGGAGCGGTCACACTTAGGCCATGTGGGCTCACCGTTCGCCACTGTGTAAAAACTTTTGGGCCAGGAGGCAGGGCACGGCATAGACACACAGTGGGCAAAACAAAAAAAATTACAGCAAGATGATCCCTATCGCATCAAATACAAAATTAATTAATTAATTAAAACATGAAATTTTTAATTAGCCACACGGTGGCGAACGGTGAGCCCACACGGCAAGTGTGACCGCTACTTTACAGAGTAGAAATAAAAGTATGTTTTAGCTTTTCACACTTGTTAATTCTTAACCTTATACGTGTTAATAAAATGGCATATAATCAAAGAATACAAACTGAAATTACATTGACACTCTCCACATCTCACCTCTCTTTTGTACATTTCTTAAAATGTTTATCCATAGATGAATGGTATTTAAACACATGTTTACATATAGGACATGAGTATGTCTTTCCTAGATGCTCAGCTCTCCTGTGCCTGTTTCGAGAGCGCAGACTTGCATATGACTTGCCACAAATGGTACAATATACTTTTTGTTTATCCATCTTCACTATAAAACAACAAATTGTACAAATCTGTCAATTTTTCTGTCAATCAAAATTCAAAAAAAAAAAAACATTAACAAAATCTTTTTCAAAGGTATAAATGGAAAATAATAGATAAAATATCAAGTGCTATATTCTAAAATACCACGAATTGACACGTTTTACCACCCATCAAATAATTTGAAATTCCTTTCAACTATAGTACTTATATTTATAATTCAACATATAATCAATAAACATATATATTTAGGATTCTTTAGTCGTCAAAGGCATTGTATAAGAAAGTAAAAGGGGGCAGGTATATGTAGTAGCTAGGCAAGCAGAATCAGGGCTAGGGCCCAAGTGTGACATAGGATAGTTTAGAGCTGCATTTTTGAATGCCCGAGGCACATTTAGTCACCGTGAAATCCAAATCTATATTACAATCAAAAATATCTGACCATTGCTGTTTCTGTTGCATCATTCAAAGTTTCTAGATTAATTTCATGGTAGGCCTACTCCCAATGTTTTTTAATAGGCTTGGATTTAGTCATACCAACTTTAATTTGTTCAATAATTGCCCTGTCGTAAGTTTTTTCAATATGATCAGTGACACTGAACTACTGATTTCAATAGTATTAATGAAATAATAAGTGATTCTACTTAAAAGTGGAAAATATAGTGTTGAAATGTCTTAACATTAATATCTGTTAATTAGATATATTAGAGTTGAACCCTTGTTGAAAGTAATGTTATCATATCATGTACGAAAGTCATCTTAACTGCATTCTTAATTGCATTCTACAGCTCTACGAAGTGCTGAAATGTTCTAAACGTTCAATTACTTGTTAAAAGTAATGTAATCATATCATATGTGAAAGTCATCTGAACTGCTTCTAGTATTCTAGTGCTCAAATTGCATTCTAGAGCTCAAATTATATTCTAGAGCTCAAATTCCATTGAAGAGCTCAAATTGTATTCTAGTGCTCAAATTGCATAAGAGCTCAAATTGTATTCTAGTGCTCAATTTCCATTGTAGAGCTCAACTGGTATTCTAGTGCTCAAATTGCATTCTAGAGCTCAAATAGTATTCTAGTGCTCAAATTGCATTCTAGAGCTCAAATTGTATTCTAGGGCTCAGATTTCTTAAGTGTGGAAATGTTCTTCAAATTCAATTACTCAGAAATGTTATATCATATATGAAAGTCATCTCAACTGCTTCTAGTATTCTAGAGCTCAAATTCCATTATAGAGCTCAGATTGTATTCTAGAGCTCAAACTGCATTCTAGAGCTCCAATTGACTAAGGGCTGAAAAGTTCTACAGGTTTAATTACTGCAGCCTCTTGGTGATGTGTCAGCAAATGCCACTTGACTTTATTCTGATAAGTATATTCTTTGGGACATATAGGACACTTGAATCGCCTCTTCATGTGAGCTGCTTTTACATGACGAGTCTTGTTTCCCATTGACGCAAACACTTTCTTGCAGATTTCACACTCGATTTGAATCCAACTGGGTATCACTGAAAATAATGAAAACCTAATGAATTTACATATACATATAACAGAATGTTGTTCTTAAAGAATTCTCTGGTCTATAGTTCTTCTATAATAGCCTATTCTATCCATGTTCTAATTTAAGGCTGTTTTTGGTAAAAATATCAAAATATCTTTTCCTATGATGTACTGCAGATTTTCTTTGGCAAATAATTTCTGAATTTTCACCAGGGTACAGCAGTTGGTCGCTCTTATACTGAAAGAGATTGGATACCATGATATCCATGGTAACGATGACTGAATTATGAATCTTAACTTTATAAAATGATATCTGCTATTCATACTCCTGCAATCTTAACAACTCAGATCTTTGAATCATTAAAATACATGCATATACAAGGTGTCCATAAAGTCTCTTTACACTTTACACAGATTTTTGTATTGAAATTGTGAAGAAACTTTATTAGACACCCTGTAGGCCTTATATCCATTCATTCCCACTCTTCAGAGAATATTTCACAACCAACAGTTTTTCATATTAGTTAATAGAGCTAGGAAATATCAAAAATAAGACTCACTTTTTATAGGTTATTGCAAAAAAACACACTGAGAAAATATTAAGGTGAACTGATTCATAATTTATTGTAATACATTATATTTCATTGAAATCACTTCCATGTATTGCATGTTATATACATGTAATGTTGAAACCACTTTAAGTTCAATTTCCAAATATTCTTCTTCACGTAAGGTAATTAACCCTCACTGCTGGGTGAAACTACAGTGACACCTGTCCTAGTGAACACCTCTCTCTCTAGTGAACACCCCTTCTTACGACATACTCCACTGACTTCTGTATAAAACTGCCTCTTTGTAGTGAACAGTGAACACCTACCAACAGTGAACACATGTTTGCGGCTCAATAGGCCAATTATATGTAATCAGTCATCTTGCATGCAGTCCTTATATGTCGTGCCAGATTTGACGATCTATTAAACGTCTTAAAACATACTTTACACTTGAATGGCTTCTCTCCTGTATGAATACGCATATGATTTTTCAGAGTTCCTATCGCTGTGAATGTTTTCAAACATAAGTCACATTGGAAACGTGATCTAGGTGAAACTACGAATTTATGAAGTCTACTAGAGAGAGATGTATCATTTGTGCTATTTTCGTTGATGTCCTCATTTTGTGTTATTCCACCAGTGCCTGTTAGGTTTGAGTCATACTCTGAAAGTACACAAATGCAAGGTCCCATGAGTTTCTATAAACTGATATGTTAGGCATTTACGCTGTTTTTTAAAAGTGGCCAGTTCAAATCTGCCTTGAGTCCTTTCATCTGAAGGCACATGCTTGAGAGCTTGAAACACAATAGGGAAATTATCATTTGTGTACAGGGCATTTTTGCTTGTATGTCGCCATGTTTTCATGTTTTATCTCCTTAAAGACAATGCAGTGATGCAATTGCAGTATTAAATGCACAATTTTATGAACTTCATGTAGTTTAAAAAATCCATGCTCAATCCAATAGTTTGGAATGTGTCTTGTATCTGCAGACTCCATGCAACTGCAACCTGAAACTTATAGCCAATGTTCCTTATCCACAAAACACTTCATCAAATGCTTTTCAGATTTTCAAACATTCATAACTTTTACATCTTCCAATTCCAAGTTGGTTATAACACAAGTTAAGAGCAACTGAAACCTTGTGAATCAAGATGTTACTATTATACTCCCAAAATGCAATCTGATTTTCGACGCTGTTTTGGTGCCAAAATTCGGTATCGTTTCAGCACCAAATGGACTGACTAGTCCGGTGACAAATTTTGGTGTCGAAAGGTTTTGGTGCCTGAACAGTGCCAAAACGGTGGCGGAACAGCGCCTAATTTTTTCGATTCCGAATCGGCGCCTAATTATATTGGCTGTGTAAGTGATGCTGCACTGTCCACATACAAATGATACTTCATCAATAAATAAATTCTGCATATTTTCTTTATATTTTCAGCTTTCAACAATCCAACATGAAATGTGTTAATAATGTATTAGCAAACAAAGCTCATCAAGATTGGGAAATCTGTGTCAAATAATCCTGCTAAAAAATCTTTCATGAAATAATAACAAGTCATTTCCAAGGAATGTTTCTACCAGTAATTAACACAAAAAACAACGGCCCATGCTTTATTCTTAAACCAGGTTTCATCATCATTCCTCATATTGCCTGCATAAAAGTATCAGAGAAACCACTGATGTTTTGGCAAGCCAAATATATTAATGAACTGCATTATAAGTAAGACATTATAAGTAAGATTACATCTGAACACAGCACTATAAGTAAAGAGAGGGTAGCAGGGATTTTGGATTGTGTCGACTGTTGAGCAACTTGTGTTGAGCGGCAGCTGACCAAGTTTTAATCTAGATAGTTAGGCTGCAAACATAACGGTGTAAACCAAACACAAAACATCTTACCTTGATGGCTTATTATTAGACAAACCTCAACAGTTAGCAGTAAAATTGTTCAAAATGAGGACAGTGTTACGTGACAGATGTAACTTGATTATTACAGAGACCAGCCCAAACAGTTAATAGCAAGATCGAGGTCAAGATTATAACCAATATTGTCACACAACCTTCATGCCCATATCTTACTTCCCATCATAAAAGGAGGAGGGAAAGTATCGCAACAGATTTCGGACAGCCATATGATTGATTTTGGATATTTTCTGAGGATTTGAACAGGTGCATATGTTCTTTCATCATTCTTGCCATTAACACAAATAAATCTATTGTTTTTAAAATTACCTGTCCTAATTATGTACTCTCTTTATGTGCCTGTCCCTGGAAGTCTTATAATCAAAAGCATGCCCACAAATAGAACAGGTAAACATTTTGTCGGTGTGTTTGGCTTGAAAGTGTCTATTTCGGCTGAAGTGACTGGAAAATGTTTTACGGCATACTGGACATACACTTTTTGCTTCTTCCATAGTTCCTGGTGTTATATATCTCTCACCTACTGCATTTAGTGAAGAAAAAATTGAAGTTAGTGTGTCGCCCTAAATCTTAAACAGTGTCATTCAAAATTATGTTAGCCGATGTTTTTTGATGAATCATTTTTACATGCACATCATTGTCTTTTATTCTACCTCTTGAATCCCAAGGTCATTAATTAAACGACAAAAAATCTTGTCACTAAGTCAAGAGGTTAATAATCAATAATAGAGTGTGACTTCAACATGACTGCATGTGCTATGTACAACCCTCTCCATCACAGCAGCTTTACATTGTTGGGTGGCTTACCAAGCCACACGTAAATTTCAAGCCCCTACACAGGTGGATGACGTAAGGTGCGTTATGGCTCACTTGACTATGTAAATATGTCAATCAGGCTTCACATAAATCACTCTATCTTCATTAAAAAGAACAAAAACAAATACTTTTTGAGTCTAATAATGTAATTTATTTATTTATTTTCTGTTTTAAAGACAAAAAAGTCAGAAGCAACTGATTATTGGCAAAAATCCAAGTCTGAACTTTATCAACATTTGAACAAGATACTTAAGTAATATTAAAAAGTTCAGATTCATTTGCCACATCCAGATTTTTTATGTTTTTGGAGATTTGTACGCCACTTAAAATGCTGACCACAGTTTTTGCAGGTAATTCTGATGTCAAGATGTACAACATTGACATGATATGTTAGTTCTGATTTTCTTTTGAATTTGCTGCTACAATCATCATAGTGACAGGCGAATTTTGGTAAGACGTCTTTATTTTGCATTGTGCATAAATGTCTCTTCAAGATTTGCTTGGATGAAGCTTTACGACCACATTTGTTGCAATGAAATTGTTTTACACCAATATGCCGCCGGGAATGCTGATCAACTTTCCACTTAGTGCTGTACACCATGTCACATCCCTGGAGACAAAATCTAATTTTTAGATATTGTTATTTCATGAAACGAGAAATAAATCCATGTTGACAATTTGTTAATGAACATAAAACATTGAAATGTTATAATGTTACAGATGTTTTACCTGATATTTGCACGGATGTTTTCCTTGTTTATGAATAGAGGCCATATGGGTCAATAGTGCAGTCTTTGTCTTATATTGCTTTCCGCAATCACTGCATAAGATAACTTTAATATAAGGACCCTGACCTGTAATTAAAATAAAATGAATCTCACTGGATGGTTGCACAACACGCGTGTACATTTTCTGATTGTAGTCTCTCTTTGGTCAATTAACAGTTGTCCGTTTTATTGACTCATACCATACTTATGATAAAGAATTCATTTGAATGAGATTTCAAAAAATATTAACATACTATGATTTAGGCTTCTACAATTATTATTTTCATCTTTTTTTAGTTTATGTTTTATTTTCACATTTTAGATGATAAAAACAATGTTTCAGATTAAAGCGTTATTTCAAACTTTCCTTGTCTGACTTCCAGAATGCAGTATTTGTTGACATTTTTACATTACTATAAACTTCATAAGGAGTATAAGTTGACCTTCCATATTGTTTTTAACTGGATGTTGTATATGGAGATTCAGCCTTCAGATTCAGCATGAATAAATTGCTGGTGCTTGATTGAAATGGTATCTATAAGACTATGTGAACTAATAAAAAAAATTGATTGCTATTTACATTGAAGTTATAATGCAAAATAATATAATGCAAAGCCCTCTCTCATTACGCAGTTTAAAACTAGTCATTACGTCATCCACCTGTGATCTAGGGTAAATTAAAAATGGTTTTTATGATTACTTTATTTTAATTTTCAAAATTATGTTACAAATGACAGGACTAGTAGGCTGAATTCAGTATTATTGGCCATGTTCATATAGAGTATAAATAAAAGCAACAAAATTGCCTATCTATATGTAAGGCAGAAATGTGAAATCATATCAATGTTTAAAATACATTCACAAAAAAATGATGTTAAATACTGCTTCAAAACTAAAGCATTGCACATTAAGCTAAATTAATATCAAACCATACAATAAAATACTTTGCTTTTGCGCTATAGAGCATCCTGTAAAGAAAAAGTTAATTTCTGACATATTCTTGAGTCACCCTCCATACTTTTTCTTAAATCCTTCAACAGAGAAAATTCTAGGTAAGTACTTGGTCAATTGCTACTCAGCATGATTACTAATAATAGAAACAATTTTGACAAAAATTGATCAAAATTCCCTGCTACACCCCCAAACTGCAAACTGATTTTCAACACTGTTTCGGTGCCAAAGGAGCACGTGGGTTATCGCAAACAATTTCAGAAGGTTATATCTTGGATTATGACTATTTTCTGACAATGAAGACAAGTTTATCTTTTAGATCAATTCATTATCTCAAAGAAAATTATGCACAGTAATAATAAATTCAAACAAACTCGGAGATATTTAACTAGCAATTAACCCATCAACACACTTTTTGACCCCATTTTGAAGATGTTGACCCCATTTTCACCAAAAATGCAATCAGTTTTTACAATGTTTAATGCATTACTATTCTTTATTTTGATGTATCAAATAGTTCTTGAAAGAAAAACTTAATTGCATTAAGATAAGTGTTCCCCATGTTATTTCTCCATTGAAAAATATCATGCTATCCATTGGTTTCAGTTCATTTTGGTCATCCAAATTGAATATCTTTAAAGTCCCTGGAGCAATCAAATTTTCCTTTTAGGAAATCGAACATGTCTCAAAGCACATTCTAATTATGCATTCAACAATATAATAATAGGTTGCATTTTTGGTGAAAATTAGGTCAACATTTTTGAAAAAGTATGTTGATTGGTCCATTGCCCCTTCAATATCACTTAGGTCTGATTAACTAAATTATCATTATATATACTTTTCTTGAAGATAATGAATGGATCTAAAAGATACACCCATGTTCATGATCAAAAAATATTCATAATTCAAGTTAGAATCGTTTGAAATTGTTTGCGATAACCTACGTGCTCCTTTCAGTGCAGTTTCGGCACCGAATGGACTGACTAGTCTGGTGCCAAATTTTGGCGTTGAAAGGTTTTGGTGCCAGAACAGTGCCGAATCAGCGCCAATTTTTTTCGATGCCGAATGGGCGCCGAGTTATATTGGCTGTGTTAGTGCCAAGATTTGACTGTAGCCATGAACTTACATTCGTAACTTTCCAACTTTGGGTTAAGACTAACATCCCACATTGTGTGTTGAACTATCACTGTTGGGTTGAGTATACCAAGTAGCCTATAGCTCTATGTAAGCTCTTGGTCAGTTCGACTAAATACAAGCTCAACACTCAGACCCATAGCCAGGATTTGCCAAGGGGGGTTCACTTTTTGAAAATTTCACTTTCACAATTTTGGTCCAAAAATGGCCAAAATCACTTAAATGTGCTTAGAATGATGAAAAACTACAAGGTTTTGAAAGAATTTTTGGCCAGAGGGGGGGGGGTTCGCTCGAACCCATCGAACCCCCTTGGCTACGGGCCTGACACTCAACACTTTACTCCTTGCAAGCCTTTATATACTACTATTACAACATCTTATAGTATCTCATCTGATCAATGCCTCTTGGAGCGAACAGCATCAGTTTAGATTTGAACTTTCATTGGAGACTATTAAGATTTACTGAAGCATAACTGTAAATAATCAGTCATATTTAGAGGGTACTTGTAGCGTGACCTAGATCATATTTCACCTTTACCTAGATCTATAAGGTATTTACATGCAAAATGTCACCACCTGACATTTGTTACAGATGCCCAATGCTGAGTGTCAAATGTGTAACACCATCCACTAGAAGTTGGAGACTTATAACAATATGTCACCATTTGTGGTGGCGACATAATAATGAAAATCTTCCCAATTAATCATAGGACCCCCAATCTACTTAACCTAGGTTTGTAGGAGGGAACTTAAAGCTAGAAACCTGCACAAAGTATGTGTAAGTTAATAAAACATGGGTATGTCATAGTGTATCAAATGCATCTGAAATACAATGAAATCTTATCCAATTTTGTTAGTTCTTCATGTAAACTAGACATTCTGTTAGGTCTGGCCTATAAGCACTTCAAAACGTTGCAATCCAGTCATAAGAATGAGAATAATCTTTTTTTACAGTGAAAGTTATCGCATAATTTAATGCCGACTCCATCATAAACATAAACGATATGCAAATTTTACAACAATTATAACATGCTTGTGACAATTTAGTTTTCCTTGTTTACAACGGCCCTATCAGGAGCTTGAATATAGACAAAATACCTCAAACTCTCTTGATACAGTTTATAACATGCTTGTTTTCCTTGTTTACAAACAGCCCTATCAGGAGCTTGAATAAAAACAAAATACCCCAAACTCTCTTGATACAGTTAAATGACATCTTAACTATCACAGTGAATCATTGCTAGGGTGACCAAAGTGATGAAAGTAGTTTAGGTACATTTTCCAATACGGCAGAAAGAGATACACTTCAACATATGGCTTGTAAAGTAAGTACATGTGTACCAAAACAAAAAGGTAGACTGTCATATAACATACCATTCTGCCATATTGAAAAAGCTACCTACCATGATAATAATATTTGCACATTTATATTAAAGGCCTATAGTATCTCGTTGTTAATACAAAACGTAGATATTGATAATGTGAAAAAACTTACTTTTAGTGCTAAAATATTTACTACGAATTTTGTGCAGTATGCAAGTCAGATAAAAAAAATGTAAAAATCCTGATTGAATAATTTCAAAAGCTGACATATTTTAGATAAATATGGCCAAAAGGTGTCTTAAATTACAAATTTCCACTTGTATTGAAAGTTTGTAGTTTTATTTTGAGGAGTTCACCAAAAATTGAATGCTTCACATTTCATCTGACTTACAATCCATGCCCCAGCTTCACATTGATGTTGATGTGTGAGTTAAGAGAATAAAAGTTCATAAATAAGACCATGTTCCAAAATTTTTGACATGAAAGTTGAAGTGAAAAACAATTGTGGAAGTCTATTTTTCCATTCCCTATTAGTCTACATGTTTCTTTTTTTTATTTATGATGCTTGTTGGTGAAGGAAAGTCAGGCATAAGCATATTCAAGGAGGTAGGGATCTTACTGCTTTTCAAAAATAGACCCAATTTATCTTGGTTTTCTTGGGAGTTTTATAATATGTAAATTTACACAACCCACTTGACCCCATATGTAACCCACACAATATGTCAGTGTTGGAAGGAAAGATGTCAGGAACAGACAAAATATTCCATTTTTATTCCAGAATGTTGATTTCTCCAAAAGTCTTTGTGTTACATGGACTCAACATGAAAGGTCCTTCCAAAGTTTAATGTTAAAATAAACATTAAACAGGATTGGGAAACTTTGTTCGATCCTCCTGAATGAAGTGATCTCCCTCGAAATGTAAAATTATAAATATATTTTTATATGTATTTGTGGACCTGACATTCTGAACTTTTCTGACCCATTCAAGATTCTTAAGTTCCATAACAATTGAGACCTCAAGTTGAAATCGCCAGTAGAGCAATATCAAGTTATTTTTTCAACCATGCAATTAAAAACTGAGGAATATATTTAAGGTGCATCAAAAAATTGTATGGGATGACAAGTGTAGCTGGTGCATGGATTATATAGAAGAAAATTGAACCAACCTGAATTTGGGTCCGTTCCTTGCATTTGTTGTTGCGTATTACCATTCTGCTCTGCAGTATTATCTAGGCTATCTAATGTATTATCCTGCATCCAATCTCCAGTGTTCATATCTCCATCGTTTATATCATCATCCTCATCATTTACTTCTATTGTTATAGGTTCCTCTTTGATTTCAATTTTTGCTTGTTTATCAGGAGGATCATCATTTGAGAATGTTTCAGATTCAACTTTTCTTTTATTGTCAGGATTTTTAGAAGTTAGAGAGGTTTGTTGTTCTTCCTGTTCAGCTGAAAAATACAAAAAAAATTCAGTAAAAATGCATAGTTAATATTGAATTTGAAACTGCGCAATTAAAAATTGCAACTGGATTTTCAATCAAGTATAGACAAGTAAATGACAATAACCATAGTAATGTCTTCATTACCATTTTTGGGCAAGCCAACCAATTTAACAAGATATTCACTTGCAAAATATCACCAAAATGCCATTTGTTACAGACGCTGAACATGGATCGCCAAATGACAACCACCAACCACTGAACACCATCCACAAAGAAGTTGGACCTATAATAATATGTCACCACTTAGGGTGGTGACATAAACACTTTGAATTATACATTACACTGATTATGCAAATATGCAGTCATGAAAAATAAAACAAAACATTTCTGATATGTCTTTATACTCACATCTGCTGCATTGGGAATCTTCAGGGCCTTGAGCGCTGGTTTCAGCAAGGCCTACAGGTGTCATTTGAGTAGCTACTGGAATAGTTTCACCTGGAGTAGACAAATTTTCTTGTGTTGGGTCATGAGTTGCAAATTCTACTTCTGGTTGCTCATGAGTAGCAGCAGTATGTGTTATATGTGTCCGTCTGTTCCTTGGAGAACCGGTGTTTGTATTTCTCACATAAGTCCTTGATTTATCTGGAATGGCAGTTGCGTAGCTCATACGTTGGTCCCCCTGTGGATAACTCACTTGAGGTAAAGTATATCCAGTTGTAAATGGATGTGGGTTAGGATTTGTGTTATATGTCTCGTCCCATGATTTAACAGGTGGGTCAGGCTTTGTTTGTGGCTTTAAAATAGTCCGATGCATTTTAACAACAATGTCAGGCTGTGCTTCACCCGGAGACACACATATTATTCCATCTATTTCCAACGATTTGGTGAATGTGATATTATGTGTACAAAGTTTCAAGATGGCATCTTGGATCATATTAGTGAGGGAGGTGTCTGTTGTCGAACCCATATTTGATGTTGAAACAGCTATAAGAGTATCTTTGAGTTTAAATCCTGAAAAAAATAAATGGAAAGGATTTATTTAATAAATAAATCTCACTTTATGAGTTTATGACCCTCGTACTGACCTTTATTTTTTCCATTTGTTAGACATTGATTGATCAATATTTACCCTGTAATCTCTTCTTTATGTATAAGTTTGAATTGTTGCATGATATCAATTATTGACGCTGTAAATCAAATTTTCCCGGGATATTCTTTCAAATTTTCAGAGCGTAAAGAAAATGGAGTGTTTCGGTAATTTCCAGCAATGTCCGATGTTGTTCGTCTCTCAAATTACGTCATATCGCAACAAACAGCCAATGAAAGTAAAGTTTGTGTAGCCTAACAAACCGTTGTTATTGTTTCTACAGGATTTTTAAGATACGTCATGGGGTTTCTCTGTAATGTCTGATGTGACGTAATCTGGAGTGGCATCATATTCTCAGAAGACATTTGACTTCGGGAATAAACATTTGAACAACGGAAATAGCCGAAGCACTCCATTAAATATATGCTCGATTATTTTATGCTTTTATCAACAGACGCTTTCTTTTATCGCATCCTACGACCCCTTTAGATTGTGGTCGTAGGCCCGATTCATTAGTAAGCCTGTGTTTCTACAATGTCGGAGAATGAACTATGCATTGCACACATAAATGACCTACCTCGTTACATTCCTGAGTATTTTAGAATTCTTTTCATATAGTTGAATCGCAAATTGTATGGGTTTATCGGCAGAACGAAGATATTTTCGTTTTTGATAGCAATATTTGCGTGTAGGTTCAACCGTCAAATTCCTCCATTCAGTTCCCGGCATGCACCAGTCATAAGGGAAATCCCTGGGGAATTCCCCTTCCGACATTCTCTTCGTTCTGACGATAAACCCATACAATTGGCGATCTAACAACATAAAAAGAATTTTAAAATACTCTGGAATGTATCGAGCTGGGTTTTTAACAACGCCGTCCTCCCATTATGAGGACGTAAATAAATAGCAGTGCGTGAAATAAGGATTTTTTTAACCTAGACATTTTGGCAGGCCAGCCAGATTTTAACCAGCCATATCATTTTTTCTCAGGCCAATTTTTTGCAGCCTATTTCTTACTTCTCTGGCCAAAAATTTCATTTTCCATATTTCTCCACAACCACTATAAAATGAGATTTAGTTTAGTACAACATTAACAAAGTAAAACTAATTCCATTGCATGTCATGTATCATTCACTACTTGATGACTTAACCAACAGCCTGGGTGTGTTGATTCCCCCCTAGATTCACCTTACAAAAACATGAGGAACATGTACATATTGATCAAACTAAATTGTACTGATTTTGGTCGGTTTAGAATTGCTCTCAGAAGCTTCAAGGTATTCAAAAACACATACTATGTACACAGACTCAACTAACAGACTAAAATTCAAGGTATATATTAGAGGTGTCACGGTCCAAATAAATTTCGGTACGGTACGGAACGGTACAAATGGTCTCGGGACACGATACTTTCGAGACAGGACGGGACAGAACATTAAAAATGATACAATGTCTGATGATGACAGTTTCACTTTCAGTTTCACTTTTCAAAATCATATTCAGAAATACGTCAATTAAAATCGAATATAAAGCATCTGCCGTGAATGTGATCGGCATTTCACATAGTCTGCATGGTGAACTATCACCAATTCGTTTACCTTGTGATATCGGAGTCCCAAAATACTTCCAAACTGCCGACTTTTTGGACTTAGATGCCGGCTCGATTTTTCAATTTCTTTTCTACATCCGGCATACTGATAATGCACTCGATTTGCGAACGACGATGAAGAAATGAGTCATCCATAGCCAATCAAAATCACCGTAATTTCAACAAACAACAACAGCCAATCAAAAGTCACGTTATATCTTGGGCTTCAGTATGAAAACAAAAATATTTGAATTTTTTTTAAATCTTCAACAAAAGTCATGGAATAAGCCGAAATCGCGGGGAATTCGGAGGATTTCCGGACTGAAATGTGGGTTCTATTCATGGGCAATCTAACGAATGCCACAAATGTCTGGCAGGCCAAAATGTCTGGGTGTTTTTATCAAAACAAGCCATCTATAATTTTGTCAGGCCAATGGCCGATGTCGGACGTCTATTTCGCGCACTGAATAGTCATGGACGCAGAAAAAAATTGTTGGTGCGTTCTTGGGACGCATTACTCACTATAGGTTGCAAACAAATGTTATTTTATATGAAAAACGTCCTTAATTGGAGACCCTATCTGTTGCAAGACTAACGCCTGGCGTAACCGTCACCATGTTATTTGGTGTTTTTTAAGTAGCGCAAGGATCCTGCCATGACCGTGGTAATGTTATCGTGAAAGCCTGGTATAACCGCGACAATGCTGTATTATATTAAAATGCCTGCCATGACCGTGGTAGTGTAATCGTGTAAGCCTGGCGCGACCGCAACCTTTATATGACATTAATGACCCGTTGCTGTTGGTATTTTTTATGAATAAATCTTATTAATTGATCATTATAGAAAGTATATGCTTTCGAATCGAAGCTCTTTTGAATGAGAGTAGAGATATAGTTTGTTCGCAAATCATTTATGAGTAAAAATTAGGTTTTCGTTGTGAAATTAATACACATTTTTAGTAGTCTTTATTTACATATTTAAGGTAGTTAAACACGAAGAAAAATTGTCATTACAGTGTTCTCATGCTCTTTAAATACAACCACGGTCATGAGAGGCCTTGCAACTATTGTCACGGTCATACGGGGCTTTAACATTACCACGGTCATGGCAGGCCTTATAAGCATTGTCACGGTCATATTAGGCTTTAACATTACCACGGTCATGACAGGCCTTGCAATAATTTATGATTAGGACTGCTATAACCGTGACAATGTTTATAGCAAAGCCGGGCATGACCGTGACAATGTCATATAGTACTGCAAGGCCTGCCATGACTGTGACAATGTAATATAGTATTACAAGGCTTGGTATGACCGCCGTGGCAGTGTAATGTAGTATTGCAAGTTCAGGTATGAAAGTGGTGATGTAGAAATTTATGATTAGGACTACTGCTATAACCGTGACACTGTGTATTGCAAAGCCTGGCATGACCGTGACAAGGTAATATAGTATTGCAAGGTCTGCCATGACTGTGACAATGTAATATAGTACTGCAAGGCCTGGCATGACCGTGACAAGGTAATATAGTATTGCAAGGTCTGCCATGACTGTGACAATGTAATATAGTACTGCAAGGCCTGGCATGACCGTGACAAGGTAATATAGTATTGCAAGGTCTGCCATGACCGTGACTATGTAATATAGTACTGCAAGGCCTGGCATGACAGTGACAATGTAATATAGTACTGCAAGGCCTGGCATGACCGTGACAATGTAATATAGTATTGCAAGGCTTGGTATGACCGCCGTGGCAGTGTAATGTAGTATTGCAAGTTCAGGTATGAAAGTGGTGATGTAGAAATTTATGATTAGGACTACTGCTATAACCGTGACACTGTGTATTGCAAAGCCTGGCATGACCGTGACAAGGTAATATAGTATTGCAAGGTCTGCCATGACTGTGACAATGTAATATAGTACTGCAAGGCCTGGCATGACCGTGACAAGGTAATATAGTATTGCAAGGTCTGCCATGACTGTGACAATGTAATATAGTACTGCAAGGCCTGGCATGACCGTGACAAGGTAATATAGTATTGCAAGGTCTGCCATGACCGTGACTATGTAATATAGTACTGCAAGGCCTGGCATGACAGTGACAATGTAATATAGTACTGCAAGGCCTGGCATGACCGTGACAATGTAATATAGTATTGCAAGGCTTGGTATGACCGCCGTGGCAGTGTAATGTAGTATTGCAAGTTCAGGTATGAGAGTGGTGATGTAGGTGTTTAACTACCTTAATTATGTTAATATCAAAATTACTACTAGACATTATATTCACATTATTTCCGCTTATTCTAAAATAATTAATCATTTACACAGAATAAGACAAGTTATTTGTGTCACGCTAATAAACAATTTATTTCAAAGTGGATAGTAAACAAATCACTTAACAAACAACAATAAAAAATTCTTAAATTAAACGTAAATGCTACGGCCGCGCCATGCTTCCACGATAACACTCACGGTCATGACAGGCCTTGCAATATAATACAGCATTGTCACGGTTATACCAGGCTTACAAAATAATACTGCCACGGTCATGGCAGGATCCTTGCGCTACTTAAAAAACACCGAATAACATGGTGACGGTTACACCAGGCGTTAGTCTTGCAATAGATAGCATGTGCTTAATTGGCGAAAACATATCAGAAATAAAATTGTCGAATGAAAAAAATAGAAAGTAAATTATTTTAGGTCAAACGGCATTTTCTCCAAGTTTAACCCAATAAATCAAGCTTATACAACTTAAACTTAAAAAATATAGTATAACTTACCTTAATAATACTTATTTTGCTGAAACAATATGATAAAACCGGTACATTTTGGTCAAAATGTGGCCGGCTTTGCAAAAAGATTTCAATGTGAGAAGTGATATAAACACTGCCATCTTTTGGATTTTATAGTTAGTTTTTTGCTTTTAGAAATCAGTCTACACACGTGCCATCTATATTCAGATATACAGCTGTGATTACATTGAATTGCATTGACTGGGGTTTAGAATTTGACATGGGATTAAATATGATGATTATTTAGGATATACAAAATGTGAGAATATTAAAATTGAAATTTAGAAATGCATCAAGGCAAGCTGTTGAAAGACTTCCTGGAAATGCTTAGATTGCTCAATTTTGAAGGTATAAATATAGAAAATTTCTGTGGGGAGGCTCAGGCCCCTCTTTCATGTCTTTAGAGTTCGCATCGCTTGCATGAATTGGGTCAATTGGGTCTATATAATTAATGTTTTTGCAAATAATTTTTAATTTTAGGATAGAATCTGAGTATTATTAATTGAATCATAAAGTCACGAGGTAAAGGGTATTATCATGCCACGCCCTCCTAAAGTTAAGAGGTACCTCCCAGAATGTGAAAACACATACCCCTGGCTGCAGTATGTTGCAGGCCAAGGAATGCAGTGCAGTTTATGCATCAGGGCTGGAAAGAGGAACATTTTCACCAGCCGAAATGGGTGCAAAGACTTTCAAATGGCCTTGGATGTGACATTCTGTAACGCCTTGTGTATAAACGTTACTTATTCATCATTTACACTTGTACAATCTGACCCCAGGGTCTAAATACATGCAATATAAACATGATAAAGCAACATAAAGAATACATGTTTAGTGTTTCTCATTTTTCAATTGGGACCCACTTTTTTTGGGAGGGACCCCAAATTTTTATAACACTGGGTCCCCGGGACTCACTTTTCATAGTCCCTATTGAAAACGCTGATCGAGGTAGGTTATTTTTATCGCATCCTACGACCCCTTTAGATTGTGGTCGTAGGCCCGTTTCATTCGTAAGCCTGTCTTTCTACAATGTCGGAGAATGAACTACGTATTGCGCTATTAAATGACCTACCTCGATACATTCCAGAGTATTTTAAAATTCTTTTTATGTTGTTAGATCGCCAATTGTATGGGTTTATCGTCAGAACGAAGAGATTTTAGTTTTTACATCGGAAATATCTCAGCAATTTTCAAAATGTCGGAAGGGGAATCCCCCAGGGATTTCCCTTATGACTGGTGCATGCCGGGAACTGAATGGAGGAATTTGACGGTTGAACCCACACGCAAATATTGCTATCAAAAACGAAAATATCTTCGTTCTGCCGATAAACCTATACAATTTGCGATTCAACTATATGAAAAGAATTCTAAAATACTCAGGAATGCATCGAGGTAGGTCATTTATGTGTGCAATGCATAGTTCATTCTCCGACATTGTAGAGACACAGGCTTACTAATGAATCGGGCCTACGACCACAATCTAAAGGGGTCGTAGGATGCGATAAGGTTATTTAATAGCGCAATGCGTAGTTCATTCTCCGACATTGTAGAAAGACAGGCTTACGAATGAAACAGGCCTACGACCACAATCTAAAGGGGTCGTAGGATGCGATAAGCTTTCTTGAATGTGTGGCTTTAGTGATTGGAGATGAAGCTAACAACAGTACGCATCGTTTGAGGTATGACACGTGATATTTATTGATAAACTGACTCCAAAATCAAGGAAATGTGAATTTTCCGAAGATTTTGTGTCTTGTCCTTGAGTATATTTATTGAGCCTAGACACCACTGAAGAAGAGGTAATCTGGCTGAGGTCCGAGCATTCAGACAGTCCTTTGACTTTGAGTCCTCTGTCTCCATGATAGACGGTGAACACCGCCTCTAATGCGTTGGATTGTCGTATGGACTTGCATTAGAGGCGGTGTTTATCCTTGTAAATTCATGCCAATCTAAGTTTTTCTTGATTATTTTTGACGGTTCACTTTAGTTTAATCTTCTGCTTAAATCTCTGCGTCATTTACAGAGAAATATAAACAAAATGGATACATTGATGATTTATACAAAAGATTACCATATATTTGTGGTTGTAGAAGGTTGAATTGTGCTAATTTTGTAGCAAAATCGCCGTTTATCGCTAATGTTCACAAAATCTTTATGGCGGCTTCAGTTCTCACGAGATTTGACGAGAGTAGCCATTGAATATTGCTGCCATCTATGTTACTATACAGAGTTTATATCATTCATTCGACCATCATGTATTCGATGGAAGAAATCAATGATCTCTATTCGCATAACATAAAAACCAAAGTTTGGATTTGATTTGAAGCCAGAACAGTTACAAGTGATAACAAACATATTGAATCAAGAATCCACTATAGCAGTTTTACCAACTGGTTATTGGAAAACATTACGTTACGTGATCATCAAATTACGTCACGTGATCATCTCACTGATTTATGCAACGCATGCGCACTTGAAATTAGGTCAGCGAAAATGTCAAGAAGACCGGTCGGAAATGTAATTTCGTCTTATCTGCAACGATTACACATAATTACTGTAATAAAGCGAAACATTTATGGGTTCATTTTGAAGATTTTTGGTCCCGCTATCCAGTGGTGAAAGAATTTTCAAGATCGAGGTAAGATCTTTGGAGAAAAGTCAAAAACATCAGATCCGGACTTTTCAGCATTTCTTAAATTTGATAAATTTACATTGCACGTTATGCACCCCTGGGTCCAACACGATCCTCAGAGACCCAGAGGGTGCATGAATGCACCTATCTCCATGATTGATAATCAACAGCAATTTGAATAACCAGCGAATAATGGAGAGTTCTCTCATGTAATCTGATATTTCCACCCGTAGTATAGGTACAGTAGTGCTTTTGTGGCTAGCCAAGATGTTCATCGTCTTCATGTTGACGACAAAGGAATAGTCAAGTGAACTCGACTTAATGTTGTTGTTTCACGTTTCTTTTTGACGATTTGGATATTTGTTTTTTATTTTTGTTTTCAACATTTGCGTCGAGGATATTAAGCCCTGTATATTGCGGTAAATGCTTTTCTGCCCTCTATGCTCAACAAAAGTTACACAGATAAGATAATGGATCCAATGCTTCAACTAGAATGTATTAACTCTTACCTTAAACACAGGAAATACTTGATAATTGAAGAAATGTAATCATTTTCGTATATGTTTGAACCAATTTCCAATATGGTTCTCAAGGTCACTCAAGGTCACTGAATACTGTCTAAATGTGAAACCATGCAACCAAAACGAAATCATAATTATTTATTACCAACATATCTGTTTTCGGTTTCTTCACCCTCCTTGGTGTCTGAGAAGGCGATTCAATTGTCATAAGACGATGATAAACTTTCGAGTTGAAATCTCGATCTCAATATGGCTGCTGTTGTTTATTGTAATTTCGTTTTTCGCTTCACCTAGAGTTTTACTTTTACACAATCATTACCCAAAATGCATCTACACATGGGGAAAAAAATTGTTTCCAGAAAAATTCTTATACTTCTTCAATTATCAAGCGTTTGACGTGTGTAAGGTAGGATTAAATACATTATCGATGAAGAGCATATTCTAATACATAATTTGTGTGATTTTGGTTGCCTAAACAGGCCAGGAAAGCATTTCCCTCAATTTACAACCGGGAAGTGTGTACGACCCTAGTATGCAAGAAAATAACAAAAAATAAATATCCAAATTATCAAAAAATAATGACAAATAAAGCATACGATGGTCGGATTTATATGACTAACAAAGGAATGGCCTATTTCACCGGAAGTATAAATTTCAATGTTGTACTTCAATTTCTAGTGACTTCTGTTGGTAATTTTAGAAAAGTACTACAAAATAATGTAATATAAAGTTTTGGCATGCTTCTGAAAATAATCAAATGAATATACTTACAATGATTACCATGCAAAAGGGCTTGGTCTGGGAAAATTATCTAAAAACAAGATGTCCGAAACCGCTTGATTGTTGGATATGCTGCAGCGTCAGACCTGGTATGACCGTGATGATAAAATCACGATTGCACTGCACGAAATGCTAGGCGATTGCGATAACCGTAGCCTATAATATTCCCCGGGTAATATTTAATAATAACATTGCCATGGTTATTTTGAACCCCTGCTTATTAGAATACAGTAATGGTATAACATTCGAATGGTATCATGAATAATCAATGTTTTATGCGCACACAGGGCAATATTTGAAACGATCATATTACATTACATCATCAAGATCGGTGCCGGTCCAGCAAAAACAGTTTTTGTGAAATGAGGAATCAAGACTAGACAGGGATCACTGCAGAGCCATCCATGATGTCAAATGCTGTGGAATCAACAGACAGTGACAGACAGTGATATGATAAAACAAATATTTCACCCCAGTACTTTCGTTGAATACCTGTCACACTTTCACAAGATTTTTTCGGGTTTGTGTAAAAAACCGGGTGACCGGGTAACCGGGTACACGGTCGACCGGGTACCTAACGTTCCTAGCAGGGTTACCAACTTTCAAAGTTCCACATTTCCCCCCGATATATAGTAGCGAATTGACCTGACCTATCGAGTGCACTGCTGTTCGATATTTTTACCCTATACGAGACACAGCACTTTTTAAAATAATCGATCCAGCAAACAGTGACGTCCATGTCACGTTGTTCATAAGTAGCATATAAGTTCCTAGAAGACGTTGCACATTTTCGTTCTTTACACATCGAGGTAACGTAAACATGAGACATCTATTGATGGTATAAAAAGAACGTTGTCGTAACGTGTCCGTAAAGTTCGTTAGTGTGGAAACATAACAAACAGGAACGTTTGATTTTTTACTTCATTGGTCCATATGTGACGTAACTCAAACGTTAAAATTCAACGTTGTCAAAACAGGCTTTTAATATCAAAATATTTGTTGGTGGAAAAAAACATGACAAAAACTTTGTGTTCTCACTAAGTCGGTTCATTTCCGACATATTGTTAATGTTAAAATTTAACTTTGTCGAAACGTTTTTTAACCTCAAAACGTGATGGCAATAATGACGTTCATGGACTGTATTGATCTGACGTTATTTAAATATTCAGCAAAACGTTGATGGATGGTTGAATTTCAACATTGTGGAAATGGCTTCAAAATATTTGTGAGTTAAGGAAACGTTACAAAGACGTCAATATGTTCTCACTAAATCGGTTCATTACCGACGTTATTTTAACGTTAAAAGTTAACGTTGTCAAAACGTTCTTACGATGTGAAATAACCTCAAAACGTGACGTCGAAAATAACGTACATGTATCGTTCAGATCCAACGTTATAAAAAAAATCCTAACCCTGCTAGGAACGTTAAGTACCCGGTCACCCGGTTACCCGGTTACCCAGTTTTTTACACAAACCCGATTTTTTGAATTCCTTCCTCTTCTTGAGGAATTTCCCATTGTAATCAAATGGTATATTTCCAAACAGATTCATAGAGATAGAAAAAAGTAATTAATACACAGCTTATTGGGTTGTGATATGAACCAAAAAGCTATTTTAAAACAGCATTTATATTATTCAAAAGCATTCGAAATCAATGATTCCCAGCCCTCTAAAGTTTTAAAAATAAAAATACCTGGATGTTAATCCATAGATAATGCTTGAAAATGAGAAATATTTTTTGGGATTATATGGCGCAATCTTATAGTCAATAAAATGTTTTTAAAGTGTATAGATGTTTTTTAGATGAAAAACACAATCGATTCATTTTACAAACAACTCACGGTCCTTTTAAGAATATATAGGCTATTTCATTATCACATTGAATAATTAATGTTCTCGTCGTGACTGATTTTCAATCATCGTGATGGGTTCAATTGAAGTAAGTGAAACTATTCAATTGTTATTACAAAGACTGCACGACTATGAACTTGAATTAATTGTGTTAATGTATTAATTTGTTTTGTGTTGTTCGTTGTTTTTCAATGGTTACAATGGCTATTTTAGTTAGTCACATTGTCAATTGTCTTACATTTGTATATAAATGTAAATATGGTTGAAGTGGTTCATGATTGAGATCGCAAAATACCTCAGATTGTTACTGCAGAACAGTACATTTAAGAGGTTATCAACACGGAACTTCATCATTGTGGATAAGTCTGAACATTGACGGCGGATTCACAGGTTGACGCTGATAATAAGGAAGGGCTTGATTTGGATTCTTGAGAGCAATACTTTCGCTCACAAAAGAAATGTATTTTGTGACATGGGTGTTAATCACTGCTGTTGTCATATGCAATGTCTTTCATACGTCATTTGGTAAGATCATCTCCGTTTATAAAGGAGCACGTAGGTTATCGCAAACAATTTCGGAAGGTTAAATCTTGGATTATGACTATTTTCTGACAATTAAGACAGGTTTGTCTTTTAGATCAATTCATTATCTCAAAGAAAACTATATACAGTAATAATAAAGTCAAACAAACTCGGAGATATTTAACTAGCAATCAACCCATCAACACACTTTTTCAAAGATGTTGACCCCATTGTCACCAAAAATGCAATCATTTTTTACAATGTTTAATGCATTACTATTCTTTATTTTGATGTATCAACTAGTTCTTGAAAGAAAAACTTAATTGCTTTAAGGTAAGTGTTCCCCATGTTATTTCTCCATTGAAAAATCTCATGCTATCCATTGGTTTCAGTTCATTTTGGTCATCCAAATTTAATATCTTTAAAGTCCCTGGAGCAATCTTTTAGGAAATCAAACATGTCTCAAAGCACAGTCTAATTATGCATTCAACAATATAATAAAAGGTTGCACTTTTGGTGAAAATTAGGTCAACATTTTTGAAAAAGTATGTTGCTTGGTGCATTGCCCCTTCAATGGTCTGATTAACTACATTATCATTATATTTACTTTTCTTGAAGATAACGAATGGATCTAAAAGATACACCCATGTTCATGATCAGAAAATATTCATAATTCAAGTTAGAATCGTTTGAAATTGTTTGCGATAACCTACGTGCTCCTTTTCGTCATATATTGCGCCATAAATCATAGAATCTCGGTCTTTATTCCTAATTATAGAGTATATTAAAGAGGGGCATCTTACTCCCCGTGCTTGTGTCATTATTAAGTAGTGTGATATTTCAGGAAAAGAAACGACGGTTTGTAAAGTGGACGGACGTGTACTAACCATTGGAATGAAATGGAAGTCAGCCGACGGGTGCCAGTCGTGCAAATGTAACTCGAAAGGAAAATGCAAAATTAAGACTTCGAGACGCTCAAAATGCAAACTGAAAATAAATTCACAGACGACTACTGAAGACCCAATGTTCGCCAACCCGTTTCCCGAGCACAATGGTGGGTGATGAATTATATATTCAATTACATCATACATCCATAAGGGGTACTTGGTTGTGTATACTATCCACCACCTGAATTTACTCGAGTCTCTAGCCAATACTTGGCTAGAGGGGATTTCATCATCACTGGTGGATTAGGGGGGGGGGGGGCCTGGGGGCCCGGGCCCCCCCCCCCCTTGGGTGGGCCCAGAAAAAAAATTGGGCCCAAAAAAGGCCTTAAGGCCCCAAAAAGTGGGCCTTTTTGGTCATAATTGGGCCTTTTCAGGCCTTATTTTTTAATTTCAGGCCAAATTTTGAAGAAAATGGGCCTCAAAATTTGGGCCCACTTTTGCGTTTTTTTCTCTGACCTGAAATTTGCCCCCCCCCCCCCCTTGTTGCTTCCCAGATCCACCCCTGCATCTGGAATACTGTGAACTCCATTTGAAAAAAGCTGGCCGCCGTGTCATAAATTTATTGAATATTTTAAAAATCGCCAGATAAATAAATCATTAATCAAAACCGACCCGACTCGGCTCCTTGATGAGATATGACATGATTTCATCAGGATTTCGTCTAAAATTAAAACAAAATGGCTCCAAGAAAAATGGCGATGTTCGAAAACTGGACGAAATGTCGTTAACGTCTGACATTAGTAACTGGCTTTAAAGTTAGCGATCCAGAAGATGTGAACTAATACACTGATCACTTTATGTGTGTTTTGGAATTTTTGGTGAGGTAATAAGACAAAAACTCGCAATTCAAATTGTGATGTGGAAAAATGGCGGACATATGATTTCAAATCTGGTAGTTTAGAGAATACAACACCAAGAAAATGCATGCTGGTGGCTCCCAGAGGGTATACACATTTTTCACCAAGTGCTTTTTTCATCTCCAATCAAATTGCAGGATTCGATCACGTGAACAATCATGGGCACATGCTCTCTCAGTGCTGCGCATGCGCAGAGTTAAATTTGAAATCGTGGGAATGGCGTTTACATCAGTTCAACATCGTCATTTCAAACCTACGGTAATACTATTGAAGTTACTCGATCCATACTTGTAAAGAATACTCATAAAACTACAGTGAAAATTTGGAGATCCATTTCAACGGCAAATTGAGGCCTGTTTATAAAATTTGTTTTCGAACGTGCTAATATGATAGGGCATCTTTGGGGAATCTCCCCCCCCCCCCGGGATCTCCCCCCTGGCCAACACGGTAAAATACCGAATGGCGAAAAAAGCGAACGCATTCCGTTCGGTCTTTGCACGCGATTGCCGTTTATGTCACGCATTTGGTACAAAATATGTGTATATATCACTCATTTGTTTCGAAAATATTCACATCTACTATATATATTTTGCAAGTGGATCCAAGAGACCAAGTGGGCAAGTCAATTATTTTGCAGGGGTGGCATGATACACAGATTTCAATTTTGTATATAGTGAATTCCCAGTGATTGATTTCAGTACAGTAAAACTGTCATAGTGAACACCTCTTTAGTGAAGATCTGTGCCCAGTGACATGCCTCTACTCTATTGAACACCTGTGTATATTATAGTGAACACCGATTCCGTCCCAGCCAGTGAGTTCAGTACAGTAAAAATATCCTAATGAACACCTCTTTAGTGAAGATCTGTGCCCAGTGAAAACATGCGTCAACTCTATTGAACACCTGTGTATAGTGAACACCAATTCCCAGTACAGTAAAACTGTCATAATGAACATCTCTTTAGTGAAATACTGTGCCCAGCGAACATATGAGTATACTCTATTGAACACCTGTGTGTAAGCGAACACCAATTCCCAGCCAGTGATTTCAGTAACTTTTAGAGGGGATTGTACCTACAGTAAAATCTGTCTAATCCAAGGGACCAGCTCAGAGCGTTCGGATTAGGAGGTGTTCACATTTTGAGGTTTTGCATTTGCAAGATTTGGGTTTTTGAAGAAATAGAAACAAATTCTCAATAAATATTATAGTTCTTTTGACTACTTAGCTTTGGCATTAGAGTGACATGAAAATCTGATTCAAATGAATTTAGTCATCCTAGAAAGCCCCACCATGAGTGAGATCGTTCAAGTTTTTTTCAAATATTTGATCAATTTATGGAACATGTGATATTTTATGTGTTCAAATTAGATAAGTTAATTTTCAAACATGACTGTTCACTGTCAAAATTGGGAGATGTTCATATTTCAAGTTTTTTAAACATTTGAGTCAATGGGAGAAAAAACGGGACCAAAAAATGTTCAAATTGGGAGGTGTTTGGATTAGTCAAGTGTTCAGATATACAGGTTTTACTCTACTACAATTGTTTTCAATCTTTTGGAGGAAAGTGTACATCATTCCAGAGAAATGACAGATGCACTGTATATACAGTGATCGCCTACTATTAAAAGTGCGTGATCAAAGACTCGACAAGATGCGCAAAATTCAAATATTTTGTAACGGTTACTTTTAAAAGATTTATTTGTGTTTATATTACAGGCTACTGGTGCTTCAATTAGGTTTTGTAGGCACAAGAACACCCATATGCTTTGAGAAATATATATTAGTTTGACCATTTTTCGTATATGTTATTGATTTTACAATTTAAAGATATAAATGCGATACAATATGTGTTATTTTATTTAAAAAGCTTGAAAATATCAAAAACAATAGAACATTTTTACTCTCTTTAATTTTTTATACTTAGGTAGGGGCTTGGACTTCCATTTGACCATGATGAAATTCACGTTTCCCCTTCTATAACATGGAATAAATATTTTAACACAGAAACGAATGGATCAGCCAATAGCGTGAGTTTCAGCAAACCATACACCCATATCTATATGCTTTTCAAGAGAAGAAAATGGGGATCTCGCAAAATGTATGTCCAAACTGATTCAGTCAATTAAATGTTCACTGTGTGTGTGTTCATTTTGTTTTTCTGCCTAGATTTGAATACATTACCATTAAATGATATATACACTGAACCTCTAGAACCTGCTAAGTGAAACACCTCTTGAAGCGTAACACCTTACAAGTGGAACCGTTTTTTAAGTTCCATTTTAGTCCATTTATTTTACGCCTCTGATCCCAAGGTATGAGAACTATACACCTTGGCATCCAAGATGATTGTCGAATTGTAATGTAATTGTAATTGTAATAAAATATAAAATCTGAATTGTACATTATCTATTTCATTGGGGAGTTAAATCATTCTTTTGCAGCAAGGTATCAATAAGTAATGTAATGACGTAATAACCTTCAGTAGATGCCAGTAGTCAGTTCCCAGTTTCACCACGAGGTGGCTAACTTGGGTCATATATAAATGACAGGTATAAGGGAAAACTCCTCTAAGGTATTCAATATTCAGAAGATTTATTGATCAATTTTCAACTAAGGTCTATAAGTGATTAGCTTGAGAATTTTAGAATTGTATGTAATCGAATGCAAAATAAACGACCAGTGAGCGTTTTTAGAGAAACTCTACAAAATGTGAAATAAATACCATGCTATTATCTCTAATGACAGAGTTATGTGGATCGATGGGACCGAGTAAAAGTTCCAGTTTAGGCTTTGCTCAGAGGGGTATCATCTCAGATTAACTGGTGGACACTATTGGAGAATGAGAGTCTATTGTAATTTCAGAATCATTTATTGTCATTTCATTACTAATTGATATTCTCGTTCTATTGCAATTTCATTGGTAATTTTATTTGATTTTGTAGCAGTTGTTGAATCAGAGATTCTGGATGATTTCATTCGATTATTGTCAATCACTGCAATTGTCATGAATTCATCACTTTCTACAAGTATGTGTTTATTTATTGATTTCACCTCATTTGGTATTATTCCAGAGAAATTTCTTGTTATCATTCTAGATTTGCCTCTATTTTCAGTAATCTTTCTCATCTTCATCTCTTCTTCTTCATGATGTTCTACAAGGTGGTTTATAATGCTTTGAAATTTAGGAGTTCGTAATGAAGGACAGTAAAATCATGTAACCCCAACCACTCTGAAATGCAAAGAACATATCATTAGAATCCACATGGTAAAATCACCCACTTGGCTGATCATAAATTGTTTTCATAACATCCTTCTTACTCGATACTGAAGGGGAGTTGGAACGTCTGATATGCATGTAATGTTAAGTATTATGTATATTAACCATAAGCATGTTGGTTTTGTGGTTTTGGTAATCTAAAAACAGAAAATTTGGTGAAATATACATTTTCATTCGGCGGGTTTTTTGATTTTGCTTCATTTATTAACTCAGTTCAGGTATTTCGGTTGAACCAATCACCGAATCCTGTTACCAAATGAATCTTGAGTCTCTTATACAGCATATGGAATACCATCTGTAGGTAAAATGTCATTAAGGTGGTAAAGAAAAGAGAAACAAACATACCTTTCCTCCGACATTTCGAATTTTGCGCATCTTGTCGAGTCTTTGATCACGCACTTTTAATAGTAGGCGATCACTGTACATACAGTGAGGTGACACACTGTTATGGGAACTGGTCATATCAGATGTTCCCACGCTTTTCGTCCAGAAGAGGTCATTTCCCAGGATTATAGATGAACCCTTGGCCAATCAATGATATAGTTTACATAAGAGAAGTATGACTGTATGAATTCTGGGATATTCCTGTTTTGTTGAGACAGGTGAGAATAAAATTAACCCTTTGCAAATTTGATCAATACTGCCTCCAATCATCCAATACTTGGCTCAGTTAAAATAGATGATTTATATTTGAATTCGATAATAACATTTAAAAATTAAATGTGTAGTAGTAATACTTTAGTACCTCTTATTAATTAATGTATAATATTACAACATACATAATGATGAAGGCAATTTGTTTCATAAAAATCTAAAAGTAAAATTCATAATTTAAATTTATCCTCTGGGAGCCCCAAAATTTTAGAAAATGCATTTTCTTGGTGATGTATTTTCTAAACTACCTTCAAATCTTACGATTACGATATGACCAGTTGTTCATGCAGGAATATATCTGGAAAGCCACGATATATCTGGAAAGCCACGATACAGTGGCCTTAGAAGAAGGTAAACCTGAATGATCTTATCATTTGGAACCATTTGTAATATTACATTTGCTTTTAGATTTCTTCATCCTAGGAAATAGTATTTACAATGTACTAACTTCGACCGTTAATTTGAATTTTTGACCTACCAGATGCTCGAAAATCAAGGATTGCGAGTCTCATACTGCACCGTTTTTCTTCACAAAATTGGTTTTCTGTCGGTGCATTACTTTATTGTAAAAGGTTCCTCGTTCTAGCAGCGTTTTGGTCCCCAGCTGTTAGAAGGCCTTCTTTCAGCTGGGGACCAAATGCCGCTGGAAGTAGGGACTCTGTTTACAAAAATAATGTACCAACAGAAAGGGATTTTTGTTATGCTTTGAATGGAACAAGTTTGAAGAAAAACGGTGCAGTATGAGACTCGTAATCCTTGATTTTCAAACATCCGGTAGGTCAAAAATTCAAATTAACGGTCGAAGTTAGTACCGCGTGATGTTGTCTCCTCGGTGATTTCAACTTCACTTTCAGAGGCGTTTGAGCAAAACACCGATGACGAAGGACCGGAACCCGAGACACCAATAGGAAGAGCTGGGAACGTGTACGTCCTCCCAGGAAGTGAACGCTTTCCAACAGGAGCAATCGAATGCGACGCGGAACACAGTGGCTACGAAGTCACGACACTTACTGCAGATGGACGTTATGCTGGTACCACTGACCAATTCAAGATCAAGATGTATGCTGGGTCTGAATGGACGGAATACAGCGTTTTAAATAATCCGGGAAAAAATCGGGGAAGAAAAGAGTAAGGATGTTTCTTCATTTGAGGACATCCTCGTTACCAGATTTACTTAAAAAGCCTTAGACAATACAAATACAAACCACACTATTTTAAAACACTAAATACTTATATATTTTATTCGTCATTTGTTCCACGAATTTGTGTTGTAAAATCGCTTACATATGTTTTATATTTTCTCGAAGCCCACTTCAGTTACTTCATGCGCCTTTTGTTCTTTTACTCTAGATGGGATAGGTACTTATCTGTTGAGGCTCTGAATGACGAACCTGTTTCATATATAAGAATTGAACACGTCTCTGGGACAAATGGCTGGCAAATAGCAACCGTGAGTAATACGACTTCCTTTCTACCTTTCTAAACATACTACATTATGCGACAATTATCCGCGAAATATATTGTATAAGTATACGTTGTATGTATTTCGCACGGCCCCAAGGGCGACAGTAGGTGTTCGACATATACCATGGCAGACACAGGAATGAAAGTTTTATTTCCGTCTCCGGGTTATAATTCCCACGGCGACACTTCGAGACTACCGTAGATTTTCTTCAACGGTAGTAGATATTTCTCGATTTCGGGGAAATATGGTCGCCAGACGCATAATTATGTCTCATAAAAGTATCTTTCACCTTCAAAGTTTTTTTCAATTAAGTTCTATAACGTCAGATGGGTCTTCCAGATAGGATGTGAGCTTCAATCTCATTATATGACCTCTTTTTTGTGCACGTGGTGATGTCATTTTGTACTCCTCCCCAAAATATTGGCGGCCGAAAGCTCCATTTGGAACGCATTTGTGTCAAAGCCAGTTTATAGTTTAACAAACGTATTAAAGACATACATTTCCGAGCTATTATTGTAATTGAGGAACAAAATTCAGGTTGAAACAATGCAATCAAAGTTTTTTATGATGTCCGATGAGGACTTTCGGTCGGCAAAATTATGGACAGGGTTTGACTATGGGGAATATCCCCAGATGATATCAAAATTTCCCGAGGGAACACAGTGATAGTGATATCATCCGAGGGATATTCCCCATGTCATCCCGACAGGTGAGTAATGACCTTATAGCACAATCAAAAGCAATATCTACCTAAAATCCTCTGTTGACTGTGAGAAACGTTTTGTTTGAAAAATGAAAATTTTTGAAAAAAATAAATTTTGGGAAAAAATGAAAATCTGTTTTGAAAAAGGTAAAATATTTGAATTTTTTTAAAAACATAATACCCGGGTTGATATCCATATCATCCCTGATATCATCCCTCTAATCCCAATATCATCCCCGATATCATCCCTATCCCAAATATGTGATTTATCCCTTCCTATTATATACCTGATATTGCTCTAACCCATAGTATAAAACTCAAAAGATCGTTGGCTTGCAGTCTTACTTGCTCATACTTTATTTTCCTCAGGTTTTCGTGAGGCACATGTGTACCAACAAGATCTACGAGTTCAACTGTGGAGGGTGCTGGATCGACAGGCCTCATATTCCATACAGGAACATCAAGCGCACAAGCATATACTAGACAATACTCGGTCATATAACATATCTTGATTTCTATTATGAAATTCAAGATCAGATTAGTAAAAAAATACCGACTTGGGCAAGGCTATCGGTCATAGTATAAGGTCAATGTCTCAGATAAAAAAATTAATATTGTCTTCAATATATTTACTGAAAATAAAATGCATGAAATACATTTAATGTCTTTATGAGTAAAATACCTGAAGCCAATAAATAAAAAAAAGTGTTTAAATTGTCACCTAGTACACATAGCTGTTTATAATGTCGAGTGTCATTTTGACAGACATTTGGACATACTCATACAAACAAGAAAAACATGAAAATAATGGATAGAACACAAGAAATGTAATTTTTAAATCTTTTATTACAGTTCTCCTGGGCCTCAAGTGTTTCTAACGTGTAACAGAAGCCATCTTTGAACATGTTTCATGTCTGCAATCGTGCACGTAGAACACAGGGTTAGCGTTAACGCGTTCATTGTTTCGGACTTATTATATTTTTTAATATCAGATATGCTTTGTTTTTTTAATAGAGATCAGATATTTTTTGATGTCATTGTTTTAATATAATAGACTTCACATAAAGGAACAATACACTGATAATGATGTTCGTCTGGTTGACATTTTTCCTAATCATGTAGGCAGTTGCAATGCAGGTTTTATTAACTTAACTTTTCAGCCACACCATGCACACACCACCAGCGTATACTAGTCCCTGATCTGGACCCTCTGAAAAAAAGTTTTGTTGTCCGGTACTTTCCCACATAAAATGATTGTACCATTTGAAAGAACAGACTTCCCTCTTAAAGAAAACACCTCTTCTATTGATGTAAACAGGGGCGAAAGGCACCAAAACGGGGTTAGACAAGGTGGCATTCTGAAGTCTCACTTTCATGTCATCACGATTCCAGGTAAACCATCCGACGGATTTACCTCAAATTTTCACACATGTTACATGGTAAGAAGTTCTAGAGCTGATTAACTTTGCGGCGGCCATCTTGCATTCTGGCGGCCATCTTGGAATTTTTTTCAGATAAATATTGTCATCGCGATTCCACAAAAACCACATAACAGATGTAATTCAAATGATCACACATGTTACATGGTAAAAAGTCCTAGACTCATTATTTTTTCGGTGGCCATCTTGCATTCTGGCAGCCATCTTGGAAGTTTTAAGATAAATCTTGTCATCACGATTTCAGGAAATCCAAACGGATTTACTTCAAATTTCCATACATGTTACATGGTAAGAAAATATAGAGGTGAATAACTTTTCGGCAGCCATCTTGCATTCTGGCGGCCATCTTGGATATTTTGGGATAAATCTTGTCATCGTGATTCCAGGAAAACAACCTAACAGATTAACTTCAAATTTTCACACATGTTACATGGTATGAAGTTCTAGAGCTGATTAACTTTTCAGTGGCCATCTTGCATTCTGGCAGCCATTTTGGAAGGTTTATAGACAAATCTTGTAATCACGATTCCAGAAAAACCACTTCACAGTTGTACTTCGAATTTTCACATATGTTACATGGTATGAAGTTCTAGAGCTGACTAACTTTTCGATGGCCATGTTGCATTCCGTCGGCCATCTTGGAAGTTTTTAGATAAATCTTGTCATCACAATTCCATGAAAACCACGTAACAGTTTTACTTCAAATTTTCACACATGTTACATGGTAAGAAGATATAGAGCTGATTAACTTTCCGATAGCCATCTTGCATTCTGGCGGCCATCTTGGAAGTTTGTAGATAAATCTTGTCATCATGATTCCAGAAAAACCACTTTACAGATTTGCTTCAAATTTTCACACTTTATACATTTACATTCACAATGGTCCCTTCCTGGTATATTTTTTTAGGTTTTATGACTGTTAAATTCTATAGTCTTGTTAAGACCACTTTATAAACAGGTTTATTATTACTTTTATGACTGTTAAATTATATAGTATAGTTAACACCACTTTATAAACAGGTTTATTATTACTGGTGTAACTAACACAACGAAAAAAATATAATTAATTTATTTGATTTTATATAACATGAAATTATTTTTGCTTTTCGATAAAATAGAGTAAACAATCAGTTCTTCTATCACAAAGTTTATTTTGGTTCAGTAGATTTTTCTATACATTATTTTTATGTCACCACCACTAGTGATTGGGTGACATATTGTAATAGCTTCGAACGTTTATCTTGACACTGTTCAGTAGTTAATGTGTACTGTATACTTAACAAGGTGTGGTGACATTTTGCATGTTCTGCATCGTCACTACTATTGAAAGCTTATGTTGATATTGTAGCAGTGTTTTTTAAGTTCTTTTTGTTGGTACAATTAGTTTCCAAACCCTATACTTCTATCGATCTGACACACTGTTTTAGTGCAGGTTTAAGTGATTTTTGTTGATTATTAAACGCAAAGAGCACATGTGTCTCGAACTCGCAACATCTCTCCTTCTGTGTGATCACCTGTCCAGAAGATAATTCAACTGCATGAAGAACATTTCGTTGACATGATGCACAGTGAAAGGTTTTCCACACATTTACATTTCCGTTTAAATGAGCTTTAATTCCGTTATATACTCAGATCAAGGCCAATTTAGCATACATTTCGCTCTCAAAAATCGCTGTGCAATAATGGATTTCAAAGAAATGTTTGACATTTTCAATAATCTTTTTTCTTTTTGATGAAATGTACACTGTTGCTCATAAATATGGAATATTTTATAGATACGAACTGTTTGATGGAATTTCTACAAAATGATAACATTTTGATGAAAATTTGTAATGTGTTCTCATTCCCTCATCAGTTTTGCATATAAAACTGATTGGTATGAAAAGTTAAAATATTTATGGTCGATTAAACTTGTATTCACTCAGGTGACCCCATGACCTCGTGATATTGGTAACTTGAAAGAGGTGTCCAAATCTTAGTTGTAACCATTGTGCACATTTTATAAAACTTTAATTTAGAGTTGGAAGAGTTTTTAGAAGGCATGCATGGGGCATAATAAGCGAAAAAGAGCATGGCAGGTCATAGGTATGACGCTCCCTGGCATGAAACAAACTGCCATTGCCAGGACCCTAGGAGTGTGTCAGGAACAGTCTCTAAAATTCTGCAGTGGTACCAAAGGCATTGGAATATGACTCCAGGTCACAGCAATAGTAACCCTAGGGAGAATAATGTAGGAAAAGACCACCACCTGCTGCATTAATGTCATCAAAATCGCTTTAAGTCAACCAGTAGTCTACGAGATGAATGGCTGTCTCACCTCAAAACCTGTGTTCCAGAGCTATAGACAACCAGTGATTTCTTTAGAACGGTTGCAAGGCCATGAGACCTTTAAAGAAACCACAGCTGACTGATCATAACAAAGAAATGTGCCTTCAATGGGCAGGAAAGCACGAAAACGTTGCACCTAATCTTTTGTGTCATATGACAGCATGTGAAGAAATAAGATGTGTCCTCCACAAAGTTGATAAGTGTTATCGTTTCTGTCGTAGACCAGAGGAAAGAGACAATAAGGACACTTACTGATGTGGCAGTCCACGAAGGTGACCCTATTTATGTTTGGAGCAGTATTACAGAGGTTATTTGGAGCAGTACTACAGAAGTTGCACCCCCTTGGTGATTCCCAAGCATAATTTCAGAGTAAATTGACCTTTTGGACGTCCATCAAGTACCATATGTGAACAGAGTGTTTTGGGGCAACATTCAACTGCAGAATGATCATGCTGTTGCATATGCTAGTTGCATATAGTGTTGGATTACATCAGGGCAGGCAATATGGACCAGCTACCATAGGCACAAAAGTCAGCCAATCAGGCTAATGCATCTAGCAAATGTGGGACGACCTTGGTAATGAGATGCGTGACTTGGACCTCAACCTCAAAATTTAGACACGTTACGTACTGCTCAAATTGAGGAATGGGGCCTTATTTCACTTAGAAAGGTCAGATGTTTCATTCACTGCTGGACCCGTAGGGTTGATGCTCTGATTGCAGCACAAAGAGGACATACCGCATATAAGTGCTATAATTGGATAGAGGACACTTCAATCTTCATGACCAGATGTTTATTTTGTTTGATCTGTTTTACATGACGATTTGGATCGGGGTGTTTTGAAAATGCAAAAATTCTCAGCTTACCCCTGTTTAAATAAAAGCAATTTTCTAAATTTAAATGTGAATATTTTTTCTCTAAAAAATGTTGATTTGTAGATGAAATATGTGGTTATAATTTGCCTAGAAAATAAATGTCTGAACCGACTCCAAATAAATATTCTCTTACTCCAAAATTTGAATTCTGAGCTGCCAAATCTAATATTCCATATTTATGAGCAACAGTGTAGTTATTTATTCTAAAAATCAATCGATGTCATACACAAAATGCATTTAAGTGGTATAAAGTACAGAAACAGAGTAAAAATATGTATTTTAGAATATCACCATGTGTTACCCCATTGCAGCGCCTCTTGCCCATGTTTCTATCAATATAAAACATGATATCATGCACCAAATATGCATTTATGTCAAATTATGTGGTTTAAAATACAGAAAAATAGATAACATTCTCCTTAGAATACCACCTTGTGTAACCCCACTTTACTGCCTTTTGCCCCTGTTTATATCAATATAAAAGGTAGCATGTAACCTTCCTTGTAACATGTGTAAAAGTTTCAAGAAAATCAGTAAAGTAGTTTTCCTGGAATCACAATGACAAGATTTATCCAAAAAACTTCCAAGATGGCCGCCAGAATGCAAGATGGCAACCGAAAGGTTAATTAGCTCTAGAACTTCTTACCATGTAATATGTGTGAAAATTTGAAGTAAATCTGTTTGGTTTTCCTGAAATCGTGATGACAAGATTTATCTTTAAACTTCCAAGATGGCTGCCAAAATGCAAGATGGCCACCGAAAAAATAATGAGGTCTAGAATTTTTTACCATGTTACATGTACGTGTGAACATTTGAAGTACATCTGTTATGTGGTTTTTGTGGAATCGCGATGACAATATTTATCTGAAAAAAATTCCAAGATGGCCGCCAGAATGCAAGATGGCCGCCGCAAAGTTAATCAGCTCTAGAACTTCTTACCATGTAACATGTGTGAAAATTTGAAGTAAATCCGTCTTATGGTTTACCTGGAATCGTGATGACACGAAAGTGAGACTTCAGAATGCCACCTTGTCCAACCCCGTTTTGGTGCCTTTTGCCCCTGTTTACATCAATAGAAGAGGTGTTTTCTTTAAGAGGGAAGTCTGTTCTTTCAAACGGTACAATCATTTTATGTGGGAAAGTACCGGACAACAAAACCCCTTTTCTAGAGCCCTTTTGGAAATCAGATCGGGGACTATACCATTCATCGAGGGATTCATCAGTTAAACGGTGTCATGAAAGAATAAATCTTGCAGATTTGTTGAATTTTCTATCAGAAATCGTACCCTCTCCAATCAACGTTTCCTGACCTCCATACTCTCTCTCTTCCTGTTGGCTAGCTGCCATCTTTAAGATTTCACACAGGAAGTGATGAAGAAAGTTCTATATACCGCCCTGTTGTTTTCAGGTTCATCCTTGTTGTACCTAGTTTGAGGCAAAATAGACAGTAACTTAGAGACTGTTCGGGTGTCGATCTTTCTTTTATTTTCCAATTTCGGCAATATCATTACAAAACCCATCACCACTAGAGCACGTTGCAGGGGCGGATCTGGGAACCAACAAGGGGGGGGGCCCAAATTTCAGGTCAGATAAAAAACGTCCGCGCTTGCGCGGAAAAAAATTTTGGGCCCCTAAAACGCAAAAGTGGGCCCAAATTTTGAAATTTTGAGGCCCATTTTCTTCAAAATTTGGCCTGAATTTAAAAAATAAGGCCTTAATAGGCCCAGTAATGACCAAAAAGGCCGACTTTTTGGGGGCCATAAGGCCTTTTTTGGCCCAAAATTTTTTTTGGGCCCAATTTTTTTTTCTGGGCCCACCCAAGGGGGGGGGGCCCGGGCCCCCAGGCCCCCCCCCCTAATCCGCCAGTGCGTTATTCAATGTAATTCAGATTCAGATATACAAAGATAATCTTACACAAATACAACATTTCCCTTTTTTATTTTTTACCAAAATTCAAAATGTCTCGTATTTGAACAATTTCGCCATTGTCAGTTCAGTTCAGATCCTGTATAAACTTTCATTGATTGAACTTTTGCATCTTCAGGCATCTTGCAAGAAATTAAGGATTGGGATGACCATAGGCTACGCATCACTCACAACCAGGTATAGTGCAATCTTCTTTAATGGAAAATATGAGGAAAGTCCAATGGCTCTGAAGCATGTCCAAACTAAAAAGGAACTATTATTCTGAAATGTCATCCAGGAGTAGGCCTATATGTTAACTGCGTGCCAAATCATACGTTGTTGGAAGTTGTGAGACGTTTTAGTCACGTCATTGACATTATGCAAGTATAACCAGACCCCGGGAACCAGACATCTCTATTGTGTTTCTAGCAAGGCTATTATCAGATACAATGAAAATCATACATGAGGTTTCGAATGTAGCCACTATGACATAGGTATAAAACCCAGGAATTATTGGAGGTCATCATTCATCATTCGACGTGGCTACTTTCACCAGTAAGAGTCATTTGTCAGAAGGAAGGATGCATCTATTGACGTGGTTTGTTATCTTAGCGGTATCTATTTGCTACATCAGTCAGGCACAAGGTAGACATTTTTTAATTTTAGACTTCTTTTTATCAAGCTTTGATAAGTATAAAACCCCGGAATTAATTGGAGGTCATCATTCATCATTCCACGTTGCGACTTTCACTGTCGACAAAGAGCCATTTGTCAGATGGAAGGATGCATCTATCGAGGTGGTTGTTATCTTAACGATAACTATGCTATACATATTTTACTCTTATGTTTCAGGTTTACAGAAAAATTACAATTTCTCCAGAATCACGCGAAATACAAACTTGAATTTATGAAAAGGCTGTTAGGCCATGCACCAGCCTAATATTAATATTGAAAACGTGCATTTTGTGTCATCTTAAGTTAGAATAGGCTAAGTATGTTCAAAAACTGTGTGGATACGGGAAATGAAACAAACACAAAGATAAAATGTAAATTATTGGCCATTTTTTCAGAATATCCAGTATTTTTAAACAGTTAAACTGTGGGGCATTTCAATATAAAAAGATTTGATTTTCTCTAAACTTTGAGAGTACGCCATGGCATTTTATGCGTATATGACGCTACGCCATTGATCAAGCTTCGGACCTATCCCAAAACGTAGTGATTGAGCTTGGGAACCGACGATGTTCTCGCATAGTAATATCCTAAGCGACTGTATATATTTTTATTACTTATAGCAGGCGACTGTACGTACAAGAAGATCTACAAGGAAGATGATGATGTTGAATTTAAAGGCAAATGCGGGACTTGTAAGTGCAGTAAGAAAGGGAAATGCAAAGTCAGCAAGTTATCGGAAAAGAACTGCAACGTCGTGCCAGATTATGAAAACCCCGTTTTAGATGAAACAAGTAAGAAAAAAAGTTTTTTTTCGAAGTTGGTCCAGACCTAAAGAAAATGATTGTATTAATAACGTTATTCTTATATTATTATTAGATCATAGTATATCTAATAATAAGTGTAGTCTATTCAAAAAAAATTGTAGTTTTCTGAAATTGGCAATTTTATCAAGGATTAAATTTAAATCACAATATATGCAATGTGTTGTCACAATTAAATCGTGACCGTCATTTTTAGGTTTCAGTTTTGATGGAACATTATTTTGAATAAGTTTAGGCCATTTTGATATTTCTACAGTTTCACATTTGATTTTTGTTTGATTTATAGAGTTGAATGAAACTGAAAGTCCTGGTAACGAAACGTCAGCGGTTGGTAGATTAGGGTATATCATAGGTTGTGGGTATGAAGTTTGGACGTTAACAGACACCGCACCATGGGCCGATACCAACGACATATTTAGGATTAGATTCTTTACTCGTTATTGGTCGGTTCCTTACACCTTGAATAACCCCGGAAATGACAGGGAACGTGGCAGGTATGTCAACTCATCCGTATTATCACGGGCTGAACTTCTTCAAAGACAACCACTTTATTTAAGCGGAAATGAAATACATTGTTTTAAATGTTAGATTATTAAAAAAATATGATACAATATATAGTATAAGTACTAGTAAAATTGTTTTGATGCGAATTACGAAAAAAATACTTTGGCTATAACCTAAATATTAAAGTTATCGTTACTACTGCATGTTTGGTATGATTTGCTGTTTAATCATGTTATCAATCTGAATTGATTTAGATGGGATTACTATGGTCTTTTCCCCCCGAATGATCATCATGTTATAAATTACATAAAGATCGAACATGCATGGGGGACAAATGGCTGGAAAATCAAAATCGTACGTTTTCTTAAATAATACGCAAATTAATTGCATGTACTGAAATTATTCAATTTTGTGTAATTTGTGTATTTCCTTAATCTCACAAGCACTGTTGTACTGAACGAAATGCTCAGAGCTTGGTGTTCTGTTTCAGATATTTGTCAAGCATACTTGTACGAATAGGATTTACGAGTTTTGCTGTCGTGTGGATTGTTGGGTAGATCGTCCCTCGATTCCATATATCTACATCAAGCGTTCAAATGGTAATATCTCACCTTAAGGTCAAGACGACACTTTATCATTCAATTCGGCACCAAAGCATTTGATTTGTTGAAATATGGTGCATGATCGACAATAAAAAACAATACTAAGCTGCATTTGATATTTGTTTTCATTTTATATATTATATTGGATGATACTTCTGACGTGACAAATGAGTGTTTAATGATATTTCTAAGCTTAGTTAAAGGCACTCATATATGATACAAATGATATTTTTCAAAACCATAGAATATTTTTTATTCTATATGAGTGATCCGTATTTCCCATGTGACTAATACATCATGTGAATTTTTACCCTATTTAAAACGCATGAGTGACCACCGTCCAAAAGACAATTTTTCTATTGACGGGTGAGGGGATCATATCAAACTGAGGGGATCATATCAGACGGAAGGGCTGATCTGATACATTATGATGATTAGTATATATCAAAGAAATCTTTTTATCATGTATCTGTAATTTGAAGAATGTAGTTTTATTCTTTTACTTTGTTTTATTACTTTTATCATGTTTATTACCACAGTGATTACTGTAGTTGTAAAATTGTAATCGTTTATTGTTGGAAGTTCGTTTGGCCCATAGGCCCGGGAACATGTATAAAAAAAAGATTGAGTCGAATACACCAAGTAAATTCCCGGGCCTATGGTTTGGCCTGAGGGCATCAGTACAAATAAATCCAAGTAAACATCTGATCAAATATGAAAGTTATTGAAATTCATAAACGTGAAATGTAGTCCAACGATTTCAAGATTATAGAAAAATAACCACACGGCATTAAGAACATGCAAAATGTCACCACCTGCTATTTGTACGCAATTTTTTTAGACGGCGAACACCATTTGTTACAGACGCCGGTCGCCATTTGTTACAGGGGCTGACTGCCGAATGCCTGTTAGTTTCAGCAAATGCCAAACACCGTCCACGGAAAAGTTGGAGACTACAGTATACATATTTTGGCTATCTAGCAATGACATGACATTTACTGATTTCAGCTGAAAAAAAGGGAAAACAAAATTCCATGACTTGTCCATGTAGTTTTTTGCCACAACAATAAACCATTATACAGTATTTCATTTCTGGAAGAGATTATTTTCCTAGATAGGCTACATGAGGAAGAAAAAAATCAGGCTTTAAAAATAAAATCATTGGTTTGAACAGAGACATATAATAACATTATGTCTCTGGTTTGAATGTTATCATTTCTTTCTTGTGCTTGACTTCTTAAGAGTGTTTCTTCATCTTGCTCTGCTTGGACAGCTTTTCAACCTGTATGTCTTTAACTGATCCAGATTTGATTTTACGATCCTCGTTTCCATAATAATCATCAATTTCATTTTCAGAGTTGTCAAATTCATCATCAATAAATTTAGGGACTTTTTTACGAGATTTGCTTTGCTTATCACGGTCATGTGCACCAAAAGCATTCGTTTCAGAGTTTATTGATGTATGTATTTGTTGAGGTTGTCTTGGTGACATAGAGACAGATCTAGACATAGGAGATGTGTCCCTATATGCAGGTGATGTAGGCCCCCATGGACTGTTTGTCCTTTGGGATATCGGAGGCGTTGATAACCTAGACGAAAGAGCACCAGGGGTGATACTTTGAGCCCCCTGTTGGTCATCTATTGTCAGTCGACCCCTAGGTGTGGTTATTCTAGGACTGGAGGGGGTTTTGTGTCCGTAGTTCTGTATATGCTCTGGGATGGGAAGATGGTGTCTTTGCATGTAATCTCTCTGTTCTTGTATCCATACATGGTACACATTCTTAACCATGGCCCAGTAATTATTCTAAAATGAAGATAAAAATGATTTAGAAACCTGGAGATGCATGCCTTTTCAGAAACAATCCCCTGGATAAACATACTGAATTCTTCCAATTCAAATTCTTCATATTTGCTCAGATCACTAATATTATTAAGTTATTATATAGCCTACTAAACACCCCGTCCAAAAGCATCACATTTTGCATTATGCTGGAATGCAAGAACAAGTAGAAAATCTAAATCGTTACCTAACAGCTATGATTGAAAAAGGGTATAATAATCTTGAAAACATGTGAGTGTGTCGTCATTAGGCAATATTATGACTTTTTCTTTATCATTTACATTGATATAAGAAAGACGTAAGGAATATATGTTAATGTTAATTAAAACATCAAATTCAAGTTCAATACTGATATGCTCAATGGTGGACATACTGTACATAAAAGATTGAGCTCTCAAATCAAACCTGTTATTTTTGATTTGGTTATTCTCAATGGCCAATCAAAATAAGTCCTTTTTGCGGTGCAACCTGGAAGAACTTTCAATTCAAAGAGCTCAACTGCAGAAAGGAGAATCAGTTAAAAAAAATTCCTTTATATTTGTAGTTTTATGTACCTTTAATCGAGTAAACCTTTGGTCTTCTCCGCAATTCAATCCCTGCAAATTGTGTCTGACTTTCTTGAAGTCCTAAATTAAAGTAGGAATTAAAATTTTGAAGTACATGTATAAATTATTCAATGATTCAAAAGATGTGTAGTAAATATTGTGCTTGTTTGTGTATTTCATGAGACTGAGTAAAACATTCATGAGAAAATGATTAATATTTTAATATTTTCTGTTTCATAAGAAAACAGAAAACAAGCAATGGTTCTATCTTATCATTTAAAGGCAGAATCAGATCTATGGGGGTGACAAAATTACAAGCAATATGTAAAATTGATCTACCAATCTATTCCTTACAATCTCAAATACAATATCTCCCAAAAGATTCACGATATGTTATAAACTGGTAAAGTTATTGAGGATTTAAAGTGCAAAAATGGGTGAAAAATGTTTAAATTTTCCCAAATAATAAGAATGGTAACCATTCTTATAGAAAAATGGTACATTATTATAAAAATCTTTAGTTTTCCTGAAATAAAGTGTGCACTTTGGGGATTTTTAGAAAATAGACATGAAAAGGAATGACATAAGCCAGGAAGATTCTAAAATTGAAACAATTTTTTGTTTGGCTGCTCGCTAGATCTGATTCTCTCTTTAAGTCTAATTCACCATAATAAAACACTGTTGCTTGAATATTTGAATGTGTTTTATGGGGCCTGGTACATTATGTCTTCAAACTAAATTTTAACAAAAGTAAGGGAACATTCTTGACAAACTGAAAAAAGAAAACATTTTACAGCTTTTTAAAATAATATCTAAAACTTAATTTCACATCTCAAAGGTACAGCTTATCATATACATCTGTACATGTAGTACATTTTTTGCAATAAAAATGAAGAAGAAACGGTATTGTACCTCAATCAGTTGTTCATTTCGATCATCAGACTTTTTGTAGTTGGTTATAAAACTGGAGGCTTGTTTTGCCTGTTTATCATAGTAAGCCTCAGTTCCTCTCAGCAGGGCCTCACGTTTCAATACTCTACAAATAAAATATATACAGTGAAACCTGTATATTCAAACACCTTTATCCAAACACCTCTCTAGTCTGAACAAATCTCAATATGAACACTTTTTCGATCCCAAATTTGTTTTTTCTCAAAGACTCGCATATTAAGAAAACCCTGAAGTTTGAACACCTGCTAATCCAAACACCTTTGGATTGTTGGAATGGCATTCAGATAATCTAGGTTTTACAATAAAATAAAGTATAAAAGGTAACAGTGTCAAAATCACCCATTTCTATGAGTCCAGTCAAACTGGGACCCCAGGGGGTTCACTCTCAATAATTTGAGTAGGTATGTGCAGCATGGCCAATTTTAGCTTTGGGCATCAACCATGGATACATACATGTTTGCAAGTGACATTACTATCATACAAAACATATTACATAACATGAAAATGACTGACATACAAATCTAGTGTTTCACCTTTACTTACAATTCTTCATGTTTTTGTTCCAGTTCAATCTCCTTTTGAAACCAGTATGCCTCCATTATTAATAAAGACTCAACTTATGCAGTGCAGGAACTTGTATCAGCAGCTGACATCAGAGTGACCCACCACCTGGAAAAACAATGACAACCTGTAACCTGACCATTTTCTCTCTACAAAGAGCACAAACCAAAAAACATCACTAAATAAAATAATCGATTTAAATAAGTCTTATTTAGTCCTAACTACTTTTTAATTTTTCTGTGATCAATCAAACCTAAGATACATGTACATGTTAACATGTTAGTGACATTACAAATTAATTTATCAATGTTCAGTGATATGTGACATACTGTAGATTGGGTTAATTTGGTGCTACTTAATTTGGCGATTTTGCCATTTTTGGCATATTGGCGGCTATTTAATTTGGTGGATATGCAAAAAAAATCTTAATTAAAAAAAGAATTAACTTAGGCGCTGTTTGCAAATTACCATGTAAATGGGCATGTTTGGCTAAGTTCATTTTTTCTTTTGAGGACCACTGGCGATATTCACCATGTTTGTACATTTTTGTCAGATCATCCTTTACATTTTGCATCTCGATCGCTGCTGCTACTATACCGCGCTTTTCCTTTCTAGTTTTTCCCTGAGTATCAATGAGTGACTGACCAGTTCTGAGCCAATTTATGAGAGACATTTTTTCATATTTTTGGAAAAAACTAAACCTGAAGTGACCTAAATACACTGGACAAAATATCCAAGATAATTCCCAGGGATTCATTCTAAATTTAGGCGAAGATCTATATCACAGGCTGGTATCGAAATATTTGTCCGCTGTGACGGAGCATGCTATTTTTCATAAAAACACTAAGAATACTTCACGATTTATTTTTTAACTCACATGTTTCGTTATACCATACAAAATTACTTACTCCATGCAATGGATATATCATTTGCGGGTAACTTTCACTTCTGTTTGAAGTCCAATTACGCTGGGAAGAAAAGCTATTGAAAATGGCGCCGGAGTATCATACTTCAAAATGTACCATTTCTTGTTTAACTTTCTAATGGCACGATATAGTGACACGATAATATTTACACATGGTTTCAGCATAACTATGAAGGTATAAATGAGATGTTGATGTATTTGGTCTTTTTAATTCTTTTATAGAAAATAATGTTTAATTTTTTTGTCCGCTGTGACGGAGCAGTTGCAAATGTGAACTGTGAAAATGCTCCGTCACAGCGGACAAAAAATATTAATATTATTTTTTATAAAAAAATTAATAAGACCCAATGCATTAATATTTCCTTAATACATTCAGAGTTATGGTGAAAACATATGTTAAAGCTGGACATCGCTCCAAAACGCAATATGTTGACATATATTGTTTTTACATTTTTAAGCTCTAATATAAAGTTTATGTAAATAAAAATTGTTTTTTTCTGCGTTATATCAAAGAACAATCATTTTGTTAAAAAAAATAAAAAAGGCGATTGCGGGATTCGAACCTGGGCCTCCCGCTTGCTAAGCGAGAATTGTACCCCTAGACCACCGTCTTCTAATGAATGTTGGAAGTAATTAAACGCTACTTATTTTGAATGCTATGATTCGGAAGTGACGTCACGTTCTTCATTTAGAAACTTTTCCAAAATCATATCGTCGGCGCCGATCGAAGCAATTCAATGAATAATCTTTGAAATGACACATTTATCGTAAGTATTTCTACACAAGATTTGCCCCATTTGTTCATCATTCTATAATCTTTCATTAGGCTCAAAATGATAAAGTTCACCCCCGAAACAACCCAAGATTGCGTTTCGGAGCGCAGTCCAGCTTTAATATTATCGTGTCACTATATCATGCCATTAAAAAATTAAAAAAGAAATGGTACATTTTAGAGTTTGATACTCTGGCGCCGTTTTCATTAGATTTTACTCCTAGCGTTATTAGACTTAAAACAGAAGTGAAGGTTACACGCAAATGATATATCCATTGCATGGAGTAAGTAATTATCTTTGATATAACGAAACATATGAGTTAAAAAATAAATCGTGAAGCATTCTTAGTGTTTTTATGAAAAATAGCATGCTCCGTCACAGCGGACAAATCTTTCGATACCAGCCTGTGTATATTGGCGAATTTTTCTATTTCGCCAAATTCGCAAAATTAAAGCAGGCGCCAAATTAACCAAATCTACAGTATACATGTCAATTATTTATTTGTTTAATTGTTGACGGCATGGCAGGGCTTGGGGAGTGTTCGCTTTTTTCACTGTTCGGTATTTTACCATATCGGCATTTCGCAAAAATATCAACAAAATGCGTGATTAGCGTGATATTTGATCATACACGCTAAATTGATGCGTGATTTCTATTTTTCCAGCAAAATGCCTAATGCGTGAGGGTTGACAGGGCAGGCATGGGAGTAGCGCCCGATCACCCCTGAGAAAGTGAACCCCCGTTGGCAAATCCTGCCTACGGGCTAACCAAACCCGTCTGGCCCAGTAATCTACTCCCGATTCTGAATTGACGTTAGGAGTAGATAACTGGGCCAGACGGGTTTGGTTAGCCTACGGGCCTGCCAAACCTGCAGAGTTAATTATACAGTATACTACCTATATATAAAATGTTGCAGACCTACTCCCTGTATTTGATGTCAGATTCTACTTGGCAGAGCCAAACCTTTCTAATGTACTCTGCCATAAATACAGTCTAGTATAGATGCCCGACGGGATTGGGAGAGCACAGAAACCCACATGCTATCTATTGCAAGACTTACGCCTGCCACAACCGTCACCATGTTAATCAGTGTTTTTTAAGTAGCGCAAGGATCCTGCCATGACCGTGGTAGTGTTATCGTGTAAGCCTGGTATAACCGTGACAGGCTGGTATAACCGTGACAATGCTGTATTCTATTGCAAGGCCTGTCATGACCCTGGAAGTGTTAACATGGAAGCCTGGCGCGACCGTAGCCTTTATTGTGGTTAATAAGCGAATGTGAATATTAATGTATAGTAGTAATTTTGATTTTGACATGATTAAGGTAGTTAAACACCATGATCATAGTATTAAACTGTTTAATTGTAATGAGGATCACTTAAAATTGTTAAGGATACTCCTGGCATTAATGTCATACATATTTACTGGTCATTGCAATACATTATAACGGTCATAGTAGAACTAAGCCTATATCTCTACATTACCACCCTCATACCTGGCCTTGCAATACTATATTACATTGTCACGGTCATACCAGGCTTTGCGATCCCATAATACATTGTCATGGTCATGCCAGGTTTTCAAATACACATTGTCATGGTCAATTATAGCAATCATAAATTTCTACATCACCACTCTCATACCCGAACTTGGAATACTATATCACATTGCCATGGCGGTCATACCAAGCCTTGCAATACTATATTACATTGCCATGGTCATGCCAGGCTTTGCAATACACAATACACACGGTTATAGCAGTCCTAATCGTAAATTTCTACATTACCACTCTCATACCTGAACTTGCAATACTATATTACATTGTCACGGTCATGCCAGGCTTTGCAGTACTATATTACATTGTTACGGTCATATACCAAGCCTTGCAGAACTATATTACATTGTCACGGTCATGGCAGGCATTGCAATATAATACAGCATTGTCGCGGTTATACCAGGCTTTCAGGATAACATTACCACGGTCATGGCAGGATCATTGCGCTACTTAAAAAACACTGAATAACATGGTGACGGTTACGCCAGGCGTTAGTCTTGCAACAGATAGGGTCTCCAGAAACCTTTCTCTCAGACTTTTCACTGTGTGTGACTGTGAGGGTTTGTGTCACTGGGTGAATGAATCCTCTGTCGAAAAAATCAAACAATGTAGGCACAGTCAGAGAGAATGTTTCTGGCGAAAGGAGATTCTGGGATTTCAAAAGTTATTGATATAGCTAATTCCAGTTCGAAGAACGTATTTGATGTCCGTACCTTTCGTTCAAAAATGCTTAGCGCAATCGTCACTCTTGCAGAAATCCACTACTGAGGAATGTGCTCCAAGTTCCTGTGGATTCAACAATGTAATTTGCAATGTTTTCTGGAGCCGAATTTAAAAATATTTACAATTTCGTGAAAACGAGGCTGACGGTCATCACAGGCCACAAAAGATCAACACGGTTGTACCGACCATAAGCTGCAGCGCACCTTGCAGGAAGTGGAAGTGACATCAGTTGAATTCTGGGAAATTAAGAATTATTTATTTAAAAAAATCGCAAATCGTCTTTCGATTCCATATATCTTGCTTACTAGACAAATCGCTGTGGTTTAAGTAATTTATAAAGAGAGAATATATATCAAAGATGATAAGTGACCTCCAAAGCATGACATTTTATTCTTCCATTCCTTGATTTTGACTTGAAACCTTCAATTATTTTTGCAGAGTTGAAAAGAATTTTTCAAAACATCAAAACAATGACACGATGTAAAATGTAAATCAACATCTACAATAAAATGGCTTCTCATAGACTCTCAGGACAGGATAAAAAAGATCTTGAAAAGTTTAGCAAATACCTTGTCTATAAATGCATACAGATCATAGTTCAGTCAAGGTTAGGGGAGCGTGTACGAACCAATTCAAGACCACATTCGACTGGTGCAGACTGGGTAAGAAACTTTCTATCAATTGAAATTATATAGGCGAAGCCAGGGGGAGGGTGCGATAATTGCCACCCCCCCCCCCCCATCGATCGCACCCCTTCATAACCAATAGAAATAAAACCACGAGAAAGAAGAAAAGAGATTAAAATGCTTTTTATTCGAAGCTTCTAGCTCGATTTTGAAGGAAATTTCATCAATTTTTTTCTGCTATGGGGATTACGCTATTGCCTGTTAAATAACTTAGAAAATCTCACATTTTAAAAAAATTGTTTCCTTAGATTGCATGTAGATTGCCTGACTGCCTTAGATTGCCTGACAGTCGCCCCAGGGTATTTCAACATAAAGGGACTTCCTAGGGGGGTACAGGGGCCAACCAGGAAGGTTCCTTTCAATTTTAAAATAAGTTGTAAACCATAGATCTATTTTTAAATGTTAAGGTTTTAAATTATATTCTATTCAAATTCTATCACTGTTAAATTATATATCTTCTATATATGGGCTTATTAGCCTTTTGCAAATTATTGACATAGACATAGACATGTACGTCAATATTTCAACGAAAAATCTGCTCTCCACAATCGGCACTGTATATAATTTGTGGATAACCTTCGCGACTTGATAACATAGATCTGTTTTTCATCAAGACTCTGAAAGTATTAATGAGACCTAGAGTTGTATGCTCCTTTTTATTTCACTTTTTACAAATAATAATGTTGAATTTGTTTGTCTACTATAGAAGATTGTTTAAATCTGTTCAATATTAAATTAGAAGTAGTGTTCGAAGAAATTGTGTCACACAGCTATTTTGGCATCTTGGCCTTGCAACAAAGCATTTCATGTGTAACACCAAATATTTGCTTGGTTAGGGAAAGAGGAGGGAAACCCCCAGACCTTGAGCGATGACAGACTTTATTAAGTCTCTTGCGTACCACATTCGTTTGCCCAATTTCTTACCAGTTAGTTTTCGAATATAACACATTGTTGTGATGTTTAAATCGATGTAAGCATATTCCTTACATCTTTCTTTATCTTGATGTGAAATAACAGCTATGAAATTGGTTAACATGCCAGAAATTAACATTATATTATTCAAAGCGTTATTAGAAAATTTTGAATTCAGCCCATTTTTATCACACCATCGGTGGGATATAGTCGTCATACTGGTTGTGGTCGTGGTCGTGATCGTGATCGTCCCGCTTTTTGTCATCGCCGTTTAAGGAAAACTGCTCATCAGATTTTCTCCAAATTCGCAGAGATGATAGAGCATATGAAGTACTAGAGGTGATTAACTTTTGGGTGGCCATCTTGTTTTCTGGCGGCCATTTTGAAGGTTTTTCGAAAAATCTTGTCATTGCCATTTCAGGAAAACCGCTCATTGGATTTCCTTCAAATTTACACAAATGATAGAGGATATCAAGTACTAGAGCTGATTAACTTTTGGGCCGCCATCTTGTTTTCTTGTTCTTGAAATTTGTAAACATAATAGGAGAACAGTTTTCCTGGTTCATAGTGTCTGCCTATTTGATGGTGTGATCTCGTTCACGTCCTGTGCCTTGTTGTTTGTAGATTTGGACTTATCAGGATGGTAGGTCATCTCAATACAGATTTACATTATAGACATAGTCCTGGGGTTTCTCCCCCTCGTGTTAAGAATAGGATTCATAGGATAAAGGCAGCTTTGTGGACAAAATTTTTTAGTTAACCTTTATTAAAGAAGAAATGCTTGTTACTCTGAACAGACTGAACCTGAAGGCCATTTCTCGAAAGTTTGGTTATTAATTCGTTATTAATTCAATTGTTAATAATGACTTTTCCGTTTCTCAAAAGTTAACGATTCCCGATGATGTCATGTATTTTAACGATTTATTCGTTATCCATGATTGATTTTACGGGTATGAATGGTCTACATACATGCATGCATGTTGTCCTGTATGTTTAAACTGAAAGAAATCTGTATTTGAAAGTAAAGAAGTTATTTAAGAACACTCAAGCTGTAATTATATCATGTAAATTATCATTTCAACTTTTAATCACTACTCAAGAGTGTTTTATTTGAGAAGATGGCATTTGATAGGATTTCCCTAGCTGATGCTAAAGAATGGCCAGTTAAGGTAAATTAAATAAGTTTTATCGGATCAAGAATTTTTCTGATAAAATGATACCATTGAGTTTTACATCCTGACTACTACTATCGCGGGAAGATTGATACGACAGGCTTAAGACAAAGGGGGACAAGCCTACTGATGAATCAGAATTTTCTGTTAAAATAAAAACTCATAATTTGTTAATGAATTGGTTAATTTAAACACAGAATGAAATCTTTTATTTTTGATTCAGATGTTTTGTTATACCAAAAATAACCATTTTGTAAAATATATAATAAGAGAAGAAAATATGTGAACAGTAGAACCTGCTAAGTGGAACATCTCTGTAAGTGGTAACACCTCACAAGTGGAACAGCGTTTTTAAAGTCCCATTGCCTATCTTGTCCAATTAACCTCTCTAAGTGGAACACCTCCTTAGTGGAACACTTTTTGTGGTCCCAATGGTGTTCCACTTACACAGGTTTTACTGAATGTGCCATAAACATGAGATGGAGTTAAGCTGCACAATCTTGATGCTAAACAAGAGAATGGAGTTAAGTTGCACAATCTTGATGCTAAACAAGAGAATGGAGTTAAGCTGCACAATCTTGATGCTAAACAAGAGAATGGAGTTAAGCTGCACAATCTTGATGCTAAACAAGAGAATGGTGTTAAGCTGCACAATCTTGATGCTAAACAAGACTGCAGAGCAAATAACACTGTTCAAGGTCCTTCATTCAACTACAAAGTAACAAGTACTACTTCAGCCAGTCATACCGAAAGATATTAACCTCTTTACCTATATAGGAAGTAAATCATTATAATTCAAGGCTATGTGGAAACCTGTATTAACTCATGTATGAACATACAGAGTTAAAATAATGCTGATGATTGAACAAGACCAAAGGACTGAACAAATAGGTTTTCTGTGGACTAACAACATATCACATATCAAGTTTTGAAAGTTTGACTTTTTAAGAAAAAATGAAAATTAGTCAACTTGAGGTCATTTGGAGGAGGCCAGGCCACATGTTTTGAAAGGGACATGTACGTACATAACCCCATAGACTGCTGTACCCCTCTCATTATTGGTCATTCCAGGGACCTAATCACATCTTTTTTCCTTACTCCTATATTATGTTTCATTAGTAGCAGGCAACAGGCAATTTTCACCGATTGTTTTCACAAAATTGCCTGTTGTTTTTAGGAACTTTTCAATTTTTCCATGATAAATTTATGATTTCCATTAATTTTGCCTGTTTTCATTTATTTAGCCCATTGCACATTTTGTAAGAAATTCTAGAGAAACCCCAGCATGTACTGATTGGGAAATTACAATTCTGAAAGGGAGATGACCATTGTTCTACACATTTTAAAATAAGTTATCTTAAAAATATTACAAAGATACAAACAAACAACTAAGCAAGTAAACAAGCAAACAAACAAAAAATATTTGATTAATATAATAACCTTGCACATTTCCAGACTCCAGGTTATTTCAGGTAAACATCTTGATGACACCACTTTGTTAACCTACAAATACAAGTCTGACAAGTGACATTGAGAATATTTTATCAGAAAATGTAAACAAACCTTACACTTTATCTCTAACATTTTGTGAACTCACATGGTCGTTTGAACTACATTTTATGTGAAAGTTTGTTTCAATATCAGATAATTAATGTCATAACACCGGTGTGTGCATTTATTAAAAAATCAATAATAATGATCTACTTTCATTTTTAAACAGACAATAATTTAAACATAGCTGTAAGGTAAATGGTATCCGGTGTATCTTTCTCATAGGCTGCTTACAAGTACAATACCATTGTATGTAATGAAACTGGATGCTTTATTGGATGAAAACAGGACACAAACAACTCACATCCAGGGCTATCTCTGCAAAACATTATTTGGTATTAATTTATACAGGAAAGCCTCTCTTATTCAAATGCATCTGAGACCAGTATAAAGTGGTCAAATTAGCAGGTGTTCACATTTTAAGGTTTAGTTATTAAATGTAAGTCAATTGGAGGTACCAAAATGAATTCAATATTCAATCAAATATTCACTGTGTCTTTAATTTCATTGCCTAGCCTTATCAGCGAAAATAGTGAAAATTAGGACACCTTGAAAATTTGGGCTTTAACAGTAATAACTTTGGGACTGAGAAAAAATGTTCACATTGAGAGGTGTTCAGATAAGAAAGGTGTTGGAATATACACTTTTCACTGTATTTTTAATGGAGTAGACAAACATTCAGCTGGAGGTTAGCCTGCCATTGAAAACAAGAGTGAATAGAGTTCAGTTTTCTAATAAAAAAGTGAATGATCTGGATGGTAAACAGGATTACAAAGTCTATTTAACACTAAATTGTACAATACAATTTGAATATGATACAGTAGTTATATTTTTACGTGATCTAAATATTTGTTTTGAAATGGATTGTTTTTCAGAAGTTTTTTGGTCTAGTAATTTTTGTTTACATCATTGTTTTTCTTATTTTTCAGTTCAACCTGGCGATCAAGGATATACCAGAAGTCACCTCCGAGACGAAAAAAGTTCTGACATCACAATCGCAAATTTTACCAATCGGACAACAATTATGTGTCGAGATTTCATTAAAGACAACAGATGGCGATATTCTAGTACTTGAGAAATGGTTAATATGTAAGGACGAGGAAGCAGATCACAGTGCCAAAGTATCATATACGGTATATAACCGCATGGGAACGCTCCTGAAATCCTTATTCTGCATAACACGTGTCACTCCTAGTTATCGACTCTCGAGAAAACAAGGCCCCGATACGTTTATTATCTGCTACAGAGTCTACACCGGAGAGCCTCAGTTTGAACACCTAGGAGAGGGGTATAACTCCATCAAAGTCGGCACAGTCGCTACCCCGATGGGGACCATTACCATCTCCGGAGCATACAGGACCAAACTCCTGATATCACCACAGACTATTAGTAAAGATTTGAGTAATGAGCTAAAGGATGACCACTTTAATACAGATTGTAGTCCCAGGCGGTACTCTCCTAAGCCATGCGTGGGAGGCTATAGGGATAGGAGGTAATGACATATACCGAATGGTATTTATCATTCTTTTTCAAAGTGCTACATAGTCCTTGTCTTGTGCTCCTTGGCATTTGAGTAGTAGATGGGTTTGAAACAAAGGCTTTTGTATCTTGTCTTCAAAATCCAGGAAAACCCAAAACCTCTGACCTTTTCAATTTGAAATTTTTACAGATGAAAAAGCAGGCTAGTGCCATGATCTCATTAGGTTTTGGGCATGTTGGGTAAATTACTTGGCGGCAATTTTGAATTTTTCGATAAAAAGTATTATATTTAATATTTAACACTATGTGTCTTGTTAAGTAGGAAGAGTTACCAAAATGATTTTAAATATGTAAATAAGATAATTGACAACATTTCGATCATGTAAAACTTTCCATCATGTGAAATGATTGTTGGATGTATTCCAAGATTTCTGAGAATGATGAAATAAATAGGTCACAACTTTTAAACTTCCTGATATCAATTTCAGCTTATCATCTAATTAATTTAGTCTATTCAGTCAGGGTCACCTTGACTTTGTAAATAACAAAACACTTTTGCTGGTCACACTTTCAATCCAATCACCCCTCTCTCATTGCCTTCCCTTTTTAATTATAATATGTAATATCAAATTATTTGGCATCTTTTAACTTCATACCTGTTTGAAAGGTCCTTGCTTATTCCTCTCTTAGTTTCTAATTTGCATTTTAGAAACTTGCATACTTTGCTATTATATGCAATATGATGATGTTTTAAGTAATGGTTTTTCCAACTTCCTCAAAGCGTTTATATATTCTGGAGATTCATTATTCAGTATTTCAATTGCATCAAAGGACGTCATTACAAAATTTTCTCTTGTTTATACATATATAAATTGTTCAAGTTGGAATATTTAAATAATGCTAGATTATTATGGACATCTGCAGTATACCAATGGAAAGTTTGTTGGATATTGGTCATGACTGGTTCTTTGTTACCAGGTTTGTTGTGATGATTAATTATTATTTAGATTTATTTGAAGTCATTAAAGATAAACACATAGCTATTATGTCATGTTGACCTCAATATAAAAAATGGGAAATGTAAAATTAGCAAGGACAAGCAAGGAAACATACCCTAAATATAAAGTTTCACTTTGCATTGTCAAAAAGAAGGATTCATCAAAATAGGTTTTTACTGTTAGCCTATTTCAGGGAAGGAAAAAAGTTACAAACAAAATTATATTGTTTGGACTTTACCAATTTGTTATATCATAAAATAAGTGACATTTATTAAGAGGAAGGAGAGGGGACATTTTTTGATCTAATTTGTGAATTATTTTGACATTTAAAAGTCTAAAACTGGACTCATTTTCCATGAAACAGGGCCTGAGATTGGTCTTCAATTTTTCAAATTGTTTCATATATATATTTCAGGCCCAGCATTGACTCGATTGTGTCGGAATCTGATATGTGTGCTACAACATTCTCCAACAGCCCCAGCCATACAAGCAGTGACGTCTCTACACCAGAACACCCTACTTCAAAACCCATAAATATACAGCAGACCCCAAGTGATACGAGACTGCATGAGAAAGCTCAACTATGGTAATTTTTTTATTTTTTACTCCATTTATTACTATGCTAAATAATCAACAATATTTTGTAATTCATCTTAGACTTGCAATATAAGGAATTTTTATTATTACCATCAATGTACTTTCTCTTCAATTTTTATCTGTTAAATTCTGAATTAGGCTTATATGGTGAACATTTTTCATGTACGTCCCCATGGTAAAATTTTGATTTCTCACTTTCTGCAACATGAAGTCCTATCGAGACTATTATATGCCACCATTATTGCTTTGACAGTTTAAGTAGATCAAGTACATATAGATCAAAATCATAAATAAGGTTTAAGGATGTAATAAAAGATAAAAAATAAAGTTACTTTAACCCTAATAGATAAAGGTACTATATTTGATTAAAACACTCCCATCAAGTAAAGTGAAAGTACCATGTTATGTTTGGTATTGCATATACCAGACTTAGTTGTAATGACCAACTGAAGGTTGAAATGAAATTCCTTATATAATTTTCCTCATAACAAATGCCTTAAGGTGTAAATTTGAATGTACTTTTGAAATTAAGCCCATGGGGGATGTAACAAAGGCGCATCGTAATGAGAGAATAAAGTACATTACTGTACACAAAAAATGATTGAATGTTTTATATTTTCGGTGTGCCAAAGAAAGTACTTTCAAAATGAAGGCCATGGGCGCTATAATGGGGCATCATTACAAGGAAATCCAGAACAGAACTGTACAAACAAAATGATTGAATTTATTGTATTATTTCCAGTGTGCCAGAGAAACCAGTGTTGACTCTGTCCCAGGGTCAGAAACAGGGAGCCTTTGCCCCACAGACCCACACGAGCACCCCTCCCAGGGACTCTACAGACGACATACCCTTTATGTCGCTGCTCCATTATAGCCAGGCCATAGAGACCCCTGAAATCACTACAAATAATACTAACTCAAACAGACCTCTTGACACTACAGCCAAAAATACATATCATGAAAAAACTAAAAGTGAAAGTGATTCTAAGTCAGAACATTTAGATGTAGATGCTATATCATCTTCTACTGAGAGTAAGGGGTCTTCAAAAAGTGAGAATAAGTCGTGTGCAGCGGATGATTTTGTCATGGTGGAATTGGTGAGTTGATCTTGAGTATTATTCAAATATCAAGTTTGCACATAATTCCAAACGGTTGGGAACAGTTTGTAAGTTATGTTATCTCTTCTTCTCTACTTCCTTGATATAACGAAAATAAATTATTAAAGTGGTAGTTTTGAATATGAGACAAGTTGTTGACTGTTTTAACAAGTAAACATGACAAATATAGGTCATTCTTGGAATTTTTTATTTGCTTGTGCCCCTTGATACTTTTTGTTACTATGGCAACCATTAGTAATTATTAATTTTTTTACTCAAGTCCTTGTAAAAATTTCATTAGAATATAATGAAAAGTAATCGGAGAGATATATTGAGAAATTTATGATCACAACTTGTATATTTTATTGTTACAGAAAGCACCATTTGCTGGTCGAGAAATGCAGTCAGATTTAGGGAGATTCTACCGCGACTGTCAGACTGCTCCGCAACTTGAAATGTTCCAAGAGCCACCCAATATAGATGTCGCTCTAAATCAGATTTCTGACCAGTTGGCAGCGTTTGAGTCAAACTTAGACGATATTGACAGTTTTGTTGACTCAGTGATCTCATTGGAGGATGCATGATGATGTCATAATTTTATACATTGGAGGCAAAATTTAATGATGTCATACCTATTACATCTGCGGATACATGTCAGTGTCACATCTTGTACATTTGAAGTTGTGTGATGTCATATCTAGTAGAATTGATTTAAATATGAGAGGACATTTTTTGTAAATTTGATGTGGCATTTCATGATGTCATATACATGTACATAAATATGTGGATGTATATACATGTATTGACCAAGATTTAATTTAGGATAGACTTGATCTCTGATGTATAGTGTGCTTCCAGTAATCAATAAAGGCAGAATCAGAGCTAGTGAGCAACTCTAAGCAGGGGTTTTACTTGGAAACAGGCTAAATAAATGAAAACAACAGGCGAAATTAATGGAAATCATAAATTTAACATGGAAAAGTTAAAAAGTCCCTAAAACAACAGGTGATTTTGTGAAAACAATTGTTGCCTGCTGCTAATGAAACCCCTGCTAACGTTCTACATCATTTGGTATATAATTCTTCTTGATATCCTCTTCTAGTGTGTGATATTGTTCACCCTGTATCTTGTTGCACTTTGATCCAGCATTTTGATAAAATATCATATATCTTTTGGGCAATAAGATTTTTAACATGATAAAAAATACATGGGTCAATTTTACATGTTTTATATTGCCACCCCTACAGCTCTGATTCTGCCTTTAAAATATAATAATGACTAATGAAAACAAAAATGTGTCAAATACAGAGTAATTAAATTATGACCACTAACTTTACAAATTGCTTAAAATTATGGACCACTGCTCGATCTTAAAATCGCTTTTGTCAGCACTGCAAATATTTTTGTATAAATCAAAGCTGTGGAGTGCTAGGAGTTTTTATGTCACCGCCAAAAAGTGGTGACATATTGTTATTGTCTCCGTATTTTGTGACGGTGGTTGGTGATGGTGAGCAGATGGCGATCTGTAACAAATGGCTGGTGGTGACATTTTGCATGTTGATGCCTTGTTGTATCTTGTCACCCTTTATATTCCTATTACTCCATTGAATATATATTTGTGATGCACTAAATAATTGTAGAGAAATACTGTTATATGTTTTGAAAATTATGAAGGAAATGTAAATTTTTGAAACAGGGGGTGAAGTGTTATTTATTTATTTAATTTTATTTCACTTTACATCATGTAATTTGTTTTGATCCTTTAATAATATCAAAAAGCTAAAAAATCATTGCCGGTCATCCAAAAAACTTTTCCTGTAAAACATTTGTTGTAATCTTTTTTCATTTTAGAGTAAATTAAAGAAATACTGGTCACAGTGCTCTTACTCCTAGACTAAAAGGGCCTAAACTTATATTGTGCAATCAGATTGTAAATAAATTATTTGTATAAAAAACAATGATTTTGTATCATAATAAATAATGTTATTTATTCAATATCAGTATGTTTGTGACAATAATATATGATTAATAAAAATATAAATGAAAATGGCAAAATTTTTCAGCATTCTCAACTTGAGTTGCCTGACATACAAAAATAAAACAAAAATAATTGGCAAGTTCATGAAATAAACAAGACCAAATTCACACCAAATATAATAATGGTCACATTAGTTTGATAATTTCAATAAGTACTTAATTCTGAGCTTCACCTCAACCATTTATAAGCAGAGCATTTTGATTAAACTGTAGACAAATCTACTGTATTTGACTCTTAACTCACACATTTTAATTTGGTGAATTAAAAAATCACCAAATTAAATATTTGTTTGGTGAACTTGCGTTTATAACAAATATATCAAGATGGCTGGGGCTGTTTGAATTTAGAAATCTGTATTAGAAGTTATTGTAAATCAACAACACTGATAGTGAGAATATAAACTAAATACGTAGGTGAGATTTATCGTCTTGAAAAAAAATTAAAATGACCCATATGGTCCGAGATCTCAAAATTTGCCAAGTTAAGTAGCGCCACATTAAAGACAAATGCAGTAACTTCTAGGTTGCTGAATGTTAATGTAAAATAAGATTCATAGACTTCCCACAATATGCAGTAAATGTGACTCGTATCTCAGGAAATCATTTAATTGTGATTCAAGGCCAGGATTTTCTGGTGTATTGATGAGAGAAACACATGTCCTTACTAAGTCATCAACCACTTTATCTAAGTCAGCACATATATGTGTATTATCTCCACCACTATCTTCTTCCATTTGATTATTCATATTATCACTGTTACTATGCTCTGTGTTTTTAGAGCGAGTTGATACATTGTTGCTACTATCTCCACTGCCATCTTTATTTTGCAAATTGTACTTTTCCTTGATTGATCTGGATGTTGCTAATAGGAAAATATGTAATAATGGATCTAAATATTTGTTCTCCATAGCAACTGGAACCATGATAACAGTTTTTTCAGAATTTTCTCCATTGTTGTCTGATGTTTTGTTGTTTTCACTACTCGAAGGTGTAACATCATTGTTGTTCGGTGCTGAACCATCGTTGCTAGGCACAGCACAAGTATTGGCAAGGGAAGCAGCATTGTTGCTAGAGTCTGAATCATAGTTGCTAGGATTAGCATCCCTGTTGCCATGAGTGACCCTCTTAGACATTTCTGTGTCTCTAGTAACACTTTTTGTCAATGTCACTTTGTGTTGCTGCTTTCCAAATTCTGCCACTAATGTAAAGAATGGACCTGAAGATATAATATATACCAGGTTGTTCAGTAAGTTCATGCAAAAATGCCCTCTTTCTTTGAATTTCAATGATTGGTCAAAAGTTATGGTTGCTATCATAACTCATGCTTTTGATCATGATGTAAGGTACACCAAGTACTAGATGATGTCAGCACTATAAACTGACATCAAAGTAGATTTAAGGTCAAGTTCACTTGAAATTGAATGGAAATCATGAGAATCTACCCAGATTTAAAGGCAAGTTAAGCAAAATAAGATCAGTAAGATAAATGAATAAAAAATAAATCATTAAGAGCTATTCCTGTAATTGACAAGGCGGCCATTTTGAATGTCTTTTTAGGGCCCATCTTAGGAGGCTGGGTGGGTCAGGGCTGGCCCCTGCCAAAGAAAGCCAACAATGAATTTCATTTTGCTTACCTTTTGGAAGCAGTAAACTAATCATATTTTGTAATAGTGCGACAGATGCTGTGTGATGGCATCTCAACAGCGCCACCTCTAGGTGACCTCTGAAGGCAATGGAATTTCCAAGCAGTAGAGCTAGCAGACTGAGTGAAATATTAACTGCACACTGAATGAGAACCTGCAATAGTACAAAATATAAACAAAAAATAATATAAAGTTAACATTACTTGAAACTTTATTAACATTATTTTAAAATAACTTCCTTTTGTTTAAATGACTTTTGAAAATTACCCCATCCACAGACAAAGTTAACTACATTTTCCAAATCTGTCAATGATACATTCCCTTACTGAGTTAATTTTATCGATTGGTAGTTGAGTAAAACCAAATTCAATTTCGTATATAGTTTTGCCCTCCCCCTCCCTTCCTCAAATAACAAAATTTAAAATTACCGACTCTCTAGAATCAACATTCTTTACTAATGAAGTAATAATTTTAAGCTATTGCCCATAATGAAATTAACTTTGTTCTTTAACAACTGTTGTGTTTTGGACACCATCCCTTACCTGTGGAATGCTAGTTTGTGTCTGGTGGGTCTGCTCCAAGGCAAGTAGGTCCTTGTATATTCCTTCTACATTATTGAGGTCAAGTACATTCCATAGATTCAACACTGTACTGTAAAAGACTGTAACCCCAGTACCTAGTGCTGCAAGGGTGGAGTCTGTCGGGACACTGATGTCTATAATGTAGTGCAAAATATTGAAGGATTGATGGGAAATGTGTTGTAGTCCATCACAGCAGAGACATACGATACAACTGTTTTATATGTCTCTGATCAAATGCAGAAAGAATAGGATGATTGGTGAATTATTTTGATAGGATGATTGGTGGATTATTTTGATGTCCACAATGTTTCAGTGAAACACATACCTTAGGCTATCACCTTCTGTTCAAGATTTTGGAGATCAGTATCATATCAAATGAGGGGAATAATGCTCATAGTGATTTTTGGCAAGGTATGCAAGTTTAGAGTAAGAAAATATGTGATGGCATATTGCAGCAGGTGTATGCTTTTGGGTATTGTTACCTTTTTTTTGAAATTGTGACCAAAATGCTTGTTTAATGACTAATTTATCTATAAGCACACAGAGACATAATAAAACAATGATTTTGGTGTCTTGGTTTACGGGTAAAGAATTTCAATTTTGTATTCTTCTAGGTTGCATTTAAGCCTTAGTTTCTATTGATATCCAAGATGAAATCAAGAAAGGGCTACCATAATGAAATTTCACCATATCTAAGCACAGTGATTTTTGTATCTATTTTATGACTGGCTTTTAGGGGTCAAGGATATTGTTTATGAATTAACCAAAGTCATTTGTGCCTTAGTAACCTAACAACATTTTATGGTATAACTACCACTTTCTATATTTCATATCTCATTGTGCCCAATGCATTGCTCAAATAAAAGTTGAAAGATCTTAATAATTCAAAGGACGGATGTTTGAAATGCCGGGAAATGGCATGTATCAATTTTGGACATTTGAACTGTACAACATCAATAAACTGTTTTTCCACCAATTACTTGTTTCAGCACCCTCAAGATGCAAACTATTATCAAATTGATCCAAAAGAAGCAATTCTACCAAAGATTCTACTGCATGTAGCACTAAAGATGACAAGAACATATCCTTCAAAAAAAAAACATGAAACAAGAGAGAATTAAATGAACTGTGCTGACTACCTCCAATAGGATCCTTACAAAACAGGGTACCAGTAAGAGTTTTTCTAGCTAGTAAGCACCTTTAACATGTAATGTACCATTCAACATTTCAAACTGTAATGAAAACACTAATATATTGACTACTTCCATTAGAATCCTAACAAAACAGTGCACCAGTTCAAAATGCCTAACTAATCATGCCAATGACAAGCTGGTCTAGCTAGGCAGCGTAACCATGAAATACATGATTCAATATTTCTAATTGTAATGTAAACACTGACTAAACTATAATGCCAAATTAAACATTTTTTTAATATATGGAAATCTATTTATTTCATGAACCTTATTTCACATCAGATGACTAAAGTATTATGCCAAATTAAACATGTAAACACTGACTATAAAGTATCATGCCAAATTACATTCAGTGAGATGACATAACATGTACTGTTAATCCATGTTAAATAAATACAAAAATCCTAGATTTTCATCAATATTTATAATTGTTAATTGTCTGCTTGCTGGTACACTGCATTTGTTCCATGTTAAAAGTATAAATATTCATGTACATTATATCGATTAAATGTTGATTTAAAGAAATACATCTGCTTTGTATATTTCTCCAGTAAAATGAAAAACTATTCAATGATAAAATAGATCACATTTCCATTCTATTTTCGATGATTACATGATAATCTTTCCCTCAGTATATTTCCTGCCGTGTCAACTGGAATATTTGTATTATTAACAAAATTTCAATGCTAAATATTTTACTCTAAAATGACTACATTTCTCTAAAGTGTACATTATATTCTTACTGTATGTTCATGTTTATAGTTCATATGATGAAAGGGTTCTTATTTATTCTTGGGTTCCTATGCTCTTCATAGTTTTTTAATACAATATACAATGTCTTGTTCTTAAATATGCACAATGAGACAAACATATTGCTATTGTAGGACATCAAATTATAATATTGCAACTCTATATCTCTCTTCTTCAGTTTATGTACATATATGTCATAAGACATTTGCAGGTCAAACAATGCATCAGACCAATAAAATCTAAAGATGGAGCGATTAACAGTCAATAACTAATACAATGTTTTAAAGTTTTGTATCTTTGTCGAGGGCTGTGTACAGAGGAGCTGCTTCCCCATAGGCCCCATAGGCCTCATAGTTAGGTCCATGTTGTTCCTCGGGCAGTCTTTGTATACCAACAGATTGTGGTCGTGGTGGATGTCCTCCAATATTCTCAGGAGGTGCATCTTCTGCCTTTTGTTGTTTCAGCAATGCTTCAATAACACTCGCAGCAACTCCCTTATCAGCATTCTGATCAATCAATCCAAGTAGGAAAGCGCCATCTTTCATCAGAAATGCATTGTCGGCACCGCCTGGCTGGGATGCCATAAGACCTCTAGAGACAATGGATGTCATGTGACCTCTACAAGTTGCGATTATCCACGAGAGAAAGCTGTATATGTTAACGAGGATCAAGACACAAAGCCAAATCCAAACAACACGAAAAATATTCCGGTTCATTTCATTCAGAAGTAGTATACATTGTGATGTGTAACGTTCAACGTTTCCAAGTTTTCGAATTCTATAATCACACAGGATTTCATCTGGAAATGTCTGATGTCCAGATGTCCATCCCTGCCATGTTGATAAATCAACCAGAACATGTGCCGCATAACTTCCTCGGATTTTAATCATTGTTCCATTCACATTGATGTTGTCAGCAAGGTATTCATCGACTCTATGAAGCTGAACAATTACATTGATAACATAGATCAATTTTACAGCAGCAAAGACCAGCACCAGATAAGTACCATAGAAGGTTGTACAGTAAGCACAGAGCTTCACAACAGGGTTGGATTTTGCTTTCTTCATATACTCTCCAAACTTATCAACAAAAGTTTGAATGTTCTGCTTTGAACCATCTTTGATCACTGCATCAACATCAAGTCCAGATTTTCCAGTAACAGCCCACCAGAGAATTATGGGAGCAAAGAAACAGCCTGCCATATATACAAAATACAATGCAACATGACGGTGTTTGGCTTCGATTGTGACCCGCTGCAGATCCATCTCCATTGGAATACGCTGGACAAATGGGGTGTAATATGTATTGCTATGCCAGCACTTTGCATTGGTATAATCAACATGAGCATGGGTGAAATGGGCAGGAGTCCAGCATCGTATCTTCTCCCCAAAGTTGATGGCAATTGTAACATATAGAGCCGTCCCAATTAGGAATATAGGAGTATAGAGATAATTGATCCTCAGAAAGATGTCATCACAGGTCTTCAGGCCTCTACCAATTTGACTCAAACCCTTAATATACTCCATACTCCTTCAATCTGCAAATGATAAAATTTGACATGTTTTAATGCTTTATCACGAAGATTGACTAGTCATGTTTTAATGCTTTATCATGAGGATTGACAAGTCATGTCTTAATGCTTAATCGTGAGGTTTGACTAGTCAAGCTTTAATGCTTTATGATGAGGTTTGACTAGTCATGTTTTAATGCTTCATCATGAGGTTTTATTAGTCATGCTTTAATGCTTTATCAAGAGGTTTGACTAGTCATGTCTTAATGCTTTATCATAAGGTTTGACTAGTCATGTTTTAATGCTTTATCATGAGGTTTGACTAGTCATGTATTAATTCTTTATCATGCAGTTTGACTAGTTGTTTCAATGCTTTATCATGAGGATTGACTAGTCATGTTTTAATGCTTTATCATGAGTTTTGACTAGTCATGTTTTAATGCTTTATCATGAGTTTTGACTAGTCATGTTTTAATGCTTTATCATGAGGTTTGACTAGTCATGTATTAATTCTTTATCATGCGGTTTGACTAGTTGTTTCAATGCTTTATCATGAGGTTTGACTAGTCATGTTTTAATGCTTTATCATGGGGTTTGACTAGTCATGTTTTAATGCTTTATCATGAGGTTTGACTAGTTGTTTCAATGCTTTATCACGAGGTTTGACTAGTCATGTTTTAATGTTTTATCATGAGGTTTGATTTGCCATGTTTTAATGCTTAATCATGAGGTTTGATTTGCCATGTTTTAATGCTTAATCGAGAGGTTTGGCTAGTCATATTTTCATGCTTTATCATGATGTTTGACTAGTCATGTTTTCATGCTTTATCATGATGTTTGACTAGTCATGTTTTAATGCTTTATCATGAGGTTTGACTAGTCATGTTTTAATGCTGTATCATGAGGTTTGACTAGTCATGTTTTAATGCTTTATCACGAGGTTTGACTAGTCATGTTTTAATGCTTTATCATGAGGTTTGACTAGTCATGTTTTAATGCTTTATCATGAGGTTTGACTAGTCATATTTAAATGCTTTATCATGAGATTTGACTAGTCATGTTTTAATGCTTTATCATGAGGTTTGACTCGTCATGTTTAATGCTTTATCATGAGGTTTGACTAGTCAAGTTTTAATGCTTTATCATGATGTCTGACTAGTCATGTTTTAATGCTTAATCATGTGGTTTGACTTGTCATGTTTTAATGCTTTATCTTGAGGTTTGACTAGTCATGTTTTAATGCTTTATCTTGAGGTTTGACTAGTCATGTTTTAATGCTTTATCATGAGGTTTGACTAGTCATGTTTTAATACTTTATCATGAGGTTTGACTAGTCATGTTTCAATGCTTTATCTTGAGGTTTGACTAGTCATGTTTTAATGCTTAATCATGAGGTTTGACTAGTCATGTTTTAATGCTTTATCATGAGGTTTGACTAGTCATGTTTTAATGCTTTATCTTGAGATTTGACTTGTCATGTTTTAATGCTTTATCTTGAGATTTGACTTGACATGTTTTAATGCTTTAAAATGAGGTTGACTAGTCATAATTTAATGCTTTATCATGAGGTTTGACTAGTTATGTTTTAATGCTTTACAATGAGGTTTGACTAGTCATGTTTTAATGCTTTATCATGAGGTTTGACTAGTCATGTTTTAATGCTTTATCATGAGGTTTGACTTGTCATATTCTATAGCTTTATCATGCGGTTTTACAAGTTGTTTTAATGCTTTATCATGAGGTTTGAATAGTCATGTTAATGCTTTATCATGAGGTTTGGCGTTGAGACAGTATCTGTCTTTCTAATTATTGAAAAGTATGAGTGGAATGTTGATACTCCACCAATCTCAAGTATGTTACTTAAGCCATACATATTCGGCAATAAAGCATAAGTCTGGGGTGTAGCCAAAATACAGGGGTGTAGTCTGGTGAAGGAATTAGTTTGCAAAAAAGGAAAAATATGCATTTAAACAACTTTCAATTCAAAGTGTGGAAATGTTAATAATATCCTTTGATTAAACACCTCATCTATTTTAAGATCCTGGCTAAACCACTGACTAGATTTGCTTGTAAGCCTTGTAAGTGTTCCAGAAAGTTGAGAGGCATTCAGAGTTTCCACTCCTGTATTCAATTCTATCTTGTTAACATCCGGGTTGGAGATTTCATTGAATAAAGGTTTGGTTTTGAATATTGATGCATCACAAAATACGATAAAATTCATCATTGTGCAAGTAAATAATGAATAAAACTAGTAAAGTCATTGAAAGGGGAGTGGCATCTATCAGTGTCACTGTCAGTATATTGAGTGCATGCTCATATGCCGAATCAGTAAAAAGAAAATCACTCCAATATTGACAATAATAAAGCATATAAGAACTTGTAATATCAGATAGGTTTTAAATAAACTATAATAGGCATAAACTACATAATAAAGGTACAATAAAATTAATACTTACAGAGTAAGTTTAGTCCTATGTTGAATTCAATCTGCATTCAGTTAAACTAAAGTCTGTGTTAACTTGCTAGCTGTGCTGAACTCTCTTAGTAGGAAAATTGGTTGAGATCCAAGAAGGTCATGTTTATAGCTCACTAGCAGTGTGCTGTTTTTACTTTTAACAGATAAACATTGAAGGAGTTCAAGTTCATAGGTTAAGCGAATATACAAAAACTGCAGACTGTTTGACCTCAGAATATGTTCCATTCACAAGAATGTCAAGTTAACGCATTAAGTTGAATGCAAGATTTTATGAACTCCAAATAATAAAAGGAATATACAGATGATATGATTTTTAAGGGATATCATTTATTTCCATGAGTGGATATCACTTTTTTTTTATTTATCATGTTTTATTTAATACAATAATATATGTTGAAAGAAAATTTTCAAAAAGGCGACTTGGTTTAACATTATAAGTCGCAGGGTTAATTAACCAAATTTATTTAAAAAAACAATCCATTTGGTGAAGCAAATTGGTGAATAAATTAAGCATAGAAGGTTTGATAATTGCTGCTAACACTCAGACACTTACCCACTTCTGGAGAAAAGAGGCACTAGTTTCAAGAACAGTTATGTTTGTAGCGTAGTTAAATTTTAAGCTGCCAAAAAGAAAGAAATTCAATTTCTCTTGTTGGGTCTTAAAATTCTTTTTATATTGGATTTCAAGGTTATTTAGTTTAATTTCGAAGTCAGTTAGGAGGGTCCTACGGAGTCTGCAGTTAAAGATGACATGCTTGGATGTTTCACTTTTGAATCCACACTTACATTTTGGTGTATCAGCTAGAGTAAAGTTGTGGGCATGAAAATGAGATTGAAAAATCAAGTCGACTCTAGTCCTATTAAGACTGATTTCCTCTGGTCTAGGTAAATGCATGATATGTGGATATCACTCATCTCCACAGTGAGCACAGCAAAGCAGTGGATGGCAATATCTATGAGTGGATAAAAATGATAGCAAGAGAAAATCATAAGATCCTATTTATCATAGGGTGATTATCCATATCAGTTGGGCAAATGTCCATCACATTTAATTTTTCACCTTGATTCTGAAATGTCAAAAATTCTTCAAGTCTACTAAATCACCTTGAAATCATGCTTTCACTACAATTTTCATTTATATCATCACTACTATGCTTATAATCCAATGTTTTTTGGTACAAATGTTGGTCCTTTGAACTGGTTTAAAATCAATAAAACGAAATATAATTCAAAATCGCGAGTATTTGCTCAAACTGAACAAATGTTAAGGCTGTCAAACCATTTTTAGTGCTAAATAAAAATACAGAATAGTAGAATAGTAGAAGAATAGTATCCGCCGGATATGATTGGATATCACATCATATCATTGAATGCGAGTTATTATTCCCATATATATTTAGTATCCATGGAATATATAATCCATACTTTGTAAATAATTTAGTTTAACTGAAATAAATGATTCTAAATGGTTGCTAGGAAACCAGGTACCCTATGTCAGCTAATTCTTTCACATTTCATTACTCCACTGATTAACAGTCTGATTTGTTGATGTATTTTAGTTAAACCTGATTCATACATAAACTGGGGGGTGCATTAGATTTGGGTCTGTCTTTGAGATAAGCCATAGAGAAAAGTATAAAAGCTCCCACTGACAATGTTTTTGAGGGGTCAAGAAAAGTCTGATATTTTTTACTTTCAAACAAGCCATATCTAAGTTATTAAAAATAATATTTTGTACGAAAAATGGTGGCCATTTTGAAACCAGCTGCTATCTTGAAAATTTCTTCTCGAGCAGATTCCTATGTCTCTATGACATCAACACATAACATTCTTTGCCAATATCTTGAAAATATCTTCTTGAGCAGAGCTTAAGTAATGGTGGGCATTTTTAATTGCCAGGCCAAATTAAAAATTTCTTCTCCGGCAACCAGTCAACTGTGTCAACCAGAATTTGACTTATCACCCCGACATTTGAACTTAGCTATCACTGTCCTGACTGGTTTATAAATACTAGATATGGTACGTTAATCAATGGCTACATACTCATTGTGGCACCATCTTGGATTTCCACATGAACTAGAACTAAAATAACTTAGATAAATACATTGACCAAAATCTGGACTCCTGTCAGACATTGGCCTAACTGCTCCATAATTATTCTGAAACATGACTACATAAATTATTTCTGGCACCCATTTTGTTGATCCTATTGGATTTCTATGAATATGAATGTTTTAAAGATCTTGGTAAAGACACCATTGAAATCTCTGACCCCTAAAACCCATTTATAGATGCAAAAATCACTGCCCTTCCTGCTCTATAGGCTGAATAACTGCATACAGATTTATTTTTGGTACATAAATAGCACGTCACAACTGAAATATCTGCTCTTTGTCTTTAAATATAGGTACTTAAGTATGGCAAAAAACATTTCGACGGCCAAGTTTCAAAAAGGGATGGTAACACCTAAAAAGCTTTATCCGCGACAGTGCAATCACATATGTGTGCATACCGGTACTTTGCCAAAATTCACCATGAGCATTACTTAACTGATGTATATTATACTATCAGCTAGGGGAGGGGGAATATGTAGCTATCTACCAATAGCATATCATTGTGTTAACATCAATACAATAACACAGAGATTTTTATTGAAGATATTTCTGGTGTGCATATTTCTGATGCATTTTAATGTGCATACTGTATAGTAAGCACTTTAATGTTAATAAACATGTACATTTAAACCTCTCTGTAAGGAACACCTGTCTACAAGGAACAATTTGGGCAAAAATGGAGAGTGTTCCATATACTTTACATAGGTTCTACTCTACAGTATAACATAATGTGAAAATGTTCTCACCAATTAGAGGTGCAGCAGTCTCTCTGTTGTTGACTGCAACCTTACTAGGGTGTATGTCTGCTATTGTTTCACCTTGAACTACGCCTCTTTCTATCATCATACCTAGTAGAACTTCATGTGTGCAGCCGTACACCCGATATGCCTGCAAGTAAATAATGTAACAATGTTAATGCATTGCTCACCTCTAGCATTTTGTAATAAATATATTTTTTATTCTGTATGAAATATCAAAATAAATTTTTTTTTAATTTTTGTTTTTCACTATTCTGAAACCAATTCATTCAATATATCGTATCTGTGACCTCCCTATACATTGTCATGCTAATTAGCGATTCCATATTTGGGCATACCTTAAGGCTTTGATACTGGGATGTCAGGGCCTCTATTCCCAGCCAATCACACCTTAGGAGAGATTCATGTACATATTTCAGACCATACATTTTGCCTGCATCAATCTCATTGGCTAATAATGTCACATGGGTTGCAGCTAACAACCCTGATTGGTCAGCTCGTTTAGACAGTATTCTGGCTGCATTTATTGGCTGTTTTGCAGCTAAGTAGCTGCAGAGGAAAACAATATATTCTTAAATACATTTTAGTGGCAATACAAGTATATTATATTCATTAATTCAAGAGGCTAAGCTTGAAATTCAAAATGGTTGCCCAGAGGGTAGTCATTAGAACTATCCTAAGGGTAATAAGGAAATACACCTACCATTTGGCCGATTGTTCATAATTGCCATCCCTTGCTAAGCTTTGTGCCCATCCTATATAGATGTCACCTAGAACTGGATCCATGGGTGACAGTCGCACCTTCGCTATAGCAACAGCTTCCCTGTAAGAATATAGACAGTAGCAATCATTACTACGGAAATCATATTATGGAAATAATTTGAATCTTGAATTGTATTCAGATTGCTCGATAGCTCCCTGGACAAAAAATAAGCTACATTTCATGTTTTAGCTGTATGACATGGAGATGGGAAGGAACATTGGAACATAATATTTGTTATATGGATTGAGAACCAAAGAGAAATGCACACTAGAAAAGCACCAGAAAAAGCAATCTATTTTTAAGTTTGCATAGGCTTAACTTTACAAGAAGTTCTTACAGATATGCAAGTACTAGTTGTGTAAAAATGAAACTAAATCTTCATAAAATGATGAAAACATCTGATTCATCTTTATCTTTCTCCCCTCACATGGTGTTGTTCAGTAGCCATGTATAATTGAAACAGGGCCCATGTAATAAACAATAAAACATGTAATCAATGTGTAGAGTAAAACTTGTCCAAGTGGAACACCTTTTGTACCTCTAAGAGGAGTTCCACTTGTGAGGTGTTTCACTAATAAAGGTTCACTTTACACTAAGCCAATTGGTCTTGGGACTCTGAAAAGTGTTCCACTAGTCTAATAAAGGTGTTCCACAACAAAGGTTTCACTGTATATACAAATTATCAAGGTTTACCTGAATAGGTTGTTCTGTTTGAGCATCTCCAGTGCATCATATATCCTGTTAGCCGCTATATAGTAAGTAGCAGCCCTGTGATAGTTCCCTTCCTGGGAAAGCTGTCTGCCATATGCACCTAACATCTCAAGCCAGAACTTGTGGGACACTGAATTGAGAATATGAATAAGTTTTAAAGACATACGAGGGATGTCCCAGAAGTAATGCACTATATGCTCTAACTTTATCAATTATTGATATTTTTCCACGAAATTTTCAGTTAATATATAATTAAGCATGCTTTTAGAACGGTTTGATGCATCATGGGATTACAAGATAAATTAAAATATCTCCAAACACGACAAAAATCTACACTTAATGAACTTTTGACAATTCTAATACTCACCCATGGGTGCCATACTGACTAACCAATCAGAAAGCTGGTTATTTTGTGCTGCCATCTTTATTGCACTACTGACATTACCCTTCCAGAGTTCTAAGAGAATAAACTGTTCTATATTGCCTTGCTCTAAGTGGTAGGCCTCTGCAAATACAGAAATATATAGTATACAGTATAAATAATAGATAGAAATATATAGTATATAACTGTAGCATGTTTTGTAATTTGGAAAGACTGCAAAAGTGTTGAATTTGCAGGTTGAGATTAAAGTGAATGATCACGAATGAACACTTTAAATTGTAAAGAAATATATCTGAGGATGATAAAGTTCATTCAGACTTTAGTGAAGAATGCAATAAACATGAATAGGTGTGATAAAATCAATCATACGATACCTTCTTGTTTGAAAGTCCCATAGGTGGCAGCACGTTCTGGTACGAATAAACCAAGGTGGGAGTTTGGGCCTACTCCTGGAATGATATTTTCCTCCTCTTTGGCATCAGTGACCCCACTAACGTCACCAACCTTTATGACATCATGATTCCCCTTAGCACCATTAGCCTTTGCCACATTATCAACTTCTTTGGCACTTTGAGCATTTGTGACATCATCAACCCCCTCGGCATCTTGAACCTTTGTGTCTGTGTCTTTAATTTCTTGAGTGAGTGGTACAGAGTCTACAGGAATCTTATCTGAAATGTGAAATTCACAAATCATTATTTCTGTAAGTCATACTTAAGTAACTTTAATCACTTGTATAAAGTAACTTGACCAGTGTAACAAAATCTTCCTGGCACACCATAAAGTCCAAAGAAGACTTGATTTTGAGCATTCACTTCTACATGTAACATTCACTTTTACATGTAACTTTAATCACTTGTATAAAGTAACTTGACCAGTGTAACATAATCTTCCTGGCACACCATAAAGTCCAAAGAAGACTTGATTTTGAGCATTCACTTCTACATGTAAAAGTGAATGTTACATGTAACTTTAATCACTTGTATAAAGTAACTTGACCAGTGTAACATAATCTTCCTGGCACACCATAACGTCCAAAGAAGACTTGATTTTGAGCATTCACTTCTACATGTAAAAGTGAATGTTACATGTAACTTTAATCACTTGTATAAAGTAACTTGACCAGTGTAACATAATCTTCCTGGCACACCATAACGTCCAAAGAAGACTTGATTTTGAGCATTCATTTCTACATGCAACTTGCACTCACTTGTATAAAGTAGCTTGGCAAGTGTAACACAATCTTCCTGGCTGGCCACCTTGCCTCTATTCTCTAACACACCTGTTGTTGGGAACAGAGACCTTCCTTTGCGACGCTTCCACTTCTCCTTTGGCTCTATCGCTGTAAGGAAACGAGAGATATTCACAGGGGCTAGAGTCAAAAGCATTAAAGTGTGCGCCAAAGTTTAAAACTGCGCAGGCGCACCGCTCTCGCTAAACTATATAAAGAGATTACCAGGTACACGATTCAGAGGTAAGCCAGGAAGGCGAACGATCTTCGTCTCGTGATGATTTCCCATATAATCGTAACCAGGGAAGTTTTACCATTGAAATTGAAAATTACTATTAGATATACTTTGTAGATGTTATTTATGAAGCTATTTAGTGTTTGCATCAATCAAATGGCTCATTTTGAACATATAAAAAGTATTTGCGTTTTGTTTCCCAGGGAATTGTATTGTATGTAGTACACACATAAATAGTGTACATTATACAGTACTTGAATAGCCTGGTTTACATATTGAAGGGCATGCTGATTACATGCACACGAGTACATGAATGAAGGCCTAATATTGATATACGTAGCTTGCATACCTAAATAAAAAATAAACTCTTCTAATCCCCTAATGTAAACACGGCGGTATACGTAGCCCGATTTATCGGGGACTTTAAGAATGTTGGTCTATCAAACTTAATTAATAAGCTACTAAAGAACAACAATAGAATATTAGATAGAAAAATACATTCATATTTTAGTTGAACAAAAAGACAATATAGTACATTTTGAAAGTGGGATAAAAATGTTTGTTGTAATGTGGTATTTTGGTTGTTTATTTTTAGGAAGTCTTTAATCTATTGACAAATAATCTTTTGATGAATATCTGCAGTTTAACTCTTTAAGAACACCTATATTTAAACAGATATCTCGAATTCTTTTTCAGATAAATAAGGGTTATGTACTGGGAGGTTTTGGATATGGGGTTTATCCAGAGGGAGATATGCATATCTACCTGAGGGACCATAGGTACCGAAGGTACATGTGCATATCTCACGAGGGATGAACCCAATATCTAAACCGACCGTACATAACTGCTTTATCCTATACCAAGTAGAGTTTTCAGGGGCATATGGCCATTTCAGTAGTACAAGGTGTAAAAATAAACAAATCATTCATATGCATAGTCATTTTAATGCATTTCCACTACTTACCGGAAGCGGGAAGATATGCACCGAAGCGGGAAGATATGCACCGAAGTGGGAGATATGGCGGGAGATATGGAGGTTCTGGATATGGAAACCTCAAAATCAGGATACGGGATATATCTTACCAACTTATCTCCCTAAAACTCTACTTGGCATAGGATAATAATTTATACTTACTAAATAGAATTTCCAAGGTAAAGATTGGTGTCTATCCCTCTATCTCTATTCTTTAGTTCAACTTCAATCATTTTCAATGAACACTGAATAACACACATAAAAGCATTAAAATACTCACTTCTTTTAGCTAACTGTAGTTCATCCTGGGATATCTCATCCTGGATGATCTCAATATCTTCATGTGAACCTTCACTAGCTTGCTGATCACTTGGTTGTGATGTATGGTCTGGAGTGGGTACAGGTTTACTTGCATCACCTGTACGGATGAAAAATGGATCAACCTGTACTTTTTAAATATTTTTTAATTGCATACAGTAGTACATACATAATGCATGATATAAATACATCTATATCAGTCTTTATAATTAGGAAATTGCTACATTTTAAACAGAGATATACAATATAATCTGTGTGAACATCTATGGAGCCACAAAAATGTGTTCACTGTACTTATGTGTTCACTACAGAGAGACAATTTTATACCGAAGTCAGTGGAGCATATCCTGTGAAAGGGATGTTCATTAGACACAGGTGTTCACGAGAGAGAGGTGTGCACTAAGACAGGCTTAACTGTATATGAATACTATTACAAGGTATTAAGCTTAATTTTCAATACCCCATCTCCAAGTCTACAGAGGCTTTACAGTCTATTGAGTAATATACATGTAGATCATGGCATACTGGGGGGACGGACCCCTATTTTAGTGCACTTGAGATTTGAATGTAGATTAAAAATAAAAGTTTAAAATTCTACAACTTTGGAATTCCATCTCATGGCATCAATGACTTTCACTTACGTGTCATGATTTGGACATTATTTACTGACGCTGGTACACTGGGGCCTTGTGGTTCCACCTTTTCATTCTTGGCAATTGGAGCATCTTTGTTACCATCAGGTATATCTTGGAACATTAATTGCTTTCTTTTCTCCTCCAACAATTTCTCGAGTTCCTTCATCTCCTCACTAGGTTTGTTTATAGGAGGTTTACCTGGACTTTGACCTTGAACTTGATTATAGGGGGACTGTCCTTGACCTTGATTAGGACCACGTCCTTTCGCCCTTTTCTTTGCTTTATTAACCTTCTTTTGCTGTGCTAGTAGTGCTGTAATTCAAAAGAATATGAAAAATATTGAAAATTATTGTGTAATACAAAGAAAGCACAGGATTTGTCACAGTGAAATGTATTTTCTATGATAAATAGAGGTTATTCCATGGGAGGGGAGGAATATGATTTTATTCTGAGGGAAAATATAATATTAGTCAAGAAAAATATCCTGATACAGGATTCTCTGCTATAGAATTTTGTGAATAACAATTCCATTCAATGTTTATTTCCCAGAGAAAACATGTTATTTTGGAAACCTTCTTTTTGGATGTTATACTAAATATGATAAGTAATGCAACAACTGTCATTATGACCACACTCTTACAGAGTTATTCTATTTTAAAACCACATCAAGGATTTTTATGACTCAAACCCCTCTAACCCCCCCCCCATTTCCTCTATTAGTCTTACATTTCTCAGGTGGTATCTTATACGGCTGTTGTGACACTCTCCAAGCTTGAACTGTGAAGTCATCAGCTCCAGTGTATATGACATCATCATCTATCCCACTCCACTGTACACACAACAGCCTACCATGGTGACCTCTATAGTTACATATAGGCTCATTCTTCAATACATTCCACACCTAAATGCATAATATACTTGGAGGTTATGTCACTATACATGTACATGTAATGTGAAATATGCCTGAGTTCTACTAATATAGACCTTGACACAATATTTTCAAAATTCCCTGATTTTTACACCTGATTCAAATTGATATTCTTTGACCAAAATTCTTTCCAAGTAAATTCCGCTTGAGTTCTACTAATATAGGGTTGACACAACATTTTCAAATCAAAATTCCTTGATTTTCACCTGATTCAAATTGAAATTCTTTGACCAAAAGTCTTTCCAAGTAACTTAGTAACTTTATTATACTAAAACATAAGAATATGACACCAGTTTTTTTTTACTTATTGCCTTCCACCCTCATACATATACATACAGCGTCTTTCTAACCTGGGCTGTACCATCATAAGAAGCTGATACAAGAAGTCCTGGACTATGTGTACTCCAACTTAGATTGGTGATTCTATCGCAATGACCTTCTAGCTGACAAAAACTCTGTGTTATAGACAGGGCAGATTTGGCTGGGTCAGCTTCTGAAATAAAACAAATTGACATACAACAGACTGGTAGGAGACAAATGTCAAAATAAATCACTTTATTCAATAAATATACTTTAACTCGTCATCCAAATTATATTTAACTGATTATTTCTTATTGAAAATATTTACTGTAATGTGTATTAAAAATATATGGGTTGTTCAAACCTGATAAAATTTTAGAGAGATTGACGACGTGAATCATAGATTCATTCGAGCCTGACGCCAACCAGTATTGTTGTTCTGCTACAGTGCTGCCACCTTGAGTGTACATCGGATGCCAGCGAAGGCAGTTGACAAGTTTACGATGGACCTGGATGGAGCATAATAATTTCATATCTGGTGGTCGGAACACTTCAACAGACCTTGAAGAACAAGACACACAGCAATAAATATCCCTCTTTGAAGAGCAAAATGGCTGCCGTGTCATTTACTCAGCATGCCCAAAAGTGAATCAGATTCTGGCACTTGTCTGCTCATGCAGCTTCAATAGTTTAAAATTGAACAGATAAGCTGTTTTGTTATAATTTGATCCAAAGTAAAGACCATCTATGGTCTAACTTTTCACTTACATAGACCATGAGAGGTACAACTGCCAGCTCTGCATTATTAAATCTTACAGAATTCTTTAAGGGATCATCATCGTTTTTTTTAAAAAAGTCTACCAGTTCAAGCAATACTCACCCATCATCATTGCCAATAGCTACTACAGAGAAATCCTGTTTCCAGGTGATCTCACTCCTGATAGGGAACTTGTGCTGGAAATAAAGAAATAACAACATGAGGTTTTTGAGCAACTCTTTCAAACAATTCTGTGGTTTGTTTAATTTTATTTAAAAGGATGTGAGTAATTTTCTCGCAAAAGTTACTTTAGCTTGTTACTCGTCTTTATTGTTTCTTTAATTTAAAAAGAGAGACAAAATTGACCCAACCTGTACATTACAATAATGTCATTCTACTTAGAATGATGTCATCAGTTTGCCCTTATGATGTCATTGTCTCATTAATTTGCACTACGATGTCACCTTGCAATGTGCATGTATTAACCATGATGTCGTCTGATTGTTGTATGGTGTCAGGAAATATCTAATGGTGTCATTAATCTGCTATATGATGTCACTAACATGACCCAACATGTACATTACAATGATGTCATTATACTTGGATTGATGTCATTAATTTGCCCGTATGTTGTCATTGTGTCATTAGTTTGCACTACGATGTCACCTTACTATGTCCATGTATTCATAATGATGTTGTCTGATTGTTGTATGGTGTCGGGAAATTTCTAATGGTGTCATTAGTTTGCTAAATGATGTCACTATACTTACGATGATGTCATTAGTTTGCTGTATGAGGTCATTGATATTGTGTGCCTGCTCCTGTAGCTTGTAGGGGTCATGCTGTAGTATGACACCATCACCACAACTGTACACAAAATATGTGTCTTGGGAACCTTCAACTGCAGATAAGAAAACACAAAGGGCAATATTAGAAAACAATAAACCAATTAAGACCACATGTATTTAAATGGAGTAAAAACAAAAAGCATTTGGCTGTGTTTAGTAATTACCGTGACCGAACCGAACCGTTGGAATTTTGAACCGTTTGACCTCTAGTAATTAAGGCCAAATTTTTGTGAATTGCAATGCGTAACATATACGAATCAGATAATATTTTTACACATAGTATAAACGTGCATGTATATGATCAACTCAGTTCATTCCCCTATGTGAATGAGAAACATAACAATAAACAATAAATCAAATTGCATGTATTCACTTCAATAGAATGGAGTATCTGGTATACAAATATCTAACTCATCATCATCACTTGATATGTTTGAGCATCTGTCTCTATTCAAAATAAATATTTGTTTACTTCAAACAATGTCACCCTGATAAATAAATGTGCTGTTGCTTAAAACCTTTAAAATGCAATGTAGAAAAGGAATTGCAAGAATGATTATGGGGCAAAGCAAAAAGCTGAGTTGCAAACATTCCGAATTATAAAAGAAATATCTAAAATCAAATTCTTATTCAAGACCTTGGAAAAATGCATAAAAATGACCTGCGGATACTTTTAACGTGGGTCTCATACAAAATAATAAGTATTGAAACATCGACTATAAACACGACATTGTTTAATCCCATATGAAACTAAACATTAAAACAACTCCAGTTATCGTCCTTTTGTGGTGGCAATACACTGATAAATATATGATAAATAAATAGAATATCAGTTTCATTAATTGCGCTTAAAAGCTTCAGCGAGTACCCTGCGTGCAGAGTCTAGTTAAGAAGACGGAGTTCCCTTTTAAGAAGTGAAGTCGAACGAATGCAAAGGGTATTCAGCAATGACATCCAAAGAAACTTACAAAATGATTAAAAAAATGATTCTGGTTATCTCTGTTGTATGCTTCACATTGGTAAGTTGTTTGCTTATACAAATATTTTATCCCACTGATGGGAAAGATGCGTGGAGTTAAACTCCTGGATGATAATAATTTGCTGTTGTTATCCTGTTTCATCGTATACATTAAGTGGTAAAAGTGGATCTCATCACTTTCCATTACCTCTAAAAGAGGCCATATGTCCAATAGACATTTGCATATAAGATTGAGACTCCTGAAATATGACAGCCATTTTGAAATTAACAGCCATCTTAAAAATTCTTTTGTCCATATTTTTCAGACATGTGTTGAGTGTGTCATCTCAAAGAAATACTGTGGTTGTCCAAGGAAGTTGACACTAAAAGATGCGTTTTGCCCTATCCCCAGGGAATGTACTGAAATAAGAGGTTGTCCTGATGGCACAATATGTTGTACTACTTGTCGTGATACTTCCCTTAAACACTGCCTCAAACCAACAAGTAAGCCGAACATTGTGTGTACTTTGCACTTTTAAATAAATAGTACTGTGGGTACTGGGCTCACATGGTGTTGCTCAGAAGTGAATGATGACTAAAATGGCAGAAAAAAGGATATAATTTTTTGCCGATCTTTTGTAACAAAATTATTTCATACAACTACTCTTTACAGTGACATAGCTTTTTACATTGCAGGACACCTGAAATTATTTGTAAAGCTAGGAAATGGGACAAAAGTAAACTTCGCGAGACAAAATGGCCACCATTTTGAAAATAGGCAAGCTTTTAAACCAGGAGTCATAGGGGAGATTTTTGTATTGATGTTGAACAAAAAATGACTTAAAACGGGAATCCAATCTACAGAGGTTTTAAGGCAAATGGTCCAAAAGCGGATTTCGCGAGACAGATGGACAAATCAATGTTAACTAAAATTAATCTTTTTTTCAACTTGCTTCAAATTGACCAATTTTTTTTTCAAATTCATCTCCAAGTTCTGAGAAATTCAAATCTGACTTTAGATTGAACTCATAATATTGTGAGCAACTAGGCGTTGACATTTTGTCATGTTAATGACTTGTTGCTTTTTATTTTTGCTTTATTTGATATTCAACCACAATTCAATTACTTTAGTATTACTTTTTTTTGCTTATATCAAGGACGGACGTAATACAAAGAAAATGCCTCATTCGCAAATCAAATGTTGTGATAAGGCAATAGTAGGCCCTTGTTGTTGTTTCATTTCGATTAGTATATATATTGTACTATGCCCTGGGTATTAAATTAGCCCTGCCTATTTATATTGTACAGATTGAAACAAATCTATCACATTTTAAGTTGTCATTTACCCATTAAAATGTATTCTTATTTCCAATTAAGGATTGGGGTTTATCAATATAACAAACAAGAGTATCTTTATCAAATATGGGCTCCTGGGCCATCCTAGACAAAGCTAAAATCAACTGCGCAACATGTAATAGCTCATCTACACGTAAAGACCTGGAACTTTCACTCTTACCTGCACAAAGTAGACTATTCTGAAATCATTTTTCTGCGCATACATAGAAGTTCACATTCATGCTTTGTTGAATATGTTTTCAATGTAAATTGCACCAATATGATAATCTCATGTAAAACCTGTAAACTTCACGCTGGCCCACAAAAAATAAACAAATCATCATTTATGTGCGTGCGCATTGAAGTTCACATTCAAGTTTTGTTAAAAATGTGCAGCTTAACCTCTCTCGTATGTTCTTGGTTCTCGCACAGCCTTAAAGGGTAAAAGTAAAAATATGTTTCAATTCTTCTTCTGCAACATTAAATTTTGTAATCAAGGAAATTCTTACCAGTAGGTTCTTTGAAGTCTTCTATGAGATACCAGTTGATAATTTTAGTTTTAATAGCCCTGATGTTCATTGTGCTGTCTTTGATTTGAAGTTCTTCATTTTTAAGCTTCTTGTTAATTTGATTATTTCTAATTAATTGATTCCATGAGTGTGGTATTGCGTGGATTAAGCCATAGAATGTAACTAAGAGTGTATTTATATTGTATTTAAGAGAAAATTCTTCAAAACCTTAGAATTCATTATTATTGATAACTAGGTCTTTAATTTGAAGAATACCCTCTCATCCAATTAGCACTATAACTCTTCGATTATTAATTTTTATAAGAGGCAGGCTTAAATGATAAATCAAAAATAGGTTGAATCATTTGATACTTGTCTGATAGTTTGTACTTTGTAGCCTCGATGTCTGGCAGATTCAATATGGCCTCCTTGTTGAAACTAATTTTATGTTTATGTTTATTTCCTTTTTTTGCTATACTTTCACATTGTGTATCATTCGCAGTCAAGACCCTCTGGGTCAAGATTGCAGTAAAATATCCCATTGACGACCATTATAACGTTTCATTTCATAATATATTCATGGGCACAGATCTAGCTCAGCGAAACAGTGCCCAGTGTTCATTGGAGTCTTGTCTAGCTTGCCGTTACAAAATAAACATACGGTGAGCACACCGTTTTTGAGATAACTGAATCTGGAGAGAGCTACCACTGTAAAGCTACCTGTTTCAGAAAATTATTCTGCTCTACATAGTCTCAAAAATCACTCCGCCATCTCTAGAGATTCTGTTTCTAACCAAACTTGTAAATGTTTCCTGATAGATTAGTACTTACCCTATCGAGAATAAACCTTGATTCATTTATCAAACACTAGATGGCACTGCGACGGGACAGAAAAGGAGAAAAAGCTTTTTTTATACAGAAAACCAAATAACCAGCGGTAACCGCTAGTATCCCTACTCCGGACTATATTCTCTGTTATTTCATGTTTGAACTATGCAATAATGTCAATACTAAACAATTAAGGTAAAATCAGAGAAGGTCTCACCTGCAGAAGTACCTCAATCTGTAAGTGACTGGAGAAGGTCATTCATTGTTAAAAACAAGAACACAATAGGGTGCCTTTCAAAACACTAGGATTAAAAAGTGAAGCTTAGTATGTTCTGACACATTGTAGTTTTATACTGACAAATAAATTTAAGAATTTAAAAATCAAGGTTTTATTCAAGGTGTTAAGAATCACTGTCAAAAACAACTTTTTGCATATTTTTAACATAATTTTTTTTGTGATTTGTTGTAAATATACTTCATAAAGATTCATATTGAAAAAAAATGGACTTCCATTTTACCTTTTTCAATAAATTTCTAAGTCCTTATAAGTACACTAATGGGTGTGGACCCTTTCCCTGGTTTCAAACCAATTTAAGAACCTGGAATTCAAGAGGTTTATATCCTGTGTGCGAACAATTAGGATTTTAATTGGATATTACATTTTTATTAGGTTCTTTAAAAATTTGAATCAATCATAAGATTAGTGGGAACAAAGAACACTGTTTTTGGGCATATTTTGAAAATTCACCTGTTCACAAGGAACATGGAAAATTGGGTACATTGTACATTCTATTGTTTTTCAGAGGGGTGAATGGCTTAAGCCAATTTCTGATTTTAAAGAGCACAGATTAAAAAGAATGAGAGTCTTAATCTTGTATTAGCAAATGCAAATAGCGGCTAGCTGCTACCGGATTAACCTATGTATTTTCAGAGATTAAACCGTCATTTTGAAGTTATTACTAATTACGAACAACCGTCAGTCGATTGTAATAAAGTCACTCGGTTGAATTAGCGAACAGATCGTATGTCATTGTAACATGCTGCTAAATAGGTAGATTAACCCGTTATTTGGGCCAGCGACTCAATGTGAAGCGAGAGATGATAGCTGCCAAATCCCACCCACTGTTAATTACCCCAATATTCTTTTACTCAAAGAAATCTGTTAATATTAAATGACTTCAAGGAACTGTTTGTGCCAGTCAAGAGTTCCATGTAAGCAGGTTTCATTGTATATTAAATTATGAATGGTTTTATTTGTTGCAATTTTCCACCAAACAGAAATCATTTTCAAAATTCATATTTCAGACCCTATTAAACCAGGAGCATGCCCAACCTTTGGAAAACGTGATGTGAGTCGAGAAAAACGTTGTGGTCAACCATGTGCAAATGATTGCGACTGTAAAGGGGCCCAGAAATGTTGTGATGTAGGTTGTGTAATATGTTTGAATCCTGTGTACACAATGGTAGACATATAAATTACATTATAAGCACTGAATACTAGACAGCAATAAAGTCTGAAGTTGAACATTAGTATTCAATAGTTATTTCTATTTACAATTTACATAATTGCCTCCTCTATTTACTCTTATTTTGAATATAATAAAAGCATACAATTTTTTCAGTTAAAAGTGATAATAGTTAAAATCCACAATAGCCATTCAGTGAATTAAATACACAATTCAGTCAATCATATATTAGAAAATTTTATTGAGCATAATATGAGACTATAACATTGACCATAAATTTCATTCTACAATTTGGATCAAGTTCATTCTAGCAGGTTACAGACACCAAAAGCTGCACACAGCACGCCAAACACCATTTACAAAAATGTTGATGACCATAACAATATGTCACCACTTCTGGTGGCGACATAACAGTTTTACAGTACATGTACTTGGACATGGGCACTTTTAGATAAACAAATTCAACAAACCTAAAGCAGGACATGGAGGCCCCCACGTCACAACATACACGGTTCTCTTGTGGTATGTTGACGATATATTAGGGGCTCTGGAAATACACACACAATCAATTAATCATTCAAACAAGTCAAACAATCAAACTCAATATCTAAAAATGTTTTTAATTGAAAGAGGACTCCCTAATAAACATTAAGCAATATGTCACTATACTCTTCCGATAAATCTATTGACTTCGCTACATACATGTAAAAGAAACTAGATTATATTTATATTGGCTGGATTGTTAAAAATTAAAATCCGAAAATGTTTTCAAAACAAACAATACTACCTTAAACCTACAACCCATGAATTTTGATGGAAATATGAAATAAATGTTTTTTGTATTTTACTAATGAGACATTGAATAATAGTATTGGTGATAATTACTTGTTTGAAAGAACATCATAGATTCCTACTCTACCATCATCTGTTCCATAAGCCAAGAGTCCCTCTTTTGTAGGATGCCAACTCAACTAGAAAACATCACACAATTAATGCCTCAGTCACATTTGATCCATGGTAACCCTGTGACGGACATAGCTTCCAAAAATCAAGAGAAATGTGCAGCATAAAAATAAGGACAAGCAATATGATGTAGATTTTCTATATCAATTTTGTGAAGCTAAAGCTGCTGTACGTTTCCAGTAGGGGAAATGTGACTTGAGGTTTAAGGTAGGCAGAGAGAATAAGAAATCTCATGAACTGACATGAATAGACTTGATGCGAGTAGAAAAAAATCTTGATTTACATCATAAATATTCAAAATTCAGTGAAAGTGATGTCATATTTGAAATCTATATGTAAAAGTATATCAAGAAATATGGTTTCGAAAATTGTTTATCAACTTTGAAAATTTAGTTGTTCTATTAATGTGACTTCTAGTTTGGGTTAATACCCCACAGACCCCTGTTACAAAATAAAATAACATGACAAAATGTCACCACCTAAAACAATTTGGTCAATTTAAAGCAAGTTGGAAAATACATTTTGACCTTCAGAAGGTTTGATTTGAACTTCTTAGAACATGTAGATGATTTTGAAAAAAAAATTCGTCAATTTGAAGCAAGTTGAAAAAATACCTCTTTGACTTTTTTTGACATTGAGAAGGTCATTGAAGGTCAAATGTCAAATGTAAAGTCAGATTTGAACTTCTGAGAACATGTAGATGATTTTGAAAAAATAAATTAAGTAAATTTGAAGCAAGTTGAAAAAAGACCTTTTTGACCTTGAAAAGGTCATTGAAGGTCAAATGTCAAATCTAAAGTCAGATTTGAACTTCTGAGAACATGTAGATGATTTTGAAAAAAAAATTAGTCAATTTGAAGCAAGTTGAAAAAAGACCTTTTTGACCTTGAGAAGGTCATTGAAGGTCAAAGGTCAAATCTTAAGTCAGATTGAACTTCTGAGAACTTGTAAAGTCAAATTTGAACTTCTGAAAAAGATGTAGATGATTTTGAAAAAAAAATTGGTCAATTTGAAGCAAGTTTAAAACAGACCTTTTTGACCTTGAGAAGGTCATTAAAGGTCAAATGTCAAATCTAAAGTCAGATTTGAATTTCTGAGAACATGTAGATGATTTTGAAAAAAAAATTAGTCAATTTGAAGCAAGTTGAAAAAAGACCTTTTTGACCTTTTTTGACCTTGAGAAGGTCATTGAAGGTCAAATGTCAAATCTAAAGTCATATTTGAATTTCTGAGAACATGTAGATGATTTTGAAAAAAAATTTTAGTCAATTTGAAGCAAGATGAAAAAATACCTTTTTGACCTTTTTTGACATTGAGAAGGTCATTGAAGGTCAAATGTCAAATCTAAAGTCAGATTTGAATTTCTGAGAACATGTAGATGATTTTGAAAAAAAATTTTAGTCAATTTGAAGCAAGTTGAAAAAAGACCTTTTTGACCTTTCTTGACTTTGAGAAGGTCATTGAAGGTCAAATGTCAAATCTTAAGTCAAATCTTAAGTCAGATTTGAATTTCTGAGAACATGTAGATGATTTTGAAATTTTTTTTTAGTCAATTTGAACCAAGTTGAAAACAGACCTTTTTGACCTTTTTTGACCTTGAGAAGGACATTGAAGGTCAAATGTGAAATCTTAAGTCAAATCTTAAGTCAGATTTGAATTTCTGAGAACACGTAGATGATTTTGAAAAAAAAATTTAGTCAATTTGAAGCAAGTTGAAAACAGACCTTTTTGACCTTCTTTGACCTTGAGAAGGTCATTGAAGGTCAAATGTCAAATCTAAAGTCAGATTTGAAGGTCAAATGTCAAATCTCAAGTCAAATCTAAAGTCAGATTTGAATTTCTGAGAACATGTAGATGATTTTGAAAAAAAATTTAGTCAATGTGAAGCAAGTTGAAAAAAGACCTTTTTGACCTTGAGAAGGTCATTGAAGGTCAAATGTCAAATCTAAAGTCAGATTTGAACTTCTGAGAACATGTAGATGATTTAAAAAAAAATTGAAGTCAGTCTAAAAAGTATTTGTTAAGTTATAGGAAGTTGTAAGAAATTGTTACAGACGCCAGACGCCGGACGCATTGAAGTCAGTATAAACAGTATTTGTTAAGTTATAGGAAGTTGTAAGAAATTGTTACAGACGCCGGACGCCGGACGCCAACCTCCAACCACCAACCACCGTCGCAAAAAACGGAGACCATAACAATATGTCACCACTTTTGGTGGTGACATAACAAAAAAACAGAGACCATAACAATATGTCACCACTTTTGGTGGTGACATAAAAAGGTGAAATATCTTCTTGTATTTGACAAATAACATTTTCTTTTATTTGACATATTTAATTTGCATAACTATTAGGTACACAAGGGTTATATGAACCACTAAAACAGATGTAATTTAAGTTAAAGGGATTTTTCAACTGTACCCGCCATGCTATCAGACACGATTGAGCCACCTGGTGGTGAAACTACCTACTCCCATTTATGTTATTGGAAATCTGCACAATGATTTTCATGATTTTTAGTGAAATTGTTAAAAATGGATATTTACAAATTAATAAAAAAGAATTTCGTAGTTCAAAATCAAGATACATGTTGTATTTTGCTAAGATTATGTTGAATGACATTTAAACTTTCAAATCTTTTTTTCTAAGATCTTAATCATCAACAATGAATATTTAGCATATCTTATGTGTGTTCATGTGCTTTGTTATTAGCAACAGGCCCCAAGGAATCAATAATTCACAGAAAAGGGCACAACATTTTTCAGTTGGATCCATGTAAAACAAGGACTTTCTTCAAAAAACACATTTTGGATTTTTCATAAAACTTAAAAACTTAGTTATATGAATACTGTATACTTCATATTTTCAAAATAAAAATTAGAATTTGGCATCTGTACTTTTCCACTTTGTCCAGAGGACATCGTTACTCTACTGACAATGTTTAATTAACGTTTATTGGACATAGGTCTCTAATATACATTCCGTCATCATGCAATAAATGGCCACAATATTTTTTTACTTACAGCGGTTACTTTTGCACGTAGCCCTTGCCATAAAGTAGTTATATCATAGACGTCTCCTGGATTGTTGACGTTCCAGATACGGATCATATTGTCACCAACACCTAATGCCAGACGACCTGAAAACACATGTAAAAATCTACACTCTGAAATCCTTGGATCTAAGCTTTGGATAATCAGATTGGGTCATTCAAAATTGAGCTAGCCAATCAGAATGGCAGTTACAAAATTTCATGCCTTCATAAGATGCTTGCATTAATTTCATGTTCAAACTCATATTTAATGCCATTAGAGCTACCTTTATAAGGTTATTCAGAAGATGAACATATATAATAATAATGTGCAAAATGTCACCACCTGCTATTTGTTACAGATTCTGACCACTGAACACCGTAGATCCATGTGCGATAGTATTGCTAGAATCAATTTTCAATAGTGAGAATAGAGGTTCTTAAACACAGGATGTTGGGCTTGCTTTTAGGACTTATAGGATACATTACATTATACTTCGTCTCGTTCCAATACAGGATTTCTCGAGCAGAATATATTCTGTATTGCACTTCAAATCATTCAATAGCTTATAGTATTGCTACTGAGATTGTCCCCATTTATCATCTCCATAGCAGTTCAGAAAATATTGGTACAGATTCTGTACGGAGGAGACAGTCTCGATAGCAATACAGATATTACAGAATATTTCTTGGGGATTATCTCCAAAGTAAAATGTATTGGCCTAAGATCACACGATAAAAACCTTATAGAATGATTTGAAGTTCAATACAGGAAATATTGTGCTCCCTATGTTCTGTATTATAATATCCTAACATTTAATTATAAAATAAATTTTGAGATTTCATTGTCCATTTTATAAGACAACATTTCTGCTATTTTGCACTGGATCAACTTGCTACCATTTAGACTCTTATGACACATCATCTAACGTGATAGCACAGTAAACAAATTATGTACTTCGCTATGCTACCCTTCCTTTAAACAACAACATAAATAAATAAAACACTGCCCAGTAATCCCATTCAAAGAAATCAAATATTTACTTAATCACAGCTCTTAAATGACCATTAAATAGCAGCACTATAACTTTGAATTATAAATTACTTTGGTTCTTATGAAGAATATTGATTCATGGACACTTCAATTATTGATCCAACTTCCATTCCTTGAGATTGAATAAATACCCTTGGCAAAATATCTCAGGCATTCCATCATTTCTGTCTATATCCTTGAAAATATACAAGCAGTGAGGAATTGGCAAGGACATAAGTGCTTAACTAAAACAAGCAATTGGATCTGAAAGTTTTAATTTTTGATGAAAATCTTCCAAAAAATAATGGATTGTTTATTGGCTGGTGGCTTTACACCCACCCTATCCAAGTGATCCTGTTCCGTGGCACTGGGTTTGCTGACATTGCTAAGAAACATTACTGATCATTTCAGTAAAAATGGCGACCTTACTCTTCAGAAATGAAAAAAAACTATTTTTCCAGCTGAAAATATTCAATCTAAGACCATATGTTACCATAGAATGGCTCATTTTGCGATTTGTCCCTGGGGATATATCTATGGTTGAGCTGTGGCCTCACATGCCAAACTAGCTGTTAAACATAACATCCATTTTCAAAGGGTAAGGTTACCATTCTTACTAAAATGATCAGTTATATTCCATAGGATAACATACCTAGCAAAGCATTTGTATGGAAGTCAATGGAGCTGAAGGTCGGCTATATATTCCTGTATAGCCACCGAATTTTTTACCATGATAATCTTATGACGTCATGTTTCATTTCTTCCAAATTTCACTTGCACAAAGACGTGTGACATCATTGATATAACGTAGCCATGAAAATAAAGGTATGTAATATAACAATTATGTCCATATCATTGAATATATGCCTTCGGTCTGTCATAATATAACCCTCGCAAGCTCAGGCTATATTGAATCATTGATGACAGACCTCAGGCATATATTCAATGATAGGGACATAACTGCTAAGAACAGTATTGTAAACAAACCAAGTAACGCAGAATGGATCACTTGGATAGGGTGTTATAATAGGGTGTTATAATATCATGTAAGGCCATAAGAATTAGATTCTTTGTTTTACGTCCTGGCAAAATCCAAATCATGCAAGGGTACAAGGAAAACAAACACAAATCCAAGAAAAAACACAAACTTGTTTGCTGAGAAATGTACACATTTTATGGGGCTTTGTATAAAAAACCTCCTACCTCATACCCACCTACCCATGATACAGTCTTTGAAGGGTTCAATTTTAAAGATCTTAGTTTATCAAATCTTAGTTTATGATGAATTATAGATGCATTTGTAATGACCCTTGATAGCAAGTTGCTACTACATCCCAGCTGGTTTCGATTCCCACTCGGGGCATCGAATTTAGCACACTTTCTTTCAATTTCTTTATCTGGCTTGTTGGACCTATGCTCGCGGTCGTTAGTTATTTATTCCCCGGGGGCGCCCTCGGGTCATTACACATTAAAATGCATCCATATGCCTTTATTTATGGATCTGTCACCTGTCTAGTCATAAAATAAAGCCGGAATTGTGGAAATGTTAATAATTTGAGCTATTTTGAGATTTAATAATCTTTAAAATTGAACCCTTCAAAGACTGTATCATGTTCCACGTAGGTGGGTAGGTGGGTATGAGGTAGGAGGTTTTTTATACAAAGCCATTTTATGGGCATAAAAAGGGATGACATACCAATTTGCAGTGATTACCAAAACACATCTATACATTTTACACATTATATTTAAACATATCTATTATTCAAGGGTACAAAATAAGAAAATACACAATGTATGCCAAAGTAATCAATAACACTGTCAATTTTAAGGCACATAAAATTATCCACCATTTCGTCTGAATCTGATTGAACAAAATGCAATGGTACTTTCAGACCCTTGTGATTGCTAGTTGGATGTTTTTTCTGATTTACTCAAAATCATGCAAGCAAGGGGACGCAAACAAAGAATCTATTTCTTATGGCCTAACTTGTGTATGTATATTAAGTAAAGTATACTGCCAAATATTGATCTGACCACTCAGACCCCTCGTGACTTCACACGGAACGATTAAATTGCACTATAAGAGCGAAACTAACCATAACTGGTTCATTCCTGATTTTGACTTTCAGAAAGACACTAACAGGTATGTAAATTTAAATTATTTTCTTCAATTGATATTATTACTGTCATTAATTATGTATCTTTGATTTTCTGAAGGACAATTACAGGTACAGAGTATACATGTATACAAAATTTCAACTTATTTTCTACCATTCAATAACGATATTAAAATATTTTTAGTAATAAAGATATTAAAAAATTAATAATCTTTTTCTAAAATGAAATTCTAATAGCAACCTAGTAAGATCTGAATAGACATTGGACATATATTTTGGAGCAGAGGCCAATAGTAGAAATGTGGCGAATGGTAAACAAATAGCAACACCTGGAGTAGCGAATCCCACCTAACAATATAGATATACAAAATCTGTCGACCAGTATTTGAGTTATTGCCCAGACAGAGAAACAGATGTAGACATCTAGACATGTGGTTTCAAAAATTATTTATCAACTGATGAATACAAATGATGATGAATAGAGGGGAGGACTTTACTGTATCCCTACCACTTTGTTTGTTGGGATAGTAGACATTGATTGTTTTAGGGATATGGTTTTAATGACTGTAAATCCTATTGATTCTGTATTGAGAGATGAAGCTCAAAGCAACTTGAATACATAGAATTCTCACAAATAAACACCATGGAAACAGTTGACTATACACACTTTATCGAAAAGTTGACCATACACATTTTATCAAAAAGTTGACTATACACATTTTATCTAAAAGTTGACTATACACATTTTATCTAAAAGTTGACCATACACACTTTATCGAAAAGTTGACTATATACATTTTATCGAAAAGTTGACTATACACACTTTATCGAAAAGTTGACTATACACACTTTATCGAAAAGTTGACTATACACACTTTATCGAAAAGTTGACTATACACACTTTATCGAAAGGTTGACTATACACACTTTATCGAAAGGTTGACTATACACATTTTATCGAAAAGTTGACTATACACACTTTATCGAACGGTTGACTATACACACTTCATCGAAAAATTGACTATACACACTTTATTGAAAAGTTGACTATATACACTTTATCAAAAAGTTGACTATATACACTTTATCAAAAAGTTGACTATATACACTTTATCAAAAAGTTGTCTATACACACTTTATCAAAAAGTTGACTATACACATTTTATCAAAAAGTTGACGATACACATTTTATCAAAAAGGAGATGCAATTTGATAGAAAATATGTTTCTATTCAATGTGCACGACACAATCTCAAAATATTATTTCAAATATCCAAATCAATGGAAATATAAATACAAGTTTTTCTATACTACTGACTAGTACATAAAGCCAACAAATGTGATGTTTACATATAAATATAGCATCATTTGCACTATTATATCATTTTTGTGACAGCATGTGTTATATGTGGTAACAACTATATAGCCTCAGGTTGAACCCATAACTGTATAAGTGGTATTTAATCCGAGTGATTAATTTGCCCAATGGTCAAATTTTATAATTTTCCTAATTTTAATTTTCCTAGTGACAAGAAACTTCCCATTGGATAACATTATGAAGATAATATTTCCAATACTTACTGTATACAAAAAATTAAGCAAAAGGCAAATTAAATGATTAAGAAAAATTACTACTTATACAGTATCTCATCACATTGCAGTGTGTACCATCAATTAATATGGCATTCCTTATTCTAATCACTAATTACACAAGGGACCAATGCAAAAGTTCAATGTCAGAGATTGGACTATATTCTGAAATTTAACTCTCAGATAAATTATCGAAATCGTTCTTTTACATTGGTCCCTATAATTGCCAAAACTATTGGTTTCTCTGTAAAATAATTTACAACATTTAATTTTCAGGTCTCTTATAGGAAAAGCTGAACAAAATGAGACAAATCATCTTGATTGCCTTGGTACTGGTGGCCATCCTGGTTTTAGCCGATGCAGGTATAATGTCTTTTAGCTAAGGGAGATATGGGTGATTTCTCAGACATCATTGTTCATTGGTTGATATCATGAGCCAATCACTGACATTTGAAGATTCTGGCGTGTTTGTAAGATGTACATTGATTAATAGAGCCAAAATACTTGAATAAATGAATTAATCAATTGTGGATGAAATTTTTAATCAAGTTTGTTGTGGCACTAATTTCATTAATTCTTATTTTCAGGATATTTGTGTTAAGATGTGTTAACCTTATCCTTATCTTCATTGATAAGTCTCCTATTGATCATAGGCCATAAAAGAATAATAGGTATTGGCCAATAAATATTGTGATAAACTCTAAACGTTTGTAAAGACTTATCAGTGATATAGATTAGAGCCCAGGTGCCAAGAGGCGTAGTTAAGACTTTAGCTTCCGATGAGTCACATGTGAAATCCTATTCTTGTGTTCAGTTTGTTAGCTAGGATTGAGTCTGAGTTCTATCATGGCATCTTTGTTTATTCGGCTCCCATCGGACCGCATGAACACAGTGAAGACCAAGCGTGCGAAGATGCACACATGGTTGTCCTAGTAATAGCCCTTTGCTGTTGCACAACAAGTTTAATTGTCTCTAACAGACTAAGTCAATTGAAATTAATTATGAACTTTCACATTTAAATTGCTTGTCTCAATGAACCATTTACTATATAGATAATATATAAATGGATACATAGATAGCAGCAGGTCTGTTGGTTGGGTCAGAATATGGGGATTTAGCTTGACCTTATTCAGAAAACTTGAACATTCCGAATAAGGGCAAATAACTGCATATCATGTTGTTCTAATAGAAAATCCACCACACAGAATTCAAATATGCCATAGAAAAAACGTTGGTCTTTAAGGGTTTAAATATCTCATTAAAACTAGAATCAAACTGATGCAAGTCTATAGCTTTTGGAAATCTGTCAGATTTACCTAACATGTCTGAATTGAGCCATATTTGACGTAACATCATCACATCACAATTGTTTTCTAGGAAAATGGAAAGGTGAAGGAAAAGGGAGACGTCAAGGAAAAGGGAGAGGTCAAGGTAGACGCATGATTTGCTCAGAAGATTCTGACTGTACCGAAAAGAACCCTGACTTCACATGTAGAAATGGCCGCTGCAGGCCTGAGGGAAACGGTAGACCAGGAAGAGGTAAAGGAAAAGGGAAAGGTAGACCTGGCAGACGACAAGGCCAACTAACTTGCTCCGAAGAGTCAGACTGCACTGATAGGAACCCTGACTTCATATGTGAGGAAGAGCGCTGCAAGCTCCAAAACTGTGATGTTGGGACTGATTGTCCCACAGGGAAGACATGTGAGTCTTTGGCCAGGAGAAAGGTATGCCTGTCACCACCATGTACCGGTGACGCTGATTGTACAGCTGAGGGAGAAAAATGTCTCAGGACATTCCCAAAGAGAAAGACCTGCAGAGCACCCCGTACCTAAAAAACATTGTACATTTTACTGAGCAACGAAGAAACATTTAGAGAACCCCATAGTAGATTCCTAACAATACGCAAATAAATCCAGAAAGACCTGCAGGCCTGCAACACTGTGTTAATCTGTAAACATATACTCTATCCAGAAAGATCTGCAAACTACCCTGTCTGTTTATCGAAACATAAAAGAAAGATCTGCAGATCACCCTGTATTGACTCTTAACAAAACATAAGATAATAAATATCTAAAGAGCACCCTGTAGATTAATACAAGCTCTTAACAATACTTTCCTGAACTTATAGGACATACCGGAATAGTTCAAGGCTAGATTTTATGGCAGTATGAAATATTAATTGTGAATGTATCATGGAACAATAGATTAATAATGTAACATTAACAATGTGTTTTCCATATATCATGCAATGAATTGTCTCGTATTGTATAACTTTTGGCAGTATTGTTGCTTGTCATGCTACCATACAAACCACCTATTGTTCACAAATAGCCTATTAGAAATAATTCATGATAATTGTGTATAGACTTATTTGGAATAAATATTTTCTACCTCTTTACAATTGAACTTGAATTATTAAATTCTATAACATTGGAAAATAACATTCAATCAAGTTGATTTGGTTAGGCATGTCATATTTCATGATAGCCTACGCGCCAAGTCTAGTTATAAACTACCCTCTGCCTAGTATAGACTACATGTATATTACAGTTTAGCACCCTCGCCTCTACAGCCAATGCCAGTGACAGCTCAGGTCAGTAATCATTTCACATCTTCCGCACTGACCAATTCTCAACCAATCAGCAAGCTGAAAGGAATACATGCTAAATGCGTGCACAATAATTATGTGATTTAACTTGAGAAAATGACCATATAGAAAGTCGTCCTTATTTCGATGACGAACTCTGACCAGCGCGGTGAGTTCAGAGATTTATTGAAAACTGAAAGAGTGAAGACGAAGCTCTCTTTTGAGAAGCAAAGTCGAACGAATGCAAAGAGTAATTTCATGAGGTGCTAATTGGAGCAGTTACCTCCAATTGATTCTATTTATATCCAAATACATGTATGAGTAAAAATGTACAAATGATTTAATAACATTCCATCCATCTGTCACTATGGTTATTATTGAAAATACTTAATCATGTTGGCCAATTGACAGATTGTCGTCAGTTACAAATAACATATGATTATTTGATCCAATTCTTTATAAATCAAATAGTAGATGTTTTCAATCCAGGGAGCTGCAGAACCAGCTAAAAAGATGAATATTAGTACCTTAACAGTATTCAATCTCAATTTTCTAAAATGCGACCAGTGTACCCATCGTAATGATTGCCTCACTATTTACGCCAGATATACAGGGTGGTCCAAAAAAAGTGAACCTCTGCAACGGGCCAAATTTCCCTTATTACTTGCAGGAATTCTTTTTCATTTTCACATGTTGTAGAGGAAGGTCTAAAATTTATACTGGTACCATAAATTATAAGCCCTAACCAAATATTACTGAAAATGGATAAAATGTGATTTTCAATATCCGCGATTCTTCAACCCTTCAACACCCTTCCTCTGACATTTTTTAAGCTGCAGTCTTAAAGAACTAATATTTTCTGACTTTGTTAAATTTTGAATCCCGCACATTATGGCTGTAGTTGCAAAGTTATTGTGATCCAAAGAAATGTTCTCAGCTTCCATAGACGAAAACATTTTCCAGTGAAATCGCGAACATACCCCTATATGATCTTGAAATGTCAATATATTCATAAATCATGGGCCAGTTCTAATGAAATATGGCTCAAAGCATTGAACATTGGATTTTCTTTTGATTTTTTAAAGATATTTGATGAAGGGCTTCTCAGATTCCTGATCATAGGGGGCAACTTCCTTCTACAAGAGTCCCCCCTCTAACTGTTGGTGTAGGTAACATACCCCTGAACTGTTGAACAGTGAAAACTGCTTCAAAATGATCAATGAAAGTGTGAAATGTGTTTTCTGCTTAACAGTGTCCCTTTTGTCATATGGTAGGGTTTTAGACTTGTATCTCTAACTGAAAGCTGTTTTAAGATTATCCAATGTGTTTCAACAATTTCCGTGAATCACATTGGTAAAATCTTGTACAATATCTAATTTTTAGGCATGTTTGTTAAACTTTCTTCAAAATTTATGACTGAGAATAAATTATGGCATCAACCAAAATTCGCTTTTTTTGGACTACCCTGTAATTAAGAAGCCATATTATGGGACACAACTATGATTTTCAAAAAAGGTTTCATTTTACCAAGTTTCATGATTTTCTCAAGACCTTATCAGTCCATTTAATAACCAAATATGGGTGCATCAATAAGAAACGTGAGTGGCACTGATGCTTAACCCAACGCTGAATAGTGGAACGGGCGATTATGAGCGATTCAGAAATTGAAATTGAGGTTGAAAGTGACAACTATAATCTTGATGATAATAATTTGAAATAATTCAGAAATACTTGAGTCAGGTGATGAAATGAAGGAGAAAGAAGGCGCTGCTGTCAGGAATGGTATGTGCAAATGATTCTATAGACCACAAGATAAATAAATAAAATACCACTTTATAATCCTCCCTTCAAAGAAATCCAATTAATACATTATCACAGTGCATTACCACTGCTACAGATAGTAGCAGTGGCATTACTTTAAATCTTCTAACTATAAAACAGGGTAGTTCATCTCTCTCTCTGCCTCTCTGTCCAGACATCTCCTTCTTGATCATTCAACCTTGGGTCATTATACTTGGTCAACTTATTAAGTGGGTCAATTCTACAAAGGTCAGAGGTCAAAGTCATTCCAAGGTCAAAATCTAGGTATTTGGCATTTTAAGGCCATTGAGGGCTGCTGTATCAAGATCAACTTTATGGGTCAAAGTCATTCCATGGTCAAAAGTCAATATTTAGGTCTTTGGCGTTTTAGAGCATTTGGGGGCTGCTGTGACCTTTGGCCTGAGGTCAAGTTAAACATTTATCAGTGAAAATCATTCCTAGTTCAAAGGTAAATATCTAGGTATTTGGAAATACTTGAAAATATAGCAGCTGTGAGGAACTTAAACAATAACACAAGAGTTTAAACAAATCAATTAGATCTGAAAGTTTTAAAAAAAGGTTATGAAAATTTTCCAAGAAAATTAAAGATTAAATGGTTAAGTGGTGGTGGCTTTATGTACTATCATGTAACCTGTGATCTGAAAGAAAGTTCTTTAAAGTTCTATGAACATCTCTCAAGAAAATAATGGGTAGTTTATTGGATGATAGCTTTAAATATATAGGTATCATGTGACTTTAAGTAGATTATATTGCTAAATACTGATCAGAACACCCGTGGCTACACGGAACAATGCATTGAATTGCACTTATAACAATTGAAATGCACTTATAAAAGCTGGACTTAACATAACTGGTTTATTCCTGATTTAGAGTTGCGAAACGACACTCACAGGTACGTTCAACATTTCAATTTATTTTCTACCAACAGAATATATATGATATGTTAATGTCATTAATTTCCCGAAATTTCGAATTTCCAAAATAAGTGTGATACTATTCTCCATACCAGTCAACACACAGCTATAGTATCATACTCTAAGGCTGCTCTTGTGTGATGTCATTTACTTGATAATGATAGCTTGGGAAACCCCTGTTGAAAATTGCTAAAAGTAGGGGTCATTATAACGGCTCCCACTCCATAAAAATGTTATTAATTTCTGTTATTCATAATACATGGAATGAAAGATGAGTATCTATTTCATAAATGTAAGTAAAAATCAGTATTATATCCACACAGTAACATGCTGTATTAAAGCTTTGAGAACACAATAGTTATGTACAACCTTTAACAAAAAGAAAGTTCCAAGTAGCTTATCAGAGCGACTGACCAACTGACCAAATCAGTTCAATCTGTAATGGAAATAATACTTAATCTATCCTTGGAAACTGAATTACACTGAACCAAATGTGTTTCCAGGTCTCTAAAAGGATAAGCTGAACAAGATGAGACAAATCATCTTGGTTGCCTTGGTTCTGGTGGCCATCCTGGTTTTAGCTGATGCAGGTATAATGTCTCATAGCTTATGAGCGATTTCTCAAACATCATTGTTCATTGGTTGATATCATGAGCCAATCACATTTGAAGATTCTGGCATGTTTAATTATAAGATGCACATTGAATAAAGATGGTCAATAAATAAGTTTACGGATAGGTAGATAAGATTAGTGTTTTGATTATGTTCTATCATCTATAAAGGCAAAGTCATTAAAAATTATTATAAAATTTCATACAAGCTTGAGGGAAAAGGGACACCGGAAAAAGGCAAAGGTCAGGGTTTTCAATTTCCTTGTCTCAAGTGAATGGTTTAGCCATTATAAATCAAACTCACACACTAGTTTGGGGAATCTGTGAGACTTACCAGGCATATCTAAATGAACCATATTGAAGGTGTTTAAATATAATATCATACTATCACATCATTATTGTATTTCCAGGAAATAAAAAAGGCAAGGGAAAAGGCAAAGAACCCCTGACCTGCTCAGAAGATTCCGACTGTACTGGGGAGAACCCTGATTTCATTTGTAAAAATGGCTTTTGCAAGCCTAAAGGAAAATGGAAGCCAGGAAAAGGCAAAGGGAAAGGTCAAGGCAAAGGACCTGAACCCCTGACCTGCTCAGAAGATTCCGACTGTACTGAAGAGAACCCTGACTTCACATGTAAAAATGGTCGCTGCAAGCTCGAAGGAAAAGATAAACCAGGAAAAAAAACTGACGCCAAGCCTAAAGGAAAATGGAAGCCAGGAAAAGGCAAAGGGAAAGAACCCCTGACCTGCTCAGAAGATTCCGACTGTACTGAAGAGAACCCTAACTTCACATGTCAGAGCGGCCTCTGCAAGTCCAAAGGAAAATGGAAACCAGGAAAGGGCAAAGTGAAAGGTCAGGGTAAACCTAGCGACAAGCCTAAAGGAAAAGGGAAACCAGGAAAAGGCAAGGAGAAAGGTAAAGGTAAACCTAGCGTTAAGCCTAAAGGAAAAAAGAAACCAGGAAAAGGCAAATGGAAAGGTCAAGGTCAGGGCAAACCTGACAAAGCGACTGTGGCTTAAGACTGACTTGTTTAATGATCAAAATTTAATGACTCTACAAGTGAGATCCCTCTTAATTGGTATTTCATTATACATAAATGAATGAGCACTAAGCACCAAATGATACAGGCTCTCTTTTCTGAACTTACCAGAATATTTCATAGCCAGATAATACAGCAGTATGAAATATTAATAGTGAATGCATTATGGAACAATAGATTTACAATATAACATTACCAATGTGTTTTCTATGTATCACACAATGAATTGTCTTGCATTGTATAACTTTTGGCATCACTGTTACATTTCATGCTATTATTCAAACCACTTATTGTTCAAGATTGGTCTACTAGAAAATGATTAGTGATAATTATGTGTGGATCTATTTGAATAAAGATTTTCTTCCTCTACAAGTGAACTTGAATTATTTGTGGGTCACACGACACAGTTCTATTGAACAAAAGTGAGTCAAGCTTGAAGAATATGAGTCAAATTGAATCAAAAACCTGTTGCTCAGCACTTTTAATGTTTTGGTGCTTCGAGGAATTGTTTCACATTTCAAGACTGGCAAACAATCTCTCGTGCGGTGGGCAAATGAGAAAAACCAAAATCTTGAAAAATTAGTCCGATTTGTTCCACAATTAATGTGTTCAATTCTTGATGAGACTAGAACAACAATTCAACGGAATAGCAAATCCCACCAAACAAATATTGTGATAAATGGCCACCATTTTGAAAATATCTTCTTGAATAGAGCTTCTTTGAACGAAATCTGTTCACTGGAATGTGAGTTATCAAAGGTTATGTTTTTATGGAAAAATGGCAGCCATTTGAAATTCAGTTAAAAATTCTTGAGAATTTCTTCTTTTTGCAAAAAATGACGGCCATTTTGAAATTCAATGGCCATCTTGAAAATGTCTTCTTGGTCAGAAGTCCTTTGTCCCTAGACACCAGCATATACAATTTGAAACAAATCTGTCAATAAGTTCCTGAGTTATCAAAGATTACATTTTTTACAAATAATGGTGGCCATTTTAAAATTCAATGGCCATCTTGAAAATCTCTCCTTGAGCAAAGATCCTTTGTCCCTTGTAGCAGAAATTCCTTTTTCGAGCAGAGGTTCTACACCCATAGGACAAAATAAGCCTATAAAATTGGAATCAAATCCATCAACCGGTCGTTGAGTTATCGCCCAGACAGAAGAACACACAAACGAATGGATGGATGGATGAAACAAATGAATGAAGCAGATGGATGGATGAACAGATCAACAGTTTCTCTACATCCCCCTCAATTCAGTTAGATAATTATGATATACGAGATGTATTGGATTACTTTGCTCAATCATTGTTTTGTCAAGTTTCAAAAAAAAAACATTAGAAGAAATCTCTGCAGATCAAAGTTTTGTTTCCCATTGCAAGAAAAAGATGAGGCATTAACAAGACAAAATGTCAACATCAGAATTTGTGCCAATCGCTGAACACTGTCCACTGTCCACAAAAATTGAGACTATAATGATATGTTACCACTTTTGGTGGTGACATAAAAACTCTAACCACACAGCTGTCACAAGGAAAACAAACTCAAACTATCCCAAACCATAATCTAATGTAAAATGCTTTTATGTTTGCAATAAAAAAAAAATAAAAAAAATAACAGACCTACATACCTGGATCTACATTTGAAGAACAGATGTTGTAAATATAGCCTCCTAAGGTGGGTAGGTTCTGTATACAGGAGAGTCTACCAAGATTCCACAGTACAATCTACAACAGTAACATATTTTATGTTAAATGCAACTTCTTGAAATCCTAAAAATGTTATTGGTTCAATAAATAAATAAAAATTGAATCATATACCGATTTGATGAATATTTTTAAGAGCCAGGATGTCATGAACTACGCTACATCAAATATTCGCTCAACCTTTCCCAATCAGTAAGCTACTGCCGACTAATGTTTACAAGTGGTCGAATCAGCATGGGCTTTCAAAAGGGTATGCAACAATTCATGGGCAAATTTCTTTTCCCCTGGTATTTTGTTCACTGTGCTGAGGGTGTTGAGAAGGAGATTTAGAGAAAAGAAAACTAATCTATGTGCTCTAGCAAAAGATGTGCAGAAGCTAGACTTTTTTTGATGGATTCGCATCCCCCTTGGAAAAGTTAGTGGATGCCCCTGTCAAGTGTCAATAGTATGATCCCGGTAAGGGTCCAATAATTTCGTTCACAAACTATACCTGTCTATCCATGGATATGGTGCAAAGAGTATTAAGATCTGGGTTGCTTCCACAAATGTTGAACACTATACGAATATGACCTTTATTCTGAGGACTTCCAAATAGCTGCCATTTCTGTTTCCCTGGGCGACAGAGGTCCCATAGCAACAAATCACCCCTGAAATAAGTTATCTAAATTACAAGAATAAATGGAAAATAAGGTTCATTTTCATCGTTCATACACATGGAAAAGGTGGGATTGGAAAGAATGCAATTACGGAGAAATTGTCTTAAACAGGCATGTAACTAACAGTAGAAACTATACACAAATAGTAGAAAAATATTCATTTTGATAAAGCATACTGTAAAGTTCATAATAAAATGGACAGACATGGGAAGATGACACTTTAGCATGGGTAGACATGTCTTCTTACCCATGTGAGCTGGATATGATCTCCCTGGGTCTATCCGGGGGCCAATATAACGTCATCCATACCCTTTGGCGAAACTCTTCACTCTTGTCTCTACGGTAACCAGTGTTGCTAGGCAACCTATAAACATAATTAACATAATTATGAATACATGTATTTTATAAACTAAATACAGAATGTATTGGCAAATAAATTTTAAAGGTTATTTCATAATTTCATGCCTAAGCTGATAATGGTCTTAATAGGTCATATATTCCTAATTCAAAATACCACCAAAGTCATAAATAAAAAAAATATTATTCAGAGCTGGTTGAGACTTTACAGAGTTACTGTGCCAAAGCATTAGTAAAAGTCACAATGTAGTTATGGGAATTACAGTCTATATAATGAATAATCAAATTGTTAATCAGGGACATGTTAAGCAGATACATACCTGAAGTTTAAAAGTTCTCTTCCCCTCAGAGTACTCCAAACTCTCATTGTTCTATCTCTACTACCAGAGGCAAGAAGACATCCCTCAGTGTAACTACTACCATCAGCACTGGTACCAGCATCATCTAAAACATCCTAATCAGTTCAACATACAAATGCTCATTTAAGCCAGAGAACATTCACAATGATCGCTGTTAGTAAAATTGCTCCAAAGTTAAAATCTAACATTAATGTTCAACAATGCATTTACATGCAAAATGTCACCACCTTCTATTTGTTATAGACACCAAACGCCAAACAATCAACACCAACAGCTGAACACTATCCAAAATAAAGGTTGGTGACCGTAACAATATGTCACCATTTGTGTTGGTGACCGTAACAATATGTCACCATTTGTGTTGGTGACCGTAACAATATGTCACCATTTGTGTTGGTGACAATAACAATATGTCACCATTTGTGTTGGTGACCATAACAATATGTCACCATTTGTGTTGGTGACCATAACAACATGTCACTATTTGTGTTGGTGACCGTACAATATGTCACCATTTGTGTTGGTGACCATAACAATATGTCACCATTTGTGTTGGTGACCGTAACAATATGTCACCATTTGTGTTAGTGACCGTAACAATATGTCACCATTTGTGTTGGTGACCTAAAAATGAGAAATTACCAGTCTCCTCCTCTTTCCTCATTCTAACATCCTCTCCAGGTTCAGGGCCCCATGCTAAACAGTGTACCTCCTCATCATGGCCCCGTAACCTGGATATTGTTTGGTTCTTTTCTATGTCAACCAGCAGAATTAATCCAGTCCTATACCTGAAAATATATATAAGTGAACAGAATATTATTTTTTCATGATAAAGACAAGACATTGGAGATGTCAAAGATATCTATTTGTTCAATGGTTTCAAAAGTTAAGTGCTCTGTGAAACCTCAAGAGGCCCACAGATATCTAGGACACAAAAAGGATTGAGTCCTGAATGAAGAACTCCAAAATAATTCATACTATTCTCTTCAATGTTCCACAGACAGACATTGTCCCAATGTTCCTTGCCCAAGATCATTATTCCATAAAATGTGAATTGTCCATTATGGTAAACCACACCTTCTTCAACTCTCCAACTCTGTACTTCTGCGATGAAATTTGAGAGAGGTGCTCTGAGCATCAGAATGTGAATTGCCATGTAAATACATATCAACCTTGTCATTCCAAATGATTTTTACATGAACAATGAGCTCAAATATTAAGAGATTAGGAACTGTTATGTATTTTTCGACACTATTCTTCCACTATGTTAAACATTCCAAAGATACATACCCAACAGCTGTTGTATTCCTATCATGGGGTGATATGGCTATACAAAACACTGTAGCTCCTTCAGGGGTGTATTCAAATGAATCATTCTTGTCATGGTTCCATTTAACCAGAGTACCAGATTCATCTGCACTGATAATAACATCATGGTCAGTTGGTGACCATTGCACAGTTGTGACCTTTCCCTGAAAATCAGATTAAAATATAATAATTATGATCTCTGTGGCATACAGTCTGTCACTGTGTTACATCACTGTTCAAATACAACTCAGGTTTCTCAACAGGATTTTTTCTCAAGTGGGTGCAAAATTCTCATTTTCATAATTCAGTTCAAAATTGGTCAAAATATGATTATTTATGATTTTTCTCATTTTCAAGTGGGTGCAAATAGATTTCAGGTGGGTATGCAAGCCTGTTTTCCAAATCTCAGGTGGGTGCTGCGCCCACTTGCTTTAATGCTGGGGAGATCACTGCAACTAGCGCCCGGGGGTTCACTTTATAATAACCTTGATGGGGATCCTCGGTGCACATGGGGTACCTTTTTGACATTTGGTATGGCAATGGACCCAGATTTTAGGATTTGGTATGAGAGTGCCCCTCAAATTTATGCCATGAGGTATGGCAATGGTCAGTTTTTCCACTTTCTGGTATGAGAATGGTCATGGAAAATATGTTACCTCATACTTGCAGCATATTATTGGTCTGGTAGTTACATGTACATAATGATCAATGGACTGAATTCTCAGGAAATTCAGTCTATTGGATATAGACTACAGTTGAACCCCCTGGGAACTAACATCGCGTCTGTTTACCTTGTGTTGTGCATGCTGTTTCAATAATGCTTTGGTTTTCAGATCCCAAATTTTTACAAGTCGGTCATCTCCTGATGTAGCACAAAGATTCTCTTTATCTACAGCTCGACACAGGCTGACACCTGAGACTTTTTCACCATGTGCATGGGCTTCAAATGATCCAAGAAATTTGGGGAAATTTGGTTGAGATATGTCAACTTGAAATAACAATTTTTTTGCTCCAAAGACGAAAATTCCTGATTTATTTGAATCACTGGATCGACTACAGTACCAGTTTGGAGATGCACTCAACATCAACTCCGCCATGGTAGGGAAATTCCGAAAATTCAGTACAAAATAGAAATTTAAAAAAAATTCATGCTTTTGATGGACGACTGATTTACGGTATGATCTTCATTTAACGACAACATTTAAATGCTTAATCTCAATCCAACAGCAATAAACAATTATAAATACTAATCTATATCAACTCTTTGTATCATATGAATACTATGCATTATTCTTATACTGATAAATTTGGAAAAATAAGTGAAACTTTGTATTTTACGACTACTGCATGTCAGATTTTCAACATGGCGGTCAAAATTTCCAAAATGTGTAAGTTGTTCTATTTTTGGATCAAAACGTTGTTTTTAATGAGAACCTTTGAAAATAATTATACTGTATATGCTTTGTTACATTTACTCTTCTAATTTTTGTAGGCTGGAATGTGCTGTCTACTCATCCACGTGCAGTACTGAGGTAGGAAGTGAACATTTTTTTGAGTGAAACATTTTTTAGGGATCTTTTCATTTTCATCAAAGTCAATTGCAGTTTGATTTGGGCAATGGGCAACAGGATCTGATTTGGGATTGCCCAAATCAAGCTGCAATGGACTGTGCTTTTCACGATGAGGTATTATCCGGGGGGTTCACTGTATATAAAACTCAACGGGGGTCCTAGGCTGAAACCTCAAATATCAATATGTTCCCATACCAATCTGTCAAATTTCAATATGTTCCCATACCAACCAAAATAACGCCCAAAGGCCATACCAAATGTCCAAATATAGGACCAATGCCATACCAAATGTCAAAATGTAGGACCAATACCATACCAAATGTCCAAATATGGGACCAATGCCATACCTAATTCAAAGTAAATGAAATATAGGATCAATGTCATACAAATGTGCAAATACAGGACCAATGCCATACCACGAATGTTAGGTAACGTATCTACAACGACCATTCCATTACCAGAAGAGCTTCTCCATTGTCTTCAGGACACATGATAATTGGATACAGTGTAGAACTGTCATTTGCTCTATTCATTTGGATTTGGATTTCCCGATACAATCACCATTTACTCGATTCCAAAATTACTTCAGGTTCATCTAAATACAGATCAGCTGAAAGTTGTCATGAACAACTTTCAATCTTCAGCCTGAATATGTTATTTAGGTCCAAATAGCCGACTTTGAATGGACCTTTATGCATAGTTCGAAAATAGAATCACCAGAAAAGGTTTCATACCATGAAATTGACTCGAAGCCAGAAAAAAAATTTGAACCATTTTATCAGCTTTGAAGTACAATGTACCTTTTAGCATGGGCTTTCAATTAGAAATTTCTAGTTGAAAGCCCATGCTTTTAGTAAAGTTTTTTTCATAAAGTCACAAGATTTTTAATCTGTTTCCTTTTCGATATGAATGTATGTCTTGAATAAAGAGACAAGGTGAACATCACATTAAAACACATTTTTGATAACTATGAATTGTACGTGCTCTGGTCCCTAAAGATACCATTCATTTAGACCATGAAGCCATGGTAATTTTTATAACTATGGAAAATCATATAAAGTTGTAATGCAACCATATCTGTCTTCTACCACTTACAGCTAAAACATCAGTATTTGATATTTCTACATCATTTTTGATTCCAGACAAGTCCCGAAATGTTCGTCAATGGCTGCAGTTAGTTTACAACCACAGTGTTCCGCTCCAAGTTTGACTTCCATTCTGGCCTCCAGGGACATCCACACATGTACGACACTTCACAAACAAAACATGTTTGATCCAAAGTTTAAATACTTGAAATACAACAAAATTGTATACCCACCACAAGAGGAAGGCGAACCAAGAAGACCAGCTGTGAGTTTATTTCTTTTGAATTTTCATATATAACTAGATAACGGCAACTCCGCGGAGTAGCAAATCCCAACGAACAAAATATCAATTACCGAATTCCAATCAATTATACTCATTACTTTGGTTGAAAATGAAAAAATTAGATTTTAGAATTGCGAATTCCTGCAAAGCAGCCATTTTGAATTTTCTGAGGTACAAATCTGAAAAATAATACCATAATTGTGATCTTCTCCAAAATTCCTTCAATTTGAGTATAATATAGCCATACTTTGAAGGGATCGAAAAATTATTGCGAAATCGTACATGAACGGCCATTTTGAATTTTACGAGGCTCGAATCAGAAAAAAGGTACAATATTTGCAATCTACTCTTAATTGCCTTTCATTTGAGTATAATAAAGCTATACTTCAGAAAGATCTAAAAATTAGCGAAAATTTCTGTTTTCCTGTTTTCATGGCCCCTGGGGGTCAGGATGAAAAACACAGAATATATGTGAAATAGATAAATGTTGTGAATACACTACCAAAATTTCAAACAATAATATTAATTACTTTGGTTTAGAATGAAAAATTTTTGATTTTTGCGAAAAAGTCCCGTCATTTTAAAAGCGGCGGCCATCTTGAAAAAATTTTTTTTGCGTAAAACTATTCACCAATATACATCTTTCCACTAAATATGAAGAAAATCTGTCAACTAGTATTTGAGTTATCTTCCGGACAGACGGATGGACTGACTGACTGACTGACTGACTGACTGACTGACTGACGGACTGACGGACTGACGGACAGACGGACGGACGGACGGAGGGCTTCACTATATCCCTAACGAACTTCGTTCATTGGGATAATCATATATTAGAGGAAATGCATCAATTTTCAACATATAGGGTTGCTTTGTCATGGGGCTGTTTAGACCCTGTGGCTATTTCGAAATTGGCTCATATTCCACAAAATTTATGAAGTCTGCCGAAATCTTCGATGGGCAAGATTTTATAATCAAAGATGGTTGACCCTGAAATATGAATTATCGGCCATGGTTGATATAATCCCATGAAATAGTTACCCCATATATCCAAGTAACTCCATACGTCAAAGTTCAATGCAGTTCCCCTATATGGAAGTCCAAATCATAATATATAACAGTTATTTTGCTATTTGTGAAGATTATTGCACAATTTGTTGTAAAATGCTTTTGAATACCATATATTTTCTTCAAAATCTATGTGATATAATGAATAAAATGTAAAAAACATAGCTAGGAACAAATAGACTATTTTTCTACATTAAACAGGTTCCAGTGTAGTTTGGCAATTCCATAGGTGACAAAAGTTAATTTTACGCCCTACCTCAAAAGTAATCATTTATGTATATCAATAAATCGACCATATCCCTTATAAAGAATGCTTTAAATTTGAAAAAAGAAATATTGTTATGCTAGCTTCTATTCGATTAAAACGACTGGATGGTCAATGTGAAAAGGATGAAATTTCCAGATATTTTGATCAAACAGAACAAATTCAACCTTAGAATCCTGTTAAGAAGAACCTGTGAAAGATCACTGTACTTATTAGAGAAAATTACAGGATTTGTTTACACCCAGACATCAGCGGTGGTCAAATTGCCATCAAGTGCCTTCAAAAGGCTACAAGAACACATTTTCCTTTTGTTGCTTTCAGGCTGTTTTTTACATGATAAAGGATTTGTCATTACATCAGAGGTCAGGTCAATCTGCCACCAAATACCTCAAAAAAGACTATACATACACATTTTCTATGTGATGCCTTCAAGGCTGTTTTTTTCCATGATATAAAATACATAAAATGTTGCATCTGTTTTTAGGAGGTGACCTATGTTCGTTCTAATATAAAGTACAGCCCAGATAAACTATGGTACATGGCCATAATGGTAAGTTTTAATCAAAAATTAGTATGCTATAAGAGCCTAATTAAATATGGATCATCTTTTTGCCACATTTTCACTATTCTAATTGTCCTAAATTTTTATCGTACCTAACAAAAGGTACGATATTGTAGTCAGCTTGACGGGTGGGTGGGTGGGCGGGCGGGCGGCGTCTCACTTTTCAGCTTGTCTACAGGTTTCCAGCCAAACCATTTGAGGGATTCATCTGAAATTTTCAGGGATGTTTCTACATATCAACGTCAAGAACTGATTAGTTTTTGGGCATTCTGGGTAAATCTTAAGGTGGCCATTTTGGATTTTCCGTCCTAAAATCTTCACTTTCAAGACTTGTCTACAGGTTTCCAGCCAAACCATTTGAGGGATTCATCTGAAATTTTCAGGGATGTTTCTACATATCAACGTCAAGAACTGATTAGTTTTTGGGCATTCTGGGTAAATCTTAAGGTGGCCACTTTGGATTTTCCGTCCTAAAATCTTCACTTTCAAGACTTGTCTACAGGTTTCCAGCCAAACCATTTGAGGGATTCATCTGAAATTTTCAGGGATGTTTCTACATATCAACGTCAAGAACTGATTAGTTTTTGGGCATTCTGGGTAAATCTTAAGGTGGCCATTTTGGATTTTACATCCTAAAATCTTCACTTTCAAGACTTGTCTACAGGTTTCCAGCCAAACCATTTGAGGGATTCATCTGAAATTTTCAGGGATGTTTCTACATATCAACGTCAAGAACTGATTAGTTTTTGGGCATTCTGGGTAAATCTTAAGGTGGCCATTTTGGATTTTACGTCCTAAAATCTTCACTTTCAAGACTTGTCTACAGGTTTCCAGCCAAACCATTTGAGGGATTCATCTGAAATGTTCAGGGATGTTTCTACATATCAACGTCAAGAACTGATTAGTTTTTGGGCATTCTGGGTAAATCTTAAGGTGGCCATTTTGGATTTTCCGTCCTAAAATCTTCACTTTCAAGACTTGTCTACAGGTTTCCAGCCAAACCATTTGAGGGATTCATCTGAAATTTTCAGGGATGTTTCTACATATCAATGTCAAGAACTGATTAGTTTTTGGGAATTCTTGGTAAATCTAAAGGTGGCCATTTTGGATTTTACGTCCTAAAATCTTCACTTTCAAGACTTGTCTACAGGTTTCCAGCCAAACCATTTGAGGGATTCATCTGAAATTTTCAGGGATTTCTACATATCAACGTCGAGAACTGATTAGTTTTTGGGCATTCTGGTTAAATTTTAAGGTGGCCATTTTGGATTTTCCGTCCTAAAATCTTCACTTTCAAGACTTGTCTACAGGTTTCCAGCCAAACCGTTCAAATTTTTATTTACATATGTTACACAGTGATAAGTTCTAGAGCTGATTAACTTATCTGCGGCCATCTTGCTTTCTTGGTCAACAAGACCACAATGCTGTGTTTTAGGTACGATATTGTTCACGTCTGTGCCTTGTTGATATTTATAGGCTAGCCTTTAAACGGGTAGGCTATAGAGAATTACACCAATGGTTAGGAAGGAAAGAGGCAGATCTAGCTATAAAAATTATAGATTTTGATATTTATTAGAATTTATTTTCAGATCAGGGGAATGTCTATAGATGAGGCTTTAAAGCAACTATCTTTCCACAAAAAGAAAGGAGCAATGTTCATTCGAGAGGTAATATACTTACTATAAATGAATCAATACAAAATGACATGAATGTCATAAATTTGATTAGATTAACTCTGCAAAATATTAAAGTATTTAATTTTGAACTGCGATTTTCACAAAATTATACAATACTGAATTAAATAAGTGAATTGGTAAGTTAAAGGCCATTTTTCAATCTTCCAATATTTCTTTATAGTGGTAAATTAATTTAGCACACATCACATGGGTTTATCAACCACTTTATTAAAGTTAAAAAGATAATTATATGGATATTAAGCTCCACATTTGAAAATCATCTTTTGACGAACATTATTTTACAAAATGAACAAACTGTCTTGTCATATTCTTAAAAAGAATGTATCATTTCAAACAATACATTTATTTATACAGCAAATGGAATGCTTTCAGTTTTGATAAAAAAAGTTATATTTAAGAGGTGTTCCACTTATAGAAGTGGGTCACATGACTTACAAATGTGTTCCACTTACATCAGTATTCCACTTCAGTAAAACTCCACTTTCTGTAAAATGTTCTGCATCTCATTTATTCTGTTTCAGGCTCTGCTAGAAGCCCAAGAAGAAGCAGTCAGTAAACACAATGTGGAATACAAGTCCAATCTATGGATAGGTATGTACATATATATGTATATGTACATTCATCTGCATTTAACTTTTAAACTTGCTATCTATAGTCTGATTCTAGCATACAGTCTAGAGTTATCCTTATCTTGTACGTGCCAAGTTCATTTCTACTGTCTCTCTACTCTCTTGGAGAGGTCTCATAGAGCCATACATTATATTTCAGTTGAAAATTTTTGGCATTAGCCAGTCATACACATAATTTTTACCTCAATTGATTCGAGTCATTACCCACAACGTTCTCCCAACGCCCAGCTATCTCAAATTGCAGAGGTATACACTTCTCTTTTTGAATAGGCCGGTATTTCAAAATGTCCACCAACAACTTCGGGAATTATTTCTGTGTACATTTATTAGCATTTCCAATGTGAGGTTCCTCAGGGTTTTAAGTGGATATTTCACCATTATTTACCAATGATGATCAGTCTGGTGAATTAAGTTATCAGCTTACATTTACATTCTGTTTTTCAAAAGCAAATTGTTCTTACTGGTCACCCTGCTTGTTAAGAAAACCTCATGTTGAGTATATTTAATTGTATTTTCAGAGGATTCCAATGTTGGCAAAGCGTTCCATATCAAAGGCATACGACGTCATGCTAGGATGCGTTACGGTTTCATACAGTTCAAATATTGCCACTATTTTGTTAGATTACGAGAGGGGAAACCTCCAAAACATTACCTTGCTCCACCGGAAACTGGACATCAAAAAATGAAAAATACTTTACAAGAACATAGGAATAAACGAGTGTTTGGTGGACTATAAACATAGGAATAAAAACGTATGGTGGATCGGGAATGGAGAAATAAATGTGTGTCGTGTGGATTACGAAATATCAATATTTTGCTGGATTTTGAACATAGGAAAAAACTTTTTGTATGAAAACCTATAACTCACTCTGTTTACCATGCTAGGTTTTTATTATATTTAATACAAAGTACATATGTATGTGTTATACACAATCCTCATGTTTCCATGGTGATCTTGTATATTTAGTGATATCATTTAAAGTACAGTAAAACCTGTATATCTGAACACCTCTGTGATCTGAACACCTCTCAATATGAACACTTTCTCTGTCCAAATTTTGTAATATCCTGTTGAGTCCCATGTTAAAGAAACCTTCAAATGTGAACACCTACTATAATTCTGAACAATTTTTGCCAGTCACAGTGGTATTCAGATTAGACTTTCAGAACACTTGATTTAAAAGGAAATTAATTGACTTTAAAATGACCAGGTTAGGATCTTAAGCATCGGAATATCATATTTCAATTAGCATACTGTACAACGAGGATGTGGAATAGTATTTTGTAATAAATAGCAACAATTTTATTAATTAGTTCATATTACATTTATATTGATCATAAGCCATTGTGCATAAATGTCAAGTACAAATATATGAAATAAGTAATATAAATATATTGGATTCATTTAGGTAGTTGATTGCACATTAATCAATATAGGCTATAAGGGTTATGTACTGGAAGGTTTTTGATACAGGGTTTATCCCAAGAGGGAAGTATGTGTATCTCCTGATGGACTGCAGTGACCAAGGGAGATATAAATCCAGAGGGATAAACGTTATCCTGAACCGAATTCATAACAGACATATCCTATCCCTTCTGAGGTTCTAAGTACACTCTACCTTTTAAGTTCTAAAGTGAAAATTTCATATCAAGCGTTTCAAAACTAACATTTAAAAAAGTCCAATCCAAAAATTTGATATCTTTTAATGAACTGAGAACGTCAGAGTTCAAAGTTATGGTATATAAATATCTACTATCAACAGGTATACATAATATGTGAATGGGTATGGGTAGTTGACATTATTCGAATATTGAAGAGTCACTCATGTCTGGTGAAAAACGTTGATATGCTGTATCTTTAGTCTTAGACTATAGTAAAAGAATTGTGATCAGTATAGTCAAAAATAATAGTGATCAAAACTGTTAGTAAATGATATACCCAATAATGTCTCATCTGTTAATGCACATTGAGATAGGTAACATATTGAAGTTATAGATACTGTAGATTGGGTTAATTTGGCGCTACTTAATTTTGCCATTTTTTCATATTGGCGGCTTTTTGATTTGGCGGACACTAGCCATAACTTTCATATACACTGGAATAAAATACAAATATCACACTTATTCCTTCAATTCAACTACTTAATCTAGCTAGTAATTTATTTTAATTTATTGATGTTTGTTCAATGTATCCTTTTCAGATTTTGCAAAAACTAAACTGGAAGTGATTGAAATTCACCAGACAAAGTTCCCAAAAAAATTCCCGGGGATCCGTTCCAAATTTTGGCGAATATGTAAATTGGCGTTTTTTCTATTTCGCCAAATTAAAGCGGGCGCCAAATTAACCCAACCTACAGTAAGCTCTTGATCATAAACTTTGTTCAATTTAATGCATTTGACACTGACAATATTTTTCATATTTGTGACTTCATTTAATAAAGCAAAATAAATAGCTTTGCTATAAATAAATAAACTAGACTTAAATGAACTTCGAAATATTTTCTTTGGCTTCTAATACTGCCCTAGTTAGAGATTTTGCATATTTTTGGGCTGATAGATCTTCTTTGAAGCCATGTTGCGTTTCAATCTCAGCTTCCTGTTTCATATGGTGAAGCTGGGCTATATCTGGGGATAACTTATCATATTTGTATCCTACTTGTAGGTTCAAAGGTTTATGTACTCCTGCTGATTTTATCATGTCAACCCTTGCAATGTATTTTGATCTTATGGGAGGTTCGAAATATTCCAGACTTCTGTATGTATGACTGAGAACACTAGGGGCAGGATTCTTTTGCAAATTCTTCGGTGGTTTTATAAAGAAACTGTTTTGGGCCAGCCACGCAGCAGTGTGTGAATTCCTATTGCTATATTCTTGGATTAAATCCTTCCATGTATTTGCATCTCCGTATGGCATTAGAAATTCATCTATGTCGACGAATGTCACATATTTTGTGTGATGTTTCATTTTATATAAACAATCATTCAACAGTAATGGCTGCCCATAGTAAAATATATCTAAATTTTTCAAATATCTTTTTGTTTTCCATTCAATATATTCAAGAATCCCTTGTTTCTGATAATACTGCAAAATAGGCATAATGTGTTCTTGAACAGATTCGATGTATACGATTATCTTTTGAGCTCCCATCATTTTATTGAACTCGATAGATTCAATGATCAAATCTGCACTAATATTGCCATATAAAGCGCCTTCCAAACATACACCGAAATCTATTTTACTTTCGAGCTTTTGATGATGAACTTTGACCTTATTTGTGATGTCGGAGCAATCACAATTTTCGCTTATGGTCACATGTGACACTTGACTTAAATAGTTTGGCACTTTGCATACATAGAAATCTCCCTGATGTGGTTTTACAGGCCATTGGTACGCTTCAATGTTTTCCAAGATAGCACCTTTCGACACACAAACACTAGCGCCATCTTTATACTGAATTAAACATGATAAGTGCCGATTCAGCCTTCTGTCTTTCATGACAAGTAATCGTATTAAATCACCGTGGGATGTTTCTTCATAATACGCTGAATATATCCATATTTGTGCATTTCCCACTTGTTGCCATATATGGGTGTCAGTCAAGTTGGGTAATGTGTCTAAATGTGTAACACACTCGTTGAAATTCAGTAGAACGGGTGGGACTATTGAATTTATACATAGTTTGTTTTTTCCAATTCTGGCTCCTTTCCAGTATATGTACACGTAGAACAAAAGAAAAATCATATAAGTTCCCAAGATAAGGCAAAACCCTATCTTTTTCTTATTCTTACTTTTTAACATCATTTGTAGGCTATCCAGTATTAATTTCTAATATTACCGACCTTCACCTTAGTGACGCCTTAGTTCTCACCTTAGTTCTCTTAATTATCTCAACCCAACATACAATAATTAAGTATTCTCATGATTCTGTTAAAGAAAATGTTACTGTTCTAATTTTCTGATCAATTAACAAATTGTAGATTCTCAATTTTTCTGAAACAAATTAAGTCTGAAAGTTCGAAATGGAATATTTGTACATGGATTTCTTTTACTTGCAATCCTAGTAACAAAAAATCCAAAAGCTGCAGCATTTAAACAATACAGTGCTTGAATGTTATTATGAATAAAGTTCTCATTATTCCACGATGAGAACGAAGAAGTTCTAGAGTTCATATAATTCCTCTTTTGTCACAAGTATAGTTCCATGCATTTTCCTTCTTTTCTTGCTTAACCTTTATTGTTCATGGTAAGATCTTCTTTTGTTTAAACTTTAGGTAGGTATCTTATACTTCTTTTTTAGTTATATATTTTTCACATCAGGCCTACATCCTCACATATAACTGTTGTTCACCTGTATGTTTAGACTGGACTTTTATGTGCATGTATCTGTAAATGTTTACCCTCGTTAACATGATATCTATGGCCTCTTCTACCGTACGAGAATTAAGTATTAAGGCCCCAAAAGATAAAATGTTTGTTAAGCAGATTTTTCTGAAATAACATCTGGTGAGAATTTTTTCATTATTTAGTCTAATAAGGAAAAGACATGTCAAAATGAATGAAGATTGTATGATCTTTTAAAGTCAAGATAATGGTCAGACCAGGATGATTTTGAGGCAGGTATCATTAAACAGATATTTAATTTGGTAGGGCCTAACAATAAACATGAGCATCTAGCCTTGGGTAAAAAAAATATGTTGGTCATGTACAATATAAAACATAATGACAAGAGGGAAAAAACCAAGCAATTTAGAAAACAGGCATGTACTGTAGAAATATTTCTAAATTGAGGAGAAATATCAGAAAAATTCACGATTCATTGCTATAAGGGAGAAATTGGGTGAGATGAGCATGATCAGATGGAAAATGCAAAGTTTACTGTGCTACAATATACTATCACGTTGGCTACCTTGAGTATGTACCTGCATTTACCAGGCACTTAACCTTGAAAAATTCACTCTGAATTTTAATTCATATTTACATATATGGTTTAGCTACATGTATAGTCTTCAAAACTTCTTCAAAACATAAATCACAAAGTAAGTATTTTTACTAGCCTCGAGAGTTTTACATTTAAATGATGCTAAACACAGATGTTTGTACAGTAAGGGACATTATAGAAACCTGTTATCAGTCAATTTACAGCATATTGGTCAATTTGGAACAAAGTTCACTTTAATATTTGCAATCAGATATTAGCAAATATTACACATGGCACAAGGATGATTATATATTTTATGAGTAATTATTAATAATAGAAATATGGCTTCAACAATTATGTACAGGGTGTCCAATAAATAAACATCCCCATTTCATACGAATGAATCACAAAGTAGGCATTTTCATTAGCCTGGCCAGGAGTATTTAACACTTAAATGATGCTAAACATTATTATGTACAGGGTGTCCAATATATAAGCATCCCCATGAATCACAAAGTAGGCATTTTCATTAGCCTGGCCAGAGTATTTAACACTTAAATGATGCTAAACATTATTATGTACAGGGTGTCCAATATATAAGCATCCCCATGAATCACAAAGTAGGCATTTTCATTAGCCTGGCCAGGAGTATTTAACACTTAAATGATGCTAAACATTATTATGTACAGGGTGTCCAATATATAAGCATCCCCATGAATCACAAAGTAGGCATTTTCATTAGCCTGGCCAGAGTATTAAACACTTAAATGATGCTTAACATTATGATGTACAGGGTGTCCAATATATAAGCATCCCCATGAATCACAAAGTAGGCATTTTCATTAGCCTGGCCAGAGTATTTAACACTTAAATGATGCTAAACATTATTATGTACAGGGTGTCCAATATATAAGCATCCCCATGAATCACAAAGTAGGCATTTTCATTAGCCTGGCCAGGAGTATTTAACACTTAAATGATGCTAAACATTATTATGTACAGGGTGTCCAATATATAAGCATCCCCATGAATCACAAAGTAGGCATTTTCATTAGCCTGGCCAGGAGTATTTAACACTTAAATGATGCTAAACATTATTATGTACAGGGTGTCCAATATTATAAGCATCCCCATGAATCACAAAGTAGGCATTTTCATTAGCCTGGCCAGGAGTATTTAACACTTAAATGATGCTAAACATTATTATGTACAGGGTGTCCAATATATAAGCATCCCCATGAATCACAAAGTAGGCATTTTCATTAGCCTGGCCAGGAGTATTTAACACTTAAATGATGCTAAACATTATTATGTACAGGGTGTCCAATATATAAGCATCCCCATGAATCACAAAGTAGGCATTTTCATTAGCCTGGTCAGAGTATTTAACACTTAAATGATGCTTAACATTATGATGTATAGAGTGTCCAATATTATAAGCCCCCCCCCCCCATTTTATACTATATAATAAGTGTTATCCATCTTTGCATAAAAAGGTTGCATTTTTCTATGAGGAACCAATTCAATGAGGAACCAAGTTGAAAAAGGTTATCAGTCATCAGTTATGTTGATAATGACCCTCATCAAAATAAACAGGGGTATACCTGACTTATTCACAATTCCAATATTTCCTAAAATTGGTAGGGAATAAGGGAATGTGTACTCCACAATACATTAATTATGGTCCAAAGTGCTAAAAACCAAGCATAACATACATTTTCATTTTGATTTATGGTTATTCTTTAGTTTTCTATATAACTAAAATTTAATCTTAATAAATCACAAAAACTGAACTTTTGATGTCTCAGTGAGATATGAATGGTTATTTTGTTTGCAGTAACTGCATGTTCATCCCCACCCTCAAATATTGTTCTTAATTAGTATGAGTAAATTACAAGAATACTAATATCTAAGTACATGCATGTTCAACCTCACCCTACTCCTACAGTGTGTCATATTAACTATTTATTTTACACATTGGCATTTTCTCCAAATATGAATGTAAACATATTATAACTGAAGTTATTTTCTGAACTGTCTGAACTTTTTCTTAGCCTACGAATACAAAATACAAATGTGCATCAAATTATGAACAGTTCAGTGAGTTATGTCTATAAACTCTTTTCACAAAACACATAGCAAAAGATTTTGAAAAATATCACAAAAAATAATGAAATACAAACAGATACTTGTACAAGGTTTGTGCGAGGTTAACATTTGACCTGCATAAGCACCTACTTGAAACTAAATACAAAGTACGATGTACAAAGCTTTTCATGGTATCATAAGCTACTGATGATAAATAATGAACATAAAATAAATAATAATAATAAAAATCATGGCAGTCCAACCAACCTGTTTAAAAGGCTGCCAGACATACTTGTGCATAGAAATTAGACATGTTAGAGGTGTCACACTAACCCAAAGTCGACCTGTATCTAAGGTCGGAAGGCTCTGGTCAGGTCACAAACAACTACTTACCAATTTCGGGTCGGGTCAGAACACTCAGGAATATCGTAAATCATCTTAAATGCTTTATATTCCGGCAATGATTTCAAACTTCTAGCTGACATATTTCTTGTATACGTATAAATTACAAACAGAAAATAATTTACAGTTCTTCTCTAACAATTTAATGCCAAGTTTCTCTCATTTGTCCTTTATCAAAGTATAATATTCCGTGCAGCCTTAAACAGTCTTATAATGTGCCATGTTCACTGTATAATAACCTTGACAGGGATCCTCAGCACCAATGGACATTTGATATGGCAATGGACCCAAATTTTAGGATCTGTTAATTTGAGAGATTGTTTTTTTAACACATTGATATCTGAGGGTTCAGCCCAGGACCCTTGCCAAAATTTGTATACTGTGAACCCCCAGGAATAATTTGGACTTAAAAGGCTCAAAAAGGCCCATTTTTTTAGGCCCTACAAAGTTTTTGAGCTCAAGGGCATCCGCCAAAGACATATCCAAACAAATCCAGAATCTTCATCACTGAAGGAACATTTCTTGATCACATTCCAATCCTCTCTTTAGACTAGAGAATAACATGAACTATGATGCTGCCATCTTTATATAGGCATAAAATATTTGCTTTATATATCACGGTGAGCAACCATACCGCACCGGGGATCGACCCCGGTGCGTTACACTTAAATTGTAACGCTCCGGAGTGAAGAAAAATGGCGGACAATGATAAATGCATTATGGACGTGAGTAGAAATTTTTGATTTACGATGTTTCGTGATTAGGTACGAAGAACTCCTATGTACCATTCAAAGTACAATATATTAAGGAATGATCCAGATCGATTAGATCAGTGATAACTAGCCTATATAATGCAAACAAGATGTAAAAGCACAAGCAACATCAAAATATTTTGATGTTTTTTATTCTTTTTATGAAATATATGTAGAATATTCCTAGATTGTGCGAGAATATATCTTATCAACATGATTCTTATGGTTGCATGCAAAATTGTGTCAGTTTAGGAGTTAAATGGTGGTCAGTTTTATGAGATATCACTAAATCTAGTTGTAACGCACCGGTCATATTAGGCCAATATTTGGAAACGCACCGGTGCTTTATTGATAGTGTGATCCTCATGCTGAGGATCGTACTGCCCCGCTTGTTCTTTCGATTCCACTAATGCACCAACTGACTTTGTTCCACCCATGAAGCGCAAGAATTTCCCATGGAACATCCGGTAGCCAATTTTCCAGAAGGTTAGAGTTTCCTCGCTAAGTATTAAAGTATACATATAATTGTTATGGTACAATCGTTAGAAACGATATATTCAAATCTATAAATGTTAAAATGAGAATGGGAAAGGGTATATCTATGGAACTAGGGGCAAGACGGATTTTTTGACACACCCATTCACAAATGCATTGAGTGTAGTTCTACCCTACGAAACAATAACGCTTTCAATCGATTGGTACTGATGTTCAAAGTATACAATATTTTATTCATTTGGAAATGTACGGTTTAGTTTTTACGTTGATAATTGTGAAATAATTTTATAACATTTGCTGCAGGGTATAAGAACGGATACACATAATTCAACTGTATGTTACACCGCTTAAGGGAAGGTAAATGGAAGTGAATTTTGCAAAATCAAACTCTCAGTTACCTTCCCTTAAGCGGTGTAACATATAATTGAATTATGGCGCCCGTGTATGATTTAAGAATAAATGGTCATACTCCAAAGTTTCCATGATAAATAAGGCTTATCAAGTTCAAATATCAAAGCATTGCGTCAATTAACCGTAGTTTAATTTGATGAAAACAAAAAATATCGAAATCGACATTTTTCGTCCGCCATCTTAGATAAGAAGGTAACGGTCGTTACCGCATCTTGATTCTGACCAGTGAAAGTGTCATATCTTTATCGCCTGTAGTATTTATTACCGTATTTTGCAAACTATCACATTTCGTACTTTGATTTTTTATGCATTTGTGTATTGTATAGGGTGTTTCATAATTACCCTCTCCCAACCAAAACCAATCCTAAATCACACGGGCCTTTAGATTCTCTTAATCTATACATCATCATACAGCTTTTTTAATAATGCACTTATGGGCTAAATATTGGAACGAGTGATCCTTGGGACCATAATTTGTGGATTTATGTTTTGTCGTCACTATCATCCTAATTTGCTGGATTTATGGCTTCTATTTGTACATTGGGTTTAAAGAGAGGGACAAATAATAACATTATTATTCGTATCATTAAGAGCTTAAAAAGAGCGTAAAAGCTGCTGAGCTTAATCAAAGTTGTTTTAATAAGTCATGAATTTATTGAGCTTTCCTATGATATTATAACACATGGAGGTGCGCCATCTAGGATTGGTGGCTGACAGGGGACGGTCATTATGAAATACCTTGTTATGTGAAATGTACTTCCAGAGTGAGGGTTTGCTTCTAAAGCTAACAACCATACCTGTACGTCATGTTTGAGGTGGAACTAAGGGAATACCACCTCACAACCTCCAGGAAAAGAAGCCACGATATGCTATTCATTGGGAATTTGTCTTTCGCGAGGAGTCTTAGTAGCATAATGAATTCGGTGCAAAAACTGTGTCTTCTGAGACACAATATGACATTTGGTAGCAGTTTCATAGCACTTTCAATTTCAATGTCATAATCAGCGTGTGATTGTTTGAAAACAATGTTTTTCTAATTTTTGGCTTTTTTCTTTTCTTTGGTGCATTTTTCCTAGCACTTCTGATAGCCTTTGTATTAGCATTGATTGGTGTCTTAAGTGATTTATCGTTAGTTGTGGCTTTTGTACAACCAGCGTCACTTGTAGTGACGGTAGGTGCAATTTTCAGGCGTTTCTTGTATCTTGAATGCCCAGTTTGCAGTCGAGAACTTCTCCGTCGTTTCCTGTAAAAATAAAACCGGTGCGTTTCTAAATTGTCGTAGATTTGTGTCGGTGCGTTACCCCATCAATTTTGGAAGGTACATTTCATGAAAATAAATGACGCTTGTACAATGTTCGAATTGTAAGATATTGAAGAGTAGTATGTTTATAAATATATCTATATTGAGTAAAAAAATCTGTGGTTGTTCCAATCATTTCTTTGACAAGAAATACAACATTTTAGACGAGCATTTAACTTTCCTTCGAATTTTTCAAGGTGCATTTACATTTCGTTCACATAATACCGATATGTTACAGCTTTGTGGAATTTTAATAAGGTACCCTGATATATCGTGTTTAGAATGGAATGTGTTAAAAGATATTCACTCACCTCTGGTTTCCACTATTATTTGTTTCCTCCGGAGGAAACACATTTCCGTCCGCCATTTTAAAAGGACGGTGCGTTACCAACGCTCCGGGGAAAAGTGTAACGCACCGGGGTCGATCCCCGGTGCGGTATGGTTGCTCACCGTGTATATGGTGTGTCTCCTAAATGATGTCAACCTTCTCCCTAGTATTTGAATAGAACAGATCATTTGAAAAAGATTTAATAGTAACAATGCATTAACATGAATTGGTACCACCTGCCATTTGTTACAGATATCTAACGCTTAACACCATCCACAAAAACATTGGAAACTATTTATTACCAATATGTCATCACTTCTGGAGGCGACCTAAAAATTCTTGTTTTTTCTATAAAAATCCAGAAAAACGATTACTTTTTCACTAAAATTTAGCATTGCCCAAGTCGGTATTATCTTTTATCTATCTTGATTTTCAATTAATTCAACAGTGGAGGTAAAAATTTTAAAAAATGACACCAATTTAGGACAAGGCTATAACATTGGCTATGCCCATGATCTAGCAGAATATCAGTACGAATTAATAACACTGTTTTTATGGTAATAAAGATGAGAATTACAGCTACTAGCACTTTGAGATAATTTTGTTTGTAGATTCCAGGGGTTTCATGAGCAGCAGGCAAAAGACAATTTTCACCAGTTGTTTTCACAAAATCGGCTGTTGTTCTTAAGGACTTTTTAACTTTTCCATTTAAAATTTATGATTTCTTTTGCCTGTTGTTTTCATTTATTTAGTCTGTTGAGAAATTCCATGTATTATAATATACCTCCACTTACAGACTTGAATATTTCAACATGGAAATCAAGCTAATATCACTCTAATTACTAATTTTGAATATCTCATCACAGAACTCAATATTAGCCTATTGTAAAATAGCAGTGTGGGTCACATCCACTCGACAGTAGCCCAAGGCGGATGTAAATATACTCCTCAAAAAGTTAAGGACCATTCTTTTTCCTCATAGGTTTACATGTTAAACCCCATGTCTGTTTGAACTCTTATTTTCAAAGCCTGAAACGAAAGAAAAACTGATAATGTAAATGGATATGTACCTTGACTCTATCCTCTATATTTCAGAAAATTTTCAATATCAATCTCTCCCTTTCAATATGTCAAAATTGATGTCAAATTTGATGAATTTAATAAAAATGGCAGAACCAATGTAAACCAATGGAAAGTGGTTGAGTTGCCAAAGGTCATATGAGAAAATCAATTCAATTGCTCTCAAAAATGGAATTTAAATAGACAATTGAATTTTCTAACTAAATGTCTACAAATTGATTGACTGATTTGTGTCTCCAGGTTTTACAAAGTTATGAATCTCAAAAGTCAAAATCATTTCTCAATAAACCTCCCATTGAAATAACACAGGGATAAAAAATGAGGTGTCAAAAATACGCTGATGCTCTATATCTGTAATTCTCACAAAGTAAGCTAACACCAAACATGCAGAAAGTAAAACAATTCAATTGTCTACTCAGAAATTATTTTTAATAAATGTTTTACCGAATAAATATCCAAAACTCTGATTTGCCCCTAACCCACCATTTCCCATTGGTTAACATGGGTTCTGCCATTTTTTAAAAATTCCTCAACTTTGACATCAATTTTTCACCTATTGTAGAGAGATTAAATTGAAAATTTCCTGAAATATAGGGAATAAAGTCAAGGTACATATCCATCTACACTATCAGTTTTTCTTTAGTTTCAGGCTTAGAAAATTGAGTTTTAAGATACATGGGGTTTAACATGTTAACAAGTACCTTGCCACATTGTCTAACATGAAAAACATGAAATTCCCCATGAATGTTATAGAACAAAGTCAATTTTAAGTACTTTGATGAACATATTACTTTCTTCTTTTTTTTAGATTTTTATTCACAAGAAAACTGTGAGTATACATATAATTTATCATCAGTGTCACCACTGTGGCGAGTCTAATTTTTCTTTGGCGAGTCAGTGTGAAAACACAAGTTGATTGCCACTAAAATCCTAAGACCCACACTGAATACACTGAATAGTCAACATTCATGTTTTAAAAGGCCTATAAACCTACAAATTTTCGATTGTGAAATATTTTTGCAAGGACTTTTAAACTGCTATGAGTCCTTTGTGTGATTTATTATATTATTCAATTAAAAATCACAGATATTTCTAGTCTAAAGTGTGGCAAAGTGCAAACTATCTGAAAAGTATTTCCAATGTGGGAATTCTTTGCAAAGTCAAAAATAACTGCACAAAAATGAGCTTTATCAGTATTTTATGTTTCAAGGACATTTATAAACCTGAACAAAGATTTGTATGTTAAAAGACCTTTGTTATTATTCTCATTATTTGAACTTTTTGCTCAAACAGCCTTAACTTTTTTTATAGTATATGCAGCACATGTATGTCAGTCAGTTCTTTGACAATTTGTCCGCTCCAACTTAAATTAAGTTCACATAGGCTAGTGTAGTACATCATACTGTTAAACCAGTGTATATTATTCCTTCAGTCATATGTAATACCAGAGACATGAAAAACATGTTTTTCATGTCCCTGGTAATACCTTGATAGATCAAGATAGTAGTGTGTGTGTTCCGAAATATAAATTATAATGTTGTTTCCAAATCGCAGGCAAAGTTAATTCTTTTTCTTGACTTCATTTACACAATTTCTCATCTCGTAAATCCATTTGTTGATCTAGATTGTCTAACTGTTGCATCCCAATTCCAGGTAAGAGTTATTTCTTTTTCTTGGCATCTCGTTCTTCTTGCATTCTGTCAAGTTCCCCTCTCAGTAAATCCAGTTGTTGATCTGGGATAAATCTCCGCTCAGGATCATCTTCATCTATCGCAACTTTCATGCTAATTCCCTCAGGCAAGTTTGTAGTAATAACTTCTAATAGTACAGACATTTTTGTTGATGGAATATCTGTTATCTGGATTACTCGCTCATGAAGCGCTAAGTCAAACTCTGTATCAAGTTTGATTGTATTTGGTCTATAACGTTGAATATGTGTAGTTTTAGGCGGACATGGCCATGCATCTGTTTCAAGTTGAAATGTTTCACGCAAGAGGGCATGGCAGTATTTACTGAATGATTCTAATACAGCAAAATCATAGCCGCGTAATTGAATGTATAGTTCATCTTCTTCAGGTATGTCAGGCTCTCGAAACAGATCTGGAGGATCAAAGAAATCTGGATCAAATTCTGCTGGATTGTTAGCAAGGCATTTCACAGAAGTATGCACCATTTTTGGACATGCAGTTGAACGAGCTATTCCATTTCCAATTCGATGTGCAATCGGAGAATAAAGTCTCGGCATGAGAGTTCCCATACGGTGCAAAACTTTCAGTATCATTGTCACTTGTTATTTTATATCGTAATTTATTTGGAAATGTCCTTTATTTCTGTTAATCTAAAGAATAACGCCTAATTTCTGAAGGTTAGTTTTTCACATTTTATTTCCGGAAGTGCGTAATCTGGTAGCTGTTTTCAAGGTCTGTTGCAAGGTGAACGATTTTCTGATTGTTTTAGTACACTTTCGCCCACATCTATTGATAATATATCTAAATGAATGGTGTTATTTATTCATAAATATATAGACTAACTATTAAACATAATTTTGAACCTATACACTGGCGCAAAGTACACTGAAACATGTTTTAAGTGTGACCATTTTCAGAGGTCATGATTTTGAAATTCAGGGACCTGTCATTTTCTGTTCAAGAAATATAAGAATGCAAGTAAATTATAATCTGATTGAAAATTCATGATTTTGTTCATTTTGATTTTCAGGTTTGTTCTTATCCATATTTGAGACTGCCATCCATGTTTGAGACTGTCGCTTACAAGATTAATCTAGCGTAGCCTGAAAAATGTAATTCGACTAAAGGTCGCCCAGCTACCGATTCTCCTATTAGTCTGACCTATAGTAGTATTGATAGATGGACTGGTGTGAGTCTGTATCTATAAGGTTATTCAGACTAATCACTTTTAATTGAAATAAACAGTCTAGTGGTATTAGAATTACATTTAAATCTACAATGCAATGACACAGTAGTTATTCATCCCAACAATAAATATAACATGTAAGACAGGGCAGTCGGCTGGTTCGACATTCCATGTTCAGTTTGACTGATGTCAAAGACATAAAAGTGTACAGAAGTACAAGTGAAGTGTATTGTGACAAACCAAGTTCAAGCTTGGGTTGTTAACATGGCTGGGATTTTACAGAGGAACCACTTATTTCTAAAACAATCTACATTTTTCCCAAATGGGTGTTGCAGTACAGTCAAATCATTTCCTCAAAGAACTCAACTTAAACTAGATCATCATATTTTAAACCAGAGGAATATTCACATCCATAAAGTGACTGCAATAAATCTTAATACACATACTCAGTATACTTTAAATCCCTTAACATATAAAGGGGATGAACATAAGAGATTGGGTCAAAAATTAACATTCCAGCAGTCTGTGATAAATTCAAGGACTATTTTATCAACTACTAGCTCTGCGTTGTGCAAGCCCACAAAAGATCAGATATCTGGTTGGAGACTAAGTAGTGAAAGAAATGTCTCCCTCAGTCCAAGAGATATCGTTGATGCTTCTCCGTCCAACTGGAAACCTTACCTGAAGCTAATTAGATTCGACAAACCAGCAGGTACAGTATAATTAAGCAAATAGCTTATTTACTGGGAGGGATTGAATATGGCTTTTAGTCTTCTCATGATATTTCCAGGAAGACTGGGGGACAGAGAGAAAATTAATATTATTTGATGAATAAAAGCGTTTTTTAATCCTGACAGTAAACACATTTTAGTTTTATATTTTAATATCATTGGATAAAACATATCTGTTATCTGGTATTCTATTAACTTTCGGATATTTAGCGTATTGAACTGACAGTCAGTTAAGATTTCAGAAAATCATGTCTAGAAATTGAAATATTTTGAATATTGGGCATTTACAGGTCAGGCTTAATAAGAATTTTGTACTATTTGAGAAAATTCTGCAAGGAAAAATACTGCATGTGATAATTTTATTTAAGAAGATGATTATTTATGTACTGTTTTAGGCACATGGCTACTGCTCTGGCCATGTACATGGTCTATTGGATTAGCCACTCAAGCTGGGCACTTTCCCGATCCTAAAACATTGCTTCTGTTTGGAGCTGGCTCTCTAGTTATGCGAGGAGCGGGTTGTATCGTCAACGATATGTGGGACAGTGAGTTTGACAAAAAGGTAAGATCTGGAAATAAAATATTTTCAAACCGAGGCATATTAGTTTGTATTAAACACTGAATTTAAAACATCTACATGCTTTTAAAAAAGACTCAAGTTTAGCGCAGTGGTCATGTTAATGCAGACATATCAGTTGCCAGTCTGATGGACCATGGTAAAAGTAAACTACAGTACATAATGTACAGTATGTACATGTACTTAAACAAGTGCATCTTCTCTAGGTGACCAGGACGAAAGACAGGCCTCTTGCATCAGGTGATCTTTCCCACACACAGGCTTTCTGGTTCCTTGGTTCTCAGTTATCCATAGCACTAGCCATTCTGTTACAGTTCAACTGGTACAGGTAGGAAAATATTTTTATGAGGGTTATCACAAAATCTCTGTCTACAGCCTTTTCCACTCTGCCATTTTACTGGGGCCCCCAAACTCCAATTGAAATGCAAATACAAGTACAATTACTTTATATATTAATTAACATACTATCATATTCCATCATGGCATGTTTTGGAACTGTAACTTTATACAATAGAGGGATAACTATAACCTTTGGTGACAGAGATCATCTTCATTATTTATTTGTCATCTGTTTTCAGTGTAATCCTTGGTGCCAGTTCCCTTGGTTTAGTAGTGATCTACCCTTTGATGAAAAGATACACATATTGGCCTCAAGTAATACTAGGTAAGATTTACATGCTGCAATATTCATGTCCACTTTATCTTGCCTTCCAAGCTATAGATAAGAGGCCGGCCCATAGCCAGCTTTTGTCAAGGGGGTACACTCGAACCCATTGAACCCCCTGGCTACAGGCCTAAGGGGGATCTCGCTTTTTATGATTAAACTAAATGTATGGCAAGTGATTTATTCTGCAACACAGATATTAAAAGGGTATAGACTTATGTAGTAGCATTTTATGTTTTAATTCTATTTTTTGGTTTGTGTTTTTGTTGTCATAACATATACCTTGTATACAGTATCGTTGGTTATGTCAAGGGTTTCACTAGAATTTCTCACTGCAGGCTAAATAAATGAGAACAACAGGCAAAATTATGGAAAACAGAAATTTAACATGGAAAAGTTGAAAAGTCCCTAAAAAACAGGCTAATGAAACCCCTGTTATGTAATCACGAAACCAGTGGAGCATCTCTAAATTAAAGATGAATAAACACAACATATTCCTTCTGTGCAGTATGTTACATATTATAGTCAATTTGTAGGTAAAATTTACAAAGTATTTGTGGCTTTGCTCTTCATCCCAAGACATTCCTTGAAAATATCACATTAAGATTTTATTCTGACTATACATGTTAGAGGATTTTCCCAAATTGATGGACTTGTCATTTTGTAGAATGATCTGAGAAATAATGAGACATCATTTGGCCTTGTGTGGAATCATTATCTCAGAATGACATGTCTATTGACAATGCTCGTGAAATAATTGTCATGCTGACATGATCACCGAGTATACATGACCATCTCAAATTTAAAAATGACTGCCATTTAGAAAAAATGGACTTCTAAAAATATTTCTTTTCTACTTACGAAATAAGTTGAGTAATGCATTGTTGTAAATGTATTATTTTACAGGGCTGACACTTAACTGGGGTGTTTTAATCTCATGGGTGGCAATCAAGGGCAGCCTACAGTGGCCAGTTATTCCACTGTACATCTCTTGTGTGATTTATACCATCATATATGACACTATCTACTCACACCAGGTAGTGAAATGTCTTAATAAACAGCATATGTACAGTGGTCTCCCTGAATTCATCCTAAACTGAGTACCTGACCTATTCTAGTGAAAAATGAAAATGGTCATGTCAAAATATTCAGACTTTAAACGTTTTTCCAAATTCTCAATAAGATGGGACTGTTACCTGCCTGCTTGCTAGGGAGACCACTGATATAGCTACATTGAGCTTAGGTTTTGATAATTTTGATGGGGGAATACTAACTTTTATCCCTAGATTTCCTTGAAATTGATTTTTCCCCTCTCAGCCTCCAAAACCTAGGTCTCTTGTTGCATACAGTCTTGCAGGTGGGGGTTAAAATATTCGAATAAAGCCACCTGTTAATGTGAAAAGAGAATACAAATTATATCCTTCATCATAAGACTGTATGAATTGCTTATTGCTTTTAGGTATACCAGCTGACTGGTACTGCTACACTTTTAGATGCTACACTATAAGCTGCTACACTCATATCTGCAATACTCTTAGCTGCAACACACTAAGCTGCTTTATATGTAGCTGCTTCACATGCATAAACCTGAGCTGAATTCCTAGCTGCACGGCCTAACTATATTATTATTTATACTGCATCTTTAGTTTTGAGTGTTTATGATTTGATTTCGTGTATTTCAGAATCTGTACAGAATTTATTTTATGATTTATCCATCATCACATACCAGCAAGCTAGTAGCATGTATGTTCATGTTTATATTCTCAATTCTTTCACTGTGTCTTACTACTGTAAAACCTATCTAATCTAAACACCTGTATGAGCGGCTAAAAGTGTTCAGATTGACAGGTGTTCACATTCTGAGGTTTTTCAACATCGAAGTTTATGACAGATTGAAAATGAGACAACAAAAAGTGTTCACACGAAGAGATTAGCGAGGTGTTCAAATATATGTAGGTTTTACTGTAAACTATGTCATTTCAGTGTCTGTAATTGTTCATCAATCGTTTGAACTGTATCCTTACCCCAACCAGTTGCACTGCTGTGGCTTGTTCTGTTTACCCTTTGCCACCCAGGAATTGACTTTTTGTGGCTTGACAATCTGTTTAAGCCTATATTAATGCTGTAAGTGCTTAACTTTAAGAATCTGCACATAGTGAACATTTTTTGGGCTCACCCTTTTCTATACCCCCTTTGATTATGCTGCAATTTTATTTAATTGTGTAGATCTGTTTAAAAGAAGTAACGTCACTTCTGGATCACCGTGTAATATAATTGTGGCATCAGTTAAATCAGGGTTATAGTTGATCTGCCTTATCATAGAATATTTTTGCATGTTACCTCAAAATCATATTTCATTCATTTAATTTAAATAAAAGTGCATGCTTTAAACCATGTGTTCTTAAAACCACATGTTCCGTTAAAACCATTTGTTAGTAGAAGGTAGTACTATATATGCATGGGTTTTGTACTTTATTGTACCTTTCACTATTTGAAGTTATATTATTTCAATTAATTGTGTGTAGTTTAAAGGATGTATATAACTATCAAGGGCCTAAAAAACAGTAAAATGATTGTTTTGAAGAATATAATCAATTAGATTCATTTTCATCAATTAAATGCAATAAATACGCTATCCATTTCTAATCACATGTGAAAGTGTTCTAATAAAGAATGTAAAAGTATTTGGCCATTGTTAGGAATTCCTCAAAGCAAATGTCAAAATAAATATCGCCATGCCATCCAGCGCATATTGATGACGTAATAATCATAGCCTGGTCTTGTGAAAATCCAATAAAATTTGACGTCATTTCCCAAACAGTGATAGCTTTGGAGAAATCCCCAACTGTTACTGGATTCCCAAAAAGTATTTTACATTTATATACAATAATAACTCCATCTGGGGTAAAATAAAGCATTTTATATATCATATTACAACCGATTCTTCATATTAATACAAATATATGACAATAGTGTGTAATGCTTTCAAGAAATAAGCCCAAAAACTGCGATGTTATTGTTATTGAATTAAGGTGGGTCCCTCATTAAATACACTGGAGGAAATGTTCTGAAAATTGCTAAAAGTAGGGGTCATTGTAACTGGTCCCACTCCATCAATATTATATCAATTTCTGTTTTATTTATATGGAATGAAAGATAAGTATCCACTCCAAATGTGTAAATAAAATCAGTATTATATATACACACCAACATGCTGTATTAAGGCTTTGAAAAGGAGTGAAAATCACTTTAATAGTTATATACAACCTTTAAAATTTATGTTAAACATAATAAATTATTACTTCAATATAATATCATAACTTCAAATGAATTTTAAAAATACAAACAAAAGCAAGATTATCTACAAATTTTCTTGAAACATCGAACCAGGTTTCTTCTTGCAGTTATCTCCAAATATCACCAAAAACAGAAACATAAAAAGCTGTAGCCTTTTGAACATTCAAAACTATTATTCATGCCCCTTCAAATCTCGACCCAAATTATTGGGCGCAAATTTTGGAAAAGTTTTTCATTTTTTATGAATGGCTATACCTCCAAACATGTCATCATCAATCTAGCCAATATATCACAGCTTCTTACCAAAAGGTGGAAGGGTTTCAGGCTAGTAGCCAGGATTTGCCAGGGGGTACACTTATAAAAAATATAAAAAATTCAAAGGGGGTTTATTTTTGTCAACTTTGGCCCAAAAATGACCAAAATCACTTGAAATGTACTCAGAAATCAGAATGGTGAAAAACTGCATGATTTTGAAATAAATTTTGGCTCAAACCCCCCTCCCTAGCTACAATCCTGGGTTTATTGGAAGATATATTTGATTGATAGGTGGAACACTTTGCATATATTGTGTCATTTATCCTTTTATCTCCTTCGAAAAAGAAATAAAGATTCTAGAGTAATATACAATACAAACTACATGCATCTGGTTTAGCCCTTAATAACATTAGCATTGTTCAATGTGATTTCAAAATCTGAAGAAACAAAAAATATAGATTGATTAATTTAAATTGAGCTGCTTTGAATAGTGGAAGGTATAATGGAAACAAAACATACATTCACGTTTTTTTAAATGGAATTATGATTTTGAGTGTTTTGCACTGACTGACTGGTGTGGGTAGTTTTCCTTTCACGATTATTTTCTTGATTTTTAGGACGTCACAAAATTGATAATGGAGACCTGCTCGATGCAATCTATTTTAGGAATTCAATATGTCAATACTTACCTTCCACTATTTTAGTTTTTATCTACCCAAACATGATTTCAAGTCATCCCCAATCACCACCACACCCTTACATGCCATCATATCCTTAACAATTTGGTTCTCTCTTCCACCCCCCCCCCCACTTCCCATTGGCCCTGTCCTGTATTAATATGGGATGATCTCCAACTGGGACAGTATATATTACTATGTTATTGACGGTAGCTGAAACTGGGGGAGGAGTAGTTATCCCTCATGACCCCTTATCCAATACCCCCTGACTTCAGTTTACTCATCATATTCCGCTAATGTTATTCAGGAATGACCTTTAACTGGGGTACTCTACTTGGTTATTCTGCCGTCGCTGGAGGCTGTAACTTGGGGGTTGTTCTACCTCTGTACATTGCTGGTATTAGCTGGACTATGATCTATGACACAATATATGCCCACCAAGTATGTACATGTACAATCAGTGTAGACATAAACTTCCTTGAAATATTATTGATGATGAAAACAATAAGCTTTGTATGGAGAGCTCTTCAAATTACATATATGTTCAAATTAATATTTGGCCTTCCTTTCGCCATATTTCTTAATCCATTTGGCTGGATTATATATCTACTGAATCTTTTGGTACTTCAAAATCTGATAATCTTGCTTTTAACGAGTTAACAATAAAATGTATAGAAAAGCCTTACTGGTAACTATTTACAATCATAATCTCCCAAATTCTAAGATTCATTGTAAAATATGGTTTATTTGTCACCCATTAAGGTAGGCACAAAGTGTTAAAGGTCCAAAAGTCATCAAACCTAGTCTTCCTTAATGATATTTTAAATTTTGTGTTGAGAGAGGTGTTCTTTCATATTCCTGCTCATAGTTATATAGGCTCACAATATACTTTATTTGTATTTGAAATCTGATTCTTAATCAGAATGCAATATGTTACAAATAATAATATCCAAAATGAATATTTTAGGACAAGGTCGATGATATCATGATTGGTGTAAAATCAACAGCACTGAAGTTTGGTGACAACACCCGCTATTGGCTTACAGGGTTTGGGTCAACCATGATTGGAGGATTGGCCCTCAGTGGATTCATGTGTGACCAAACTTGGCCGTATTATCTTGGGTTAAGTGGCGTGGCGGCTCACATAATGTGGCAGGTAAATACAGGTCTTAAAACGTAATGAATAACATTTCGAATTGACCCCACCCTCTGGCATTCACTATGTCACCACCACAATTGTGGTTTATAGTCTTCAACGTTTTTGTGGCAGTGGTTGGTGTTCAGCATCTGTAACAAATGGCAGGTGGTGACATTTGCATGTTAATGTCTTGTTGGTACAAGTTGCAGAATGTTCTAATTTTTATCCCATCGAACAAAGTTCGGAGGGATATAGGGAACGCCTCCGTCCGTCCGTCCGTCCGGGCAATTACTCAAATACCGTTGGCCCGATTTTGTTCATATTTTGTACACACATACCCAATTGGGGTAGAAGTTCTGCTCGAAAACCGATTTTCAAAATGACCACCCATTTAAAAATGGCGGCCATTTTAGTGCCGATTTTACAATAATTTAGGTACTGCATATAAAATACCCTTTGCATTCGTTTGACTTCACTTCTTAAAAGAGAGCTTCGTCTTCACTCTTTCAAACTAAAATAAACCTGTGAACTCACCGCGCCAATCAGTGTTCGTCGGCCAAATTTGACCGACGTTCTATATATGGTTATTCCTTCTGACGTCATTGTTGAGCCCGAAATTGACCAATGACATGCGCATATTTAATTAGAACGCATTTGGCGTATGTTTCTTCAAGCTCGCCGATTGGTGGAAGAAAGGTCAGCGCGTAAGTCAAAAGTGATTTATTACCCAAACTGTCACCGGTACCCGTCGTGGGGGCAGGGCCACTAAACTGTAGTATGGTCTCTACTAGGCAGAGTGTAGTTTAACTAGACTCTGCACGCAGGGTACATATAAAACTGTAATATGTTTTAAATGTAAAAAAGTTATATAGGACATTGATTAAGCTAGAAATGTAAATACAGAAGAAAAACATGGCAGCCATCTTGAAAAATAGCTGCCTTTGCATGTCATTTTACGATTTTTGCTGTAACTTGAAAAGTAGTGGAGCGATTTTGTTCATATTTGGTATGTGAATACTTTAAGCATGGCACAATGTCTAATGACATTTTTGGTAGTAGGCGGTCATTTTGAAAAAATAGCCATTATTTTTTACTCTTTTTACAATAACTTGAAAAGTAGTGGAGCAATTTTGTTCATATTTGATATGTGAATACTTATGAGCCTTGCACTCTGTCTCATGACACTTCGCATAGTAGGTGGCCATTTTAAAAAATGGCTGTCATTTTTACATTTTTTACTATAACTCTAAAAGTATTGGAGCGATTTTGTTCATATTTGATATGTGAATACTTTAAGCATGGCACATTGTCTAATAAACTTTGGGGAGTAGTCGGCCATTTTGAAAAATGGCCACCATTTTTATGTGCATTATTTTACATTTCTTATTATAATTCAAAAAATTATAGAGCGATTTTCGATATATAGCAATATGTGAATACTTGTAAGGATTGCATACTGTCTTATGACATTTTGGGTAGTAGGCGGCCATTTTGAAAAATGGCCAGCATTTATAATTACATGTATGTGTGTGCGATTTTTAAAAAATTTTATATGTGGCTACTTAAAAGCATATTACTTCTTCTGATGACAACTTGACTAGTGAGCAACCATTTTGAAATTGGTGGCCTTTCTTATGGGTGTTATTTTATGATATTTGCTATATATTTTGTTTGTAAAAATGCCAGCCATTTCTGTTCGATGGGATTCGCTACGCTTTGGCGTTGCCGTTGTTTTGGTTTAAATACTGTTGGATATAAATTGTACATGTTTTACTGTACTGTTGAATATGATGTACATGTTTTACTGTACTGTTGAATATGATGTACATGTTTTACTGTACTGTTGAATATGATGTACATGTTTTACTGTACTGTTGAATATGATGTACATGTTTTACTGTACTGTTGAATATGATGTACATGTTTTGCTGTACTGTTGAATATGATGTACATGTTTTACCGTACTGTTGGATATGATGTACATATTTTACTGTACTGTTGGATATGATGTACATGTTTTACTGTACTGTTGAATATGATGTACATGTTTTACTGTACTGTTGAATATGATGTACATGTTTTACTGTACTGTTGAATATGATGTACATGTTTTACTGTACTGCTGGATATGATGTTCATATTTTACTGTACTGTTGGATATGATGTACATGTTTTACTGTACTGTTGGATATGATGTATATATTTTACTGTACTGTTGGATATGATGAACATGTTTTACTGTATCATTGGATACGATGTACATGTTTTACAGTACTGTTGGATACGATGTACATGTTTTACTGTACTGTTGGATACAATGTACATGTTTTACTGTACTGTTGGATATGATTTACATGTTTTACTGTACTGTTAGATATGATGTACATGTTTTACTGTACCGTTGGATACGATATACATGTTTTACTGTACTGTTGGATACGATGTTCATGTTTTACTGTACTGTTGGATATGATGTACATGTTTTACTGTACTGTTGGATATGATGTACATGTTTTACTGCACTGTTGGATACGATGTACATGTTTTACTGCACTGTTGGATATGATGTACATGTTTTACTGTACTGTTGGATATGATGTACATGTTTTACTGTGTTGGATAAGATGTACATGTTTTACTGTGCTGTTGGATACGATGTACATGTTTTACTGCACTGTTGGATATGATGTACATGTTTTACTGTACTGTTGAATATGATGTACATGTTTTACTGTACTGTTGGATATGATGTACATGTTTTACAGTACTGTTGGATATGATGTACATGTTTTACTGTACTGTTGGATACGATGTACATGTTTTACTGTACTGTTGGATATGATGTACATGTTTTACTGCACTATTTAACCATTTCCAGGTGCTAACAGTTGACATCAACAGTTCCCCTGATTGTTGGAAGAAATTCTGCAGCAATATCAACCTTGGAGCCCTGCTGTTTATAGGCATAGTGGCAGGAACATTATACAAACAGACACCTGATGACAAACAACAGACAAATGATACGGATGAATTAGAGAAGATGAGAACTGAACAGTGAAATGACGTAAATTAAAATAATTGTGATGCTGTAATAATTATATGTTATACAGCAACAGAAATCCATGGATCTATGGATAGTGGCAGAAACTTTGTAGAAACAGATATCTGATGACAAGATCTAGACTTCTCATAGTGATTAAACTGTATTGAAATACTGTACTGTATATGATTCTGATGCAATAATATGTAAGATATTAAAGATGCGTTGGGTCTGGTTTCTCTCCCGATCTCTCTCGTATTTCCAGAATTGCCATTTACAGAATGGCCAATTACAAAAAATCTCTTTTACGATTTCACTACCACAAGTGGTAGACATATTGTTACAGTCTCCAACTTTTTGTGGGTGGTGTTTGGCAGTTTATGTCTGTTACAAATTCTTACAATTTCCAACAACTTAACATTAAGTGCTGTTTAGACTGAATTGCTTTTTTTACTGTCAACATACCGGATTTTCTCGCATATAAGCCCTGGGCGTATAACTGAAAGAAGGGGTTATTTCGTCTGTTATTTTACCTCTTATTTTTCGCCCATGGGCGTATGAGTGTACTACTTTCGATTTTTGGCCCAGTGGGCGTAAAGGTGAGAAGAGCTGATGAATACAATGGTTCCTCAAAGACTACCATACCTACTGTTGTAGTCCTACAGCATGTTTTGAAAGAATTATAAAGGAAATGTTACCTACAACCTTGGACTTATGTTGAAACAAAGTAACAACAGCACGATCCACCACTGCAACTTACGGCACAGCGTTGAACTTAATGTTGAAACAAAGTAACGACAGAACGATCTGCCAGTGACAAAATACTCTTGAATTTATTGAAAAAATCAATAAATAGTCATTTTTTATAGGCCCATGGGCGTATAAGCGTACTACATTCGATTTTTGGCCCATGGGCCTAAATTTAGGGGGGCTTATATGCGAGAAAATCCGGTACATATATGTATATAGATATATTATGAGTCCCAACACATTTCTGCCAATATCTTTTACCATGGTGACATCAAAAATCTTCCATACTGTATTTTATATGAACTACGTAGACAAAATCTCTTTTTGAACTTTATTCATAGCAAATTGACTAAGAATTACATTAAAAGTTGATTTGTTCAAACTGTAGACTCCCATCTGTATAATACTGATCCAAACAGTTCATGTTACCAGGTTTGGGGCACGTTGTGAACTTGCTCGTATCATAAATATCATACGCACTTTTTGCTCTGACGTCAGCCAAATGCTGTGCATGACGATATATCTCTGGCCAATAAAGATTCCTTAAATGAGCACCTGGGTTTGTTGGTGCATTTAGCCACTGTCCATCAAGTAGAACTTTAGTCGGGGTCTGGCTGTTCTGTAACATTTTATCAGATTGCATTCTGGGATATCCCCAGATTTCAACGCGCCAGAATTCAGCATAAATATCTATAATGTAACTGTCCCATATTTTGGATACATTTGGACGTATAGCAAAAATATAACCAGCATTTTCAAACTCTTTGCTAAGGTGTGAAAATGCCTCAATTTGATTGGTTAAGAATATCATATCAGCATCAAGCTCCCATGGTAGTACCTTATTGAATTTGACAGCTCCTAATAATGTCCCATAAGTAATTTCTACAGTGACTTTGTTTTCTTCACAAATGGTCATTATTGTTTTAATGGCATCTGCGAGCACCTGTAACTGACACGGTGGTGTTGCCATGCCAACTTTTGTTTTTTTTCCAGTCTTACTCTCGTGACATGTAAAGTGATAATTCACCCCATTAGGAAGGTTTAATATATTAATACCCCAGTATGCAGCAAAGGGGATCCAATCCTTTCTCTTATGAATTTTCATGTGTCTCGTATGAAACATACTATCTGGACAGACCGCTAGCTTCCTGTCCGACAATAGTTTCGTATCTAGGAATAAAGTCTCAAACAAGCCTGGGGAGTTCATACCAGAGTAGAATTTCATTTTCTTTAGGAAGGATGTTTTAGCAAGAAAGGGTCCCTGGATATGGTCACAATATACGCAGTCATGTTTTGAGTGTTTGTATCCACTTTTATACGAAACAGTAAAGTTTCTAAACACCGTCTGCTGGCATCCCATATTCCAGTGGCCATCGGGTGTCCTAAAAGCTCCACCTATCATAGGCACGTCTAAATCATCAATCTCCCGGATTAATCTATCAAGCGCTATATCATCCGTTATCAAATCAACATTTTGGGCTAACAAAACATTTGGGGTGTCCACTTGTAAAATTAAATCATTCCATATGTCAGACTGATGTGAGGAGTATGAGATAAACTCAAACTGCTTATGACTCTTTGGTGGTTGAGTGTGTGTCTTGCTTATCGCTATTTTAACTGGTATATCAGGAAAGTATTGAGCCATGCCGTGTGAGATTCTTTCCACAGTTTGAAACATTTCCTTGTTTGGATATGAAGCTAGATTCATCACCATGGTTACCAGCATTGATTTAGGACTATGTCGACATGGTAGTTTCTCAAACAAGTTCGGATAAAGATCATTTCTCAAATCAAAGTAGCCTCTGCTTGTGTACTTCTCTGGACAAACAGTGTAAAGTTTATCATGGTCTACCTTACTCAGTATGTAGTTATCTGGTTTTATACTTTGGACCATCTCATTAGTATTCTTAAACATCCCTGGTTTATTGGAATAACTGTGGTTGTTGGCTTTGAAATTGTGAAAATAATCCTGATCTGGAATCTGTTTTGTTTTCATAGATTCATCTGGTTTTGATTGTATCATTAGGGAATCCACTGCATCAAAACCAAGTATGCTCAGTATGCCATTAATTTTATTTACCAATTTCTCTGCAAGTATCCCAATATTGTCATCCTTCCTTGATTCATGTTGAATTTTAACAACAATTTTGGCCAATTCTTTGACCTCGTTATACAAAACATCATTATTTCCTTGCAAGTTTTGTTTAATAATGTTATGTTTCTCTTCCTGGATTTTACTTTTAGTCCCTGTCACCTCTGCCTGTTTAATAAGAGGAACGACGCTGAGTAACATATTCAATAATGCAAAAATAAAAACACTCGCAAAGAAATATTTTGTTATTGTAGACTTGTTGATCTTTCTCTCCATGGTTCTTGCTTTCAGTTCAGTGTTTTGCAGTTGAAAAAGACTTTAGTTTGTAAATGAGTGTAATAACATAACCGTCCTTTACATGGAACGCTGCAGGTGTTGAAATCAAGAAGCTGCTTCTGGTTTAAATTCTACTTTTATTGTTATCTTTTCAAATAATAAACCTGTCCATGTAGTTTATTTATAATGATTTATATTGCAACAGATGGATTATCCAGATATACAAGTAAAAAATAAAAACTCCTGAACCAAGAGATAAAATGAGGAATTCAATGGTATTAGCAGCAGTAAAATTCATAAATACATGCATTTTGTTTAACCCCATAAGCTGACAAGCCAAAATCAATGTCCATTCAAAATAAACAATATACAGTATAAATATTAAAATGGCAGATGTCTGGCTTTAATAAACTAAACAACAGCAACGCCAAAGCAGAGCAAATCCTACTGAACACCCATGGCTGGCATTTTTACAAAGTTATAGCGAAAATTGTAAAATAACACACAAAAATGGCCACCATTTTCAAAATGGCCGCCTTAAATAACCAAAATGTCATACACAATGTGCCATACTTATGAGTATTCATATACTGGCCACCTATACTCCCCAAAGGGTCAAAAGTGTAATATGCTTCTAAGTGGGCACATACAAATTTCAACAAAACCGCACACACGTACATGTTAATGACGGCCATTTTTCAAAATGGCCGTCTTAAATAACCAAAATGTCATAAGACAGTGTGTCATGCTTATGAGTATTCACATATCAAATATGAACAAAATCACTCCACTACTCTTTAATTTATAGTAAAACCAGTGGTTTCAGTAACTTTGTGTACAAGAGGCAGATGAAAAATACAAGAGGCGACATTCAAAATAACCAATTTTACGCTCCCGACAACGCAAATTCTTGTTATTTTAGAGTCCATTGACTGAAACAAAGATGTCCAAGGTTTGTCAAAGTCATTTCCACGTGTGATGTGGCAAGACATGGGCTCCACAAATAACACCTGGAACTGTGGAATGACTAGGGCAACTTATATAGAATGTCATTTACCTTTTATAAGATAACTTACCCTTACACAGGTTGCATTTCACAAATCCAAATGCACCTGTTGAATTGACCACTTTTGATATAAATCAAAATCTAGAATAATTGTCATTATTAAAATGAGAGTGATGTATTAATAGATGATTCACTTGTGATTATGTGTATATCAGATTCATTTTAGTTTTTTACCACCTCCAGAGGGTACAGGGCGTTCCAAAAGTAACAGGACTGGTGCTGGTATTTTGTTAAATATACACCAATTGTCTTCAAAATTTTACATAATGTACCTTCATGTTTTGTAACTAAAATTGCCGAATTACATAATTTTTGTCGAAACTGATTTAGAAATCGGCCGATGAATACTCATCGGCCGGCGCCCGGCGCATATGTGGCCTAGGCATTAGAGAGAGACCGAGGTGGGAGATATCCCCCTCCCCTCTACACCAAACTTGTTCTCACTACGTTTTCGAAAATTGCCTGAAAGGCCTCCTCACACATTAAGGAAAACATATCTACACATTTTGCGCATTTAACCATTTGATAACATATTGTGGATCTTATCTTAATTTGTTAATGTGAATTCGCACCTCCATTTGCATGGAAGACTTGTATGTGTTGCTACTTGCATGTAGCTACAAGTTTTTAATTTCAATAGATGAAACTTCTCAATATAAGAAATTGCCCTCATAAGACATTGTTGCAAGGTGTGTTGCAATGAATGTGACATGATCCCACATTCTCAGGCCCGCATTATGTATTCTCGAAGAAAGCCATCATGATAAACCATGACATCTCATTTCTTCTCAGCCCTGAGATGATTCAGGTGAAACAGAAAGATGCTATGAGTATCAGATTGGAAGAAAGCATATATTTGCATTGATGGTGTATAGATAGTTATTCTATATAGTGTTTTTAGTTGTACGTGGAAACCTATTCTAACCAGGAAGGATATTGCAACTTTTTTCAAGATCCTAAAGTTGCAATTTTCGTTATTATGTTTCATTGTAAAGACGCACCTGTGAAAGTGTGTCGCTGGTACAAAGGCGTAGTTCTAAATACATTTAAGATTTTTAAACTTGTATGTGAACGTGTAGAATTATGGCCCTGGTGGATTTTTTCTCCCTTTTGTACTGTTAATACTTGGCCTGTTGAGTATATAAAGGTATACATGTATACAAGTAGAGGTTCAAACCTCCCCCCATCCACACATACACTTTTAATCATGCTTAAGTAACTTCGCATTGTAATTACAAGGGTGTTATAAACGAGACACCAGGGTGATAAGGCAGGGGTACAATATAGGGCCCAAATCTTGAGAAAGAGTCGAAGGCATGCGAGGCAAATCCTGGAAACTCGGGTTCGAGAAAGCGGGGTTCACTGTTTGGTTCCGTTGACACCTGTGCAAAACTACATTCATAATTTATCTGACAGTCGCTTTGATAATGTTTCTTTATCTCGTCTGCGACTCGATAAAGAAGAATTATGAAAGCTCATCAAGAATTGACGATCTTGCACAGGTTCTCATATAAGAACCTCTATATCTTTTTAACACCAATATAAAGATTGAACAACGGACAAACTATGTTAAAAATAAAATGTTATATCTAATGTGTCAATTTAATGATTTAGCATATCGAAAATATTTTCAACCTTAGTGACCACATCGTGACATCACTCAGGGGCAACATTTTTCAATGTCAATCTTTTTCTAAATATGCTAAACTTAAAAAATAAACCAATTTTGACTGTCTAACCAGGTTAAAAGGATGAATATATTATGTTTTTAATATTATTTTACCATTGGTTTCAATGAGAATTAAAATTTTGAAATGCATCTTTCCCTGAACCACTTTCATGCATGGATGAGTTCATTGCTCGCTCATCTATCAACCAATTTTCTTGATTTTTTCGGCAAAAAAACAAGTGAGGATGATTGCTATGCATCGGTGTGAATTATCGCTTTAAAGGATAAGTGTGACATCTTAAAGTTAGTTTTAAATAAATTCACTATATTTTGAACAAAAAGTCCTTCAAAAACATTTTTGAAATTAATAAAAAGTTTCACATTTCACACTTTGATAACATTGGATAAGACAACAATATAAGCCAAAGTGGTTTGAGATTGTTACTCAAAAAGTAAAATGGTCCAAATTGTACAAAAAGCAGCAGCATTAGAAATTCAAGATGAAAATGAATCTGGATACTCATGTGAGGTGCTTATGTGTTGAATACTAGATGCTAGTGCCTAGCTGCCCATGTGCTTATACAGAGACTGAATGAGTGGCGTTCATGCTTTTGATATCAAGTGGCGTTCTTAGTGTGACCTAGGGGACATATATCTGAGATAATGCCGTTATTCAGCAATGTGTATTATTCAGCAAAGTGGGACAACATCGTTATTCAGCAATGTGTATTATTCAGCGAAGTGGGACTCTCACAGTACATGCAGTGACAACATGCCATCAACATAGTGTGGTGATGTTATAGTGGCACTCAGTATTTTATATGACACTGGTATTTTGATAGAGTAAAATATGTACAATTAACTCTTTGAGTGCCGTGGGGTTTTGGAATTGTTATGACGTCAAAATGCCACGGAAATGACTATAATATTGATTAAAAAAATCGATTTTTAAGTTTTTTCCACTCCATGATATTTCTTCCACTGGTATCTATCTTAATGATATTGCAAGTGTTAAAATGCTTTATTTTCACTTTTAGTTACTATGGTAACATGTTGAACGTCACTTGATCAATACATATTTCAGTTCTATGAGGGGTTTTATAGCTAAAATTAACATTGGAAATATCGCACGGTTGAAAGAAAAAAACTTTGAAAACTAAACGTAATAGACTAGATGCGAGTAGAAATAATCTTGATTTAAGTCATCAAAAAATAAAAATTCAGTCAAACTGATGTCATATTTGGAATCTACATGTAGAATTACATCTAGAAATGTGGTTTTGAAAAGAGTTTATCAACTTTGAAAATTTAATTTCCTTTGAAAATGTGACTTCTAGGTCGGGGAGATTCCCCATAGAGCCCATGTTGTAAAATCACAAAAAGTGAAATATCTTTTCTTGTGTTCGGCAGATTATATATTCTTTTACTGGGCATATTTTAATTTGTATAACTATCAGATACAAAAGGGTAATATGGAAAAGTGAACCACTAAAACTGATGAATATGCAAGTTTAAGGGAATTCTGTAATACCCTGCCATGTTATTTCCCCCGACTCAGCCACCTGGTGGCGAAACTGGTAACTACCTACTCGCATCTGAGTAATTACTTTTAGTAATGCGCCCGTTCTTGCGCAACACATTTGGCGTAGCTTATTAAATATTTTAAAACAATAATTCAAATTAAAATATGATACAAATATTTATCCTCTTTCTTTTATTATTCCTTCTTTCAAATTAAAGAAATTCAGCATATACGAACAATATACATGCTATGTACAAAAATAATGAATAAATATACAATATCAGGATAATTCAAATTCATACAAATTCAGGCTAACTTTAATTGGCAGAACATGTGTGATGTGTATAATGAACCATGGTTTAATTGTGAAAGCCTACTTGTACTTGTTAGTATAGATCGTGAACGTGAAGCTAGTAACATGCGAAACAAGTGACCAACAAAATAGTATGTACAATGTATAAGCCACATCTTATCCATTACGTTATATTATAATGAATGAATCATGTCAATATGCTAGTCTGTTAGTATTTTCAGCACACGTGGTGTCTGCAACAGTCCAAGTGAAGACCCTTGGCACACTTGGCGCATGCATTACGGAATTTAGTCCTCCTGCCTGCATCTCTATCACTACAAATACAAACGCAGCAGTCCTTTTCCGCCTTCCAGGAACTTTCCGAACCCTCAAGATCGGCTGGTCAATGATGAATATCTATTAGGGAGGCGATGAAGGCCATGTGAAAGTCTAACCTTGAAAGCAGAGCTGCATTGTTTTCATTATAAATTATATTAGCATTGAGCAACCATCTCTGTATGATGTTAAAATGCACTTTTTTCATGCTGGATATCCTGATGAAAGTCTAACCTTACAAGCGGGGATGGTTTTTTCCTTATAAATTTAAAAATAATCAGTACTGCTCTAATCCATTTTTATTTTCTATTGAAAGTATACTGTTTGAAATCTTAAACGTACTCAGACAACCAATTTTATATTTTTATATTCCAAATTAGCCTATAGCATTAAATGATTTAAATGACTGATATCTCAGACGTACTCAGTCAACCAATTATACTTTTGATATATGATTTAAATGACTGATTTGTTAATTGCGAAAATAGACCGAACATGGTCTGATTCCATCCATCACCTGGTATAAATGAAAAAGTCATTTTTATATCGTCCAGGCTTCAACGTAGTGTAATGCGCTAAACGCCGATCTCAAACGTACTCAGACAACCAATTTTACTTTGGATAAACAATATTTAAAGCCCATAGCATAAAATGATTGAAATGACTGATTGTTTTAATTATGACAATAGGCCGAACATAGTCTGATTCCATCGTTTATCAACAAGATGTATTAATTATTAGTCAGTTAGTATGGCCAAAAGCATTGTCAACTATATTTCGAGATAATGTTTGCGATATGAAATCTGTGAAAGATTCAGTTTTCCTTCGGAGATAATACGGAAAATAGTAGAATATTTGTCATTATCCACAAAAAACTATAGTCCTAAAAAATGGTTTCTGCATGGAGGTACATACAGGCATGCAGTTGATTATGCAAGTATTATAGAACCAAATACATGAAATAAAGTCTTCTTGTCTTTGCGTGCAACTGCAACAGAGGTTTCAAGAATTTCTTGATAATATGAGTTTATTTCTTCATGTATTTGAATGAAGTTTGTTTGATGTACAAATCTTTCCCCAACCAATGTTGAAGTACATTTGTACATTTTCAGATGGAAAAAAGAATATCCCCGCTATTCTATCATACGAATTAAGGTGTAATAAATAGAAATGACCAAATATGTCAGCATTTTTCAATCTACGTGGATTCCGTGAAAGAACACGTAAGGTACGGTTTCAAAGTATGCTGAAACGGATATTTGCTTATGCATTGATGCATGCGCGGCCTTGACAGAACAAACCTACTAACCCACATACGTGGGCTACTAACCTAGATACGTCTAGCTAATTTGCATAAAGTTGTAGCAGTCTGAATCCACTTTTTTTGCTCTAAACTGGCTGTATAAAAATGGAATTTATTAGTCTTTAACTCTGCTGTTGATTGATAGACTTCGAAATAAATAAGACCATGGTTTTGCTCGGAACAATAGCTTTCCGATGGTTCCACTTTTGTAATGACCAAATTACAAGAAAATGGGGGAAATAGAGAGTAAAGGTGATTTCTCGAATGCCAAGTTTCACTGAAGAAATGCTGCGTTCTGATTGGCCGACTTTCTTGCAGTCCCAATCCACTTTAGCTCCCCAAACTCACGTTTTACAGAAATGACACTTTTCGGTCTTTTTCTCCGCCATTTCTCGATCGATTTCAATTCAATTCTATTCAATTCTATTTATTTCATAATTCTTATATAATATACACTATAAAAACAAGCCGCTAGACACCCTAGTGGGTATATGTTGCGGTTTAACAGAAATTATTAAAATGACATCTAGACTACATATAAAAGAAAACACTTATATTATGTTACATGTAGGTATATAAAAATGGTATTAACAATTTATCTAAGGATGTACAATATAAAAATTTCTAAAAGCATAATGTCATAGTGAAGCTTACATTGTCAGTTTCCCGATGGTATCACTATTGAAGCCATCCACGTGAGATAAGAAGGTGAAATTTGAACGTGAAAAAGTTTCTCGATAATCGAAGATTCACTTTAAAAATACTGAGGAATCTGGCATTCTGATTGGTCAGTTTTCCTGCATTCTCAAGCCACTTTTCCGACTCCAAACTGAGTTGTAAGAAATGGCACTTATTACATACATCTCTCGATTTTGTTTCACATAATGACTAAAATCTGAAACTGATATACCTGAAACGTCAGTGTAAAGGATGAATCAAATCCAAAATTATTCAAGAAGACGAGGTTATATATAAAAACGATGAAATAAAACTAAAAACCTGTCTGGTTTTATGTAATTCTCGCCTCTAGAATGTCTGAAGAGTACCTAAACCCCAAAGTATTTTGCTCAAAATAAGTGAAACTAAAAATATTATTATTAACTTAGAACCCACGGGAGTAATTGTATAGTTTCTAACACCCCAGACACATTTGTCGTACGGAGGCCGTGTGTCGACCGCAGATCAATTAAATCAGTGTATTTCTTCGGCGAGCGTAGGAAAACTACGCTCGCCTTGCGGCCTCCGTACGGCGTATCCAGTTTTTTACAGGCCGCAGGGTCGCCGTAGAAATTATAACTCAGAGTTATAATATTTGTTCATTTCTGAGGTCCCCGAAGAAATCAACTGGCTCAACAAGATTGAATCATTATTTGTCAATGATTCACGATCACTTTTCATTTGATATTACATCCTAGCACTATGAATAACATTTATAAATTGTCCCGATGTAAATAAAATGAAAAAAGTATTATTTATCAACAGAAATTTAAAATTCACCGTGCGGCTGCCGTGGGAAATGTGACTGCAAAAGTATGAGAGCGCAGAAATTCCACGGCGAGCGTAGAAATGTTACTGGCCGCAGAAATGATAGATCGCAAGGTCGCCGTAGGAAATGTGACTGGGGTGTAAATAGCTGAATAACGCTGACATAATAAATGTCACTTTTGTTTGTCTTTGACTTTACTTGGGCCAGACCTCCATTCACTTCATTGCTAGAAACGTGCAATAGTCAATTAATTTCATGATTTATCAAAAAGTGTTGGTTGAATCTGTCTGAAACTCGAATGACATACTATTGGATGGCCCTGTCAATATTGTCAATACAAGATGGTTGTCATACAAATTAGCCAAGTTTTGAATGAATTTTAGCACTCCACCAATGGAGATTTGGCCCAAGTTTTTTCAAATGTCATAGAAAATGATTTAAATGACATAACTGTGTAAATCAAAGCTATTATTGGAGAAAACGTGTCACTATATTCAATTATGCTATCAAAATTAGAGATAAAAAGTGCAAATCTCTTAAAATCGCGACATGAAAAAACGAGAGTTAGCAAGATTTCAAAGCTATCTAGAAACTCTAGATCTTCTATTGCACGCAGTAGAATTTAAATGCACGCAAGTAAATTGTTATTTTATATATGTTCTTCTGATGCCATCTCTATATTTAACATTGCCGAAATTATGTACAAGGGAGGTAGTGTATATTGTTGCAATTCACAATTTCAGGTAAAATGGGCGGTAATCGGCCCTTGTGCCCTGGAGTATAAATAAACGATATCGAGGACAAAATATTTCATATTATTAAATTTAAACCCCTTATTTATGTAAAATACTTTAACATTGTACTTACTGCAATATGATACTGCAATTGAGCCCATCGTCTCCACTGGTAGGGTAAAACAGGTTAATTGTATTAAATAAACACAAAACTAGATAGTTGATTCTTTATATTTATAAGCATTCAAACACTGTTTATTACTCGTGCATTTAATCATCTTAGCGTTTGCATATTCTGTGACAATATTGTCTGTAAATCCAGATCCCCTAAACGTATACGTATTGCTTGCTATACTCATGAAGGAACAAATAATTTACCCAACGAAATATACATATTGTATCGCCTTTTATAATGTTCATGGACGACGTTAAAATCAGATAAACTAAGGAAATGGTACGTTAACTCATTTAATGTTTGATTTGTTTAATACATGCATAATGTAGGCCTACTTAGCTACCGCAGCGTCCATCGTACAAATACGAAAACGGACGCTCTTTATCAATGATCAATTCGCATTTCTACATCCAAAAGTATTTTATTTTTATTTTCAGTTTATGCATAATGTGTAATGTCATTTCTCTATATTCACATGGATTATATTTATAAATACATGTTTTACATTCTTACAGTTAATTTCATGTTTCAAAAACGTTAATACGCTACAATTTCAAGACAACAGTAAGCGTTCTAAAATGCTGAAAATCATATGCGTTCAAAGTATAATAAGAAATACACTCATTTACAAATAAGTGACTTTGGTATATTTGCGACGAATTACTTACAAATCAACGTTTATAGGGACAACATTTTGGGCCAATATTAACGAAATCCTTGAATGCCAAGCTTGTTAATAAACATTAATTTTTCGATATTGTAAGATGCCCAGCGTTCGTAAAATATAACTACATTGTATACTGTATATGAGGAATAGATCAGGTCGAATTATTTTTAATGAACAAAACAAACATTACGTTTCATTCATATCCATGCATATTTTATTTCCAATACACGAATTTCAAGTATTTACTTCATTTGTACACTAAATTACGTTGACAGATACAATCTAACAAACATCAGCGTTGCAAAAATACGAAAAATACGTGCGTTCATAGCATAAAATAAGTTACCTCAGTTAGTTTGCAACACAATTTGTTTAATTACTTGACCAGTAACGTATTATTCACCATTTATGGAGACATTATTGAATCTACTATATTCGGGCCGATATTCCATTAAACCTTGCCAACTTGGTTAAAACGCATTTACTATACGATGTTGTAAGATACCCAGCGTCTATTAAATTAACTTAAATCAAACTGAGTCCGGGTCGATTTATTAAGACCGATCTAAACAAACATAAATGAATAAGAATAGATTATTCATTCTCAGTTGATGACATGGTTCCCTGTGTATATAAACGCGTTATTTTGGGCCGATTTTGGGCCGATCTTGGCACTTTAGCGACATACATTTTCCCATCGGCCGAATCGGCCCAATGGCACTCAAAGGGTTAAGATATTAAACCTTAAATAGAGACTCTTGAGTTGTAAACATATCAAGATAATGATCATATACGAGTATATCTTATATTTGTCTTAATTAAATATATTACTAAACCCAAAGCTTTATGTAACTACATTAACCGACTTTATAGAACGTTACATTGGTGACTGGTTGGACAGATTTGTATCAATCATACATGTAACTGCATGTCCAGTGGAAAATAACCAACTCTGATTATACCAAAGAATGGAATTTTAATTATCATGCACATGATAGTGGGTCAGATAGTGATCTAAAATGCATAGCCCAAACAGGTAAAAAATTGGACGGTGTTTACTACTATAATGAGATCAAGTGATCTTTACGATTATAGTGAGTTCCCTTGCAGTTCGAAACTGAGGTACAAATCATAGACAAGGAAGTGCAAAACAAGATCGCTGAATAAAATAAAGGATAGTCTATAGAAGACTCTTAATTTTCCCCCAAAACTTAGACAATATTTGACTTCTAACAAGCGGTGGATTATCGAAAACAAACGGCAATTTCAGACACTCGCCCCCTGCTATTGAAAGCCCTGAAAACACATAAAATAACACACATAAAAATGGCAGCCATTTTTCAAAATGGCCACCTTCTACCAAAAGTGTCATTAGACAGTGTGCCATGCATATAGTATTCAAATACCAAATATGAACAAAATCATTCCACTACTTTTCAAGTTACAGCAAAAATCATCAAATAGTGTGTAAAGGCAGCCATTTTTCAAGATGGCTGCCATGTGTTTCTTAAATATCTACATTTCTAGCTTAATTAATGTCCTATATAATTTTTTTACATTTAAAACATATTGCTATTGCAGTTTTATATATTGTACCTAAATTAGTGTAAAATTGACACTAAAATGGCCACCATTTTCAAATGAGTGGTCATTTTAAAAATCTGTTTTCGGGCAGAACCCATAGGGCATATGTGTACAAAATATGAACAAAATCGGGCCAACAGTATTTGTGTCATTGCCCAGACAGACGGACGGACGGCTTCACTATATCTCTACCGAACTTCGTTCGTTGGGATAACAATATGAGACCCGAGTTAGTTAGTTTGTACCAAGTCTTAATAAGGGACATAAGATTTTTGAATACTGCATAACATCAGAGAATGACTCCGTCCATCCAGGCAATAACTGAAATACCGTTGGACCAATATCATCAATATTGTATAGGGTATATGTATGAGTATACAGAAAACATAATTCAAGTTGTATATGTTTCATTTATAACACTGTTTACAATCTAGAATTGTATCAAAATGCAACAATAAAATACTGATCGTTTCATAAAACATACAAGTGTATAAAGATGTCTCTAAATGTATTATAATAGACAAACAACACATTATATTGATCCCTATGCCAATACACATGCTTTTACTCATAATTTGTTTTCCAGTAAATCCTACTTGCCTTACTCATTGGACAAATAATTTTTCTCACAAAGTGCATTTTATATCTGATTCATTTACTGTTAATAAATCCAGAGAGAGGTTTCTGTAGAATACACACACATGCTCGCCTATTGTACCATTGAATCTGTATATTTGAACTAACATTGATCTACATAACTGTGTAGAATAAAAAACATGATCAGTCCATATAGTACAGGATGTGAATGATCAGATCTTATTCTTTAGAATGATAATGACCAATAACAGAATAAGAATAATCAATCCATTTCGTTCAAATTAAGAATAATCAGTCCCTAGAATGAGAATGATCAATCTATTGCTCAGGTCAAGAATGATCAGTCCATTTATTTGAAAATGTATGTCATTAGGCAGCATCTGAGAGTTCAGCAACGCCAGGTAAAAGTTTACCTGAAAAATAAAATAAACCTATCAATCATACAAATCCAAATAAATTGTTCTTATTTTAGATATTCAATTTTGATTCCATGAATGATTTCAATTTTTAAAATATCCCTCATGATATGGCCAAAGACAATGGGCCTAGTTGGATAGTGTTTGACCTGTGTGCTTTCATGTACAGGTTTATAAATTGAGAAATTAGATTGTCAAGTCATCTTGCACTTCCTTTTGATCTTGTAAAAAGTAAATTTAATTTATAAAATAGTTATACTATAATCACTCCTCTATCCATGCCATTCATAGTCACGTACAACACAAAATCTACCTTCCAATCCTTCTTTTCTAGACTACCTACTATATCTCAAATATCACAACATAAGAAGTAAATCTAAATTGAGAAGTAAGGCATACCTTCTAGCAGTTCTAAGCTAGCTCCACCCCCTGTGCTGACATGACTCACTTTATCCTCAGTGTTCCATTTGGCACAGCATGTGGCGGTATCACCACCACCTAAACGGTAAAATTTCATGAATGAAAATTAAGGACATACTGTAAATAGAGTAAAAAGCAAGTAATGAAGCGAAATGACACGAAATTGTTTATACACAAAGTTGTGTTTAGTGTTGATAGACTACATGTACTGTATATTGAGCACTTAGCTGTTTCTATTATATGATTGATTAAAAGAGGTCTCCACCTGCACCTACCAATGATTGATGTTGCTCCATTCTGTGTTGCCAAGACGACAGCATCCATGATGGCCTTGGTACCATGGGCAAAGTTGGGAAATTCAAAGACTCCGGATGGCCTAAAACATAACAGTGAACTGATATGATTCTTTCTCAGACACAGACACAGATTGATATATCTATTAGGATAACAAGCTTTTTAAACAAGGCATTAACATGCAAAATGTCACCATCTGCCATTTACTACAGACTCTGAATGTCAACCACCAAACACAAAAAAAGTAAGACTATAACAATATGACACAAAATCATCTGTACCCTTCAACCAACAGTTTATACTAATTTCCAGGATATTCCATCAGTGTTACTGGTGTTAAAGGCCCTAAAATATATATTTTGTTTTTTCTGATTTCATATTAAACAAATTTCATATTAAAGTTAGCAAAACTGTTAAAAACAAATACTTCTGAAAATGGAACACCTCCATAATAAATTACTTTATCTAGAATGAGCCTCTACAAGGGAAACATCTTTCAACGTGGGACACTATTTTGAGTACCAATGAGATTTTTCCTTCAAGGGTTCTACTTAAATCATAGATGGAGCCCTAATCACATACCCATTCCAAACTATAGTTTTTGCTCTACCGACTGCTTCCACAAACTTAACATTAGATTCAGACCCCACATCTAGGCCCTATATAAAAATAAATAAAAGTCAGACATTAAATATTCAAGTTATACATAAATTACATTAAATGACTTGGTAGTTATGAATTTACCAAGGCCAGGCGTCTTAAGACATGATATGGCAATACTTATATTTGCATATTACTGTTAGTCTTTCATCAAATCCTTGTAAATCCACCCCCCCATACGCCCTATTAAAATAGACATTAAATGTTCAAATTGTACATAAATGACATTATATGATATGTGAGTTATGGATTTACCAAGGTCAGGCATCTAAAGACATGATATTGCAATACTTATATTTGCATATTACTGTTAGTCTTTCATCAAATCCTTGTAAATCCACCCCCCCCCATACGCCCTATTAAAATAGACATTAAATGTTCAAATTGTACATAAATGACATTATATGATATGTGAGTTATGGATTTACCAAGGTCAGGCATCTAAAGACATGATATTGCAATACTTATATTTGCATATTACTGTTAGTCTTTCATCAAATCCTTGTAAATCCACCCCCCCCCATACACCCTATTAAAATAGACATTAAATGTTCAAATTGTACATAAATGACATTATATGATATGTGAGTTATGGATTTACCAAGGTCAGGCATCTAAAGACATGATATTGCAATACTTATATTTGCATATTACTGTTAGTCTTTCATCAAATCCTTGTAAATCCACCCCCCCCCATACGCCCTATTAAAATAGACATTAAATGTTCAAATTGTACATAAATGACATTATATGATATGTGAGTTATGGATTTACCAAGGTCAGGCATCTAAAGACATGATATTGCAATACTTATATTTGCATATTACTGTTAGTCTTTCATCAAATCCTTGTAAACCCCCCCCCCATACGCCCTATTAAAACAGACATTAAATGTTCAAATTGTACATGAATGACATTATTTGATATGTGTGTTATGGATTTACCAAGGTCAGGCATCTAAAGACATGATATTGAAATACTTATATTTGCATATTTCTGTTAGTCTTTCATCAAAACCTTACATCCACAAAGGGAAAGAGATAAGTTCCTGAGACTCAATGCAAAACTCATGTGTATTCAAATGACAGTAAACATATCAATACATTAACACCTGTATTTAAGTGGAACCTCCCAAAGTGGAACACTATTTTGTGGTACCAAAGGTGTTCCACTTGCACAAGTTTTACTGTAAACACATGTCGCCATTTTAACATGTCATAATATGATCGCATCAAAGCAAATAAGAAACAATTAACATGCGTACCATCCATCCAGCAGGGATACCAGACTTGAGATCTGCTTTTCCAACAGTTGCATCCTCGGCAAATTTATCTCCAGTTACAAAGTCATCAGGAAGGTGGATCTTGACATTGTTTTTCTCAGCTTTTGCTATCAGGTCTTTAACAATCTTTGCACCATCTTCATCATACAAGGAATTCCCTATCTGAACACACATCAATTATCAACGTCACAGTTTTTATTACTTTTTTGAATTCAGTAAAGCGCATCATTATTTTCTTACAAGATCACAGGCAATTTTAAAAAAGACATATGAATAATTTATTTATTCAACTTATTTCTATTACATTTTTAATAAAAATAGCAGCAGTCTCAGAGTCTCAGCAGATGCATGTCTATGCATATATACTGAAATAACTGACAATATTATGTTTGTTAAACACTTCAATAACACATGGTGTTTCACATCTGAATAAAACAAATTACATATGAGCAGTCTTTTCATTAGGATCGAACAGTGAGGAGAAAACCAAAATGCTATTCTTTAACATTTCATTTGTAAGGTAAGAAACTAAGAACTGATAACATCACAATCTTTAATCATGATCAAGCTTACATTGACCTAATATTTTGTGTTGTACATAAATAGAGATAAGGTATTCACAAGAAAAACATCACATTTTTCATGTTTTGCACAAATGAAGATCTCTCAAATATGACAAAAATTAAAAGTTCTAAATTCTAACAAGTAAATGTCAAGTTTCTCCACTTAATCTCAAGTGGCAAGTTGATATTTATTCCTTCTTGGCCCATTGGCCCATGTTTTACTAGATGTAAAAATGACATTCATTTTGAAGCAATGACATCATGCTGTATTATTTCCATGTTTGTCATTACGGAATTTCTTTGAATACAGCCCAGTCTTGTAAATGCTTCCAAAAATGGCTCAAAAAGTATTTCACATTGCTTCATTCCCTCATTAGCCAAAGTTCTTGTTTTATCATATGATCTGTAAAATGAAGCCCTCTGATTGGTCAGTTCTTGTGCTGTACAATCTGTATTGCTACTGAGATTGTTCCCGTTGATCATCTCCGTCGCAATACAGAAAATATTGGTACGGAGGGGACGATCTCAGTAGCAATACAGAGGATCACACGATCAAAACGTTATTGAATGATTTTAAGTGCAATACAGGATATATTCTGTCTCGATATTCTGTATTGGCACTCGACTTTGTCTCGTTCCAATACTGAATTTCTCGACCAGAATATATCCTGTATTGCACTTCAAATTATTCAATAACTTATAGTGTTGTACAATAGAGAGTAAACCAGAACTTACTTCCATGTTGTGTAGGACCTTGAGGAAGGTGTAAGCCATACCTCCCCCTATGATCATCTCATTCACTTTGTCAAGAAGGTTTTCAATTAGCTGGATCTTGTCCTTTACCTTTGCTCTACAATGAATACAATACTTTGGAGTACAATACTACTTGCAATAGAATACTTTGCACAATTACAATAGTACAATACAACATTTGCTATCCGATTATCTGTAGTACTAATACAAGAAATTGTATAACTTTCACTCTACAGTACTTTGTATTACAATATGACCTTTGCTCTACAATACATACATTTATACAATACTTCAAAGTACAATACTACTTTTGCAAAAGAATACTTTGTAGGAGAATACAATATTTGCTCTACAATACTTTACGTACAGTTCTCTGAAGAGCAATATTTTTAGTTATACACTAATTAGTAGTAATATACAATTTGAGCGATATAATTTAAACACAATGAGTCTTAAAATGAATCACAATATCATCACTCACTTCATCCCTACAATACAGTATACATGCACATTTATAAAAGTTTCAATGCTATGCCCTTACCCTCCAAGGATGGCTAGGAAAGGTGTCACTGGATTATCTAAAGCTTTTGCAAAGTAGGTCAATTCTTTCTTCAACAGGAAGCCTGATGCACGCTGGGATAGCTTCACCCCCACCATTGAGCTGGAACATAAAAATGTACATTTTTACGACATCAGGCTATTCAAAACTTAATCTAAACCTTATAAAGTAAAAAATCATACATGGTTATGAAAAAATATTGATAAATTCTAAAATATGCTGGAGGAAAATAATTGAGATGATATGAATTAAACCAGGAACCTACAGAAAAGCGCATGATGAGTTCATATTTCTCAGGTGTTGGCTAAAATAAACATCTAACTATGTGCTCTATGTTATGAATCCAATACATAAATAAACAGCTACCTTTATGCTCTTTGAGCTGACCAAATGTTTTAATAAACACCTACCTATGTGCTCTATGTGCTGTACCGAAGGCATCATTGACATAGACATCCCCAAGTTTTGTAAGAGATTCACGGAACTTTTCTACATCCTCATCTTTTGCTTTAACCTGAAAATGCACAAAATTATAAAAAATGAGTTCCTTATGTTATTTCATACCATATTCACAGACTTTTGAGAGAGACCATATGTTATAAAGTTTCAGCACTTTTCTCACTAATTAATGATACCCCCTCGTATAGGTCACAACAACAAACTTTTAACAAATGAAAAGTAACAAATAGCAATGAAGGGCTTGGTTTATACAGGGCTCACGCTACCTGTTTCTTTTGCATATTCTAATGTATATAGATAAATAGATGGCAGTAGAGGTTTTGGTCTGGCCAGAATACTATTAATATCATGGAAACAATTGACGAAAGTCACATAGGCCAAAAATGAATTGTGGAATTTAACTATTGAACCATTTTACCATATCAAGAGAACAAAAAAATAAAAAAAATAAAAATTGAAAATCTCTAGAACATTCTAATTTGCTAGAGGTTAGGCTGCCCTGATATGGTTCTGACCAAAATACTTAACAAGAATCCTATAATTTTCTATCCTTTGTCTCCTCATAAAGCACAATTGTAACTTATAACAACGTATACATTTTTTAAAAATTTGTACACAATGACATTACAGGGATGTAGCCGGGATAAAAAGCTTAAGTGAGGCAAATATAAATAGGTAAGACAAATTAAAAGTAGGGATGGGACGGTTAGTTTCGGTTCGGTTCGGTTCGGTTTTTCGGATCATCAGCCGTCGGTTCGGTTTTTTCGGTTCGGTTCATTCATTTTAAGGATTTGTATTGATTGACATGATTAGCTGCTTTGTCTCTCAATTATGCCACGTTATAACAATATTTTATAGATGGAATTTTATGTTATAGTATTTCATGAACAATACATATTATTTAGAATACACGACTAAAGAATATAGAACCAGGGACCACATGATTGATTACCGAGGGATACGAATATGCGGATACGAAACGAATCTAGTAAACGAGTGAGCTAGCAACAGACAAGACAGACAAGGTAGGGACTAGGAATATCAAAAATGTTGCTGTAAAACAGTGTTTTTAACTGTTTTATTGATACTTGACCAATGAAATATTAATCCGAAAACGATCCGAAAAGCTGATCCGAAAGTAGGGCCGTGATCCGAAAACCGATCCGAAGGCTATGAACCGCGGTTTTTCGGTATTTCGGTTATCCGTCCCACCCCTAATTAAAAGAGGCAAGGTAAATGTAAATAGGTAAGGCATATATAAATGGGTGAGGCAAATATAAATAGGTGAGACAAATTGAAAGAGGCAAGGCAAATGTAAATAGGTGAGGCATATATAAATGGGTGAGGCAAATATAAATAGGTGAGACAAATTGAAAGAGGCAAGGTAAATTTAAATAGGTGAGGCATATATAAATGGGTGAGGCAAATATAAATAGGTGAGACAAATTGAAAGAGGCAAGGTAAATGTAAATAGGTGAGGCATATATAAATGGGTGAGGCAAATATAAATAGGTGAGACAAATTGAAAGAGGCAAGGTAAATTTAAATAGGTGAGGCATATATAAATGGGTGAGGCAAATATAAATACATGTAGGTGAGACAAATTGAAAGAGGCAAGGTAAATTTAAATTGGTGAGGCATATATAAATGGGTGAGGCAAATATAAATAGGTGAGACAAATTGAAAGAGGCAAAGTAAATATAAATGAGTGAGGCAAATATAAATAGGTGAGGCAAATTTAGACTATATAGGGAGGAGGTACATTAATCTCTTAAACTTCATGCTCACATATGCTCAGTTTTAGTAAAAAAATGTCTGAATAGATTATTTCTGTAAATTTTAGTGAGGCCCTTGCCTCGACTGCCTCATGCTTGCCTACACCCATGTCATTAAATATGAATCTATCCTGAATAAAATTGATTTAAAATCTCATTCTTTAAAAAGTCAGGCTGTAACAGTTTGTCTGATTCAATGCTCAATGAGGAGAAATGGAAGTACCAGGCCAAGGTCACCTTGCACATGCCAAAAGGCAAATATGGAAGTATTGCCTTATGAAAAACATTGATTATGCTTATACCTAGATATTCCCTTTACCTGCTTTTAAATACAAATAACTGTAAAAGACTGATCAATATTTTCAAACAGTTATTCAAAATAAAGTCATTGAACTTCACAATTCCCACTGCATCCCTGAACTTGAACTGTTTGACGTGTAATATGGCGTGAATCAGATTAAAATTTTATATCTTTATAGACATTAACTTTGATAGCTTTTCCATTTTCTATGCTTTATTTCACTGTGATCTCGACATAACATATTTTACAATGTGTTCACATATCTTTTAAATTGAACATACAGGACTATGATCGATCTATATGAACTTAATGCTTGAGCCTAGAAAGTAAATAGAAACAGAAATATAACAAGAAAGATACTACTCAGGAAAATATAAACAGCATTCTGGAAGGAAACTGAATCAGTGATTTGAATTTATCAGCTTTTTAAAGGATCATATTAAACTGCCAATGATCATAAGCTGATCATTTGGTGAAGTGTATCTGGACTATAATATCGCTGACTAGTTGAAACTAGATGATGGCAACTCCGCGGAGTAGCAAATCCCAACGAACAAAATATCAATTACCGAATTCCAATCAATCATACTCATTACTTTGGTTAAAATTGAAAAATTTAGATTTTAGAATTGCGAATTCCTGCAAAGCAGCCATTTTGAATTTTCTGAGGTACAAATCTGAAAAATATTACCATAATTGTGATCTACTCCAAAATTCCTTCAATTTGAGTATTATATAGCCATACGTTGAAGGGATCGAAAAATTATTGCGAAATTGTACATTAGACGGCCATTTTGAATTTTACGAGGCTCGAATCAGAAAAAAGATACAATATTTGCAATCTACTCTTAATTGCCTTTCATTTGAGTATAATAAAGCCATACTTCAGAAAGATCTAAAAATTAGAGAAAATTTCTGTTTTCCTGACCCCCCATACACGGCCCCTGGGGGTCAGGATGAAAAACACGGAATATATGTGAAATAGATAGATGTTGGGAATATACTACCAAAATTTCAAACAATAATATTAATTACTTTGGTTTAGAATGAAAAATTTATGATTTTTGCGAAAAAGTCCCGTCATTTTTAAAGCAGCGGCCATCTTGAAAAAATTTTTTTTTGCGTAAAACTATTCATCAATATACATCTTTCCACCAAATATGAAGAAAATCCGTCAACTAATATTTGAGTTATCTTCCGGACGGACAGACGGACGGACGGACGGACGGACGGACTGACGGACGGACGGAGGGCTTCACTATATCCCTACCGAACTTCGTTCGTTGGGATAATTATCTTCCCAGATTCAATCATGGAACAAGTACAACGAGACGTTAACAGGCTTTAAAAAAATCATAAAATCATAATGATATATGACTCAACATTGTAAAGTTAGGATGAGTTAAAGAGGAGGCTTTAAGAGGAATTGCCTTATATATCAGGTATAAGTCATTCAGAATTTCCACATCCAAGAAGTGATATAATGATGCAAGTCATGCCATGCCATTCGATGTAATCATACGTGATTATAGCAGCATCCATACTTGATCATGAGCCTTGATCATGAACAATTTGTGATATCGGTGTTATAATTATGTGTATCTTCTGGAATATTCTTGTTACCATAGTTACATTCAGTTTTATGTTAAAATATTATTTCCCTAAAATCAACATTTTATGTCTTTGATTAGAACAAATTATAAGAAAACTTATTTTAATTTTTCATATAACAGAACAAGGTAATTGAGAATAGAAAGGGATAAAGATGAATAGAAGTTTCTAGAAAATTATCTTGATTTCCAAACATTTTTGCCCTTATCAATTTCTGCCGCCTACATTTTCCAAAAACTCCAATACTTCTTGCACTACTTCAGGATAATCCTTTGATTTTTTCCGAAATCAAAATTAGGATTATGCGGGGAAAACTGGCATACATTTTATACTCTTTCCATTCTTTTTTTTGAAATACAAAAGTTAATCTACAATTAGAGGGTTGTGTTTTTGTCACGCTATATGACCTTGGTAAAAAACAACAACGTAAATATATAAAATACATGCCAGATTCAGGTTACATAAAAATACCAAGCTGTGAAAATGAATATGCTTAGACGATGGGATTTTCCAGATCCAGTAATATGGAAAATATTCAAAAAATCACATCAGATTCAGTACCCTCAGCAAGAACTCAACCTTCTTTCTATACTCTTTAAATTTGAGATGAATCTTTGATTTACTGCCTCTCTCTCTTCAATAAGAACATCTAGTCATTACATAACATTTTCTGCTTAGAAATACCTAACATTTACATCTATTTCAAAATCACATAATACATCATGAATGAACTTATCTAATCCGGACTACCTGCTTTATCTAGTGAAAATATGTAGCCAGAAAAATTAGAAGTGTACCCTGTAAAGCGGAACACCTCAACAAGTAGAACACCTCTGTTAGTGGAACACTTTTCGAATTCCAAGACCAACTGATTAAATGTTAAATGAACCTCAATAAGTGGAACACCTCCCAAGTTGAACACTTTTTAAAGGTACTCAAAGGTGTTTACTTAGACAGGTTTTACTGTATAATATTCATTCATTATTCAGATACTCAAAATGAGCATTGAAATACATGTAATAAAGATGTAAGCATTGATAACTAATCAACATCAAGCCATGAAATCAATTGTTGTTGTGAGAGGATCCTATGGCCAGCGGAAAAGGAGTCAGGGTAGCACAATGAACAATCACTAAAAAATCTTAAGAGGTGATAGTGATTTAAATGAATTATTCAGCGTACAGATTCAGAGAAGGAATTTCCAAACATCATGAGTAAAAACAGAATGAGATTGTATATAAACACTGCAAAAAATATCTCTCCAAGTAGATTGCGTTTCATTCGCTCTGTGGAGTAATCAATTAAGGCATATGGAGAGTATATACAAAAAGAAAGCACGGCTCTTGCCAAGTTTAATCAGTAAGAGACTCTTGAAAAAAATCTAGGTCTAAAAAAACAAGATGATATTTACATAACATATTCATAAGTATGATCTGAAACTTAACAAGACTTTCATAAACATTAAAACAAAACCATTTTAAAACATACAGAACAATGATGATAGAAAATTTAACAGAAGTTACTGAAAATTCCGGGATTGGTGTTGAAAACAATATGTCAGCACCGGCGACAATAAAATGTGGAACTTCTCAGTTAGAGTGTGATGTGAAGACGGAATATTGTAATGAGTTATATAACAATTGTAGCAGTTGTATTGAACTATGCCCGTTAAGTGGAATATCACAACGTAAGGAATTATGTCAAAGGCTTTGCCCAGGTATGTATTTTATTTTATTTATTTATTCATCTAAGTTAGTATATAACATTTTACATGAGCAGGTGACACGGATTGTGTATATTCCCATATTAATCAAATCAGTATTAACCTGTATTTATCCTCTCTAATCTAGACAATCTGAACACTATTTTTCTATTCCATTTTTTCTATTCCAGTTTAATCTGTCATAGACTTCCAAGTTAAAAAGCACAAAATAAGAACACCTGCTAATCTGAACACTTTTGGCCCATCCGAGTGGCGTTCTGATTAGTCGTCATATATTACTGTACATGAACAGATTGGGGAATGTATGTTTATCATACACATATATGTTCTCTGTGTTTTATTTTGTTTTGTTTTGTTTCAACTGGGTAAAAAATCTTATTTTGACAAAGTTATGTTGAAAAATGCTAAAAATATCTGGTTATGATTGTTCAAATTCTCAAGTGGGGTATAACATTCTGGTTAACCCAACCCCCTGTTATTTGCCGCTTGGGAATTTCAAGACAAAGGGGTTGTGGGCATTGCATGCAATGGGAATGTAATGGCTGCAAGGTAATTTTCCTATTCACAATACATATTTGCTGTTGTGCCTTGTTGCTAGGGGTGTTGGAAAAACTACTTCAGTTCATCGCAACATTGTATTTCAAACACAGTAAAACATGTCTTGCTCAAACACCAATGGGGCTGGTAATGAGTGTTCAGATTGGCAGGTCTTCACATATCGAGGTTATATAACATGGTATAAAGCAGATTAAAAAATAGGACTGAAAGTGTTCAAATTGGGAGAAAGTTGGACAGGGTTTGTCTTTACAGGTTTTACAGCAAACATATCTGCCCAGTGATCTCCCCAGCATTAAAGGAAGTGGGCGCAGCACCCACCTGAGACTTTGAAAATAGGCTTGCACCCACCTGGAAATCCATTTGCACCCACTTGAAAATGACAAAAATCATAAAAAATGGGCACATTTTGACCAATTTTGGTCTAAAGTGTGAAAATTAGAATTTTGCACCCGCGTGTGAAAAAATCCTGTGGAGATCACTGCTGCCATAATTTTACTTCAAACAAAATGAATGAATCATACTGAAATTAAATTATAGCATAACAATTGTTTCCTCAGACATCAGAGAATTGTGCAATCATAAATGAGCATTAACAAATTTTGAATCATTCTCGGCTTCTGAGGCATTATGATGATCAGTGGGATTTATAAAACTTAGCTAGCCAGGATTCCCCAAGTTTTTGTTAAAATTTCAATATGATTAATAAGTAAATGATGGCAATTAGGACATAATTAGCCTTTTACTATAATCTGATCTTGATTATTACCACCTTGTACAATCTAATGCAACATTGCTGATATATGATAAGTTATTCAGCGGTTTCGAGATTTCTAAAGTTCTTACGCTGTCATGAGTATCGCAAAACCGTATTGATTGGCAGATTACGTGGACACGACGTATGACTCTAGGCTGATTGACCAATCAAAACGCTATCAGGTTTACCTGCATAAACAAAGCAAACTTCCCGTCTACAATCTGAAATTTTCAATGATCTGATCGAGTATTCCTTCAGAGTTACAATATACAATCGTTGACCTCTCCAGAGGTCAACCGGCAAAATTGTATACCGAGACTGTAAACCGAGACACTACTGTTGACAGAGACCGAAGGTCGAGGTCAACAGTAGTTTCAAGGTTTACAGTCGAGGTTTATGATTTTGACAGTTGACCGAATGGAGAGGTCTACAATTGTTTTGTTAGTCAGAAGAAACTAATAATACACATATAGATGACAACCATCAATCATGGCTTCATTTTACAATCTTTTCTCCGAACCACGCTAGCAATGATTTTTTAAGAAAATCTGAAGACAGTGGTAGCTTAACTCTCTGTTTCCTGCACATCACTGCGTACTCACTTGTAAATTAATGTTAATTTTATGTTTCTATTTGTATTTTTTGCTATACTTGTCATCTAGTAAACTTCATCAACGTTTACAAAATGTCCGTCTACCATGTTTTTTCTGTAACATTATGACGTCATATTCCCCATAATTCACAAGTGTAGTACAGTAACATAGGCGGTCAATAATATGATATCCCATGATGCACAGGTGGGGTACAGGCAAAAATGTTGACCGCTAATTGACCAATCAGATGCGAGTATTTACACTGAGGTACTAACAATACATTCTGTAATTAAATGTACATTGGAATGTAAGCAGGCATAATATAAATTAAATCATGCGATTCAATGTTGATTTAAATCTGAATTCTCGATGAAAATGCACGAAGACCTAGTCCATAGTCATCAATCTGATTCAGTGATTGATCGGAATCTCAGCCTAGATCGTAGCTATCATGTTTGATCATTTCAGCAAACTTGGGCAAGGCTAGGACAGAATAGGTAAAAGGTATACATTGATATAGTATAATATGCACACTTTTGCACAGAACCCAGGTCACAGCACTACTTGTGATTTGTCTTCAACTCGTCAATGGGAACAATTGCTCTACCTTAGTGACTAATATGTCATGATATGACATCTAAAGAGTCAATAAAAGATATATATATATAACTAGAAGGTCAGTTTGTTATGACATGCAATATAGTTTCGCTTTGTTTTATTTATCAGCCGTGTCAGAGTTCTTACATAAGACGAGTCATTGTATTGAGATAACAATTTGAAAATTAGGTTAGATTGATATGGAATGTCATCCTGTTCTTGTTTTGATTTAGAGTGATGATAGCATTGAAGGCCAGTGTTACTATTGATGCATTATATTCACATATATGTAACTTTCATGATTTGAACTGTTAATAATTAATTCACACATAGCTAGGCAAGGTGTGTCCGATTCCAGCCAATCTGAATAGAGTATTCACATAATGAACAGTGTGTGAAATATCAATAACACATGTAAGGTCACTAGTTATTAAACAGTTGTCATGGTGATGAATGGATTCTTCACATTGGATTTTAGATGACTTCCAAAACTTGACCCTTGCAAAAGATTTCATTGAAAATGTGTTCTTTTAGTGATTTCGTTCCTTCTAGATGATTTTACAGAAAAAAAATTTGCAATGTGTGAAAAGAATTTAAGCTCAAGACTCAATGCATTGTAGCTGCTTCATTCCACTCAGGCGTTGTTTCATAACTTTGCATTCCCGCTGTGCGGTCATGCAAAGGTTTCGAAACAACACCTTCATGGTATGATTCAGCAAACAATGCACTGAGTCCAAGGCTTAAATCCTTTATTAATCAATTATGTTACATTTTCAAAAATTTTATGTAGATATTTACGTGTTATGGTAGAGTAGTTCAAAACATTTTGTTCCATTTAAATGTAGAAATGACTTTTCCTCAATTTTTTCAACTTTTCAGAAAATGCATAACTCCCTCAAATCCATATAAAATCAATGATATCATCAGCACTAAAGAAACTGGGTGCTGTGCCCATTTGAGATTAACAACAGCCTTGTAACACATGAAAACCCATTGCACCCACTTGAAATTGAGAAAATCATAAAATTTGGGATGTTTATTTGAAACATTGTAAAATGGATCTTAATTAAAAACACATAAATCTTGCTTACTAATTTCCAGATCAGTTTTTGGTTAAACATATGTTCTTCTTTTTGTGACTATAATTGATCATCATAAATAAACTCTAATTTTTGATTCAGTATGGTTGAAAGAGGCTGGGGATGGTAACGAGTCTCCAGGCCCATTAGAAGAGGGTCTCTCAAACGGTGCAATAACAGCTATAATATGTGTTGGTTTGGTGATCATTTTCTGCACTACGCTGATTACTTGGGCAATGTACATAGACAAACTTGACAAAAAACGCCAGAAAGAGCTGGAGTTAAAGTGCAAGAAACTTAAATATGTGCGACTGTGCATCGAGCCAGATGAGGTATGTACCAGTATATATAAATGTGATTCTTACAATATATCTTTTTTACATGTCAGAATTTGAAAAAGTGATTTTGAAGAAATTGTTTTGATCAAAATTATTTAATTTCATCTATTACATTGAAGATACTGCAAATGGTTACAAAATAGTAACAATGTGTTACATATTTCAAATGCTAATGTCAAATACCATCTAACCATAACTGAACACTGATCACAAAATTGGTGACTCTTTGTAACACTTTATCTACAAGTATGAACTAATACATTGATGTGAATGTGAACTCTTATTAAATATTTAATTTAATTTGCAATTTCAGAATAAGTTAAAGTCAACAAAAGTGCAAATTGACAATAAGGTCTCACCAAGTGATAATCAAAAGAAACATAGCTCAGAAAGACAGCACATTCGCCCAATTGATAGCAAGTATCCTCTTCTAGATCCTATCACGGAGGAAATTGGAGAAGAGATAGAACCTAATGAATAAAATATGTCATGGATTGTCATGTTAAGTAATATAAGAGAAGGTGCATAAATGTAATCACGCTACCAAAAAATATCGTGGGTGTATTATCGCGTAAAGTAATATGAGAGAAGGAGCCTAAATATAATCACCCTTCCAAAAACAGATCATGGGTGTATTATCATGGAAAGATTAGTAATATGAGAGAAGGCGCATGGTGCATAAATGTAATCACGCTACCCAAAAATATCGTGGGTGTATTATCGCATAAAATAATATGAGAGAAGGTGCCTAAATATAATCACCCTTCCAAAAACAGATCATGGGTGTATTATCATGGAAAGATTAGTAATATGAGAGAAGGCGCATGGTGCATAAATGTAATCACGCTACCCAAAAATATCGTGGGTGTATTATCGCATAAAATAATATGAGAGAAGGTGCCTAAATATAATCACCCTTCCAAAAACAGATCATGGGTGTATTATCATGGAAAGATTAGTAATATGAGAGAAGGCGCATGGTGCATAAATGTAATCACGCTACCAAAAAATATTGTGGGTGTATTATCGTGTAAAATAATATGAGAGAAGGAGAGCATGTTTTGTAAAATGGACATAAAATTGTGACCATTTGGAACAGACCAATGAAACTTTATTTAATGCAAGAACTTTGAACAAAATTCAATTGTGCCAAATATGACTTTAAACCCATACTGGATGACTGAGTTATTAAGATTTGTTTGGGTTAACATTTTCGGCTCATCCTGTAATACTTTGAGCTACACGCATTTATAGAGGGGTGTGTCACTTTCGACCAATGAACGTCAGAGCATATTTGGTATTGTGTATTTCTCCTTCTTATTCAACATGCTAAAGTTGTTGATTTTCTATTTACAACATTCTGAACAAAAAATTTTTTATGAATACAAAACAATTGCTACAAAGTAAAAAATCATACAAAGAAGAAGTACAGTATGTGAAACTTTGTATATAAAATGTAAACATTTAGAGGTTTCACTTGAAAGCAAATGGTGTTCAATAATACTTCTTTCATTCAAAGGTTTCATAACAGTAAATAGAATAGAAAAACACATAATGCATCATCATCATTAATAGTAATACTCATAGTCATGTAGTTTTTTTTACATGTAAATGTTTTCTTTTTCGTTCCTTTATAATTGTTATAATTTTTGTTTATTCATGTACTTGACCACAAGGGGTGTGAATGTACTTGAAGAATAAAATAAATACGGTATATGAAACACATTTTTGTGAAATACAAATAACTGGCAGATTTTGATTCCATTTTGATCCATCATAGTACAGTACTAGTATTTCAATTGATTGGTGGAATAGAATGATTAAATTCATGGATTGCAGATAAACGAGACATCCTAGGCTAAAAAATGAGTCTGATTGATCGATATTGAGTATACAATGTATTTCAATGTCAGGTTAACTCTACTAATAAGAGACAATCATTCGTTCATTGAATTTAAACGACTGTGTTAAAGGGTCATAAAATATTGATACAAATTTGTACTGGTAATACATAATATATTATAATTTTCTTCCTTTTACAATAAAGCTTTTATGTCAAGTAAGATGTTAATTTTGTTTTGATTGATGCAAAGCATGCCTCTGTATGAAAATGTCATCATGACTTAGCCCATACATGAATAGCATGAGGATATTTGTTAGTATAGTGCCTGTTTTTGGAGTATTTAGTGTAAGACAACATTGTGCCAAGGGGTTTGAAAGGATGAAGGGCATAATTTGACATTTATATGAATGTTAAAATTTAAGCAGGATATAAAATAAATATTATTAGAAATCAAAAATTGACATTGCCCATTTAACTCACATAAAGCAAATATAAAATTGAAACACCAAGACTTAAAAATAGTGATTCAAAACAACACTATGCACTCAATCCCTATTCTGTCACCCTAATGGTCATTAACATATAGTCTCTCTTTAGACCTATACTATAGAAGTCATTGAATATTTACCCCAAGATGTTAGGTCAGCCAAACTTGTTAGCTAATTCCTGCTATATCTAAACTAATTGGTTTTATATCAGTAGGCTGGATTATTTGGAAATAATTTCAAAACACACTTGATATTCATTCGATTCTGGTAAGAGCAGAAAAATGACAAAAAATGATGATATATATATATCAATATATCAAACGAACCCCCCCCCTGGCCAAAATTTCTTTCAAAATCATGCAGTTTTTCACCATTCTGACTATTTTTTGAGTGATTTTTGGCCAAATTTGCCAAAGTGAACCAGCCCCCCTAGAATTTTTGGGAAAAGTGAACCCCCCCTTGGAAAATTCTAGCTACGGGCCTGATGCCTGTCAAAACAAGATCTTGTAAGACCGCTGGGAGCCAATCCTCCTTGGGTACAGGAAAACAAGAACAACCCACTAATGCCATCTATTATAGTCCTTATTGTCTAAACAGAATGAATGTAACAAGAGACAATGGACCATCATACAGGAGTGACATCTTTTAATAAAAAGCCTCATTCTTTAGGTAGGCTTTTACAATAGGAAAGTCATTGAAAGTAAACTGCCAATATCAATAGTAATGTCCAACAAATTAAGTGTTTTACCTTATTGCCAGCCTCGTCAACTCCTTTGCCTTCTTCCTCAGTATGGAACCTAAGGTTCTCAAGCAGAATGATCGATCCCGCTGCTGGGTTTTTGCAAGCCTTCTCTACCTCTGCTCCCACACAGTCATTTAAAAACAGGACATCCCTGAAGAAAAAATGTGACAATTTTGAAAATATAAATGTTACCCTCTATAGCTGAATTTATACATAGGTTTTCTCCATTTCTGCTCAATATTAATTGTTTTTGTTTGTTTTTGATCATTGTAGTATACGGTGAATTTTAATATATTTGACATATACCACACAATGACATCATAATCTTCAGACAGTTGGATTTAATAAGCATTTTGCTGGCACAAAGAACATTAAAAAAACATACAGGATATCTAAAAGGTAACAGGACGACTGGTGCTGGCATAGCATTGTGTTAATTTCTGTTCAAATTTTCCAATTTTCATACAATCACTGTACATATATATCTACTTTATATTGACTAAATCGATGATGTCCTGAGTGGTACATGTAGGTAGAAATCTGACCATGTGCAAAACCAAGATTAACTTATTGCTTATTTTAAAAAACATCAACCTTGCTGATATTATATGTATCATAATTTTTGGGCCTCAATTGTATTGGGAGCCCTCATGTAATTTGGGGTCAATATCCAGATGTAATAAATCTACCGAATCAAACATCAGATCAAAACAATCAAATCAAAACCAAACCAGAACAACGGCAACGCCAAAGCGTAGCGAATCCCATCGAACAGAAATGGCTGGCATTTTTACAAACGAAGCGCAAATATCATAAAACAACACACAAGAAAGGCCACCATTTTCAAAATGGTTGCTCACTAGCCAAGTTGCCATCAGAAGAAATAATATGCTTTTAAGTAGCCACCTCTAAAATTTTTGAAAAATCGCACACGTACTTGTAAAATAACACACATAAAAATGGTGGCCATTTTTCAAAATGGCCGACTACTCCCCAAAGTTTTATTAGACAATGTGCCATGCTTAAAGTATTCACATATTAAATATGAACAAAATCGCTCCACTACTTTTCGAGTTACAGTAAAATACGTTAAAATGGCTGCCATTTTTCAAAATGGCCACCTTCTACCAAAAGCGTCATTAGAAATAGACAGTGTGCCATGCTTATAGTATTCACATACCAAATATGTACAAAATCGCTATACTACTTTTCGAGTTATAGTGAAATATGTTAAAATGGCGGCCATTTTTCAAAAATTGTTTTCAAAATGGCCCCCTTCTACCAAAAGTGTCATAGGACAGTGTGCCAAGCTTATAGTATTCATATACCAAATATGAACAAAATCGCTCTACTACTTTTCGAATTATAGTAAAATATGTTAAAATGGCGGCCATTTTTCAAATTTTTTTTCAAAATGGCCGCCTTCTACCAAAAGTGTCATAGGACAGTGTGCCAAGCTTATAGTATTCACATACCAAATATGAACAAAATCGCTCTACTACTTTTCGAATTATAGTAAAATATGTTAAAATGGCGGCCATTTTTCAAAAAAAAATTCAAAATGGCCGCCTTCTACCAAAAGTGTCATAGGACAGTCTGCCATGCTTATATTCACATACCAAATATGAACAAAATCGCTCCACTACTTTTCGAGTTATAGTAAAATACGTTAAAATTTGAAAAATGGCCGCCTTCTACCAAAAGTGTCTTTAGACAGTCTGCAATGCTTATAGTATTCACATACCAAATATGAACAAAATCGCTCCACTATTTTTTGAGTTACAGCAAAAATCGTAAAATGACGAGAAAAGGCCGCCATTTTTCAAGATGGCTGCCATGTGCTTTTCTAATATCTACATTTGTAGCATTATTAATGTCCTTTATAATTTTCTTACATTTAAAACATATTGCTATTACAGTTTTACATATTGCACCTAAATTACTGTGAAATCGTCAGTAAAATGGCCGCCATTTTGAAACGAGCGGCCATTTTGAAAATCGACTTTCGAGCAGAACTTCTACCCTCATAGGGTATATGTGTACAAAATATGAACAAAATCGGGCCAACGGTATTTGAGTTATTGCCCGGACGGACGTACGTACGGACGGACGTACGTACGTACGGACGGACGGACGTACGTACGGACGGACGGACGTACGTACGGACGGACGGAGGCGTTCCCTATATCCCTCCGAACTTCGTTCGATGGGATAATTAAGAACAAATATTACTGAATAAAAATAATACTAATACTTTGACATACTTTCCGAGTAGTTTTTTCAGTTCAGCTGCCACAGGAGCAAGTGAGAATTTGTCCTGTCTGCGGCCATCAGGTCTTCCTAAATGGCTCATCAACACAACAGACTTGGCTCCTTGATCCAGGGCATATTTGATAGTAGGTATAGCTGCTACAATCCTCTGGTTGTTAGTGATATCTTTACCCTTCAGTGGAATGTTAAAATCAACCCTGTAATAATGAGATTTACAAGTCCAATAAGATTGAGTTTGTAGCGCAAATGAGTAAATACGAATCATATGAAACAGGATACAAATAGCCTGGGACAGAAGTAGTGGTAGATCTCCAGAGCTCTCCAGATCACCCCCCCCCCCCTCTAGACTATATCCTATTTAGTCTGAATTATATTCAGACTATAAGGCACCTATGTTAAAGTTTGGTAATTTCAAATATTTGTTTACATAGGAAGTGCTATTCAAAATGGCCGATTGGGTAAAATTAATTTGCACATTTGTTACTTCAACTAGCTTTATTTCCACTTGACAATATGCTGTGTTTCTTTTTATCGCATTTAATTGTACCTTACTAATTCATTGAAATTTTGTAATGCTTATTTTATTGAAGAAATGGTTCCCCTAATTGATAATTTTGTGCAAAAAATTTCACTGCAATTTCCACAGGAAAGTAGTACATCATAACAGACTGACTTCTAGTCAGTCTGTTGGATACATACTACACCCCCCCCCCTCCACCCCCTTGATATTGAGACCCTATCTGTTGCAAGACTAACGCCTGGCGTAACCGTCACCATGTTATTCGGTGTTTTTTAAGTAGCACAAGGATCCTGCCATGACCGTGGTAATGTTATCGTGAAAGCCTGGTATAACCGCGACAATGCTGTATTATATTAAATGCCTGCCATGACCGTGCTAGTGTAATCGTGTAAGCCTGGCGCGACCTTTATATGACATTAATGACCTTCATGTTTCGCCCGTTGCTGTTGGTATTTTTTATGGATAAATCTTATTTATTGATCATTATAGAAAGTATATGCTTTCGAATCGAAGCTCCTTGAATGAGAGTAGAGATATAGTTTGTTCGCAAATTATTTATGAGTAAAAATTAGGTTTTCGTTGTGAAATTAATACACATTTTTAGAAGTCTTTATTTACATATTTAAGGTAGTTAAACACGAAGAAAAATTGTCATTACAGTGTTCCCATGCTACTTTAAATACAACCACGGTCATGAGAGGCCTTGCAACTATTGTCACGGTCATACGGGGCTTTAACATTACCACGGTCATGACAGGCCTTATAAGCATTGTCACGGTCATATTAGGCTTTAACATTACCACGGTCATGACAGGCCTTGCAATATAATACAGCATTGTCACGGTTATACCAGGCTTACAAAATAACACTGCCACGGTCATGGCAGGATCCTTGCGCTACTTAAAAAACACCGAATAACATGGTGACGGTTACACCAGGCGTTAGTCTTGCAACAGATAGCATGTGTTGATATTGCATAATAAAAAGCTTTCAAACATGTAAAAACAAAGTATTGAAGGTATCTGCATGTGCTGACATATCAATATGAACACTCTTTTGAGGTAAGTAGATTATGTAAAGTTGCCATCTGGGGTCGCCATTTCAAAAAATGGCTCAAAGGATTCTCTGACCTTGAGTGACCTTCGAACAAATACATTCACCTTCAGCCAAGATGCTACAAGACTTCCCACAGTCCCAACTTATGCGAACTCCTTATGTTTAAACCCAATCTAGCTTAACTGCTCTAAACACTATGCAAGGCTGCATGAAATTAAATTGCAGATCTGAAAACTGAAAAAATTTAAAAGAAAAAACAATGCTGCAATATTTTTGATTCATTTGACTGTACTATTTATGCAAACACCACATACCTTATTAACACCCGTTTATCTTTCAGGTCCAAAGCATCAATGGGTAATTTTTTCAACGCCATGTGTTCAGTTATAGTCTCCAAATTGGTTGATAAATGTCAAAACTTTTCAATTTTACACTTTCACTTCTATTAGTTCATCCGGCGCCCGGTAGGAGTGGTTTCTAAATGTCAAATCTTGGTGAAACGAAATATTCAAGATAATTTAAATCAACGAATAAATTTATGTAAAATCAATGAGTTAATAATATTTCAATAGTTTTATAAATTCAACCTAAATTTTTCTTTCGGGGAAATAATAAAATAAATATCATAATGATAATTTCATATGTAATATTTTTAGCAGAATGACAGGTGAGTCATCGTTTGGCGTGTCATGACATCACATGATTGGTCACATGATCCAGAAAGAAACAACAATATAGGTAAGAAGGAAAATAATGTTAGGTTTACTCAATTTTCGCTGCTTTCTCTGCAACAATTGGTATTATTCATGGTTCACTCTTTGAGGTAAATAATTAATGACAAATAGACAGTTTTCCACTAAGCTACACCTGCAAAGTTTCACATTGCTTTTGTCTAAGTTTCACATGCAAGCAGATCAAAAATCCCTCCCCTCTGCAGGGGGGAGATTTCCCAAAGATGCCCTATCATATTTGCACGTTCGAAAACAAATTTTATAAACAGGCCTCAATTTGCCATTGAAATGGATCTCCAAATGTTCACTGTAGTTTTATGAGTATTCTCTACAAGTATGGATCGAGTAACTTCAATAGTATTACCGTAAGTTTGAAATGATGATGTTGAACTGATGTTAACGCCATTCCCACGATTCTAAATTTAACTCTGCGCATGCGCAGCACTGAGAGAGCACATGCTCATGATTGTTCACGTGATCGAATCCTGCAATTTGATTGGAGATGATGCAAGAGATGATGTAATGGGGAATCCCCGAATACGATAGAATATGAAAGAATTATGGGAGCTACTCACTCCTCCTGTCCCCTCTGTATACTACTTTTTGCAAGGCCTGACTTCGTCGCTAACATGCTAAATATAAGAGTTAGCTGACGTTTGGGAGTCTGACTTACCTTCTAAAGGTTAGAGCCCGAATCTTAATGAAACCATATCACCTTTGTTCCGTCAACCATGGAGCATTTGCCACAACATCCAACATTCTCAAAATTCATTTCGTTCGTTGCGTACCTTCACTACATGTACCTCTCTGACGTTGTTAAAATAGTTCTAAAATTCCCGGGGTTAGATCTTAGAAAGCTTCAGAAATTAGTACTTTCTTTATTACGAAATCAACAACGCCAAAACTTTGATATAACATTAATCATGACGTTTACAAATGATTTTACCATCAAAATGGGTAATCAATGTTGTATTTGATGTGTCTTTAGGTAAAAATCTCCGCGGAGCAACAAATTGTAAAATGCCAAGATCGATAATCACTGGGTTCAAACATTACTACACGATTTCAAGATGGCGGTGTCAAAATTTTCTAAAAACGCTTCAAATAATATTATGTTAATTTCTGGCGAGTTCATCAATATCATAACTTGTTATCTACTAACAAGATAGAGAAATATGTAAGAAATTCAATTTTATCGATTAAAACATCACATCGACACGTGGTATTCGTTTATTAGACGATTAAGATTACGAATATGGGGATGACGTCACTTCAAAACGAACTGCATAGCAATGGTGTTAATAAACAATTTCTGTCCTTGCAAATTCCAAAGTATTCGTTTTTAACAGTTTGTTACGAATTACTTAATATTTTTCTTATGAATGAATTCTAACTACATTAGAAATAAACATTTTATAAAATATAACGAATAAAGTCAGCAGCAAACGCAAAGAAATATATTTTTTGAAGCAGGTCAAAATAAAAAGGGTAAATTTCGCGGGAAATTAAAGTACTGCATGAGGTAAGGCACAGGAGGTACGGATGGCACTGGATGAAAGGCTCGGAGACTGAACATCCAAGAGGTAAATCATGGACCGAGAAAATGAATGAATTCCTTGTAAGTTCCGGAAGTTTCAATACGAAAAATTACCGAACATATATGAAAACCGAATATTTGTTCGTTGTTTTCACGATTTACAGGTTCGTATGTTCTTCAATGTTTTGGTCTAAATTATAAAGCATCACCAACAGGTCTTACTCTATTAATCGACTAATACAGCAGACGGCTCATATTTCTACGTAGCATTTCGTTCAGACAAATAGTGGGACTGTAGATCACGCAGTTTCGTTCGTTTCGTACTTCACTTGAAATTGGTAATTTTGAATATTGGCTACTTCACTTAGCTTGGCGGATGTAGAACATTGCTTAATATTCTTTTAATTTTTACACCAGACATGCTTGGTTGACACGTCAACAAAGTAAAGTTCAAGGGTCAATGCGCTATTTCGTGATAACTACAACGCCTTCCCGGATTCAACATTGATGAAAAATGAAAAAGTCGGAAAAGCATTTACACTAATTTCTATCAAATGCTATGTTTATGCATCATCATCGACGCAACAAAGGTGATATGGTTTCATTAAGATTCGGGCTCTAACCTTTAGAAGGTAAGTCAGACTCCCAAACGTCAGCTAACTCTTATATTTAGCATGTTAGCGACGAAGTTAGGCCTTGCAAAAAGTAGTAAGAGAAAATATACAAAGTGTAAAATGCTAAACTTATATATTACCAATAAGCATGGCGTTTTGTATAGTTTAGCGATAACGCATGTACATTTATCCCGTGCCAGGACTGTAGTCCTGTAACGAGCGCATTCTTTTGCCTGTACGATTACAACTTGGGAGAATTATCTACGCCCCCTACACTTAGGATACCTACTTCAATAGATTCCTGGATTCAACTACACGAAAAGAATGCTAAAATACCAAGGAACCTATTGAAATAGGTATCTTAAGTATAAGAAGCGTAGAAAATTCTCCCATGTTGTAATCGTACAGGCAAAAGAATAAGACGTTCGCAGGACTATAGTCCTGGCACGAGATTCCTGATTCGATCAGCCGTTTAAGCAAGACACGATTGCCTAAAGTACTTCAGTGTTTGACTGAGTAGTCCACCCATATAAGTCCACCGCGGTACAAATAAACAGGGAATTGATTTTATTATTGGGATTTGAACCAATAAAATTCAGACCTATGGAATTCGGACCATTGCTATTTGAACCATTTGGCTACGGGCCTGCTTATTGTTACACTGAGGAATGCAACAAGTAGTTATATAGTTGTTCCTGGCATGATTAGAACTTTAGCTTATGTGTGATTTGTTGAAGATATACTGATTTGCCTGTGTAAATCTGATTCAATTTTTTAAAATCTTGAAGTGATAAAACGGGTTACTATAATTGTGAAGCAACAAATGGATTTAAAATGATTAACGTGGATGTGTGGGTGATTAAAATAAACCATGTATGGTTTCTTTGTTTCTCATGATCTTTTATATGATTTGGTATCACATTCTTCATCATTTGGAGGCCAGACGCTAAACCAGAAATTTTACTTTTTATTTTCAGAATCATGTTACGGTTGATTTCATTAATCTGCATGCTTGGTGCTTCTCAAGCGTTAGACAATGGTCTTGCTTTGACCCCACCCATGGGTTGGTTGTCATGGGAACGGTTCCGCTGCAACACTGACTGCAAAAATGACCCAGACAATTGCATCAGGTAAGAGTTAAGAGTACTCAATCAACATCATGATAATCTATGAAGATGTATAGAAATAACACAAGAATTCTTTATCTATTTTTTGTACAACGGTTTTTATCAAGGACCCTTCAATATGCAGATATTTTACTCTTTATCTTGATATTTAGACATTTTAACCAATATAATTGTTGTCTACGCATGTCTCAAGTATCATTTCCTCATCCCAGGTCGTATTTGTTTGTGAGTCAATGTTTTTGAATTATAACTGATAATGCCCAGTCATATGACCGTTTGATTGCTTCTCATGGACAAATTGAACAGACATGAGATGGGTAAAAACTAAGCAGACTACATGTTATACCATAGTCACTGTTCCACAGCTGGATGACTCTAACTGCAGTTAGCTTCACTCAAGATGGTTCATCAAGAATTTTGTCAACCATCTTGAATGAAGCTAACTGCAGTTAGAATCATCCAGCAGTTAAACAGTGATAGTACTGAGTGTGAGGGGAACTTTCGAGATAAATGTTTAAACATTCTACTGTTTTCAATGTGCTTTTTTTATGCCACAAAGTGGCGACATATTGTTATAGGGTTCAGCGGTTGGCATATGTAACAAATGGTATGTAGTGACATTTTGCAACTTAATGCCTTGTTTTTTATCCTAGTGAAAATCTCTTCAAAACCATGGCAGACCACATAGTATCTGAGGGTTATAAGGATGCAGGTTATGAGTATGTTAACATAGATGACTGCTGGCTGTCACACGAACGTGATGCTCAGGGACGATTACAGGCTGATCCAGATAGGTTCCCCAGTGGTATCAAAGCTCTTGCTGATTATGTAAGCATTTCAAGGGGATACATTTTTTCATTTTAAATAGATCACCCACCCTGTCTCCAATATTTGCATTGTATTTTATGAGGTGATACAATAATGTCCTTTTAAAATAATCTGAAAATATTTGTCTTGCACTAACAGGGATATATTTTGTAATTTTATGAAGTGATAGGGTTAGCATTGATTCAGTTTGAAAGCACATTTCATCAACAAAACTTTATTTATTAAGTTGACTGTTTTTCTATGCAATCTCATACATAGATGCACCAAAGAGGTTTAAAGTTAGGAATTTACGAGGACTTCGGCTATCACACTTGTGCCGGCTATCCAGGTAGTGAATATACCATGGCACTAGATGCACAGACATTCGCCAGCTGGGGTGTGGATTACTTAAAGTTTGATGGGTGTAATTCAGACCCACATGAATCTAAATATGGTAGGTAGGAATTCTGGGATTGATGTATGACCTTCTTCATCCAAGAGCTTCCATTTTTCGACATTGCCTAGCTAATATTTCAAAATGTGAATATTCAAATGGAGGTTCTCCGATAAAGGTCAATCAAAATGCAGAGAATTTTCCTGGGCATCTTTCGAAACTACTTTTTCCCATACACAAGAAATACAGGGAACTACTTTGGAAACTACTTTTTCTTTGCACATATAATTTCTCTCATAAGAGACAATGGCCTATAGCTACATTCCAATATGTTCCAGAACAATCACTATATCACAATTAATCCCTTTCCCTTTTTTTTCGTGTAATATATTATTAATACTGAACAGGAAAATTCTCTGCTCGTCCCATATCTCTAAAATAAAATAATATTCTGTAAAGTCTTGAAACATTCGTCCTCAACTTTCAGATTCATGACAAAGGCCTTAAATTTGGCATCTATGAAGATATAGGCACACACACATGTGGAGGTTATCCAGGGGTAGAATATTACTTTCAACAAGATGCCCAACAATTTGCCGATTGGGGTGTAGATTTTGTTAAGCTGGATGGGTGTTACATTGATAGTAAAGAATTTGATACTGGTCAGTGAGTGCAAACTAGCGGCCATTGTACATCCTGGTATTTTTGAGGGGTATGGGTTGATATTTATGTATTGGTAAGCAAGCTGTCAGAGCAATTATAATTTTTTTTTCAGTGTTTACAAAAATAACTCTATAATTATCTGTTTGCAATAAAATGAAAGGTCTGTGTTATGAGAACTAGATTTACCTTAATTATTGAATTATAACATATTTTAATGAGAAATCACACAGAAAATTAAACCCATTAATTACTTAAATGATCACTTGGGTACAGAGTTTATAATTAATTCCCCATTTGTTTTTATTTTTATTTCATTTTTCCACTACATCTGTTTCTAAAAGAGGCTGGATTTCGTTATATCTTGCTTGTTCCAGTTTAGGCCTACTTCTTGCTCGCTCTTCGCTTATGTGTACATGTATTATGTACTTTGAATTTTATTTTATAATGTATATTGCATGTACACCCATCCACCTTCCCAATCCACCCCAACCTTCATATAAAATTTACTTTATGCATTATGTAGTTTTTAGACTCTTTCGGAAATTTTCCCAGAATGTAGCAGATAAGTAATCTCTATTTTTTCAATGAAACTAAATGACTTTGGAATTTATGGATTTAATGTCATCAATAACACAGATGCAAGTAGGTAGTTACCAGTTTCACCACCAGGTGGCTCATTTGGGTCAGATAGCATGGCTGGTATAGTAGAAAGTTCCCTTAATTGAATTACATCTGCTTTAGTGGTTCAATTTTCCTATAACCCTTATGTATCTAATAGTCAATTAGATTAAAATATGTCCAGTAAAAGAAAATGTTATATGTAAAATACAAGAAAAGATATTTCACTTTTTGTGATTTTGTAACATGTAACATTTGTAACATGGGGTCTATGGGGAATCAACCCGAACTAGAAGTCACATTTTCACAGAAAATTCAATTTTCGAAGTTGATAAACAATTTTCGAAATCTACATGTACTTTCACATGTAGATTTCAAATATGACATAGGTTTGACTGAATTTTGAATATTTAACGACATAAATCAAGATTATTTCTACTCACATCTGGTCTATTGTCAACATATTAATATAGCCACCTTTTTTTGACAAGCATATTACATCATCATTCTGCATTCATAACAAATTGTTATACTTTTCTCTATAATTAAGATTGAAACACTCGTGTATCCTTATTTCCCTGACAACTCTAATAATAATTTTATTTATGTAGTGGTCATAATCTGAGTCAAGACCTCAATGGGCATACATGCAAACCACCAGCAGTAAAACCCTTAAAGCGGAACACCATTGCTTCTGTTAAAACTAAAAAGTGTTCTACTAAGGAGGTGTTATACTGTAGAGGTGTTCCACTTCTAAAAGTGTTCCACTATACAGGTTTTACTGCATTTATCAAGATTATTTTTCTCCATTAGGTTATCCTGCAATGGGGCTTTATCTGAATAGAACAGGGAGGCATATACTCTATGAATGTGAATGGCCTTATTATGATCGTTTCTTTGACAAGGTTAGATGCTGCAAAACTTGATGTAGCGAAATAGTATAAGAGCTTTTATGAAATTATGAATGAAGATGGAATGCTTCCAGAAACCCTTTTATTGATAGGATGCCTTTATGCAGGCTCTTCAAGTTTACAAAATTATTAAGCTTCCTTAACAGTTGTCTTGCCTAAAAGCCTTTGTACACCCTCTCTGTCTGTCATGCTATGATTTGGGAAACGAATTCAAGACAGGAGATGATGTGGGGGGAAGGACAAGTGTGATCCCCAATGTAAATGGGCAGTGGTGTTCTGTGCCAAATTGTGTGTCAACTGTTGGTGTAAGGATATATATATATTGTTTTAGGCTACCCCACAATGAGTAGGTACCTGAACCTTACTGGGCATAAGATCCTATACTCTTGTGAATGGCCTCTCTATGACCATGAACATGTAAGATTAAGCTTTTAACCTGTAATATGCAGCCTACAGTTAAACCCAATAAAGTGAACACCTTTTTAATGCGATTAGTCTGGAAAATTGTATAGTACAGTATTCAGTGATCTCCCCAGCATTAAAGCAAGTGGGCACAGCACCCACCTGAAAATTCATTTGCACCCACTTGAAAATGAGAAAAATCATGAAAAATAGGCATATTTTGGGCAGAATTGTGAAAATTAGAACTTTGCACCTTCCTGAGAAAAAATCCTTGGGAGATCACTGGTATTGTATGTCAAAATCAATATTCTAGTAATTTTTCAGATTTTTATTGATCATATATCTAGGTGTTTATTTCAACTGGTTTAACTATATCACTGAATGTGCTGTTTGCTGGTACACGTTGCTCAACTGCTATTCTGTTCAATCCCACCCTAACAGCCTCGTCTGTATGCATGATTTTGTCCCATCTCAAAGCAGGACTGCAAGGTAGGAAAAACTGTCCATCTCCTCTGCAGTCCTGCATTTGGGGAATGCCCATATACTAATCACCTTGAGAATTAGCTTTGATTATGTACAGTAAAACATCTCACATTTGCATGCAGATCAAGGAGCACTGTTAATCCAAATACCGTATTCTCTGTAATTACCGCCCACTCTCTAATAAGCGCCCACCCCGCTTCACAAAGTTCAAGAAACATCGAGGAATCAACAAGAATTGAAGAATATATCAGGAAAAAAATATTTCTCAAAATCCAGGAGCGGGCGATAATAGAGTACTTACCCTAAAACTGCTGTAAACACGACGCGTTTTGTAATTCTATGCATCCTCTCGATACATATCTATCGATGGGTGCTTCCCACACCATACCATGCTAATATTGTCTCCAAATAGTCCATAATGAATGAAGGAATTGTTCTTTATCGTCATTCAGAAATTTCAAAAGCTACTGCGCAGATGTTCTGCGCATGTCAAGGTCGTGAACTTTCTGGTTTCTTTTTAATGTTTCTCGACTTTTACACGACTTTTGCACGAATAATGATGATCTCTCATCAAATTAGAAATAATGTATAACTTTAGATCGATATCCAGCAGTCTCTAGTGGAAATATTGAAGGTAATCGGCGATAATGACAAAGTGGGCGTGCCGGAAATAAATTAGACATAGGCGGGTCTTCAACCACTGTCAATATTGTCTAAGCGATCTTTACCGTATTCTCTCCAATAACAGCACTTGTCATATTATTATAAAAATATGTTGAAGAAAATGCATTCTTGTCAAGAAAAATTGCCATACATGAAATTCCTCGGGATTTCTGATTTCTTTCATACATGGGCGCTTATTAGAATGGTCTAAATAATGTATTTTCAATTTTCTAAACGCCCCGGGCGCTAATTACAGAGAATACGGTAATTACACTCTTTAAGATGATAGTCATCTTAAATACAAATTGATTTTGTATTCTTCCATTCAGAACCTCACCATCCAGTATATTACCATCCAACACGTCACCTCATCAGCATGCTTAAGTGAAAATATATTTTTGATTTTATTTTCATGAATAAGATATGCAAATGTGATATGTTTTGCTGTACATATTATAAGCTTGCATGGCTGCTTCTTCATATTTTAGTTTTTTTCTATCACAGGGTACCCCACAATGTCCTTCTATTTGAATCAAACAGGGAGAAAAATAGTATATTCCTGTGAATGGCCTAATTATCTGCAACAAGAAAAGGTCAATATTATGATTTTATTTATTTTAATTAATTGCACCGACAGCTTGCAGTTTATCTATAGCACTAACTCCACATAATGTATTTCATATGTGAAGTCTTTTCATGCACAAAACTGAGATGAAATGGGAATATGGGAGATTGATCCATTGCTTACGAATGCATAAAAAGACATGAATAGGTTGAAATATGTGTATTTAGCCCTTAATATGTTTAACATCTCTTTTAATTAAATTATTATCTTGTTTCATATTTAACAAAATCATTCTAAATCATTGATTTTTCTTATATTCTTATCACTGACTGACAAGCTTTTTTATTTTTGCCACTTGAAAAATGAATATTGATAAATAATAAAAAATAAACTCTTCTATTTTTTTTTTTTGGGGGGGGGGGGTATTTGAAAGGATTTACCTGAATAACTGGTAGATTAATAACGAGTAGATTTACCTTAGAACCATGCAAAAATACCAGGATGTACATTGACTAGGATTAAAAGTTGTAATATGTAAACAATATTTAAATGTAGTTTTCTGATATCGAAACAAATCCATTGGCTTAAATGTTATGGTTAAAACTAAAATAAATCAGATAAGAAGGTTGTTATTGAAATATTTGAATAAATTAGTATGCCTTATTATAAGTGCAATTTACGAATAGTTAATGTAACAATAATTATCGCAATTTGTGCTCAAATATAAATGTTCCACTTATTATGGCCCTTCCTGTACTTTGGTCGGTCATGTATGCAAGGAACATGTTTAATACCTTTTAGCTTATCCTGCATTTGGACATTGGATGAACAAAACTGGTAGACACATGGTATACTCCTGTAGTTGGCCAGCGTATCAGAGCGGCCATATGACGGTAACGTCTTTGTGAATTCATTTCATGTCCTTTCATTTAAGAACTGAAAGTATGGCATGATGATACTGTTATTAGTAAATACATTTATCTGAGAGAATTGAATGAAATCTGTGGGTAAAAGCTAGCATTAAGTTACATGATTTAGGCTAATATAGTTTTGTTTTGTTTACTCATCGTTAAGCATGGTCATGTGATGGCAATGTAAATGAAAAGCATCTGTTGTTGTGGCCATTTTGGAAACTTAAATTCAAAATGGCAGACCTAGCAGGTTTTTGAATAATATTATTAAACTAGCATACGATGTTATATTTAGAGCAAAACCTGAGACAATTGGTGATATCAGTAGCCTAAGGTCTCTTGATACCCAATGAAATACGCAATTTACTTCTATTAATTTAAATGTGATCATATGATATCATCATACCACTTATTGTAAATGCGTAAAGTCACAATTCCGCGTATATGTTTGTCACCAGTCAGTGCTTGTGAAAAGTGTGGTACCCTAAGGCATTGTCTCAAGAGTAAGAGTATACATATTACACAAAATCCAATTTTATGACCTGTTAGACCAAGCCAGGAGAAGAGGTGCACTAAAAAGATTAGAGATGCTGCCTGTCATAACCTGCCCACTAAAGAAAAACAATTTGCACTGATAAACCCCCTATGGGCATCTAGTGCCAATCCTGTAAATGTAGCACTAGATAATTCTACTACATGAATAAAAAAAATATGTAAAATGAATGCAAAACAATTGAGACAATGCCTAGTTGTAGACTAGTTGTTGATCACTATTTTAATATTAGGTATATAAAGGGAACATGCTCTTTACTCGTTTACTTGATTAATGGGTGATACTTAGATTCTTTATTACTCTCCTGTATATAAATTCATCCTTGGTTTTAGTTTGTAAAAATAACAATTTTTATTTACTAATAAATAACAGTTTGTAGAATTAGATTAGAATTAGAGCTTTTTGCATAACGAAAATATATTTGAAAAAGTTATAAAGCTGGGTTTGATAAATATTGAAGTCATTAAAGTTAACAGTACCATCTTAAAAAAGTGAAAGCAAATTATAATGAATTTTTTCATGTTATTTTGTCTATTGCCGTTTTAAGCTAATTTACCCCTTATTTTCCAGCCGGATTATCCTTCAATTGCCAAGTACTGTAACTTGTGGCGTAACTATGGCGATATCCAGGACTCATGGGATAGTGTCCAAGATATTATCACTTGGTTCGGGAAAGATGCTGGCAACTTCAGTGCTGTAACTGGTCCCGGGGCATGGAATGATCCTGACATGGTGTGTACTAAACATTGATAATTTCAAGCTCTAAATAGGCCTTGACACCAGAGGGTTTTTATGTCACCACCACAAGTGATGACATTGTTATAGTCTCCAACTTCTTTTGTGGATGGTGTTCAGTGTTTTGTGGTTTGAGTTCAGTGTTTGGTATCCAGTATTTGGTTGTTGGTGTTTGATGGTTGGTGTCTGTAACAAATGGCAGGTGGTGACATTTTGCATGTCTATTCCTTGTTCATTTCTGGGAGTGCTTGCTATTTTACTAGCCAAATGTGCATAATGTGATATTCTCGACTTTGTAAATGTAGTCCTATTACAGAAATTTTAAACTTAGTTTGTGAAAATTTGATAAAACAGGAAAATTTCTAGGACAGAAATATCCAGATTTGGTGATTTGAAAAATTTGCACATTTGCATAGAATTGCCCTCCAAATGGTGCCATTTTCTACACCTTGATATGGTGGAAAGTCCTGTTGTTTTTTCAGTTGATTATCGGAGACTATGGTTTGAGTATTGACCAGCAAAAGGCGCAGATGGCCATGTGGGCAATGATGGCAGCACCGTTGATCATGTCGACAGATCTGCGTAACATCCGTCCCGAATCTAAGGCTATCCTGCAGAACAAGGGAGTCATAGCTATTAACCAAGATCCCATGGGAAAGATGGGCAAGGTTGTTTACACTGTAAGTACTTCCTTGATTATCTCTGAAGGTCTAAGCAACTAGCATTAGTTAAGTAGGTATGTACAGGGTGGTCAAAAAAGTTAAAAGCTACAATTCTACGTTCTAACAATTTTTGACATATATAGAACCTATAACCTGCATGTCATGTGCATGTGTAGACTGTTCTTCTTTTAGTTCATATCAGAACATAACCTTTGATTCGATTCCCAGGGCTCGATTCAATAGTTTCTACTTAGTTCTACTTCTTCTATCTGAGCAAAAAATGTAACTTTATGTGAACTATGTAGTACATATTACCTAAACACATCATGCACTTTGTGTGAACCACCTTAATTAATAAACAAATAACTCTGTATAAATTGCATAAATCTATAATGTACTTGGTTTATATATTACTATGATTATGTCTAATGCATTTTACAAGTACAGGGTGGTCCAAAAAATGGTACACTTGCATTTTAAAAATGAATATTGCATTATCAGAATCAGAATGATTACTGCACTTAGTGTATATCTTAATATGTAAATGCACTTAGTTAAACCATTGACACATTCTCCTTTACAGCAATCAAATGTGCAATTGTGGTCTCGACCCATTCTACCAGAGGGCAGCGTAGCCTTTGCTTACCTCTACACTGGAACGGGTGGCACCCCATCACATATACAAGATGTCGTTACAAATGCTGGACTCACGAGCTCTAGGGGTTACAATGTCACATGCGCTTTTACAGGGAAACATATTGGATATTTCAAACCTACGGACAAGTTTGATTTACATGTGGACCCTACTGGGGTTTTCCTTGGAATTGCAAAAATCTTTTAAATCACAACGAACAAGTGCCATAATGTTGGTTTAGATATGCAAATTGCGATAATGATTTTCCCCATTGTATTGAAATTTCTCAATTTTGTATCTGTGATTGTCTCAAAACAACAATTTTATGGGTGCAATGAATTTTCACGTGGTGCCTATTTAATGTGATCACTGATAGAAGCAGTGATTTTGAAGTAATTAATGCAGATTGGATATTCAATCTACACTATAAATGTATAATATAAGAGTAATACAATCACCATGTAGACTTGTTCAGTATTAGTACTTTTAAGTAATGATTAAACAAATGCCTTTAGAATATTGGATGCACTTCAACATAGAATTAAAAAGTAATTTTAATGTACTGCAGTATAAGAACCCCAATAAGAACACACTTTATGTATTTTTGTGTTTGTTGAGATAGGGTAAGGGTATCTAAAATTGCAACAACATGATATACCTATAGTATATAATATAACATGAAGTACAGTAATATGTCTTACTCAAACACCACAGGGACTAGCAAAAAATGCTCAGAGTCAGAACAATCGGTGTTCACATTTCAAGGTTCCTTCAACAAAGGAGTCAATTGGAGATAACAAAATTGAAAGTCACTTTTATGTCACCAAGTTGGTATTTAGTTAATAGTAGTTTTCAAGTGGAGTACATTGGACCACAGCTGCTTTGCATTACAGCTGCTTAATAAAATACAACTGCTTAAAAAAACACAGCTACGTTACTTTTTATACCAGAAACAGCTCAATTTGACATATTATTACATTCCAGTTGTAATCTGAAGACCTATACATTTCATTGTATTAATATAATTATGTGTAATCCTTTAAAAGGGATTAATATTATGTGTACAAAATGATCAAGATATTTAAATAAAATATTAATTTTGAAATATAATTTATAAAAGTCTTTCTTAATTAATGATGCAGTTAAGCCTGTATAAAACATTGATAACATTGCAGGTATAGTAAAAAAAATTCCCCTAAACTTGGATATTCGTCAGTTTCAATGGATCTTTTTGGTGCTTAATAACTGTACAATTGATAATGTGTTGAATAAAACATTATCTGTCCAATACAAGATAAGATATTTCACTTTTTGTGATACCATAACATTTGCTCTATCTATCTATGGGGAATCTGCCCATCCTAGAAGTCACATTGTCAAAGAAAATTAAAGGAGGGGGAGTTGTTTGTAGAATGAATCGGGGGAGTTTTTTCATGTGTTTTGCTTCTGTTTTTCATTCAAAAACATCAATACGCTTTATAACATTTTATTGACTATAAGATTGCACCATATAATCCCAGAAAATATTTTTCACTTTTATAAGGATTATCTTTGGATTAACACCCAGGTATTTTCATTTTTCAAGCCTCAGAGGACTAGGAATCCTTGTGCTCAACGCTTTTGAATTATATAAATACTGTTTCAAATAGGTTTCATGTATGCCAATAATTTCTCAAATTGTGTAAACTGAACACATTCCTTAATCCCTAGAATTTTCTCTTTGAGGAATTTCCCAAAGAAATCCAATGGTACAGTTCCAAGCAGATTTTGAGATAACGAGAAAGTAAATCTTTAATACACACCTTATTGGGTTGCGATATAAACCAAAACAATTTCAATATACTGTAAATGAGTATGGAATAAGCCATAATGAATTTAACTTTGTCGATCTTATATAACTCTTATGACTCTGACTCGTATATTACACTTATAATTTCCATTCCTTGTTTCCCCAACAGAACAAAGACAAGATACAAGTGTGGCACAGGTATCTCGCAGACAGCAGCTCAGCTATAGCCATACTCAACCCCCGCACAGATGGGACCCCCTATGAATTCACGGATACACTCTCTAACATGGGAGCCAACATGCAACCTGTGTATATGGTACATGATGTCTTCACTGGGAAGAAATTTGGACAAATTAATGTGGATGAACCATTTAAGATTCAAGTTAACCCTACAGGGGTGGTTTTGATCAAGTGCCTCAATCAGCACCCTGTTTAAGAAGGATTTTGAAACAAAAGGGTTAAATCTATGGTGACATGATCTTATCAATTAAACTGATACATGGGCAGCTGTAATGTCTAGCTACACAGAGACATAAACTGATGTTAAATGCTGTTCATGCAGAAGGAGAAATGTAAGCTGAAACATGGTTATATGTTACTTATACAAGGGGTGGTTCATAAATATTGGGACATATTTTGTAGAAAGTTTCAGAAGTCATCCCCAGAGAAACAACTGTAAGTATCTGAGTATCGTTATTTTGACTATGGACTTTCTTTTGTTCTTAATAAAGAAAACAAAGAGTGAACAAAAAGGTCCCATGATTTGATAATTCATCTGCACTATAATTCATTGATAAGCCCTCAAATACTTATATAATCATTACTTATGCTCAATGTCTAGGTGATGTGATTGTGAATGCAACCCATATTTTATTTTTATATCTCTTAAAATGTTCACGATTCAACTGTAGCCAGTAAAATCATGATTGAAATTGCTATATATTTTTTAAAAATAAATATTGAACAAACACTTTAATAATTATATTTTGACTGCATTGTATTTCTATATTATGTTTAATATACAGTGTAATTCTAAACAAATGTAAGACACTTGTTTTAATGCCAGGGCCTAATTCTCCAAATTATCAAGAATTATGATTCGTGGAATTCACTTATCGTTTACTGGATTGCCATAGCAACCTCATTTATCAAATACAACACTGCTATAGCAACCTCATTTATCAAATACAACAATGCCATAGCAACCTCATTTACTGAATACAACATTGCCATAGCAATATCATTCATCAAATACAACATTGCCATAGCAACATCAGTTATCAAATACAACATTGCTATAGCAACCTCATGAAAATTGCAACTACAGGAATCATAACAAAAGATGTGATCAAAAATTAGGCCCTGTAAAATATCCATGTCCGGAGATGCATCATAAATATACAATCACCAACAGCATTGTGGTTCCAGTTCAAATAAATAATTTGTTAACAAAAAGCTCTTAACTCAGTTTAATAATTATAGTAACTATAGTAACATAGCTAAACAACCCATTGGCAATGTATGTGTTCATTCCTTGTAGCTTTTCATACAAATAAACATTCCAAATCTTTAGATTGAATTTACGATGACAAGAAATCGAGACCTAAACAATGGAGCCAACCATATCCCATGAATCTTGACTACTTCAAAGCATATGTCAGTCATCAGGTTTCATGGGAGTGTTGCTCTATTTCCGACATAATTTCCAATTTCAAGTGTATTCCCCTCCACTAAAGTTACATCTATATATTGTTCACAAACTATACATATGCAATAACATATAGAAAGCACCAATATATAAACTTAATAAATATAAAGATGCGTTCTCTTTCTAAAACAAAACCCAATTGAGGGAATCAGAACCCATTATGGCATAGATAAATATTTGACCTTTTAATAATACAATGATACATACATATAGAGAGTACAGAACATTACATTTTGTTTATAGTTTAACCCTGTTCCAAACATAAACCAAATAATATGCAAGTACAAACCACACTACTCTAAAGGATAAACATACTTTTAGAACAAACTTCAAAATTATCAAAATCTGATCCAGAAGCAAATATAAAAGTAAGTGTTGCCAGATTTTCTTGTAATATTACTAATAAGTCCCCCTCATTCATTATCAAAATGAAAGAAAGAGCTTATTCCTGGGAAATCCCTCTATAAAACCACTTCACTTGGTTATTTTCCAGATAACACCAACGAGCGTCTGGTGAAAACGCAGCATTATTTCAAGAAAATCCAGTTCATGAATTCCCAGTTATAGGAAAATGGGTTCCAAATTGTACTAGGGTCTACTATGACTATTTCTTGTATAACATTCAAGGGAACAAAACGTAAGCAGGTGAAAATATGTTTATATAGCGGTGTGGGAATCATTCATCATGACAATAATACAATGAGTTCACATATACGGTTGACAATTTAGAATTTAACTTCATGTGTCTTAATCTTTGTAAACATCTTTCAACAAAGAAAAAATACAATAATTTAGAATTCACAAAATAATACTCTAAAAAATTGGCCATAATATTTGGCATAAATTAATTCACTCACTGTCAACTTATAGACAGCATCATAATGTAAAGATGGCGGTTGCAATTTCAAATCATTCTGAGGATTTCTACCGCCACATTTTAAAATAAATAGATGGTGCTACTGTACATTGAGCATTTAGCACCAAAATTAAGAACACAGATACAGTAATAAGTACACAAACATTTACAGTCTCCAAGATGAACACTTTAAAATTTCAAGGATTTTCTAGATACAGAAATGTTCACCATGGAGAAAATTTTAAGGTACAGTACAGTATACACATGTATGGTAGATCATTCATACATGCGCACTTAGACCGGCTTAATTCGTTGCTTGTTAGCTCATTTTTTCAAAAATTCAGGGCTGAAAAATTGGCAAAACAGGTTGAGAAGATTTAACATGAAAAGACAATTTCCCAAACTTAACATATATGTGCATATAATCAATGATACCTGGTACATGAAATGAATGAACAAATGCAAACAAACTCCCCTGGCAGAATCAGTCTTCAACTAAGCAGATGTTGAGAACTACTCTGGGAGTTTGAAATGCACAAAGAAAGTCTCAACGAATATACAATAACATGAAGGCCTTTAGAATTTTCAAAATTGAAACTTCTTTAAATCAATTGTCCTTCCACAAGGATTTTGAAAAACAATGAGTCTTAATGTTTACTGTAATTAATAAATGTACAAGACAGTCAGGATAATTTACAAATGTCATTACAATTTTTGTGTGCGTATATGAGTGTATTATGTGCACAATAATTTAGATTTAAAATATTTACAGATTCAATATTCTCATATTTTCACTGCTCATTTGATGATTTACATAATAACGAGTATATGATGAATTAACATTTAGCAACAATTTCATGTGCAGTTTGGAACTTTTCTGATAATTTTCAACAATGTTACATCAAAAGACTCAACATTAATAAATACATGTAAACAACCTAGTAGTACTTCAAAAATACATGAATTCAATGGTTAGTTCTCCAGGTAGCTGTTATTTAAGGCATTATGTCTAACATCTCTGATGCATATCTAACTTTGTTTTTAATACTTTGGGGGGGGGTTCCCTTTAGCCATTATACTTACATATACAGTAAAACCTGTATATCGAAACAACTCTCTAATTTGAACATTTCTCAATGTTAATGCTTCCGGCCTCAAGTTTGTTGTTATCTCCCATTGACTCACATACTGTATAAGTGGTAATTTTGCCTAATCATTTAATTTGCCCTTTTTGCTTTTTATTTTTTGTAATATTTGCCAGGTTCGGAAAATTAAATGTCAGAAATATCATCTTCATAATTTATCCAATGGAAAGTTTCTTAAGCATCTGGCATTCGGCAAATTAACCACTCAGATTAAATACAGTTTACAGTTATACAGTATTAAAAACCTTGAAAAGTGAACACCTACAAATTGTAACACTTGGCTACTCCAAATGGCATTTGGATGAGACAGGTTTTACTGTATATGCAAGGCCTGATTGGTAACACCCCATTATAAAGGATTTCAAACCAGTTTATACCAAGTCTCCATATACCTTTGCCTTACTTCCAACTTACTAAAATTGTTGATGGATTTTCTAACTGCGTAAGATTTTTCCTGCCCTAAAGACATTTTTCCTATAATGGTACCTGAACAGTGTACACATACTGCAATTTGAGAATAATACATTCCTCAACTACCACATATTAATCATTCCAACACATGTGGCTGCAGACAGGTTTTCACAATTTCTAAATATTTTATATTTATGCATTTGTGTATGCACTCCAGACTTACATCAGGACACTTCAGGTATGTCAGGACTCAAGAGCTTTATAAACAATGTCTTGTTGGACAGTCATTTGTGGTTTGGCAGTGGTCACATTTGCTTCAATAAATGTGTTATTATGCAAACTCTGAACTGCTTTGACTGATGATTTGCAGTGATTAACTCCATTACCCTTATCTCCCAATATTTCGAATTCAGGTAAGGATGTGTCCGGGTATATGCCCTTTTGGTCCCTGAGTCAAATGTATGTGAAATGTGTTTTTTATTACTGTCCTAGTTATATTTCATAAGTATATTTACTTTTTCACGAGTTTTGATGCATAATTAACCCCCTGCTGAGAGTCAGAATATAAGTATCTTAACGAAAAAAAATAGTCATTATCATAGAAAAAACACCAATGGCAACATGTATGACTTACAAAGAAGAAATAAATTAAGACCCATAAAGAATTTAAAAGAAAATCATATTTTTGAAATATATTTAATGATTAAATTTTTTTTCAAATTTTTGAATTTCCCGCCAGTTTAATTTGAAGGGGGAAAAACAAGATGGCTGCCATTTGATGTAAGAAATATCAGAAAAAAAGTTGCTTCACTTTTAGTTTTCACAATGAGCACAGTTTTCCGGTTTAGGTTTTTTGACTGATTCTGATTCTTCATCACCAGGGTCATGTATAGAGATTATAAAATTGAAACCAAAATGTTGTGCTCAGCATGAATTTGACTGAAATATGTGTAACTTCACCAACACAATTGAAGTCTCAAAACTGGATGCTCAGTAACTTTGAGTGACTATTAATCCCTTGATTACCCAGATAAACAGCAATTCACTTATCCAGAAATACCATTCAATGTCTATACAAAGAAAGTAAGCAATGTTTTGGAGGATATGTTTCAAACCTTTTGTATAAATAATTCATTTAATATTTGCCATTGATTTTTTTCAATTCTGACAAAGTGAAATGCACAATCTTTGATGCCAATATTCTTCATTAATTGTGATACAAATTGATATTTTTGTACTCTCAGAAGAAGGATAAGATATTGAAGTTTAATAATATGTGTGATTGAGTTGCTTTTTCAGACATTACAATTTTCAATATTTTCTAAGTCGATACCCAGACTCATTCCCAGACTCATCCTTTCAATCGTGGTTAAAACTATGTTTTGGCATGTAAGGCTCATTCTATGTGCCCCACTGTAATAATATTATGGTTTTGTGCTTCCTATGTCGTCTATGTCATTATTCAAGAGATGTTTCTCCTAGCTTTATTCTACCAGACTATGTCCTATAGGTCTATCTGTAAAACTAGACCTTGATCTTTGTACAACTAGACCTTGTTCTAGACCTAATAGCACCCATCTTTCCAACTTTCATCTGCCTGCTGCATATGGAGGTTTGCTCTAGGAGTTCTAGGAGATGGGATACCAGACCTGAAAGTATGTGAAAATGCAGTTATTTCTAATCATATTCAGCTTGGCAACTAAAACAAAGTGATGACAAGGTGTTGACAAAATGTTAACACAGTGTTGACAAAGTGCAACAATTCAGCATGTTTTATTCACAAAATCTAAATGAAGCTCAAGAGGCTAACTTTTCTTCAACAACCAAGTGCCTAACCCCAATCTACCCATGCCAGTGATCTCGCCAGCTACAGAAAGTGGGTGCTGCACCCACGAAGTTTTAGTAATGGGCTTGCACCCAACATTTGCCATTTATTTGCAACCACTTGAAAATGTGACAAGGCATTAACATGCAAAATGTTACCACCTGTCATTTGTTACAGACACTGTACGCCAAACGCCGTCACAAATAAGTTGGAAACCATAACACCAAAAAGCATGAAAAATAGGCATATTTTGGTCTAAATTGTGAAAATAGGAATTCTGCACTCATTTGAGAAAAAAATCCTAGGTAGAACACTGCATGTATAAACCCTACCTTCTAGGTGCTGGAAGTCCTGACTTGGTACCAGGCCGAGGGATGCCTGCTCTCGGGGCCTGGATACTTCTCCTTGGGGATTGTATTTGTCTCCCTGGGGACGCTTGTCTTGCTCCTCCATCTACACGAGGGGACACCATGCGCCTGCCAGGGGCCTGCATTTGTCTAGAAATGCACACAGAGATTGAATGACAAATACATGCATTTAATATTTACGTACTGGGAGGTTTCAGATAAAGGATTTATCCCAATGGAAGTTTATGTATTGTATCCATCCAAGTTCCACTTCTTCAATATAGTACTATTTTATGTATATCTGCATGTATGGGATATGTTCAAAAAATGTGTTTCAAATGTTAATTTATAATGATGTCCAGAAATATAGGTGCTATAAGTAAACAGGAAATGTGTTTTTTAAGATTTTCTTGTTTTAAGAAATTATAATTAAACCTGCACCTCTCTCTGTAGAAAACAGAGGGTTAATAATAATATATGTCCACATATTGCTTTTAATGTGAAAGTCGGTCTATAGATTGGTATTTGCTTTCCGTATTACCTCAATCTTTAAACCTATTATAATATAATCTGTCACACAATCTTACCTGGGCGATTCCATGTTTCCCCTGGAGGACATTTGCGACAGTTTAGATTCACTATAGTTCTGTCGTATACTTGATGGCTTTTTGTTATTTTGTAAATTAGGTAAACTCCCACGAAGTTCTGAAAAAAAAATAAACTTTTGATTTCAGCTAAAGAATGTACAGATGTAAAATCTGGATTCAAAATATTTTAATGTGCACAATTCTTATTCTGAATTACTACAAATTAAAAGTCTCCAAAATCTGATAATTTAACAACAATATATTACTATTTCTTGGTAGCAAAATAAAAAAAGCAAGAAATTACCTGAATAATCCTCCTGTAAGTGATGCTGACTTCCATACGGACTATCTGAAGGACTTTCACTGGACACAGACTCGGGTCCATTGCTTCCATGACTTAGTCTTCTCTGTAGACCATTACTACCATCACCTATAGAGTGAAATCATTGTATGGTTAACCGAATAGCCTAAACTCAGTCAACATTACGTTTTGACCTTGCATCAAGTTCTTGTGTTCAGCCCACATTCTTGAGTTTAAGACACTAAAGCCTCAGTCACATTTTCTCTACGATGGGTGTACAGCAGCCGAATCTTCACAAAATTGACATAAAAATCCACATCATACTGATCATCTCTATATTTTACGCTGTATATTTCTGTCGATTTTAGGAATAGACGACTGCCGTAGAGTTGCCATAGATCAAATGTGACTGAGGCATTAGGCAAAGTTGGAGGGGACAGTTATTCAAAATTATTCAATTCAATTATTCAAATGTCTCTTCAATGAAGATAAGAAATGGGAAACAAAGAACAGGAGGCTAAAGACTTGATGCAAGAAGAAAGTCATACTCTCAAAAACGGTCACTAAAGTTATTTAGTTGCACGATCACTAAAACTATTTAGTTGCATGAAACACAGTTATACATCAACAATTCTAAAACCAATACAGAGCTAGAACTATTGTATGTATTTATGAAATTATTTTTGAGTCGCAAAAAACAAATATCTAAGCCAAGTTACATTAACTGATCAAATTGATAAAAATACTGAACAGATACAGATATCCGTCATTAAACGTCACTGATGCGCTAAAACCTTGAATGTATTAAAACAATTGATTTTACCTCGTTTGATCGCCATCAACACATGCAGCACTTTTGATAAAATAGTCAGAGTTACATCAAAATGTGAAATAGATTATGCAAAAACAACCAAAACTTGTGAATAACAAGAAATATAAAGTTCACACTTGAAACATAAACAAAACAATCAAACAAACCAAGGAAATACAAGACAAATGAAAGGTGTCTTAACACATGAACCAATATTCCAAAAGGTCAGACAATTTCTAGGATAAAAAACAAACATCACATAAGGATCTTGCTGATGGTTGCTGATGAGATTAATTAAAAAACAGCAGAAATTATTACAGACTAACACAAAGCAGCTGCTACTCTACTCAATCTAGTTCCTAAAAATCAAATGTGTTTGAAAAAATAAAGTGGCTTTCTAATTTTAAGAAAATTTGTAAAGTGTGTTTATTTAGATGAGGATGTGAGAGTGTTATGGAGTGTTAGGATTGGGGAGGTATTGGTTAAAATAAAATTTAAATAAACAAAGTAATTGCAAAAATCAACATCAATACATTTCACAAACAAGTAAGACATCAAATAAGATTCCAAAGGGAACATCACAATAAGAGATAAAATGATATGCATTCATGCACATAATGTCCTACAATGGTTTCAAATAATTTTATGACCATACATAGGTCACAAAAAAAAGTTATCATGCATTGTGATGTTCAATTTTCTATCCAATACTTACTATCAAACCGACAACCAGGTGCGTCATAGCGTCCTGGGCTATCATAGCGTCCTGGACTATCATAGCGACCAGGGCTATCATAACGACTAGGGCTGTCAAAACGGCCGGGACTAGACCTATTTGAGCTATGGGAAGAGTGGTAATCGGTGTCATTGAGAGGGAGGGAGGGGACCTTGAAATGACCTCGCGCAGATCTGGGGGTTCTATTTGCTGAAAGAAGATAAGCATAGTGCGAACTAAAGCTAAAAGATGTCACTCTAGAGGTGTGTCAACGTTCAAACTGCTCCTCGTATAAAATATCACATTGGTACATGATAGTTCCATGTTATTTCTGATCTCTCTGTATGTTTTAGTGTTTACTTTCAAATTGATAATCAAAAACATGGCTTAATTTTTTTAAAGCATATCCACTGTGATATTTCACTCAGAGTATGGAAATGATTGAATGATTTCCATTTTAAAAAAGTTGTGAATTCTCTGAATTTTTACACATTCTTGCGAAATCAAAGCACAGTCAATGTCTTATATCAAGCATATTGATAATTTGAAAATCATTCACTCATTCTACCTGGTATGCCAATGCCACACAGATGCAGTTGTACTTCTTTAACAAGTTAATTACCCTTGTAACACAAAAAACAATCAAGGGAACCATATCCCCCTGCTTAACCCCCCCCCCCTTCTTCAGTTCTCCCATAACAGTGAGCAGACAATGCTTTACTTTGCCTCAGTGAAAGAAATACAACTGTCACATGTCAACATGTTAACAACTTTTGGCTGCTATTTAGGCATGTCCCCATAGCCAAGTTCACATATTAAAGTATCGGCATGTCCCCATAGCCAAGTTCACATATTAAAATATTGGGAAATGTTACATGACATGTCAAACTGCCATCACCTCACATGAAAGACATATTTGAACATTTTATAACCCTAAACCTCCATGTTATTTTTATTAACATTTTTTGTATTTCTTTATTATGTTATTTGAATATAAGCTACAATTTGGGTGCCATTTCTTGAATTCCCAATGGTTCAACTTTACACTGTACATTTATTAATTTTTTCATATATTAATTCAAACATTTTCAAGATTTGGTGACATGTTCAATATAAGCATTATTTTAATTCTACTGATAATAGAGAAAACGCATCTATAGATCACCAACAAAAGCATTGAAAAATAGCACGTATGGCATATAATCAATTTCACAAATGGCACAGCCATCACAAAATTAATTTTTATCCTTGAAAATATATTATGCCTAGGTCTGAGTTTTCTGTAAGCTCATAGCTGTATAGAGCTTCTACACATCTGTGACCTACAAGCTCTGCTTGCCATTTAGAGTGTTGTTTGTATCACCAAGTGCCAATTGTAAAATGAAAATAATTGAAAATATTCCTCATATAAAATTTGGCCTTGGCAGATTAAGAGTTAAAAGTACAGGGTGATACAAAAAATGAACTTTGAAAAGAGGAGCTTTTTGCCCCACCCTGTATATGAGTGTTTTTCTCAGGCGCCATATCATATTTTTCACACTAAATTCCATGTTTAATCACTGTCAACTCCAATAGGGTGCTACATGACTGATTTTGCAAAATATGTTTTGATTTCAGGTCAAAAAATCAAAACTTCACTGGGTGGTTGGTCTAGCATTTGAAAATGGATTTTAGAATTTAGAGAGCAGCTTTAGATGATTTGTGGATGGACTAGAATTTAAAAATGGATTTTAGAATTTAGAGTGAAGCATATGATACAGCCCCTAACATGTGTTTGGTTAACATGTGTGTTGTTGGATGTTGTATGAAACTATACTTACATCTCCTAGGTGATGTTAGTGTGTTAGAACTTTCCCTGCGTAAATCTAGAATAAAGAATACAACACAAATCAATCAACGATTATAGACTTGGAGAGAGGAAGGTATCTGAGCCAACTGAACAAATGCCTGAACATAAATTTGAGAAACTAAATTTTGAAAATGAGTAATTAACAGAAAATTGACATCATCATCAATTTTTGAAATCTTTCGGAAACAACCACATTTTCCACTTGATTGCTTTTGTTTGTACACCATTTTAACATTACACTCAACATTGTTCAAGCTCAATGCCTACATAATATTTATATTTAATTTGATTTACATTAAATAAGATTACAATATTGCCAATTGATAAAACGTATGTATGCATTTGCATATGTATGATGTGAATAAAAGCACAGATGTTAGTTAAAATTTCTCTTTTACAAAGCAATATAAAACAAATTGAAAGGGTGCAATCAAATTTGGGTCTTTTAACCTTTATTTTTCATTTCAAAACAACATACACAAGTTCTTACTTTCTTCTTGCATCCTGGCAAGCACCTGTACATCTACAACATCTGCTAGCCTATGCTCCTCTATATCATTCCCCTCTGAAGAAGCATCCTCGTTATTTTGAGCGACAGGCTCCTCCTGGGGCATCCTAATTTGGCGGGCAACTTTATAGGTGCCATCTTTGTTTTTCTTGGGCCGTGTAAAAGTGCTGGTATCAACCCTACTACCTATAATGTAATACTTTAATTAATTTTTTGATAAAGATGTTATTGTATCTACCCGAGGCGCTTCCAAGGAGCTGTAGTGTAACAAGCCTGATACTGGGCATTAAGGGTCCAGTGTGCTAAATTAATTGCCCCATGTGGGAATCGAGCTCGGGACCTACTACTCCAGGGTCATTGTATCATTAAAACAAGTCTGATATACTTAATGTATGAAAGATGCTGACTGTAGAAAAATGCAACTAGAAACAAGAGCAACATCCATGCTGAATCCAAAGATATCAATGGAATTTTAGTAAATGGTTATAATGGAACTAATTACAGGCATCTGGACAATTAGGTTCTATTAATGCTAAAATCTACCAATAAGAAAATAAATACTCCTTATATCATTGCAATGAGGTGATGGGGTAATTATAGCAATTGCTAAGATAACCCAACAATAATTACACAATTTCTCATGTTTTTGCCCAATGTTCAGACATCTGATTGATTGCCATGGAGATCATCTGGTTATGATACGTCAATATGTTACTCTATGACTATGAACATCTCATTGTGAAAAAATTTCAGCTGAAACACCCACCTAATCCATTCAGCTAAACAATCCCTACAAACCATAGAGTTAAAACACATCAAAAACCCTTCAGCTAAAACATCCCTTTAAACTTTGGCTTAAACCCCAAATCCCTCTGAAAGCTAAAACACTGCCAAACCTTCGAACTAGCACAGCCCTTCAAACCATTAAGCCGAACCATCCCTTCAAACTCTGTAGCTAAAATATCCCTTCAAACCCTTCTGCAAAAAAATCCCTTCTGCCAAAACACCCATTCTAACCCTTTATATTGAAACACCCCTTCAAACCCTTTATACTGATACCCTTCAAACCCTTTATACTGATACCCTTCAAACCCTTTATATTGAAACACCCCTTCAAACCCTTTATATATTGAAACACCCCTTCAAACCCTTTATATTGAAACACCCCTTCAAACCTTTATATTGAAACAACCCTTCAAACCCTTTATATTGAAACACACCTTCAAACCCGTTATATTGAAACACCCCTTCAAACCCTTTATACTGATACCCTTCAAACCCTTTATATTGAAACACCCCTTCAAACCCTTTATATTGAAACACCCCTTCAAACCCTTTATATTGAAACACCCCTTCAAACCCTTTATATTGAAACACCCCTTCAAACCCTTTATATTGAAACACCCCTTCAAACCCTTTATATTGAAACACCCCTTCAGATCAAAACACCCCCTCCAAAATCTTCAGCTAATAAACATCCAATCAAAACATCCCTTCAGTGAGAGACTTCAAATGTTACTACCATCCACAAATACAAGTTCTCAATATATACAACAACAACAATAAAGAATGACGAAATACCTTTTTTCCTAAATGTTAGATTTCTTATGGGACGAGACCCACTATGCGATGCTGCATGATGGAAAATCATCAAAAATTCATATTAAATGTTAAATTCATGAATCTGATCAATGATCATGCACTTTACAATATAATATCCATGCAAAAAGGATTTTAATTATTACAACACTACTGTATATGTCAATGACCAAACTGCTACATATACTCAATGACAATAAAAACACAAATATTAAATATTTGTACAATATTCATGTCGAAAATTTTTTTGGGAAGCATGTTTGCATTTTGTGAGTGCTCGGATAACACAAAGATTACAACAAACATATCTAAAGAATTCAGTCTTAAAATAAAATCTATCATGACGTTAAAACATCACAAAAATGATGACAATATGGATGTTACATACAGCATAACAAAACTCTTGTGCTCTAATGTACAGGGTGATCCCAAAAAAATGCAACTCTCCATTTCTTAAATATTTTTCATAAATTTGGCACACAAGGACTTCATTCAATGTGGGATCCTCTGGCAAAGTTTTAATGATCATAGTCTTATATTGATAGAGCTATGGTTGTTCCAAAATATGCTCCAAATGTTGTCCATTTCCAATGTTAGGTTTTCAGATGAATCACATTCCCTTCTTTCAGAACATGTAAACTCAAGAAATAATGTGTTCTGGGATCACAAATTCCAGATGAAGTGCTTCAAAGGCCCCTTCATTCTGTTAAATGCACAGCTTGGGCTGCCAATTTCCAAACATGAAATCATCAGCCCCTTTTGGTTTGAGGTTGATAATGCCAACACTGTTACTGTTAACACACAGCGCAATATTTGCGTTCCCAGGAAGTTCTAGGCAATTCTAGAGTGGCATAGAGGCTTCAATAGACAAGAACAGTGGTTCTAAAAGGATGGAGCTTCTCTTCACACGTCTAATGATAGCATAGCCTGGCTCACTCTAAGTCCTTTCTATGAGAAGATGATCTCTCCTAGGACGGAGAACCCATGGTCATCCCAAAGTCTTGATCTCAATGCCCCTGACTTCTATATATGGGGTTATTTAAAGGATAATTTGTATGAAAATAACCCTACCGCAATTGCAGAACTCCAATAAGCAATTCCTGCAAAAATTTGAGCCATACCCATGGGGAAGAATGCATCTGTGTTATGAACAGTTTTCCTTGAACATTGCAAGTTTGTTTTCAGTGAAATTGATGACATCTGGAGCATATTTTGAAACAACCATAACTCTATCAATATAAGACTATGATTATCAAAACTTTGCCAGAGGATCCCACATTGAATGAAGTCCTTGTGTGCCAAATTTCAGAGCAATTTATCTCCATTTAAGAAAAATATTGAAGAAATGGAGGGTTGCATTTTTTGGGTCACCCTGTATTTACAATGCATATATTAATAGAAAAATTGTAATTTTTATGATTTATGTTGTTCTTGGTCTCTTTCTAATATTGCCCTATGTGCAAAATGCCCTAATAAATGTTTATATTACAACACATATACATGTATTATATTTCTGAGTTTTACATCACAAGTTCAGGGTGCAAACAGTTTTTTTTGTATTTGCAACAAAGTACGATAAATTACAATGTTCAGGAAGCAAATAATTAAATTAGGTAGCAAATTTCCGAATTGCTAACTGCTAGAACTGACCCGAAAATTGTTATAAACAATTTCAATTTCTATTTATACTAACATGAGTAAAATTCTTAGTAAAACTCTCTTGTCAGTGAGGACCAAATGCTTGATCTGCCATGATTCCCGAATGGGTGAGAATGCCTGGTCAGACAAGAACACTTCATCAGACATGAACACCTCATCAGGCAAGAACACCCGACCAAGCACTAAATCTCAACTACTGTATTAAGAGCTCTATCTGTCAGGCATTCAAAAGTTCATCTCTCACATATATTTTTACAGATTTTTATGGATCTTCTATGCAATGTAAGAAGAAATATTTTACTTTTAAATAAATGTCTGCGATAGATGAACTTTCGATAAAAACCTGCTGTGTTGGTACAATACAAACTCCTTACCTAGACCCTGCATAAGGGCTGGTTTAATACTGGGGACAACAGGAGAAGCATCATTGGTCTCAGGCTCATCAAGCATGTATGACTGTGAGTGGTGGGTAGTATAGAGGGAAGTATCAGATTTTGTTGGTGTTATGGTAGGAGATGTAGTAAGGCTGCCTAATGTGTTACCACTAGAACTTCTTGACACTGAAATGCAATAACATTAACATCCGTAAATAGAGCTTTTAAAAGCTTACATGCAACTTTGCCTATCAAAGGTTTTCAGTAACCTACTGCTTGCTGTTACTAGGCTCATTATTCCAAAATAACATTCACAAGAGGGGAATTACCCATACTTCATTGGTGAACATTAGCTTATTTGTCAGCAAAAGAAAATGTTATCTGTCCAATACAAGAAAAGCTATTTCACTTTTTGTGATTTTGTAACATTGGGTCAATGGGGAATCAACGTGAACGAGAAGTCAAACTTTCAAAAAAAATTAATTTTCAAGGTTGACAAACAATTTTCGAAACCATGTTTCTAGATGTACTTGTACATGTAGATTTCAATATGACATCACTTTGACTGAATTTTGAATATCTAATGACGTCAATCAAGATTATGTCTACTCGTATCTAGTCTATTGTGAGTACAGCTGTTTATGTGTTCATCTGACAAAGGAGTAAACATTTTGTAAAATAATTCAGTCAAAAAAATTTTGCTTGGAAATTATAACTTCGAATAATTGCTTGGGAATGATCTTCACCGAGAAATTTCCAAATCTAATATATTCCAGTGACTCATAGCATCAATGCCTAGAGAACAAAGACTTAAGAATTTTTTAATTTAGGAATGTTTTGTCTTTGAGAGATGTAAATTGTGCAAGTGCTAGCAGGTTAAAGCAATGCAATAACCAACCAGCTTAGAGTATGATGTGACACCTTGAAGAACATTGGCTGACAAAAACACAGTTTTGCAAATGTGAATGCCACTCTCAAAGCAATCATTCCTCATATTAAAGTAGTGTTCTCTCCTTTTAAAAAAGTAATATACTAATTGCATGAAACAAAATATTAGATACAGTATTGTAGCTATTGTTGTTAATAAAGGAATAGGTGATTGACTTCTCAAACTGTATTTGCTAATAATCTTTTTTGATTTGTTGCTATGGTATCACGCACCTCTACATGTTTTGTCTCAATTTTTGTAGCTATTGTTGTTAATAAAGCTAATTGCCTAAAATTATCAGAGGGATTATTAAGTGACAGTGACTTCTAAAGTAATTGTGTATTTGCAAAAGATATTTTGATTTGTTGTTATGGTATCAAACACCTCTACTAAGGACTCAACAGGAAAAGTATATTTTATCAAGGTCAAGACAAATGGTCAAGATCAATGTCAAGACAAACGGATAATGTCAAGGCGAAATTTGAAAAATGTTTCTCAGAGTTTGTTTATACATTTCAAGATTTTTAGCTGAAAGTTGGGCAACAAAATAATGATAATAGATATTGCTCAAACATGTATAATCACTTGTGAACAAAAGCTTGTCGTTATTGTTAAAAACATATCATTTTATTGAATTACATGTATGTACAACTAATAAAGATATTGAACTTACTTGGCCTCCGTGAGACTTCATCTAATTTAAATATAAGAGATCTTTTTGCAGTTTGCACTTCCGGACTAGGGTGTTCAAAGTCTTTACGCACCCACTTCAGGGGACTTTGTCGTCTTTGCTCAGCGCTTGGCGCTTTTGGCGATGAAAACAGCCTGAAAAATACAGAACATTGCAATTTTAGCGACAAAATTTCAGTTTAATATATATTTACAGTGAAACTCACGGTGCCCATGTCAAGCTGCGCGCCTACTTAGGCGCGCAGTTTGTTTCGGTCACAAACTGCGTGCCTAACAACATTGCATCATTTAAGTTGGAGTCTGTATTTTGAAACGTAATTTAAAGACATTTATCCTGCATTGTTTTCTTGTTCAATGCGTTCATTCTGTGGCGAATATAAGAATCTTGCAAATACTAGCAAAAACTATGTCCAAATGAATCTAAGTTTTAAAACATAAGCAGATTAATGGCATTTTTGTCACTGATTTAACGGGAATTTATACGTAAATCGATCTAGCACTTTAAACATAAATGACAAATACTTTAGACTCCTTCTATTATATTTAATTCCTTACACATTTATAATATATAATTCAAAATATTTCGAGATAAAACAGATAATCAGGAGATTAAAAAGAAATAAACCACAAACTGCGCGCCTATTTTAGCCAGAAATTACAAACTGTACGCATACAAATATTAAAACTACATATTATCATTGGAATTTCTACAGAGGCACGTGTAGGTGTTTTTCATGTAACTTTGGAAAATTTGCTTTATCGTCAGATTTTATGAGATTTTCATATTGAAAGTCAAAATGTATATAGAAGTGACAATTAAGTTGGGAACGAAAAAACTTTTATTTTCAGATCACCATCTTGGTGGATGGACTATCATAGTGGTTTAATTATGGGGTTCTACTATTAGACACATATGTGCCTTACATATGGCGCTTATGTTTTCTAATAATACAAAACAAGCGTGGATAGGCAAGCAGTTTGGAAATATTAGGCACGCAGTCTGGGAAATACATGTGAATATAGGCGCGCAGTTTGACAAGAAAAATGTTTAAATCACGTTTATGGCGTATTATCGTTTTGAACACAAACTTTGCTGCTTTAATCAGATGGAGTGATCCTATATATTCTAGCATACACAGACACAATGGCTGAATAAACGGCAAATGACGATAAAAAGACATAGATATAACTTTACACTGTAAATTTTGAACACAGAAGTTACTTAAGACCCTTATATTGAGATAACTAGGTTTACATCGGGAAAAACATTGAGTACTATGAGTAAATTAAGTTCATCTTCACAGAATGGTACTATCTTTAGAACGAGACTAACCTTGTATTTTTCGTATTTTGGCTCTTTTTGGGAGTCGTGTCCTCCCCGTCTCCCATTTTGAAATATGCGCGCAGTTTGTCAGAGTTTCAAACTGCGTGCCTAGTAGGCACGCTGCTTGACATGGGCATCGTGAAACTTGTCTCAGTGGAACATACTTGGTACCTCTTCCACTTGGGAGGTGTTCTACTTATAAGAGACATTAAGTAAGTTGGTTTTGGGACCCCACTTCAAGAAGTGTTTCACTTTACAGGTTTTACTGTACCTATCTTGTAATTACCCAAATGCGAGTAGGTAGTTACCAGTTTCACCACCAGGTGGCTGATTCGGGTCAATTAACATGGCAGGTATATAAGAAAGTTCCCTTAAACTTGAATATTATCAATTTAAGTGGCTCAATTTTCATATAACCCTTATGTGTCTAATACTTATACTAATGAAAATATGTCCAGTAAAGCAAAATATCATCTGTCCACTAAAAGAAAAGATATTTCATTTTTTGTGATTTTATAGCATGGGGTCTATAGGGAATCTCCCCGAGCTAGAAGTCACATTTTCGAAGAAAAGTAATTTTTTCAAAGTTGATAAACACTTTTTAAAACCATATTTCTAAATGTAATTTTACATGTAGATTTCAAATATGATATTACTTTGACTGAATTTTGAATTTTTAATGACGTAAATCAAGATTATTTCTACTCGCATCTGGGTTATTGATAATTTAGATGTTACAGAAAAGCTATAAGCAGTTAGCATTTCCCCAATTAAGAACTCTTAATCTGATTGGCTGTCGCAACACTGCGACAGAAATCATGTAAAAGTCATTGCGCATAATTAGATCACGTGATTCAGTTTAATCAGGCACTTTCAAATTGGTTATCGCAGGGGGAAGAAGGAGGTACGGATTCTGGATGCCTGCTTAGGAAGCTGCAGAAAAGCTGGCTTTTGATAATCTAAAAATCAATTTAAAAATACCAAAGGATAAAACTGTCCACCTAATAGCAGCTTTATTACATGAAACCATTTTCTGGTAGTAATAATAACAAAAACATCAGTGAGAGATCATGAACTTCTCTAAGTTTCTCTTCTCAATAGATTTCTCAACCTGTTAAAAGTTGGAATTGTTGCCAGTTGCAAAAGAGAAACGATGACCATTTTCAAAGATAGGCAAAACTTGGGATCAAAAACAAGCTAACTTGCTTGTTGCTTTCTAGTGATATTCCAATAAGCAATCTAAAGAATTTTCACTATTATATCTAATGCTCTATAATGATTGATAGATTTTCTATGCTACATAAAAATAAGTTGTTTGATATGTCAAGATCTAATGTCAAGATATTTTTTGTCAATTTATTATTCAATATTATCTGCTCAATAGTACAAGTATATTGCTTTTGTCTTTTTTAGGTTGAATATTCACATGATATAAGATATATGTATGATTTTTGCATCTTAAATAACAAATTTTGATAACAATTTCATGGGCTAACTCTGTGTACTTAGCACATATTTTGGAAGTTGATATATTAAATATACAACTGCAATATACATGTAGTTTAAAGTCCTAGATTAATATAATTTACACTGTATATATAAACCATAAGTTGTATTTTTTAGTTTATCCCATGATTAATGTGTTATCTGTACAATAACAGCTATTGATCTTTCTGATATTATTGAAATCCGTGTGATATTTTCCAGAAAATCGTTTATCAAACTCATATGCGTGTGATATCTCACCCATATCCGTGCGATATCACATTTGCATTTCGCGCCACAATATTGTTGGAAATTAGGTCAGATAATTTATTCTCTTTTGAGAAAATAGGTCCGTTAACTTATTCTCTTTAAGTTTCATTGGTGTATATAATTTGATTAGAAGGCTGCTAACTAACGATTAAAAAATGGTTAAATGACGAACTATATCATGTTATTTACTTTTAATTATTAAAATAAAGTGTTTCAAAAATTAAATTGATATTCTTATTTCTAGTTTATATTGTCTGCCAATGTCCTGAAAATTGGATCAGAACATCACAAGGTGATTGTAATCATGGGATAAACCCAATATCACATAATTTCTCGTGATATCATTTTATCTCCTCATAGATATCAAATATCAAAACTCATTCGCTTCGCTCACTCGTGTTGATATTTGGTATCAACTTGGCGATAAAAATGATATCACTCAAAATGATGTGATATTCTGTGCATATTATATTACTTCTGCAAACTGTTTTGATATATTTATCTGAGCAGCTTGCAAGTTATGTATAGATACAGTTTCCAGATAAGACTGCAAATGGGCTATTTTGCAGAGGATTCATCAATACAGCCACTTACTACTCCAGATTCATCAACAGATATCAAAAACCCTTACAGTAAATCTCAGATAAACCAAATACCCCCTTACAGATTTCTAGAAAAGTAAGATATCAAAGTACAGTATAATATTGCAAACATATCACAAACTATGCTTTAAAAACACATGGTAGAAATCTAGGTATATTGAATATTTAAAGATTAAATCAAGAAAAACTTTAAAAAGTTTTGGAAAGGTAATTAATGTCCAGCTAGCTATTAAAAAATCAATATGTTGTAGAATTTCAGATAAAAGAGAAGCTATCTACTATAATACCAAACATCTATATCTAATGGGAAGAACTGGATATTTCAAAGTAAATACCCTAGGGGCAAAAATTGATACATTTGCACCCTGTTTTACCATTCTGCTTTACTGAGTCCCCCTCTTTAGTTATCCCTTGGAAAGATTGAGACAAAAAGGGGGTCTGGTATTATAATGCAGTCTTACCCTTTTCAATCTTAAAATTCAATACTTCAAAGTGATTAGCATATGAAAATGCTACTTTGACAACTACTGATTAATATAAGGGGAGGCATCAAAAGTTCGATGTCGGATAGAAAACTAAATAAATCTAGTTAGGGGGGAGGGGGTTCAAATCCATTTCAGTTTACTATCCGACAAATTTCAACATTTCAAATTTTTGGCAATTTCGACTGAGAATGCCTTTGAATGGTTTAAAAATAAAGATTTTACCTGAAGCGTTCCTCGTCAAGATCATTCCAATTGATTCTATTCTATCAATACAGTTGTTAAAAGCCGCAAATTACGATAGGAATTAACAAAAACTAGATCGTGTTTAGCAATAATTTTTCAAATTCTCAAACCGGAAGTCAGCGATCAACTTTCATGGTATTTAGTTTTTTGGGGGAGGGGGGGTCAGAGTCAAAACTAGATTTATTTAGTTTCTGATCCGACATCGAACTTTTGATGCCTCCCCTAACTGTACAGAACATTCATTATCATGAAAAATAAATTTCACTTTGCTTGTTTTAAAAAAGACAAAACTTCTACTTTTTGCAACTTCCTTCAAAATTGAGCTAGAAGCTTCAAATAAAAAGTATTTAAAGCTCTTTTCTTCTTCTATCTCATAGTTATATTTTCATGAACATTACTACAGTAAAACCTGTCTAATCCGAATGCGTTCAGATTGGGAGGTGTTCGGATTAGCCAGGTGCCCCAATATACAGGTTTTATTGTACATGGTAGTGATATAACTTCAATCTTCCAGGCCCCTAGGGCATCCCTTGTATACTAGGTTAAAATAAAAGCTCCAGAATGACCCATTAGTGTTCTACAATGTAAAAGTATTTTCAAACAGCCTATCCATTGTTATTTTTCATTCTCATATTCTATGCAAATATTTAACTGATCAATTTTTTGTAGCAGGTTGATCAATAATGGGTCTCTAAGTCTTAAGATTTTTGCTAGATTAGATGTATT